GGGCCTGTGGTGCGAACCGGTAAGTCAAGTACAGACCCGGAAAAGAGTTTAACATTACTAAGAGACATCTGCGACAGGCCCAGCAAACCTGTCCGTCAACATCCCCGAAGCGGTCCAGCTAGTCCTCGGGTCTGACTCGAAGTGCTCGAAGACTGCTTGGTACGATGCCTCGCTTCCCCTAGTCAATTTGCATACCGCCCGCGACAAGAAAGTCCACGAACGTAGACGCAAAGTCTTTTCAAAGGCCTTCTCTCCCAAAGCCCTCATTGAATACGAGTCGCGAGTCTCGGTACACTCGGAGCTGTTCTGTCGTGCCATTGCTGGGATGAAAGGTCACCCATTTGACGCGACACGCTGGTTCAAATATTTTGCATTCGATGTCATGGGGGAAGTCGGTCTTAGTGAGAGCTTTCGAATGCTTACCGAGGAAACCAATCGCTGGATTCCCGATCTATTAGAGGACGGCATGTCCGATATTGCCCAATTACAGCCGATCCCTTGGGCAACGATCTTGCTTCATCGCCTTCCTCTTATCGCACATGGGCCCAAGAGATTCCTGGAGTTTGTCACGGAGCAAGCGAAGAGGCGAGCACAGGTGAGTGACCTACGTTGCAATGTGAAGTCCAGTGCAGCGAAAACTGACGATGCACTGTAGAGATCGGATGTCAAGCCTGACGTGCTTTCCTACCTTGTCGAGGCGTACGAGCAAAGCGAAAAGAAGGATATAGACTTCCAGTGGTACAGAGGAGACACGCGTCTTGTGATCGTGGGGGGTTCAGACACTACGGCAGCGACCTTGACCTACATCTTCTACCACCTAGCTGCTGATCCCTCCCAGATCACCAAGCTTCGGGCTGAGCTCGAACCGCTGCTGCAAGGAAGATCTGAGCTTGATCCTAAGGACGTTAATGCCGCGAAACATCTGAATGGTGTCATTCACGAGGCTCTGAGACTGCATCCGCCAATCCCGTCAGGCTTTCCTCGCTTGACTCCCCCAGAAGGTATCACCATCAACGGCACGTACATTCCAGGAAACACTACTGTTGTCCTTCCACTTTGGACAATGGGGCGCTGTAAGTCTCTCCTTTGCTCAGGCCGGATCCATGCTGAATATACTGCGTTAGCCGAAGAATGCTATCCTCGAGCAAATGAGTTTATACCCGAGCGCTGGTACTCTCAGCCAGAGCTTATCAAACATAATGTTTTTGCCCCGTTTGGCCTCGGTAAGTTCTGAAATTCGATGTTAACCCCATGGACCGAGGAACATGACCAGAAATCGCTGATCATCACGCAACAGGGCCATATGGTTGCATTGGTAAACACCTTGCGATGATGGAGATTCGCAACATGATCGTCCACATTCTCAACAGCTTCAACGTCATTGAGCTTGCTCCTGGAGAAGATGGCTATCGTTTGTTGCATGAGTCGAAAGACCATTTCACCATCGGTCTTCAACCGCTGATGATGGTCTTCGATAAGGAACAACGGGGCCAGCACAACGGCGATGTTGTCAAGGGTGGTTAAGCAGAGGATCTCATTCCCTAAATCCCAAGTCGACGCCGATGTGGGCAAACACGGGTGTCCAAGATATAGCTCCAAGCACTGCAATGCCAGTATTTGGCTAATATTATATATCATACTTTGTGCTTAGGATAGAGACGCGGGAGAATTTCCCCACCATTTCAACCTTGAACTACATCGTCCTGCCCCCTCGTTCCCTTGGCTCTCTTGGTGGGGTGCCAGGGTGCCACGTTCGTGGTCCACACCGAGATGGCAGCCCGGTCCGGGGTGCATTAGTTGCCCGTGGGGGGATTTAAAAGTGTGCGTTTCTTCTGCCGTCTCAAGTTCAGCGGCTGGAAGTTCAGCGAGTGGCAACAGACCTTCATGTTCTCGGCCAGTAGCCCTTGCATTCTTCTGCAAAAATCTCTCCACCAGAAAGGACTCGGAAATCCAGTTGAACCCAGCCTCCTGATCACTGTGTTTCATGAATTTTGCTCGTCCTCGTTTCGAGTGCCATGGCCACTACCGCATCTCCATCCTCTGCATTCGCTCAGCAGCGACAAACTCCGCAACAAGACGATTCTACCAGGCCAAAGAAGAGGACGAGGCAGAGTTGCGATGCATGCAAAAGCAGAAAGACAAAGGTCAGTCCTTACCTACTTCTACTGTCTCGGAAGGCGGTATTTTCACTAACATTAGAGCCAAGTGTGTCCCTCAAGGTACAACAAAATCCAAGGACGAAATTCTCAATCCGACCAGGTTTGCTGACAGGTTTACTCTCTCCAGGCTTAGATGCGTGTAGATACTGTGCCTCCATGAATATTCCATGCTCGGCAAGCGTACGTCCTCGAAAAAGACCATACTACAGAGTGTCTGAGGAAGAGTACGAGTCTTGTATGCGCCTGTTACGGCATTTCGTCCCAACGGGGGACCTCAGTCTAGAGAACGTCAAATCTATGCTAGTCGAGGTGGAACAGAGATCCGAGCCTGGCATATCCAGTCATACTGTCCCAACACACCAATCCAACTCGACACTGTCGAACAACGAACTAGTGGAAACGGAAGAAAATGTGATCCTCCAAGAGGAAAAAGGTTGCATGTACCTTGACCCTCGCGGGAAGTATAGTAAGTTACGTGAATCTGGCTTGAAAACTGTGAGGACCGCTCTGAAGTGTTCTCTGCAGGATACGTAGATGCGGATTCTTCGCTCAGATTCGATCATGCCGCTCTTATAGCTCGACAACCTCATCTCGCGGAAACCACAACAACAAAACGCGATGCAAATGTACTGCGTCCTTTCATTACTACCCTCATGCCCCCATCGCCGGAAACTGTGGGGAGCTTCCGCGCCGTGGAGGACTTGGATACCGTGTACCTGCCAAACCGCGAGACCTGCTTGCGATACGTCACCAAATTCTTCGAGCAGGTTCACGCCATTTACTGGGTGTACTCTCCTGAGCAGTTCTACATGCTTCTTGACCAAACGTTAGAGAGCGGAGGCTCTGAAGCGAGCGCTTCTTGGCTTTGCTCCCTGTACTCCATCTTTGCCATTTGCTCGATGCAGCCAACAGTCCAAGAAGACCGAGAGGATGTGAAATCCTCCGAAGATTACCTTCGCATGGCAAGAGAGTATGGGAACCGAGCGGCTGACGAAGCTGACATCGGAAGTGTGAAAGCTTTGGTCCTCATGGTATACGAGTCAACTGCCTTAGTGCTTCACAGCCAGTCTAATGATATTGACAGAGTCTCGCCCTCAATGCATCATTCCACAGTGTCATCGCTTATTGCACCCTTGGCATGACCATCAGAATCGCATACTCGCTTGGCCTCCATCGAAATACGGCACACAAGTCACTGGACTCTGTGGAGAAAGAACGTGCTCGGCGGCTATGGTGGACGCTATATCAACTTGACCAAGAAGTTTCCAATCAGCTTGGCCATCCATTCGCGATAGTGGACGAAGCCATCTGCATCCAAACGCCATTTGCATCTGAAGAAGTAAGTTGATCCCTTTCCAGCATCTCAGGCCCAATATTTACGCTAATATTTTAGATTCTTGATCCAGGGCGCAACACGCCCTTGGGCTACCAGGCCGTCTGCATATCGCTGATTAAATTGAAAAAGAAAATAAGCCAGACATTATATGTAACTCCTGCCCAGACAACACGCAGGGTTCGCTTCCAGCAAGTCACCAGCTGTATCGCCTCCTTGTATGAATGGCATGCTCAAGTCCCATCCCATCTCCGCTGGGGCTCGTCGTTGGCGCCATCACATCTGAGAGCAGTGTCCGTCCTGCATCTGCGATACTGGATCACACTCGTCCATGTCACCCGGCCATTTCTCTTGCATTCGGTAACCCGGTCGGCGGAGCTGCGCAACTCTGTCAAGAAGAAGCGATACGACGATTTCAGCAGCCTATGCACCGAGGCTGCAGAGAATGCCATCACCATTCTGAAAGCGAGGCACGAGGAGCGAAACCTTTCGAGCCTGATGCTGTTTGACAGTGGATGCATCCAGGAACTGGTCCAAGTCTTCCTCCTGGCCGAGGAAAAGGTCGGTAGAGGGATCTACAGCGCGAACCTGGAGTTCTGCCTCAAGGCCATGCGTGCCATGGAAGCCGTGGGCTGGTGCAAGAGAATCCTCCCGGATCTCGAAACCTTGCTCCGAAACACCATCACAGTGGACAACGTCGGGGACGAGGGCCGAGAATCAGCTTCCCCGGTAAACAAGACACGAGACCCTATCACCACTACGACTACTGCAACAAGAGCCCGACCATTGCAAGATTACGGGTTCCATGGATCCGGCCTATTCGGCGACCCGGCTGCGTTCGATGCCGCATTGAATTCATTTGAGGATTTTGAGCTGTAAGTCCCCTCCGACAGTTTACGATGATGCTCCTGACGACGGATGAAATCCCGGGTGTTCGAGGACTGACATGTCTCAAAATATACTAGGAACATTGATCCGACGCAATCGGACCTCCTGGACACTTTGAGCCTGGATCTGGGGACATTTCCTTCAGGTGACTGGAATGCTTTCCCCTTGTGAGGGATGTAGTTAAAGTCAAAGATGGATACTTCGAGGATCAGGCTTCCCAGCCTTGCCTGAGCGTACAGGGTAGATAGCACCGCAGCCAGATGCGACCCGAGGATGTGGGCGGTTCGGATTTCCAGCTAGACAATCTGGCATTCGGATGATATTCTTTGAACCCTGAGACTTTCCGAATCTCGGGGGAAGGAGGTATAGAGAATTGTCCAGACCGCTCGCAAAGCTTGTGGAATGCCTTCACGGAAAATCCATCGGCGACAATGATTCCGATGGGGTTGCGAGGCTAAAACGCCCCGTCGCTGCTTATACTTCCGAGCACTGAGCTGGCCGAGTTGAGCCCACTTACCATGGACTAGGCTCGCTGTTTGTGGGACCAGTACCGTACCTGCCGAGCCAAGTTACAGGTAGCTGTGGGTAGCATCGAGCAGTGCGGTACAGGTAGGGTAAATCGACGGTAGCCCTTGGTAAGAACTGTTTTCTTCTTGTGGTTCTTTCGAACGCCTATGTCTGACATCCTCACGTCAGGTAGTACGATACATTAATCTCGTCCGAGGATCACTCAATGCCCGTTCAGCCCGTTCACCTGCCCATTTGACTCGGTAGCTCCATGCCCATTCGTACCTGCAGCCTCCTTCAATTGCCACGGGAGAGGCCGGTCCGCCGCCTTCACCGGTCCCAGATCCCCATCGGCACCCCTACGTTCTCGCCAGGCCTGGATCTCGCTCTGATCAACCCAGTTACCGTGCAAACCGAGCTTCAGCGCAAATGGCAAATGAACGATGGCAAGCGGGCCCGCAGCCAAATTATTCGAGGCGAAGATCACAATGTCGTTCCGTAACACGTCCAGATGGTTCAGCAGCGCGATGATCCACCCCTCTCCTTCCTCGCCTCCTCGCTTCGGGATGTATGTCGGCTCTTGGAACGTACACGTGGGGCCGGCGTAGAAGACGTCGCTGAAGCCCTTGTCCTTCCAGGTGAAATGCCCGAGACAGTTGAACAGCCCGCCGACAGGGACGCCGCAGAGCTCCGCGTCATATGGCCGGCTCGGGTCGATGAGGCACTGCCAGAAGTGGTTGTATTTCTGGGTCACGAGGCGGTCGTCGATGCGGGAAAACTCCCCCGGGAGCGTGTCGAGCTCCTCAAACGGTTCCACGGACGAGCCGCTCTTGGCCTTTGGGTCGAAGATCCAGCGCGTGGTCTTGTTGATGAGCTTCGGAATCGTCACCGGCTTGTCGACGGGAGGGAAGAAGAAGAAGACATTGCCGTCGGCGACAGTCAGGTCGAAGACAATCTGGCCATTCTCGTCCTCGTAGCACCCGGCAGTGTGGCCTTGGAACGCTATAGTATATGAAATCAGCATTGGGGATTCAAGGAGGGGATGGGGTTTCCGAGCAATACCGTTCCGCGATCGCAGCCAAATAATATCCTCAGGCTTACCACCACGACGAGGCACTATGCCATACATCTGATCCTCTTCGGGGTCCCATGCCCAGTGGTTCTCTCCGTTCTTCAATCTTTCGGCGTCGCATTTCAAAGGTGTCATGGGGAGGACGAGGTAATTCTCCGAGATGCCGCAGTCGTGAATGATGCCGCAGAATGGCGCTTTGTACCAAGCTTCCTCCGTCTTGAATCCGTCCGGGCTGATGGTGTAGACGACTATATCGCAGGATCCATCGTTGCCGTTCCCGCCCGCTTCGTAGCCGTAGCATACCATTTCGCCCGTCACGGGGTCGAACTTCGGGTGGGCCGTGAACGTGGGCGACAGAACTTGGCCCTCGAAATCGTATCGGCCGATCGTATCCAGTGTCTCGGGGTCCATAGCATATGCAGGTCCGTCCTCCTTTGTCGCCAGCAGCATGCCGCGCCAGAAAAACACGTTCGTGTTCGCCGCGGTGCGAATGACCCCTTTGACCACTTCATTGTCCGTGTAGGGGTTGCGGTATCTGCCAAAAAGCGCTCGGCCGGCCGCGGTCTCATGCCGATACCGCTCCGTGTGGACATAGCGCTGTTTGAAGTGGGCGTGGCCGTGCGAGATGCGGATGGCCGTTACGTTTCCGTCGCCGTTGAAATGGATGTCATCCTCGTAGATTGGGGGGTAGCGGTGATCCGGCTGGACGCGAAAGAAGGTGCCGTCTATCTCGGGCGGGATGCTTCCCGTGACTTCGAGATCGAAGATGTCGCCTTCGATGCGAGAGGCTTTGTTGATGCCATGAAAGACGTCGGTCGAGGGGAACTTGACGCGGTTCGGATCGATCTTGACCCCGTCTTTGTAAAGGCCTGAAGTATCCCTGATGGCTCCTGCTATGTCAAATATGTGCGCCATGGCGTCAAGATCGCCGGTCTCGTCGAGGTAGTGTGACGGTCTCTCCCACCGACCTTGAGAGACAGGCACCTATAAAGACATCCGTGAAGACAGGTCCAGTCCAGGAGGACATCCCTTTAAAGATCATCCATCTGGAAACGAAGACATCATGGTACAAAAGGATCCTCCCGATGTCATTTGTGGAACCTGCAATGGGCAGCAGGCTGGCCCTCAACTTTCGGATCTATAACCACCGAGGCTTTGTTGCGACGACTCAGGCCACTAATTTTGAGAATTCAGTGAGGGTGCATCTCGAGACTCTGCTTCGGCCCTGACGGTAGAACTCTTACCGCCCTACAGGCTGCGACAAATGTGATGCTCCCCAGACTCAAAGTCCAGGCTGTTTAATTTACCAATGGGGTGGATCTGAACCGTTGTTACGTGTTAAGCAGACTCGATCAAATGACCGGCTTACAGTACCACAAACTGAGGGAGAGAGCTGTTTTGGCAAAGCCTTTCGTCCAGATACCTGGCGACGGAGACAAAGGCGAATCCTCTGCAGTGTGACTCATCTGAAGAATTCATGTCTGCACCACTTCCCTTTGCAGTCGTAAACACTTACCATTTCAGTCCAAGCGCGGAGAAAACTAACCCTCCCTTTACGTGGTCTAGACGTCTTAATCTAACATCCGCCCCACTCAGGTGAGATTGGAAAAGATCTTAATAACGAGTTTGCTCGCACTGCAGCTGAATCTTCAGGATTGCAGCCGAGGATTTGTGCAGCACTAAATACTTGTCGCCGCGCGCTGTTTCGGGTTGGTCGACTCGCTGAGATGTTGGGAATCCAGCGTGAACTGGTTGGGCATTCGAATCGCTCGCAGCATGTAGCGACATAACTTTTCCAGAACGTTCGCGGATTGTACGACCAGGAGTGACGTTATCCATGGTCATGCCGCAACCTATCTGCTTCTGGTAGCATTGGGCGCTCACCGGTGTAAAGGGTCATCTTCTACGCACCGATCGTATAGGCTGACAAGAAGGAAGATCAGATGAAGCGCTCTCCGGAAAGGCAGTGTCCTGCACAAAAAGAGAGAATCCCTCGTACTCGCATACTGGTATGTAATGGCTAAAGAGATGAATTACCTGGTTGTCCCTGATAAGGCTGCAATGATATTTCCAACTATGATTGGCAGCCTGGATATGAAGTGGGACGGAGGGTACTTCTTCCGAGTGGAACCCCTTTACCAAGTATGGCATAGTGACACTGCTGTGATTGGCTTTCTCGGATTCTAGATGGGAATACGAACCATGTGGAAACCCCATTCCGGAGTTATGACGCCAACGATGTTAACACCATGGAATGTGCATAAAGTTCGCATTGGCGACGGGAGTCGATATTTCAATCGCATTCCAAAAAAAAATACGAGTTTTCCTCTGTATCAAATCGATCGTGCCAACTGTTCCATCGTCAATAGGGCCTCAACAGAAGAACAGCATCCCAAACATGACCGCGTCGACGACTGACGCGGGAGCAGAGCAAACCGTGTCTGTGGCGAACGATGCAAGCAGCACGTCTTCGCTTCCGACGGAGCAGAAGCCAAACAATGCAGACGAAAATCCCCTTGAACAAACCACGAGCCGCATCGAAAACTACCCGACTGGCATCAAGCTGGGTATGATCTTACTGAGCATCTACTTGTCCGTCTTCTTGGTGGCGCTCGACAGAACAATCATTGCCACCGCGCTCCCCAAAATCACCGACAAATTTCAAAGTTTTGGAGACGTTGGTTGGGTACGTTGATATATTTCCTTCACCCCTATGAGCGTGCAGGATGAGGGAGCGACTAACACTCGAGGCAGTACAATGCCGGATTTCTGTTTCCTGCGACAGCTCTCCAACTCCTCTTTGGGCGGCTCTATACCTTTTACTCGCCCAAGTGGATCTTCCTCAGTGAAGTGTTTGTGTTTGAAATCGGTTCTGCAATATGTGGCGCCGCCCCGAACTCGGTCGCTTTCATCTGGGGACGAGCGGTTGCTGGCTTGGGTGCCGCAGGCCTTTTCAACGGAGCGATGATCCTGATGATGTACGCGTCGCCTCTCCACAAGAGAGCTCTCTACATGGGTCTTCTTGGTGCCGTCTTCGGTGTGGCTTCGGTCGCTGGTCCATTGCTGGGTGGTGTGTTCACGACCAAGGTCTCTTGGAGGTAAGTTTTCATGCTCAGGAATCGCTACGGTCATTTGAAGCTAAATCGAGTCCAGATGGTGTTTCTATATCAATCTCCCGATCGGCGCGGTTGTACTAGTGTTTCTCTTCTTGGTTATCGACAACACTGCGCCAGCACTTGGTGATTTGCCGCTGAAAGAGAAGATTTCACGAATTGACATTCCTGGCACGTCTATTTTCATTCCCTGCATTGTTTGCCTGCTCCTGGCCCTGCAATGGGGTGGTCAAAAGTACGACTGGTCTGATGGCCGCATCATCGCCCTTTTGGTCCTCTTCGGCGTCCTCCTCATCGTTTTCATTGGCATTCAATTCTGGCGGAAGGAGGCCGGCACGGTACCCCCTCGGATCGCCAAACAACGCACAATTGCGACTGGCGGCTTCTACGCCTTCTGTCTCGGATCCTCGTTCATGATTGCTGTCTATTACCTATCGATCTGGTTCCAAGCGATCAAAGGCGATTCAGCAATCCGGTCCGGATACTCGACGTTGCCGTTTATTCTCGCCCTTGTGGTTGCGTCCATTCTTTCCGGGGCCTTTGTCTCGAGGGTAGGTTATTACAACCCGTCAATACTGGCAGGTGGCATCCTAACACCCATTGGTGCTGGCCTCTTTACGCTGTTCACTACTCACACGGCGCACCCTATGTGGATTGGTTCCCAGGTCCTGTACGGTTTCGGTGTGGGCCTGGGGCTGCAACAAACCAATATCGCTGCTCAAGCTGTTCTGGACAAGAAAGACGCGCCAACCGGAGTTTCATTGGTATTCTTCTGCCAGGGTCTCGGTGGTACCATCTCGGTTGCGATTGCCCAAAATGTTTTGGATAATAAGCTCATATCAGGTCTCAAGGGGTTCAGCAACATCAGTCCACACGATATTGCCAACACCGGAGCCACCCAGCTGAGACAGGCTTTCAGTCCCTCGCAATTGCCGGAGGTTCTACGAGTTTACAACCACGCCTTGGTGATTGTCTTCTACATTGCGCTTGCATTTGCTTGTGCGGCAATCCTTGGAGGTATCGGCATGGAGTGGAAGACATTGAAAAAGGACAAACCCCAAAAGGACAAAGAAAACGCACCAGCCGAGGTCAGGGAAGAAGCAAAGACGGAGTGATCCTCCACGACTCAGACGCGATTTGACAAAAAGTTTTAATTTAGCGACACAATGTACAATAGCCACACCCTGTTATCGAGCGAAATCCCTTCTCAACATATCTTTTGGGGACTTTGAGGATACCATACAGGAGCACGAGGAGTTCTACCGATCGAGAACGCCACTCTCCCATTCAACACATATCACAACACAACTTGCATGCCATCTACGAGTTGACTCCCTCTCCCTCTTTTCTGCGCGGATCCGAGCAGTTGAGATCTGAATATCGGTTCTTCGCCATATTCCTGCGGGACAATTCAAAACCTGCATTGAGAGTCAAAGCAGCAGGGCCCAACACAGTGCGGTGGTCTATGACTTATTACCATGCTCCGGAGTCCCGTGTTACTGGTGCTAAGATAGAAGCACCTGGAATGTGAAACAAAGGCTCAATTTTGCTGTTTGAGGGGAGAGAAGTGAAAATTAACGGCCCCTCTGGCGATGGAAAGTGTCTGTCTTCGCGGTGATAGACCCCTCGAATGACATTCACCATGCACCCAATATTTGTGAGAGGCGCTTGAGGGCCGGGTTTGCAGTATTTGCCAATTTAGTAAGGAGTTGGCGGGAGCGTGCTGGGGTTTGAGTAAATCCAGGTTGCGATGAGTGAATATTGACTGCCGAGTGGAGGCTGAACATCGCTGCGAACATGACCCCTTCTGTATAACATTGCGACAGTTGCTGCTCATCCAAGAGATTTCCAGATAGCTGCTGTCCAACAAATTCAACATGCAAAGATGGTAGACAAGATGTAGCCTTCATTTCTGTGCATGTTTTCCCAGTATAATGCCTTCTTGGAAGACGGTATCTCGTAACATAGCCGTAAAATCTGAGTTCTCTTGTCTGCGTACCATTCCGTGCGGCCCCCTACATAGGTCAAGGCTTTGACTTCGACGGATTACTTCTTGTGGAGACCACGGACACGAGGCTGCAAGTCACGCCTGTCCTCAGCTGAGGGCGCGGAGGGATCCGCCTCGCTGCCAAGGCTGGTGAGGCTGCCTGCATCTTATTGGAGGGCAAGGCTCCGCGTTCCGCAGTTGGAGCCGCAAACTGCGCCTGCCATCATCAACCTCCATAACATCATCTTTGGCTTCAACTTTCTCCTTTCCCGCTCGACTTCGCATTACTGTCGTAACAGGTCATACTATTTTGTTACAGGAAACCTCCTCTTCGACTCGATGCCGCCTTCCTCGATAGCCTCCTTCCAGCCTCGGCCGATCCTCACCCTCACTTTCTCGTAGATTCGTGAATCCCATCCCCTCGATAGCTGCACCCGTTGATTTTCACTCTCCGTGTCTTCAACATGGCTGGGTCGACTTCTTCGGCTGCGGAGATGATCTCCCAACTTGAAGCGGCGCGTAAACTCGCTTTGTCAGACCCTCAAGTATACAACCAGGTCCTGCCGGGGATCTTGCCCATCGTCGGTCCCTCCGCCCATGTCGAAGTTCGAAGATGGGGCGCGGATTTTTTAGCAGAAGCGTTCGCAAGCCCTTCCTTCCCAAATCCACAAAAAGAACAACTCTCCTCAGACGTGTTACCTACCCTGCGAGCCATGTTGGAAACACCAGGAGAAGATCCTGCGGTGATCAAGAGCGTGATACAAGCAGCTGCTAGTCTATACCCTCTGGTGTTCAGACGAGTGTACGTGGTCGGACAAATAGCATCAAGATTAGAAAGGGCCGGTTCTAACAAGATCGTCTAGAATTTCGCACCCTACGGAAACTGCGCTGTGGCAGGAAATGAGTCGGATGAAATTGAACATTCTCCAGAGGATGGATTCTGCTCCCATCGCAGTCAGAGTTTGTTGCATCAAGTTTGTGCAGAAGGTCGTCCAAATAGAGACCCCCGGTTTGATCTCAGATCCTCGAGTTCGTCCCCCTGCTACGCCCTTTGCCTTGTGATAACCATGCTAACGCGACGCAGCGCCCCGAGCAAAATGAGATCTCGATGGCGTTGGTTCCACGAACACACCCTGTTCTGCAACCCCCCAATCTAGAGGCTGAGGCATCCGGTCTGCTGGACAGACTATTGAGTGTATTTCAGGAGACCCCGATGGATCCCATTCTTGTCGATGCGACGCTTAACTGCCTGCCGGTTCTAATCCGGACACGGCCCTCCATCTCCACCAAGATTGTCTCTGCAATTCTCAACTTCAACCCACTGAAGCAGGCCAATGCTCCGATGACCCCTCGACTGATGGTTATTGTAAGATCAATGGAGAGGACAACGAGGGCTTTGTTACGATGGGCATTGAGGGCTGTCCCAAACCACCCTCTGGAACAGAAGATCCAGGCATACCTCATGCGCCTTCAGCAGTCACGTTCAGCGTTATTTGCAGAACCTACGGCCCAGAAACGCCCAGCAGAGCCCACCGATGGGTTGGACGATGCGAAGAGGCAGAGACTCACAGCAGGCATTCGCAAATTTCCGCCCATGCCCCCACCACCGAACACCTATAGCCACCTATTCACGCTTACCGAAGATACCAGCCTTCAGCAATTTGATGTTACTCTTCTCCCTGCTGACATTGTCAGCACTGTGACTGCGGTTTTCTTGCAACACGTCGATTCGAATTCTCTGGATGGCGCCATCGACGCAGTCCGGTCCAGATATAATCACTTGCAGAAAGTGAATCAACCTACTCCTATCCCCGAGGTGCCAATGCTTGGCCCCACAGGAATCGATGATGAGGATGACTACGATCCTGAATTTGTTACTGGTACAGAGCCAATGGTTGAGTCAACTACAGAGAGAGCCTTGGAGGAGCTCGCGCAACCAGCCATTGAGTTGGGCCCATTCGAGCTACCTAAGCCCCCGCCATTGACTGGTGCGGAAGTCGAAACGTTATCAGATCAGACTGTCGGACATGTCTTTCAACTGGTCGCTTCGCTTGAGGCCGCAGGACACTCTCACACCAAGCAGCAACTAGGATTGAATCGAATAGCGGCTAGCGGCAACGATCGAGACTCTTGGGCGACAATCCTGATGCGCTTGGCCACCAGAGCCCCGGCAGGCCTCGACGAGCTTGCCAACGCCTTGAACGAAGACGATGCAGATGCCTCCATGCAACTCATTAAATCAGAAGACGCCGAGGAAACAGCCAATGTCGCAAACCGCATCCGCCAGACCCTCTTCATGTATGTTCTTGAAGATTTCCGACCGCGCCTTAATATGGCCATCTCCTGGCTAACGGAAGAATGGTATGCCGACAAAATGGCCGCAAAGACACATCCGGAACTTAACAGTCTACCGAACTACACCCGTTGGGCGCATCGTCTCATCGATCGTCTTCTCCCTTACCTTGACGCCCGAGACAAGAACCTTCTGATTCGGTTCCTTTCTGAAATCCCTAGTATTGATCGCGAGATTTTGAGCCGGGTCAAGAGCTTGGCGAGAGATCCCGAAAGGATTAATATGTGTATCCTTGCAATGCAATACCTATTGCTGATGAGGCCGCCGGTTAGAGACATGGTGCTGGATACGATCGAAGTGATCTGGACGGAAGGAGATGATCAGGCTCGGGGAGCGACAAGTAAGGTGCTCGCGAGATGGAGACCCGGATTCCTGGAACAGGCCGTGAAGGCAGAAGAAATCGAAACCAAGACGAATATTAAACAGGAGACGAAGGCGAATGGGGTTACGAGTCGTTCCCCTGTTGCGCATGTCGCTTCAGACGCAGCTGTGGATGCAACGGAGTCCATGAGGATGGATCCCAGAAAGAGAAAAGCCCTCGCGGCCGCAAATGGATGATAGTTACACAGACGAGGAAATTGAGCGCTTAATTCGCACTGTACCACCATACCATAAGGAGAGGATGGGATCGAGCAATCATGTTTACACACGAGAACCGGTGCAAAGGAGATATCAATCAGTTGGTAAAGATCTCCTTGAATTGCACATATACTCCGTACTGATCATCCAACATCATCTATGCTGTTTTGCCAAATATATACGGGTCTTTCACACCTGCGCCAACTCTCATGCCTTCACGCGCTCACATTAAACTCCTCGATGACACTCCTCGGCCTTTGATATTCTCCCACTCCCATCCCATTCGCCCTCCCCTTCTCCCTAACCTCTTCCCATCGGCACTTGAGGCCAAAAAACTCCGGTCCGCCGACTCTCAAGCCTTCTACGCTCCCGGTCCACAGTGGAGAGGCTGGCATCCCTATCACGCGGACTTTCAGACCGTAACGCAGTTCAGGAGAACCGAGAGCCTCGCCGTCGCTACCAAGGATCGAGATCAAGTCGGGGACCGTGCATATTATCTCCTCTTCGAGCTCCTCTTGTTGTGACGATGATGTGGTTGGAAACTGCGAAATGAAACCCGCGGAGAGGTATTCGTTCTGGAACGGGATGACGAGGTGGCGGGTTTCACGGTTCGCGCGAGTGGATGCGCTTGAGCCGTCGTCTTGTTCTTCGGCGGACAAAGGGGCGATCACGCATCGACCGACTGTATAACCACGGGAGACGTCGCGAGTGACGTCGACAACTTTGCCAACGTAGAGTTCTTTGACTGGGGTGATGCTCGACTATACGCATCTGTCAGTCGGTTGGGGCAAGTCGACGAGGATGAGCAACTCACAATGGCCTCTATAAAATCAATTTTAGCTTCCCGGGCTAGATGGACGGCGCGTCCCAGGTACCATGCCTGGGAGACAGTGTTGGGTACGGCGTAGTCTTTGATGACTTTACCAGAGAGTGGCCTTCCGGCCGCAGCAGTGGAATTGCCCATTTCAATGCAGGTCTGGCGTGTCAGCGATTCTACTCGCTTGTTGGATTCGGCGGCCTACAGATGTAAACGAGTCAGCCTTCTTCTGAGGTGCGAGAGAGCGGAGGACAGTATGAGTGACTTACCAGAACCACTGATGCGTTCCCTTTACAGTCAGCAGTAGCAAATGGCAGCACTGGCTGTCCATAAATATAAGGAGTTCCGTGCTCGAGCGTCGGATAAGCACGGCCCATCAAGTCGCAGTCAACCACCGGTCGACCATAGCGAGCACTTGTGGGAAACGTCACAAGTCCATTGCCTCCTCCAATCTCATCTGCCACGATGCCGTCAAAGTCTTTGATGCCCATGATGCTGTTGACGGCGTCGATGGCTGCGAACACGTCCGTGCCCGCGCTGATCCGCTCGTCGCTCACTGAAGGTGCGCCATATCCTGCACCGAACACACAGGTCCCGTCGTCTTTGAGAGATTCAAGAGGAACCACGCGGATGGCCCCCTGACCGGCTTTGCGCAGGATGTCCAATGTGTACAGAGCCATTAGATACGACGAGCCGCCACCCCCGGTACCGAGAATGCCTGCGCCTGAAGCGATCAGTTGCACGTCGACGGGAGAGATGTACCAGACGCCGTCCCGGACGTCGGGACGATACTTTGCAATGTCGACACCGAATGTCGGCTTCGCCAAACTGCCCTTCTGCACGTCTGTGGCCTCGGCTTTGGTCGCTTCTTGCGTCGTGTCGGCCTCCAGGTCTTGCTCGTGGTCGAGCGTGCCGTTAGAAACCCCATTCTGGACGGCCCCGTCTCGGGCTCGAAGGCTTCCGACTGCTTTCATCACAAACCTGGTGGTCTTGTTGGTCACATACTGCAGGGGGATCTTCTTGATCTCCACGATCTTGACGTCCCTTTCGTCTGCTCCATTCGACACAGCGGCCGCGATTGCGGCCTTCTTGACTGCCTCGATCGCGGCGTTCTCATCTCGGCCAGCCAATATCTCGATCACGTCGACTTCCCCTGCCACCTTCGCGATGGCTGCACCAACGGCGTTCGCGGAGTCGTGATGAGGCGGTCGAAGACATTCTTCTACTCCGTCAAGGTCCTCCGTAAGGATGATAGAACCTCCACCCACGAGAAGGACAGACACGGGAGCAGACGAGACCTTCATCTTATCAATGGCTCGTTCCAACTGTCGCTTTATATCGGCTTTCCCTCCAGCAATCACCGGTTCAGGAATGCCCTTGACTTTTTCGAAGTCACCGACCTCGGCCGCTCTCGAAGCCACGACGATATCCGTCGCAGTCATGACATTTCCTCCAAACACCATGGCATCAGTTGTGAGACGATGCGCAACCGAGTCCGGACCGACAGTGACTCTCCCATCCTCCGCGGATTGACGCACGCGACTCCCTCCTCCGAGACCGATGGAGAGCACCTCTGGCATGGAGAAGGCAGTGCGTACTCCACCCACCTCAACAAAGTTAGGCGCTTGTCGAGGAAATCCAGATGGCAAGAGGGAGCAGATGTCGGTCGTCGTCCCACCGATGTCGACCACCACAACTTGCTTGTCGGCTAGTCTTTGGTCACCGTGATCGAGCCCCTGGAGAAAAGCGGCTCCCATCAGACTGTTGGTTGGACCGCTCGCGAAGGTTTTGATGGGCAATTCCGCCGCCACCGCAGCATCGGTGAGTGTTCCGTCATTCTGTGTTAGGTACAGTGGACACGAGAGGTCAAGCTTGTGCATGGCAAGTCTGAAGCCCCGGATAGTCCTGCGGGCGAAGCCCAAGATCGCCGCGTTCAGGACGGTGGCATTCTCGCGAGTCAACAGTCCGGTTCCGCCAATCTGGCCCGAGCAGACGACAGATAATCCTGGTTCAAATTGTTGCAAAAGCGCCTTACATCGCTCTTCATGGAGACCGTTCTGATCGAGCGCAGAGAATACTCCGACAACCGCAACATACTGGATACCTGCTTCCACGATTGCCGCAGCCGTGGCTTTGATTTGCTCAGGGTTGAGTGGAGAGATCTCCCGGCCGTCAATCTCAAGTCCGCCGTCGAGGTAGAACGCGGGACCCTCAATGATGCTCTTCAATGCATATGGGAAGTCGGCAAAAGGAGGAATCTAGATATTGTGAGCAGTCGTAGGTCGAAGCGGCCAACAACGCACAGACCTTTCTGGTGTAGGGGCCACAGAGCCTTATCACGGCCACCCGACTAAGCCTCCGGGCATCATTCTCGACAACGGCGTTTACGAAGTGAGTCGTCCCGATTGCGACATTCAACACTTTACTTCTGTCAATGTTCGAGCGAGCGAGGACCTCTCTCACTGCGTTCTGGATCCCCAGAGTCACGTGGGCTGTTGTAGAAGTCTTGCATGTGGCAAGCACACCACGCGAGTCGGTGTCGAGAGCATTGACATCAAGGATGGCGGCGTCGGTGTTCGTTCCACCGACGTCGACTCCAATTCGGTACATGGTCGAAGTCGCAATCTGCAAGGCCTCGCTTGGTGGTCTTCCGGTGTCTAATGGATCGACGGCAAAATATTTCTGTCCGGGGCCGTTCGTATCGAAGATTGAGAGATATCTTCCATGTCGGCCGGGCAGCCAGCACAGCCGCCCTATAAGCTGCGGGATCTGCTCCAAGGAACAGTGGAACGTTGGGAGGAATCGAGACACGGTCGACTTTGCTTCATCTCCACTACCTTCTGGACGGCACGAGGGTCTCTGGTTCCAAATGCGCCAGAACCCCCAAACGCCAGATGCCGAACGGAGATCTGCGGGCGCACAATGGTGTTTCCAAAGGTGTTCCACGGGCCCACCAGGCCTAGATCGGAGAGAGTATCAAGATCAGGCAAGTGACAGGGCCGAGAAATGGGCTTATCGACAGATGTGTTGATTGGGATACTTCATAGGCCATCTTTCAGTGGTCTCCTGGCACCGGTTTCGGTCTTTGACCCCAATTCGTCTACCTATCATCCTTCTTCTTGGCCAGTAAGCCCTCCAGCAAATCCAAGCTGGACCATCCTGGCCTCTTTCTTTGCCTTAGACTCAATTGGTCCCAATCGCACCCTCATTGGCACAATAGAGATGATTAAGCACTGATCGACCGGAGCGCTAAGAAGGACAATCCCTGGGAAGCAATTGATCCTCTCAGGCGTCGTTATCAGTGCATGATTAATCAATGGTTACGAGAATGCTCAGCGACGGGGAACTCCCGTTTATAACTCGCGCTCCATCCTGCACCCCTTCAATGATGGCGGGCGGTATCTGCCCTCTTCCAACCCCGGTGGAACTGGCCACGTCGATATGGCGGGCTTCAAGGGCTTCATGAGGAAGCTCGAGGTCCCGTACGAAGGAGGGACGATCCCCAATCGCTGGATCAACAATGATATCAAGCCCATCGAGAAGGGCCGGCGAACATGGACGTTTTGGACTTTTCACAACCTCTGTACGTTGGGACCCTTTTCGTAGTCGCCGTTGGAAAAAAGCCCCGCTGATGTCTCTGTAGGGGTGTTGACCAACACAAATATCTCGACGTACATGACCGGAAGCTCGCTGATTGCACTTGGGTTGAACTGGTGGCAAGCCATCATTGCTATAGTCTTCGGCGCAGTCCTCTCAACCGTCTTTGTAAGTCGTGCACCTCCCCAAGAACGTCCACCTGGACAGTACTGACCGCATGGGGATTCTGTGAGGAATACAGATAGTATTGAACAGCATGCCAGGTGCGTTCTATCACCTCGGGTTCCCCATTGCCAATCGCTACGTTTGGGGCATGTATGGCAGCTCCTTCGTCATATACAACCGGATCCTCTTGTCGCTGGTATGGTATGCCGTACAAGCATGGATTGGCGGGCAATGTGTCTACGTCTGCCTTGAAGCGATATGGCCCAATCTCGAACAACGCATCCCGAACCACCTCCACGCCACGGGACTGACGTCTGCGTCATTCCTCACTTACTGGATCTTTTGCCTCATATCTCTCCCCTTGATCTGGATCCGGCCGCATAAGTTGAAGGTGTTTTTCTACGTTGCCGTGGCCTCGATCTTCACTTTTGAGATTGTGCTTCTGATTTGGGCTCTGGCCACGATGGATGGGTTCGGCGACACAATCACCGGTCACCCGCAAACTCAAGACACGTCGACCGGCTGGGCGGTGCTGTATGGCATCATCAGTGCCATAGGGGGGATTGCGGCGGGCATCTTGAATCAGAATGATTACGCTCGTTTCGCCCGTCGGCCCCGGGATGCCATCTGGGGTCAGATCGCCAGCGCCGCGACGTACTCGATCATCAGCTCCGTCGTGGGGATTCTCGTCACGGCGGCCACGCAGAGGCGGTACGGCGCTGCTCTGTGGAGTCTTCCTGATCTGCTGATCGCTATGATGCACGCCGGAGGCTCCAGGTCTCGAGCTGCGGGCTTCTTCGGCGGTGCTGCGCTCGTCATCTCGCAGTGGGGGATCAATGTCCCCGGGAACGCACTGTCTGGGGGTTTCGACTTTGCCGCGACTTTCCCACGGTATATCAATATTCGCAGAGGAGCGTACATCACCGCCATCTTGTCCATGGCCGTCAACCCGTGGCAACTGCTCGCCACGGCTTCGACATTCCTGGCCGTCCTGTCGAGCTACGGCGTGTTCCTGGGTCCGATGATTGGGCTGATGATCTCCTCGTACTACATTGTGCATCGTCAAAAGATCAAGGTGGATGATCTATTCCGAGGCGACAGGACCAGCATCTACTGGTACACATATGGGATCAACTGGCGGGCGCCAATAGCGGTACGTATAATCGAGCTTTGTTCTCACTCTTGCTCCGAATCCAGTTTCCCCCCTTGAGGTTATCATGAAGAATCTAACGTATATCAAAATCCACAGTGGGCGTGCGGCGTCTTCCCCTCGATGCCGGGCTTCATCTCCAATGTCAACAACGGGATCCACGTGTCCCTGGGCTGGACACACCTGTACTACATTTCCTTCCTGGTCGGCTTCTCCATCGCGGCCGTCGTCTTTGTCGCGCTGCACCATTTTGCGCCTGCGCCCAGCGTCAAGGACTTTGTCCTGAGCCCGGCGTCCAGTAGGCAGGTCATGGCCGAGTACCAGACCAAATGGGACGCCACGGAGGAGAGGGTCGGCGGTGACGGGGTGCCTTCGGAGAGCGTGCTGCCCAAGGATGTCGAGGATGTAGAGGGGTTCCCGAAGGATATCTGAATCTACTTCCACACTAGGATGTCATGTGGTGTGATGTGATCGTAGGACATAATGCAACGGGTTCGGCGAATGAATACGAGTTCATGATAAGACGATGCACGCAAAGATGAAGAAGCTTTCTTGGCCTCGCTTGTGGTGAAGTGATGCTCGGCAGGGGATTCCTCTTTCTCCCCCAGACTTCGGGGACCAGGTGGCTATAGCGCGAGTAGAACGGTGAGACCGCGACTGGGCACGCAAGCCACAGCGCCCAAACCAACCTATCGTGCCCATCTTGGGGCTATTGACTTCTCTGTTCTGCTGTCTCTCCTCAGTCCCCGCGCCAGCCACCTTTTGGATACAACGAAACTAATGACGGTCTAAACGCCTACACGTGGCCCTAACTAGGTGCGGCTGAGGAGTGGTGGTACAGAATACAGCTGAAAGGAGATGGTGCAGCTGGGGGGGTTGGGGGGGTGAGAGAGAGAGGCATGGTCTCTGTGACATTTAATACTCTCACGGTGTGCCCTCAGTCCAAGGATGCATCTCCCTCCTACAACACCATATTCGTCGTAACTGGGAAGAAACTCGATTACCCTCAACCTCCCTCCAGACACGTTTCCTTTCACACCCCCAGCCGCCACACAATGTCTAAATCCACCGTTTCAGCCTTCGTCGTCTATATCGATGGCTCGGACAAGAACCAGAGCTTCCGCGAGCACCCCGTCCTCGACTTCCTGTTCGACCACGCCGAGGCCTTTGACCACGGCGACATGAAGACGGGGCCATACACCCGATACCAGACGGACGACTTTGTCTTCACCAAGGCCGACGGCACCGTCTTCGCCCCGGGCGAGGCGTCCTGGCAGGGCTGGCTGGCCGGCTACGCGCCCTTCACCGAGCACCTGCACGAGGCGCGGTACTGCAACGTGTACGAGCGCGACGGCGGCGCGTGGGAGATGATGGGCGTCGCGCACGTCTTCGCCAACCTCGCCGCCCCGGGCGAGAAGACCAAGGCGGACCTGTCGGGCCGGCTGTGGGACGTGGTCGTGCCGGGCGCGTTCCTCTTCAAGTGCGTCGCGGACCCCAGCGGGCCCAAGGGGTTCAAGGTCAAGTCCATGACCCTGTACGGCGACGGGACGCCCGTGGTCGCCGAGATGGTCAAGCGCGGGATGCTCAAGCCGGAGGATCTTGCAAAGTAGGAAGGGGTGGTTCAGCCCGAGCGGAAAGAATAATGTTGGGGTTTTCGGCAGGTTTGAGCAAGGCGTTCTCTAGAACAATCGAGCATGTGTGTGCCACTGGGGAGTGCTCCGTTTCCTTCTTCTTTCCTCCGTGATTGCTGCCCGTCTCCTCCTGCGGTTGGGTGTGTGGTGCTGCAAATCCGCAGGCCACCGGCGCCAAGGGCTCTGTGCGCAGTGTTTATTGTTACTCTTGACATTCTCGAGCCATGCATCGCTCTGTCGCCCTAAGCTATGGCATGCGCTGGATCAAGTCCTGGTTGGCGGGTGCCTTGGACTCAAGAACCTGCTCGACAGAACTTTCTTGCCCTCTTGAGTATAAAAGGGGCGCCTCTTCCATTCTGCCACCACATCACTTTCACCTCGCGGAAGTCGACGACGTCCTCCCTCCCCGTCGACACCCCGCGAGTGAATCTCTCAAATGACTCCCATCAAACACCGACGCAGAAAGAGGCCATGATTCAGCCCTCCCTACCCAATCCCGATTCAACCGGAGCCACCGGTGCACTCGAATCGCCCAAAACGTCCCTCGAACCTGTCCTCGAGCTAGATTCTGACGTGGTAACCATGTTACTTGATGTTGAAGAGTGGGATTCAGGAGCACCCCGACCAGAAACGCTTTCCGAGAAACTTCGACCCGGTTGACCTCCTCGACGTGGATATGGGAGGACCACTGTGAGAGTTCGGGCCACAGGAGCAACGAAGAGCCTAGGCCGTGGCTGGCAACATGTCTCACGCCGCGTTCAGAAGCAAGTGGCACAGCCTGGCACGGAAGAGACGCCATCTCTGCATTCCATTCTGCCCGCGTCATCTGCCATTCTGTGAGCACCTTCGTCAACTCTCCGACCGTCATCTTGCATTCTTCGGCCGTCTGCTGCCACTCGTCGCCCGTAGTCTGAGAGCCAGTCTCCCGACCCTGCGATCGTCTGGCTAAAACAAGGGCTGAGTTCACCCAAACTAACAATGACCTCAGCACCCGTAACGAGTTCTTCACCACGCATAGTAACGCTCCGACCAGTTAGCATACTCAATAGCCACGATGTGGCCGCCATGACAGATATAGCTAACGTTGTTGACAACGATGGGGAGGTTACCGTGTCTAAGGTAGATTCAACACCCTTATGAATGAATATCACCACTGAACCAATTGTGAGGATGCTACAACACCGCCCTTTGTCGCTCGTCAGACTATGTCGCTCAGTTTTGGGTTAGCCTCGTACCTCGTCCGCTAGATTGCAAGCTCACGGCAACTCCCAACAACAACTTCTCCCTGTTTCGCATTCGGGCTACCTCGTCTACCTTCGGCCCTCGCCCTTCGTCCTTAACTACCTCACCCAAGACGAAGATCCGACATTAGCTCACTGCTACCTGGCCTCACCGCGCGATGAACAATGAACTTCGGCGGCTTAGCTTATGCTAGGCTCGGCTGTCGCATATTCGCGTCTCGAGTCTTGAAGTTGACGCTCATCATGCACAAATCGATCAGGGACCCGGCATCCGCTCGGCAAGCTGTCAACTCGTTAGCATGAGGCCGATAGCGTTGTTGGTCGGGTCTGTTGCCTGAACCTCTCTGACTTACCGAGTATTCGTCAAGCAAAGTGGGTAGGCGAGTAAGTTGTCTCCTTGTGAAGTCCAAAGCCGAGAAAGAACACAGGCAAGTCTATCAACGCCACCGCCTCAACGAAGCACGGCCCTGCCGAAATGAGGACATTCAGCAAGCCTCAACCATGTCTTCTCGCCTCGCATCACAACGACGACGCTCAGCTCGCATCCCGCAGCATGGGTCTCCGGGGCCCCGGATCTGGCAATTCTCAGCGGAATTTAAGATATATGCAGAGGCCCTCGAAACATGACGAACGTTTGACATTGATGCAGAGGCCCTCGAAACGTGACGAACGTTTGACATTGCTGTGAATCCTTTTGCCTCAGCTTGAAGCATTAGCCGCTGTTACTGATCTCATATTTCACCACCCCTCCCTCCGCACTATGGCAATCCAAACCGCAGAACATGTCAAGAAAAGACAGTTTCGCTTGTACAATGTGATGGTCAACGTCTTCATGGGCTTTGGCTCAATCACCATGGGTTACAGTGCCAGCATCATCGGTACGACCTTGGGTATGTACTTTACAACTCCTCACAGGCCAAGCACTCATCCATCTGTAGCACAGCCTACCTTCGTACAATACTTCGAACTCGCCACCAGATCCAACACCACCCAGCTCATCTCGGCGATGAATGGGTTGTTTCAGGCGGGAGCATTTGTCGGCGCCCTCCTCATCAACGTGGTTGGTGACCGCTACGGCCGCAAATGGGCTATTGCCGTCCCGAGCATTCTCTCCATCCTGTCGGGTGCCCTCATGGCTGACTCGGTCCATATCGGCATGTTCTTGGTCTTTCGCTTTGTCAGTGGCATTGGGTCGTGGATGCTATTAGGGGCAGTCCCCATGTGGATGACTGAACTGGCGCCCCCCAAGAACCGCGGGGCTTTGGTCAACATCCACGGTGCAGCTTTGCTTCTGGGATATGCTTTTGCTTCCTGGATGGGATTTGCGTGGTTTCATCTCGATAATGTGAGGAGCAAGTCCAATATCTGGCTGATAGCTTGGGTCTTGATTTTGTCACTGACTCTTCAAAGCCCAGCGCTTGGCGGGTACCTCTCGCAATGCAAGCTCTTCCAGCAGTCATTGTGTTGACCGGCTTACCTTGGGTTCCGGAATCACCGAGATTCTTGGTCAAGATCGGTGACAACGAGAAAGCACGACAGGTTCTCGCCAAATTGCACGACAAAGACGAAGCAGAAATTGAGTTCGCCCAGATCAAGGCTCAGCTCCAGGTGGACAGGTCACTCCCCCACAGCTGGTCGTCGCTGGTCACAAAGAGATCTTATCGGAAGCGGACGCTGCTTGCATTGATTTTGGCATTCGGCACCCAGGCCACAGGCATCCTCGTGATCAACAGTGAGTGAGCCTATCTTGTGCCGTTTTTACGCCTACTGATGCACACGACGCCTTTCAGATTACTCTTCAATCATCTATACCAGCCTTGGGTTCTCGGGCTCCACGGTGCTCATGTATCAAGCTGGGTTCAACATGCTCGGCTTCGGGTGTGGTGTCATTGGCATATTCCTCATCGACCTGCTACCTCGTAACCAACTTCTCGCGCTTGGTACTTGTTTGGTGAGCTCATGCTTGATCGTGGAGGCTGCGTTGGTGGCCAATTTCCCAGTCGGCCCAGGTCAAAATAACGCCGCCCTACGAGCTGCTGTTGCCATGACCTTTTGCTATATGGTATGTCTTCGCGTGTTCAGGAGACTGATTGCGATGACTGATTCTCTCTCTTCAGGCATTCGCCCAGCTCTGTCTCGACGAGGTTCAGTGGGTCTATTACGCGGAGCTCTTCCCCAACCATCTCCGTGGGAAAGGCGTGGCCTTTTCGTTGGCGACCTTGGCCGTGGTCGACCTGTTGTGGCTAGAAGTCGCACCAACAGCCTTCAAGCAAGTTTCCTCTGTTCACGGAAGGTTTGGCATGGATACTAACAACGGCCTTAGGAATATCGGCTGGAAGTTCTACCTGTGTTTTATTATCCTGTCCTTGCTCTTTGCCATTGTGTGTTTCTTCTTTTTCCCAAACACTCGAGGCTTGGCTATTGAAGAGATCGCTGTTCTATTTGGTGATGCGAACGAGGCTGGCGAGGCATCCACATCGGAAGCGTCAGAAGCGGCCACCAAGGACGGTGGGGTCTTTGTGGAGGTAGAGAAGAGTGTTTAATGGTGCATTCCCTGCGCGTATTAAGACGTGAATATGGATTTGCGGTGTCGTGCGAATGTCCGAGAAGTAGCTTCTGAAAGATACTGAAGAGAAGTATGTCAGTGAGAATAGTATAGGGTGAAATGGGATCTATATCAGCTTCCTTTGACCCTTACAAATACGGATTCCCTTCCTGTGGTAGCTACACGAACTATCTTAGCGCCCAATGCACAGTGCCTGAGGAGGTTCACCTTGTATTGCTCGGACCCGGCTTAGGCTCCCCGGTTGAGCTGTTTTCCTTGCCCCAGGACTCTCCCCTCCTCCCCTCTCTGGAGACCCCATCCCCGGGTTCCCCCTCGTCATTCGCGTGATCTGCCCGAGGAGAAGGGAGGATTCCAGGCTGGCCTGAAGGACGGCACCCAATCGCCCTGTACCGCTTACCTTCGGGGTTGTACTTCTGGCTATTGCAGGAGCCAACCAGCCGTTGCATACCTCTATGGATCTACTGATGTCCAGCTACATCTTTCACAGACTCCCGTTCTGTACCAGAAGCCTACCATTATTCCCCAACAAAGACTGAGCATTGGCTCCGCTCATTTCTCTCGCACGGCTATTTGCACCTATCATTCCATTGGAGGAGCATTTAACCCCAGGCCCAGGTTACCAGGAAATTCGGCAGGCAAGATGGCGGCGGCGCCAGCTCAGATCTCGCTCGACGCCTGGGTCCCAGCATCGCATCCGCCAGCTCAGTCTGGGATCTCGCGGCGACGCCAAGGTGGCCTTGGGCGGTCGGGTCCTCGCTCTCGCTCCGGCTGTGTGATTTGTAAACAGAGAAGAGTTCGATGCGACCAGGTTCATCCAACGTGCGGGCACTGCACCCGGATGCAACTGGACTGTTACTACAAGCCACAGCTGCCCAGGTCCAGGACAAATGCTTCGGGCTCCAAAAGACAGTCCCAGTCCCGCCCAACTCACACAACAGATCCGAGTTCTCCTTCGTATTATGCGTCACATCCTGCTCCGGATCCTGCAGATGAAGCTCTAACGTGGATGGAGACCTTGGGGGACTACACGCAGGACGCCCTGGACTCGGCCGAGCAGCTCAACTTCCCATATTGGTCCGGTGAAAAGGCTCTTTCCTTCACGAATCTGGTAGGAGATCCTTCTACGTCGACAGCAGGCGATATCTCGTGCCTCTTTCCAGAAGCTGATGAGCTCTCGAACTCATCCGTGTCAGCCCACCACAATGGAGTTGCCGTCGGCCCGACAATATACAATGCAACAGACCCAGATACATGGAACAACGGGATCAGCAGTCTCCCCGAGGCTCATACAATTGACAATGCGCCACCTGCAGTTGGAGGATTGCCAGCACATGCACCTTCCGTGCCACAGCTGGGACAAGTTCGAGAACCCAATGCCTCGCCTCAGGCGAATGCCGATCGCTATACCTATCGCGAAAAGCAGCCTGTGCGTCTGGCAGAGCATTTCTTGAAAGTGTCTCCGCCTCCAGCAGCGATGCTGATGGGCGGATCCTGGCAGCATTTGCAGCAATACTTTTGCAGGGTCAGTGAACAGAGTCGGGCAGTCGATAGTGCCCTCTCATGCGTCACTGAACTCTTGACGATGGAGGAACCGAGCACACAACAGACTGACAGCCAAAAAGCACAAATGAGACAAATCCTGGATCGCCACCAACGGGCATGCAGCGAGATCAGGGCAAAGTTGGCCAGCAACAGCAACCCAAGGCAGGAAGTGAGTGAACATTTACTGGCCGCTGTCTTCTTACTTGCTTGGTTCGAGGTGACCCGCGACCTGGATACCGACCAGAGCCTCTTTCCACGAGACTTGGCTGACGCGGTCATCTCAAGCCAATTGCGTTGGAGTCGGACGTCAGAGGAACTGCTCTCCTGGCTGAGTATTCTGGATAGCAAAGCCACTCACCTGGGAGGCGAACATCTACTCTCCCCGAGGGCTTTGGAGGCGGTCAGTCGCTACCCAGTACGGATCACGCCGCCAAATACATGGGAAACATTCGATTCACGACGAGAAACAATCGCAGACCCTGAAGGCTTGCCAACCGACTCGTCCCCAGGAAGTGGTGGCCATCCAGACGCGGCTCGACAATGCCGCCATCTGGTTGCTAACCAAAGCCCAGCAAGTATGGTACAGGTCAAACAAGCTTTCATCAACGCGGTGTTGGAGCCAGCTTTGCAATGGCATTTGACTTCTCAGACCTACTGGCGACGAGTCAGCGCCCACCACATGCACCACCGCAGCCGATCCACCACCGAAGACGAGTATGAGGTGATCACGGCGTGCAAGCAGGTTGAGACCGAGCTGTTTGAGCTGTGGCACTTCCGCCCGCCCATCGTCTCCATGACGGCGGAGGAACTGAGGCAGATCGTTCCGTACGACCTCGCTTCCGGGCTCGAGCAGGTCTTCAGCGTCTTCCTCGCCAGCTTCTGGATCCTGTTCGTGTACATGCACCGCGTGAGCTGGTGGAATCTCCCACACTCGGAGCTCACCCGTCGCGCGCTGGCTGAAGTCTGGCGACAGCTGCAGCGGGCCTATGGAGAGGACGACACGGCAACGGCGACAGTGACGGTGGAGGCCGGCACGCCGAAGCAAAAGGTGGCCCATCCTTCTCTCATGTGGCTTTTGTTCGTGTTTGGAAGCGAGTGCACGGACGGCCTGCAGCGCAAGTGGGCGATCGAGCAATTTGAGCGTCTTGGTGAAGCGAGGCCAAGGCCACCACCACCGGCCAGCTCGGGAGATGCTCCTCGCCTGGAGACGCTCTTCCCGCTCGGTCCCGGCGCTGGGCCCGTGAGGAATGCGAGGAGAGCTGCCCTGCTGCTGACCAGGGTGACGGAGGAGCAAGAGAGGCTCAAGGCACGTGCGAATGTCCGGGAGATCTCCATGCAGCTGTTTGGGTGCTATTTATCCATCGCGTAGTTTACTTTTGGGGGGGAGGGATTATGAACTAGCCACTACCCTGTTGCGAGAGGCGATCGTTATAAAGACGAAGGTCAGAGTTTAGGTTAGCGTTGATTCTACCGACAACATCCAGAGCTTTCGTAGTAGTAACCCCGAGTCAATCCTTCTCCTCCGCTCCTCCTAGTATATGATGTGACGCAGAGGCGCCGAATGAAACATCCCATGCATTCCTGCAATGCTCACTCTCCTGAGTGAGCCCTGCCTTCGTTAAGATAAGACCTTCAGCCTGACCAGCACCTCGGAGGGCTCGACGGTGATGTTCTCGAGGACGCCGACGGGCCGGCGCGCGGGCAGGAGGGGCAGCAGCTCGAAGTTCCACACGACCAGGGTCAGGACGACGCGCATCTCGAGGTACGCCAGCCTCTTGCCGAAGCAGCCGCGCGGGCCGCCGCCGAAGGACAGCATGGGGCCCTTGAGCGCGTTGAAGGTCTCGGTCCCCGCCGCGGCGTCGACGTCGAGCCAGCGCTCGGGCACGAACTTGTCCATGTCCTCTGGGTCCCAGTCGCCGACTGCGCTCGAGGTCGAGGTCGAGGTCGAGGGCGAGGGCGAGGTCTTGGACGCGGGCGCCGGCACGGCCACCGAGGGCTGGAGGAAGCCCGGCCCGTTGAAGCAAAAGACCACCTCGGTGCCGCGGGGGATGGGGTGGCCCAGGATCGACGTGTCGCGGGTGGCCATGCGCGAGACGATGGGGATGACGACGCTGAGCCGGAACATCTCCTCGACCACCGCCTCGAGGTACGCGTTGGGCGTCTTAACCACCTCGTCCAGCGTCGGCTGCCGGCCCTCGCGTGCGGCGGCGGCGAACCCCTCTCTCATCCGCGCGCGCAGCTTGGCCTGCACGCCCGGCACGTCGGCGAGGTACTGCAATCCCCACGCGAAGCTGTTCGACGTCGTGTCGTGGCCGCCGATGATGTAGCCGAATAACTAGAAATCACCAAACAGAGGCGTTTTCGGTCAGCTTTTTCTTCTTTCTTTTCTTCTCGTAGGAGATACACAATCGTGCTGGCGTGAGGGTCTCCTTACCTCGTCATAGATGTATCTCGCGTGGAAGTTGGGCGGGCGGTTCATCGCTCGCGCCGCCGCGCGCTCCCGGAAGATCAGGTACTCGACGGCCGTGCGGGCGCTCTTCTGCGCCTCCTCGTCCGTGGGCGGGAGGGTGGCGACCGCGGCATCGATCTGGCGCCGCGTCATCCGCTCCTTGATCTTGACCGCGGACCGCAGCGGCGGGAGGCGCAGGAGCAGCCAGGTGTGCAGGTACGGGATGAGCGAGGTGTAACCCACGCTGACGCTCTCGGTCAGCAGCGCCACGGCGTGGCCCTCGGCGTCCATGGCCAGGTCCACAAAGGGGTACGGTTCGTGAGGGCCTTGACCTTGACCTTGACCCGACTAGCTGCTGCCCTCCGTCGTCGCTGGACGGCTCGCTTTCTCGGAGAGGAGGGCGCGGAGTTGGGTCCTGGTGCAGCTTGACTCGTCGCTGAGGCCGAAGGAGATGGCCATGATGATGTCGTACGCCAGCTTGTACAGGTCCTGCTTGACATCGAAGGGCCTCTGCTGGGCAATCTGCGCCTTGGCCTTCCACAGCTCCACCAGCGTCATGGCCTTTTGATAGATCACGGGACCGTTGACCTGGAAAAACCTGGGCTTAGAACTCAACCCCTTTTCAACGACAGAAGAAAGAGTCTCGCCAGACGAAAAAAAAAATCCCATAACGCCTCCCTCAAACGGGTCAAGAGGATTGAAGAAAACTCACCGTGCTCAAGAATTGCGGCAGCATTAGGTCCTTCATCAACTCCTTGTGGAACTTGAACTTGGCCGTCGGGGTCTTGATCGAGAGCAGCTGCTGCGGGAGCAGGGCGCCGAACGCGTTGGGCTCCTTGGACCCGCGGTCGAACTCGCGGTGGCGCCGGAGGAGGATGTCGCGGATTTCGCGGTGGTCGCCCAGCAGGACCTCGGGCTTCTTGAACGGGTACACAAACACCTGGACGACGGGCGAGTTCAGCTTGCGGAACTGCGCCTGGAACCAGCGCCGCGTCTCGCCGTGCGTCTTCTGCCACTGCGCCAGCGACGGGATGTCGCCCAGCAGGTTGCCGGTGGCCTCGACGTTGTAGGGGATCCCCGGCAGGGGTTTCGGGTACAGCCACAACCGCCTCGACACGATGGCGAGGAACGCCCCCAGCAGCAGACACGCCACAGCGGCATGTTTCAGGAATGGCCCGGTCTGCCCATGATCAAGTATGTCCGTGACGTAGGCGATGGACAGCATGCTCTGTGCGAATAGGGGGTTGCGCAAAGAATGTATTGAAGCAACGATAAGGAGAAGTCGACGATAGATACTCTGTATCGACAACGGGAAGATAAGCTGAAGCTTCACGCAATGCAGTCACAGAGCTCCAGACAGGCACGAGGCGGTTATATGGAGTCGTCCATCTGTGCGACTAATGAATCCATACCTCGATGGCTTTGGTTCGTTAGACAGGATAAGGATGTGCTGGCCCACCCGAAACAGCACATGCCTACCTCCTCCACCTGCGTCGTCAGTCGAGAGTGATCCGATCTCAAGACTCGGATGCGGGATCTCGCGTCTCGCATGTCGCATCTCGCGTCTCGCGTATCGATTATACTCTCTCGGCTGTACGAGGTAGTAGGATCGAGAAAGCTGACCCTGAAAAGGCGCAAGTCGTCATAGGCGGCGCCCCCGCAACCCCGCAGGGCTCGGGAATGGGGGAGCCAATAAGACATCGGCCCGGACTCCCTGAAGTTCCACTGGTATCCGTTCTCGGCTGCACCTGAACAATGACCCTCCGAACACGACGGGACATCTTGAATGCTGAGAGGGAAGAACAAAATTCGCGAGACGGAATACCTAGTTGAATGATTCTCTATTGATCTTGCTATCTCCATGATGAAGTATCCCAGCCTGGATTGTCCCCAAACTGTCCGGGGTGCCGGCTCACCCAGTCAGCCACGTCAATACAAGGCGCCACCCAGACTCCCCGGATCGACTTGATGTATGCTAGAATCTCCGCCATTGCGGCCATCTTCTCGGGCGTGTCCTGGAGAAATGGGTGGAACAATAAAGAAAGATAACCTCCATCTGCAGCAGTCGCGTCAATCTTCTTTTTCATGCGCGCCACAAAGTCCGCAGCTGTCAAAGTGTCCGCAGGGTCGCCGTTCGCAACGCGCAACCCACCTAGGAGGTCAAGATAGTAGTAAGCGTCAATATATTGCCACTCGAAGGGGAGGATCACAAGGTCAGATATGAGGGCTGCTCGGCTGCCCGCTGGGGAAAGGTAGCGGATGCCGTGGTGTCGCAGAAAATCGAGCGTCTCTTTGGGCACCAGCCCTCCTGGCGGACGAAACCCCATGTATCGAAGACCAAGTTTCCCCATGTTGGCCTGTGACTTTTCCAGCAAGTGGCCTGCCGACTCGATGTCCAACGTGGTCCAATTTTCGTGCTGGAATCCATGCCAGCCGATCTCATGACCTCGGGCGGCGAGATGCTCAATCTCATCAGGGTAGTAGTCCGCATTCCAAGCCTCGACGAAATAAGTCGCTTTGATGTCGTGTTGGTCAAGAATTTCGAGCATCTGTGGAAGCAGGACTTTCACGGCAGGATGTTCGCCGAGAGGCTTTTCCAGAGGCCAGACATTGGAATAGACTTCTTGGGCTTCCCCCATGTTGTCCATCGTGATGCTAAATGCTGCTTTGGCGCCATTTGGCCATTTGGTTGAGATTGGCTCTGTGGGAATCATGGCCACTTGCAAAGTACGATGGTGTACCGCGTAGGTATGGTTAAATCAACGCTGCTTCTTCTGATAACGACAATGGTGGATGGTGCAGATCTGGTTTTGCGCAGTGCGAGCGAGTCCTAGGCATTTGGATACCACGAAAAACTTGGAGGGCTGTTAATTGATCGATCCGACCACGGCAGAGCTTTCGTGATCCGAATACCCTGGAGTGGGCAGACCACTGCATACCACAGCTATATTTCATTCGGCTATAGCCGGGTTCGCGTGTCGGGTCTTTGGTCAAGTGTTCGTGCACCCTTGGGAGAGAAGGGGCATAGACGATGCAGGGTTGTGATGCAGTGAAAGGAATCCGCTGTGTCATCTTACTCGAAGGCGACGTAATTTGGAATGGAACTTGCACCTCCAGTTCCTGCTTCGTAGGTCAGATTGTATTGCTTGATTGTTGCTCGACATTGCACTCCAACGAGGTTTTCCTGGCCAGTCATAGCTCCTTTCTGCTGGCAAAGCTCTGTCACATACCCTGTACGATGAACACCTTCACACGCCTCGTTCGCTTCGAAGATGACAAAGGCCAGATCCATTACGGCGAGGCTGGTGATCAGTGGGAGAATAGCCTTCACGGCCTCACACTGCCGACATTCGACGGCGATGCGCTGGAGCAGAGTCTGAAACTATCTAGGAGAACAGCCAAGGTCGCAAAGGTGAATCCGTTACTCCTTTGGCCACATTGATAGCCAAAGAGATACTGATGACGTCTGATGCAGGTGCTGTGCCCGCTTTCAGCAGTTCCAGTTATCTTTGGTATTGGTCTGAACTATAGGAAACACGCAGAAGAGACCGGAGTAGGGTGTTTGTCACGCTGCAACGCAACGTATTCCAATGACTTGGACAAAAAGCTGATAGTGAAAGTTCCCCTTACCGTCCTATCCACTGGTTTTCACCAAGCCGAGTGGTAAGTTCATTGAACGCCTGGACAGGACATTTAGCTGAGAGATCTCCGACAGATTCTCTGGCCGGGCCATATGAGGACATCCCCATCGACCCGGATGCCAAAGAGCTTGACTATGAAGTCGAGCTAACCGTCATCATTGGTCGTGATGTCAAGAATCTGGCCGAGACTGAAGATCCTCTCGAGTACATTCTTGGGTATACTGTGGGAAACGATGTGTCCGCACGGTACTGGCAGACATCAGAGCGGAGTGCAGGTCAGCACGGCTATGCGAAGTCTTTTGACAAATTCGCACCCCTGGGACCTGTGATAGCATCCTTGACAGCCTTGGGAGACCCCCATAAGCTCAGGCTCAGGACTTGGGTCAATGGGCAGTTGAGACAGGACGGATCCACAGACGACATGATCTTCAGCATTGGGCAGATTGTGAGGCATCTGAGCAAAGGAAGAACGTTGAGAAAGGGGACCGCGATCATGACTGGAACTCCCAGGTGGGTAGCCAACCTTTTCTCATACGCACATTGACTCAGGCTGTCATAGTGGTGTCGCCGCATTCATGAACCCCCCTGCCTGGCTCCAACATGGAGATCAGGTGGAGATCGAGATTGAAAAGATTGGGAAGATGTCCAACCGAGTGGTGTTTGCATGAGCGGCTTCGAGCGACCTAGAAATAGAGTGAGATCTACTCGCAACTATACACCGGTTGAGGATCAGAAATCGGCTGCATCAAGCGGTGACGCAATGAGGGAAGAAGATAGATTCTGCAAGGAGGTTGATTGAGAGGATCATTCTCGATATTAATTAATGGTGATCTCCCCTGCTGGAGCAAGGCCAGTTTAACCACGTGCCCACGCGTCCCCCAGACGCGTGATCTACTGCGCACATTTCTATGCTGCTGGTGGAATGTGCTGAATCCAGCCACATCGTCAGTGGCCACCCACTCCTTCCAGTCTGTCTCAGAGTGATAGCACCACCATTGACCTGAAGGAGATACGATACGGCAGATTCTGCGAACCCCATGGCTGAACCGCAAGTGTGTCTTGCCTGCAACAAGCCCAAGGCTGAACTGCCCATTGGCACTCGCTTGAAAAGATGTAGCCGATGCCAAAAGGTGACTTACTGCTCCAAAGGTTCGTCAATGTCAGGGGTGGCCACTCTCCCCATGAATCACTTACCAGTAGCTATACAGAATGTCAGACAACCCACTGGCCGCAACACAAAACCGTGTGCCGACGACCAGACGCCAGAAACACCAACACTAACCCCAGGCCCGTCCGCCCTCCTCACCCTACCATGATGGACTTCTTCAAGGAGTTTGATACGGAGTCAAAGACCTATGAGATGCTCATCGATGTCTTTCGCCTACGCTGCGACGACGACTATGCTCACGGCACTCATTACCATGGCATCTACGGACAGAACACGCCGCTCCCCGTCTTCCACGATTTCCTGGCTCGCGCGAAGGCCGCAGGAATGTTGCCCCAATGGTGGAATGAAAACAAGGAGAAAGAGTGTGTGCGGATGGCAATGGAGGACGAACACTTTAACATCAATTTTGCGGTGGAGAAGCACGACATCCAGGAGCACTACAAGGACAATCTCATGCCTATGTCGCTGCGGATGGCAGCAGAAAACGTCTATGGCGGCGGGTATGGGATGGGGCAGAGACCAATGCCAGAGGACTATGAGTGCCAATGTCGGGGATTTGGGGAGGATGTCTAGCGCGGGAGAGCAAATTTGGTCCTGATTGAGGGTGCATTGAACGAGGCTAACTTGGCCACAGGCGTTGGCAGTTGAGCACCGCCTTCGTTATGCCTTCGTCACACCTTTTGATCCTTGGAACACTGGGGACAGCGCTGTAGAAGTCACCGCCGGAAAAGATACTGAGAACGAGCACTCTTTGCCTTGTGCCCCTCCTGTGCTGCTGGCGGTATTGCCTTGGCTTATGAAGTGAGTGCGCGGATCCTCAGTAGCGTTGGTTGGTAGCTGAAGTATCCAGTCGCCTGTCATGACGATGGTAAGAAGAACCAGCGGTTTCCTAAAGAAATTCCAGCCAGGGAGCAGGCATTCCTACAGGGCGAAGCAGCTTCGCTCTCTTTTGTCAAGCAGATGAACCCATTTGTCAGACTACGCAGTCCCCAGGGTATACAGGGACACAGCAATTAAATGACTTATGAAAGGCGGAGAAACTCTCGCGCTTTTGAGATCACGCCCTTTGACCTCTGTCCAGAGTTCCTCTCCTTCGCTTTACACGCCATGTATCTCGTAGGTTCCGTGGCTTGTTGATGTCACCATGACTAATCTATACAAATTCTCCCACAATGCCCTTGAAAGGTGTTCATGAAGAAGAATGAGAAAGGGTACAGAGCAGGAGCCCAAAAACAGCGAAGCGGATTGAAAGAATAGATCTCTTGAGAGTATCTCGTCCGGCTGCATTTCGATTCGGACAAGAGAGAAAATCAGGCAAAACGAAGTCCACCACCTGGCAAGGGGACCCGACGACAAGAAATGTCCGCCGGCGGCGACGATGACAAGGTCCGCGGCGAGACATCGCTCCCGCGCCTACTCTCCAGCCTGCACGCAACGCTGCACCCAGAAACATATGTGTTCGCGACCATCCCAGAGGACAAATTCAACTACGCACGCCTCCCCATCCCGCTCGAGGACATCTGCCTGTTCTTCCGCGAGCCGCGCCAGGGCAATGGCGCCACCACCACACAATCCGTCGCGCCGTCGTCGCCGCCGTCGTCATCATCGCCAGCATCAACATTGACAAAGGGCACGCACGAAGTGAGCCTGGAACAGGGACAAGGGACCACAAAGCGCCCGAGCCAGAGCGCCATCACGCTGATCCTCCGCCTCGAGACGGCCCGCCAGCACAATCTCCCGCAATACACCTACCCGTGCAAGATGATCACGTGCGCGGTGCACTCGTCACTCGAGGCCGTGGGCTTCATGGCCGTGCTGGCCACGAGACTGGCCCAAGCCGGCATCAGCGTCAACCCCGTTAGCGGCTTCTACCACGACCATCTCTTCGTGCCGGTCGGGCGGGCCGCCGAGGCTGTCGCTGTGCTGGGCCAGGTGAGGGACGAGGCTGCGCGGGATTTGGCAGGCGAGAGTCCGTTGGACCAAACTGAGTAAAAGCGAGGAAACTGTCAAGAGAGAGGAGCAATTGTGAGAATTATCGAGAGGGATGCAGACGACGGAGAAATTCATGTTCGGACATGGACTTTGACAAGATGGTCGGAGATGGAGATATCTAGGAACAAACTTGATTGCAATAGTGAACGCCGCAAGAGGTATCACTTGTTTCTACCGCTGGGAACGCATTTCAGATATTGACAACGAAGCCCTAGCGAGCCAGGGGTATCGGAACACAGTGCCTTTTGATCTTGGCTCTGCGCGTTAACAAACCCTGCCGTCCAAATTTCCGCCGCTCGAGATTGCAGATAATAAACACCTCGTTCTAGCTTCCAGACACTTTTGACACCACAATTCTCAGATCCTCTGGAATGACTTCCCTCCCGTCATCCGCTCTGGAGCGGAAGGTTGCCCTGACCATCTTCTGCAGAACAGATCTCCATTTCTCATCTATGGACGCGTCGCTTTCGTCGAGATCCATGTATTGCGTTTGGCCGCGGATGATGTAGGGATCAATGGTGCCTAACGCCTCGACCTTTTCATACACGGTTACAGCGTCCTTGAATGCATTCAAGGTCAAATCAAGATTGTAGGTCGCCAGTTCTGGAGGCGTTCTTTCAAGGGGCATCTTGGATGACTTTGTTCGGTAAATCTTTCCATTTGTATTCTTCTCCCTATGTCTCATGAAGTAGGCGCGTGGGTCGTCGGTAGGAAGCTCGGGCTTCCTTAAGGGGCTGTCTGGTATATGTGTATCTAATATGTCGTTCTGTTCGTCGGGCTCGCGTTGAAGCTCAGCTCCCGGCAGAGGGCGAGGATGTGATAAATCCTGCAGGGCCTTAAGGTAGCGATTCCGATGCGGATTCGGAGTCAGCGGCATCGGGACTCGAGTCTCTGAGGCTCTAAATTTCGCCCCATAATCCTCAGTGCCTGCATCCTGTAATGGCTCGGCCTCGGCAGAAACCCGGGGGGAGGCAGAACTTGACTCAACCTGGCTCGACCTATCCAGTGCTTCGAGAGAAGCAGATGTGAGACTACTGATACTTCTTCTCTGATAAGCTATTGCCGCTTTCTTTCGGTGCTCAAAATCCATAATATCGTCCAGTTCAGAATTTGGCTGCGGAGGCATGCTCTCTGGGGACCTTTCAAGACTGACGGTGGTCCTTCTCAGTTGAACTTGCTGATCGGAAGGAACATCTTCACTGACAGCCTTGCTTATCTTCGATATCGTAGGAAGACCCCGGAGGTCCTTCTGTAATGCCAGCTGGTGATGACTACGAAGGCTTGAAGGTGGTGTTAGCGCCGCAACACCGGAAGATTCAGCTTGATCTTGGCGTCTCAGCGGCACCTTGAAGGGTTTCTGGCCTGCTCCCCATCCCCGATGCATCTGAGAGCTGAAAGGAGGTGACAACAGTGTATTAGATCTTGGGCTCGTGTCCGAGACCGAGCCCGAGGGTGGATGTGATTCAGGCTTCGGGGTCAGCCATCCTTGTAAATCCAACTTTTCTGGGATGGATATAGCATTGGTGTCATTCGAGATTCCTGTGCCTGATGCTTCATTTTCTCTGCTCCTTGACGTCTTGCTTGGTCTTCTCATGGGCGGGCCCGGTCTAGGAGACAGCGAGGGGCCGAAATTCGGATTATCTGATGGAGCTTCTGAATGCGTCCTTGAGGTGGTCACCGTAGTGGAGACATTCTCAGACGTCACAACGTCCTCTCCGTGCGTCAGAATATTGGCGTACAAGTCGGATGTTGCCCTAGCTTGGTTCGAATCCATCTTCCTAGGTTTTATTTGCGCAGTCATCGCAGCAATTGTGAAAGGATTCCGCACGCTTGATGTGGGTGTCACTGTTTCTGCCGTGTCGGTTGCAACGGGAAAGTCGTCTTGTTGCAATAAATGTCCGTCCCCTTCAGTATCGGCAAGACCTCCACGACAGGTTTGTTGGTTGGATGTGGTAACAATCGCTGGAGTTGGCGTCGCCTTGTCATTGTCCGATATTTCAATGTCGCGGTTTTCAAGCCCAGAATACGCCCGGCCAAACAAACTTTCCACCAGAGACAGTAGTTGAGAAGGTTGAGCGAAAAGGACTTGATCCTTGGTGGGCTCTACGTTGACGTCGTAGCTTTGGGGAGGGCATTGAATCTGCATAAGGAGGAAAGGTCTTGAGACCGAAGAGCTGTCTGAGGATGGGAGAGTTTTCTGGAGGTGGCGCTTGTAAGACTTGGCCACTTCCCGCATCGTGCCTCGATCCGTGTTGACGGGGCGGCCGTCGATAGAAATGTATTGCCGAGCATTTCGAGCATTGGCAGAGCCTGGTATGTCAGCATTTAAAGAGACAGGAAATGGTCACACCAACCTGGAGCCGCCGAGAGCAGGAGAGCGTTGATTTTCCAGCCGTTGTCAAGTTCGACATCACAATCGTCCGCAGAAACTTTGTACGGTGTACATTCAGAAGCAATCTCCTTCCCCAGAATCTTCGTCGCCACCTCAGCAATTGAAGGTGTTGGGGTGGGTGCATAAGTCCAATTAATCTTGTCATTCTTTCCTTTCAGTACTTTCAACGACAGACGCACTTCGGGTCTGGCGAAAGCGAATGAGAAAAGGAGGAGTCTGATAGCTTGCAAGGTCTTCATGCTTTCCTTGAGCGCCGTCTGTTTTCTGACTGGTATCTTTGAGAGGAAATCCAGCACGCGAATCGTGGTCCCGACGGGATGGGAGGTAGAGGAAGAACTAGAATGGTCATGATACATTGAGTCTGAGAAAGAACCGACCATTGGGCCTACCTAAGCATCCCCGAGGCAGCATACTTGACAGATGTCCCTACCACCTCGCCATCCACTCGAGTAGTAACAACTACTGCGTGACTTAGTTCGACAATGCTGGCCAATGCTTCACCTCGGAACCCCAGAGAGGAGCCGCCAAGGCGATCGAGGTCTTCCAAAGACTTGATCTTGGAAGTACAGCCTCGTTTGCAGAGGAGCTGCCGATCCTGGACGTCAATGCCGGTGCCATTATCTTTGACTTGGATCACATCCAGAGTGTTGTTCGATATCTCGACGCTGATTGCTGTTGCGCGCGCGTCGAGAGCGTTGTCAACAAGCTCCTTGACGACAGATCTAGCGTCAATGAGGACGAGTGAAGAGCAGAGAATACGGGTTGTAGTTTCTGGCAGGGCTAGAATGGGCATGTCGCCGCCATGGACGAAGTGATGGTGACGGTAGAGACAATGGAACAGCGCGTCATTGACTCACAGAAGCGCCGAGACGCGTCGATGGCCGAATTATCACTAGCGCCTTGGCGTGTCAACGAGGCTTTTGCACCGTGTCGAGCACCTTGAAAGTCATCTTCTGGTTTTCACTGTTGCTCCAGCTACTTCCCCACGTCAACTCACCAACACTCGCTGCTATGGGGGTTAGAAACCAGCTATGTGCGCAAGGCCACCGCCGATAAGACAAACAAGAGCGATGCCGTTGGATCTTGGGAACAGCAACCACATCAACCTCCTCTCAGCGCCTCCCACTGGCGTCAGCAATGGATCCTCAGCAGCTGGCGAGATTTGCGGTGCCGATGGTTGTGATCCTGGTGGCTTTTCTTTCATACTCATCTCAATACCTTTTCTATCGCCTTGAGCCTGGTCCGCTTTCTCCCTGGGACAAGAACGTTTTCAACCTGTTGGTGGTTTGCATATGGATATGTTACGCTCGTGCCTGCACGACCAATCCCGGCCGGGTGCCAGCAGGCTGGAAACCTGACGAGGATGAAGAAATCGAATCAGTCTCACATGGAGACAGGGTCGCCTCAAGGCATAGGTATTGCCGCAAATGCGAAGCCGTCAAACCTCCAAGGTCACATCATTGCAGAGTGTGCAAGAGGTTAGCAGTCTCTCCTATTCTCGGAACTCATGCTGACTACATCAGATGCATTCCAAAGATGGACCACCATTGCCCTTGGACTGTCAACTGTGTATCTCACTTCACCTTTCCTCATTTCATGCGGTTTCTGTGGTATGCAGTCTCTGCCATGGGATATCTCGAATACTTTCTGTTCGTACGAGCTGGGGTCGTCTGGGAGAACCGCAATTTGCCCAGTGTATGGCTATTCACCCTTGGCAGAAGCAGAAACTAACCCAATACCCCAGTATCTAGGTCCTTCTGCCTCCCAGCTCGCCCATCTTCTCATTTTGATCATTGTTAACACTCTGACTCTCTTCCTCGTTTCAATCACCTTCTTCCGCTCCATTTGGGGTCTTGGGGCTAATGTCACCACTATCGAGAGCTGGGAAATCGAACGCCACGAGCAGCTGCTCCGGCGAGCTCGCGTTCTCGGAGGGTATTTGGACGGTCCAGATGGCATTCGAGTCAAGATCGTAAAGCAAGAATTCCCCTACGACATAGGAATTTGGAGCAATATTGTTCAAGGGATGGGGACAGCAAACGTCCTTGCCTGGTTCTGGCCATTCTCCGCAACTCCAACAACGAGTGGACTGGTCTTCGAAACCAACGGCTTCGAGGACCCAGGCACAACTTGGCCGCCACCAGATCCTGATCGGATGCCCCGACTTGATCGGCCACTTGAGTCCGCGCACGATGCATTTGTTCATGACCACAGCAATCTCTCGCCAAATGATGAGATGGAGGCATTCAGACAGCGTCAGCAGGCTGATTTTGAACGACGTCCGGATTACTATGGGGTTCAACGACGGAGACCTTTCCACGACCGTTTCGAAACGACGAATCTCGTGCCAGTCGAAAACGACTATATCAATCGGGACGAAGACGATTCTCTCAGCGGAGAGGAAGGTTGGCAGGATTCTGGAGGGAACCGACTGAAGGACTACGGTGTCGACGAAGATGTCGAGTTCTATGATGAGGACAGTATCCCAATTGCAGAACTGTTGACCCGGCGGAGAGAAGGGCGGCAGGGCCAGACCTGATATATGCTGAAGCGGCCGACTGTTGGAGGTACATACTTACCCCACGCCCACTCCGACGGAGGGCTTTGACCCGCACTCGCGCAGGATCCCAACAGCCGTCGTGCACTCCATATTATTGCCACGATTATGGATCGGCACAGCGAGTCTCAAAGCCAAAACCCCTTCCCGTGCCAGTGAAAGGCGCCATGACCTGGTCGGCACATTTACCTGATGCATTCCCACCTCTAAATGAGGGTGTGAGAGTTGCCGTCGGGCGTGGGGGAACGATCTCTCACCCCACTGTGTGCAGGACGTGCAGTCCGGAAGAACAATGATCCGGGCAACGACCTTGGAGCTTTTGCTTGGGTCTACTCGGTACACCATCAGCTTCACGCAACCTTGCCACATAGCGATCCCATTGTTCACCACTTGCGTGTGGTGCTTGGTTGGCAATTCCCGGCTGAAAATGCCGTTCATCTTGGGCAGTCGTTCGCACGCGTGTCTCGATGCCATGGGATGCTTTTATGGTCTGCGCCCTGCGGCCATCGCCGCCACCCACGGTCGCAACGGAGTCCCCACCCCACGCCTCCAGATTGTGCGGGGCGTGAACGAGGTTTCCTCTTGTGACTGTGAATTCAGTCTCAGTTGTCGGCATAATGCCGGGCGAGGTCGTACACTTTATAAACAGTGACGGCGTTTTCGTTTTCGCACACAGACTGATTTCGTCCCTTATCAACCTTTAGTGAAGGGCAGTCAAGCGGGCTAGTCACGAGTCAAACCACCCAATTTTAATTGCTCGCCTTTCCAGCTTTTGCTTTCCTCTACATACTTTACCCTCGAAGGACAACAATCCCCTCAGTGTATTCAGCAAGATGAACGGACATCACACGGCTCGACCCCTGAGACCGGGCATCAACGTGCCCATGGTCACCATCTTTGACCCAGAAACTGAAGATGTTGATGTCAAGGCGATCGCAAAACACGCCGTCAGACTAGCCCAGGCTGGTCTATCATCAATCACTTGTCAAGGATCGAACGGAGAAGCAGTCCATCTGACCAAGGAGGAGCGGATACTAGTGACGAGCACCACCCGCAAAGCGCTGGACGAAGCTGGATTCTCAGACATGCCGATTGTAGTTGGTTGTGGAGCTCAGTCGGTGCGAGAGACGATCGAGTTTTGCCGAGATGCGTACCAGGCCGGTGGGGATTGTGCTCTGGTCTTGCCCCCTTCATATTACAAGTCGGCATACAAGCCTGAGTCGTTTGTTGAGTATTTTCAAGCTGTTGCGGATGGCTCACCAATCCCCATTGTCATCTACAACTATCCCGGAGCCGTTGCCGGGGTGGATCTCGACTCGGATACCATTATCAAGCTGGCCAAGCACCCCAACATCCGCGGTTGCAAGCTCACTTGCGGCAACACTGGCAAATTGAACCGGATTGCTCACGCGGTCAACGCCGCCACGCCCAACGACCTTGGATCAGGCTGGATGTGCATGGGTGGCTCGGCGGATTTCACCCTTCAAACCCTGATTGCCGGCGGCTCAGGGATTATCACCGGCTTGGGCAATGTTGTGCCTAAGGCTTGCGTCAAGGTTTACGACCTGTATGCACAGGGCAAGGTCGAGGAGGCTCAGAAGCTCCAAGCAATTGTGGCGCGCGGCGACTGGGGAGTGATTGCTGGTGGAATCACAGGCACCAAGAGTGCGATGCAGTCATACTTTGGGTATGGGGGTTACGCCCGGCGGCCACTGCCCAAGCCAACCAAGGAGGAGGTGGCCAAGTGGGAGGAGATGCTGAAGGAGGCTGTCGAGCTCGAAAACTCGCTGTAACAGGTGAGCGCGACGCCGCTGCTATGAGAGGACACGATAGACGAATGTCACATTGAGGGAGGTCCCACTGCTATAATACTGCATCTTTTCGGATACCTGACTGTGAGCACGAAGACATCTGGTAGAGTTTCACGTTCTGATCCGCGGGAGGATTCGGTTGGGTTCACAGGGCTGCAAGACTGGACGAGGGAAACACCGCGCAATGAGATCAAGAGAAACAGCACCAACTAGTTGAGCCACCACTGCTGTGTATGAGGACTGCCTAAGACCCGACAAGCCACTGCTACATGCTCGTGTCGAGTTCAAACATCTTGCTAGTGATTTCAGCCTCAGGTGGTCACATGATCTCGTGAAGGCAGCGACAAAATATACTTGGTAATTGGGGGCAGTTTGGTTGACTGACTCTGGTCTTGATGCAGTTTAATCAATTCTAGTCTGGGTTCGAGAATAGAGTATTAGTTAACTAATTATCCAAGTATCAATTATTACTAGCCATAGATTTGGCGGGCCATGACCGAAAGATCCATCCACTCTCCTACTCGCTTTTCACCTTCACTTCACCTTCACCTCACTCCTCACTTTCCACTTTCCACACCAGCGCCAACGCAGATTGCAGTCTCAGCTTGGTGACCTCAACCTGCATCATTACCTACGCACTGGACCCTGGCGGTTCCCTCTTCGTCCGCCATGGCCGTGGCGCCGACATGGCCATTGGGGTTGACGCGGGTCAGACGCAGCTCGGGAGTCTGTGCAGCGGCCAACGCACAACCGACTTGAGACGTACATGAAGCCGCCTCGCTCTATCGACTAACCAAAACTCTGTCTTGCTATCCGAATCATTAGGCCGTTCTTAGGCCATCAGGCCATCGGCGATACTCTCTCCTCGTCCAAAAGAGACGCACAAGCGAGGCCGACCACGTTGTCTCCATGTCACTGCCAGGTCAATTTCCCGGATTCTCATTAAGCGATCGTCAGCCTCAGCATCCTTTTCCAAGCCAGAGTGACAACGCAGCACCCGCCCTTCTTCCATATGGCCGTCGCTGACTGGCGTCGTGTACGGAGTACCCGCCAATCTCTCAGCTTCTGCCTGCCGCTTCCCGAATCAACGGCGCTGCATCGTCTCCGGACCTCTAGTCACCGACTCACTGTAGCACTGCCGGGTAAGGCAGACGCAGGGCCCCGCCACAAGAAGAAAAAAAAGGCAAGCTGATCGTGACCGCCAGTTTCATCATGGCCCAGCTCACCTCGTCAAGCAATTTTCATTCCGTTCGTTCCATCTTATTGCTTTCATTCCCTTTGTCTTGTTGTTCTTAGGTAGAATTCGAGAGAGAAAAATGCCCCAATGGCTAATAACCTAGAAACCGACCATGGCAGTCACCAACACGATTCCATCGCGTCTGTCACCGACTGTATCTTGGACCTCAGAAAAAAGGTCGACAGTAACGATCTCCCAGGCTTCGCCGAGCTGATCGATGACTGGTTTGATCCGAAGGTCGACGTGGACGAAGAGCAGTTCGTCCGCCGGTTTCTGCACACTTTCAAACAGACCGACAAGGATTTCACATACGAGAAAATCATCGGCGACTACGATGATGAGGTGCAGGGAATCTTCAACGACTTTGTCGACGGCAAGATCAACGCCCAAGAAGCTGGTCAACGATACAATCAGGCCATCACAGACAAAGGTCCAAGTCTCAAACGCGATATACGCAGAGGGGGTCTTGTCGGTGCCATTCCTGGCGAGCCAAACATCCTATCCGAACCCATCAACCTCCTGAGGGCAGCTCCAACAAGCATCCCTTCCCGCATTCGGGCGCTGTTTGCGAAGGTCTTCCCATCGCTGAAAGACCCCAAACGCGCACTTTATGTTCCGGTAGGGTCCTAACAGGTCATCCGCCTCCACAGTCACCACTCATTAAACCTTCTGCAGACCTACAAGAATCTCGAGTTTCTCAACCATGGCCGTACGGTGGAAAACACCCCGGCCTTGACATGTGTGCCGAACACTTCTCAGGATGTCTGCGATGTTATCAAATTTGCAAAGAAGCAGAACATGGGTGTTCGAGCCTCTGGGTTCCGTAAGACCGCCGCCGCCACCACCAAGAGTGGTGTCCCGCAAGCCCTGGATCTGCTTACTGAATTGTCCCAGGTCATTCGTGGTCCCCGGTCTTTGGTCGCTCAAACAAAAAGGGCAGCCAAAACAACGGGGATATCCTTATCTCGACCTTGGGACTCATCGACGCTTCGATACTACCGAATCTCACATCACTGCCGACTGATATCTTCCAACCTCGGGCAAAGGACCTGAATTCGATAGTGGTCGTCGACCACACCTATGTCAAGGGTCCTCAGTTAACGGGCGGGAAGAAGTATGTTCGGCTTGGAACTTCGACCACCAACGAGCAGCTACGCAGATGGTGCATCAAGACCGGTAAAGTCACGATGCCGATGAACATTGTTGAGGTTGAGATCACAATGGGTGGAAGCAATGCCACGATTTGGTTTGTCACTCTTGCCACGGTTTTGATGAAGGAGCAATGTTAACCAACCTATTTGCAGCCACGGCGGTGGAATCCAAAATCCTACCATCTCTGACCTCGTCCGTTGTATGGAGTATGTGGACGCCAACGGTGTGCTCCGCAAAATCGACATGTCGACCCCCGACATCCTCAGAGCTGCTGCAGGCTGTTTCGGCCTCATTGGCATCGTCACGCATCTGGTCCTCGAACTGGACCCTCTATCGTGCGCTCTCATGGAACCGCGCAAGGTTCCCGTCATCGAAGCGATCCCTCCACCGCCGGGCATGCCAGATTCCGCGATCCCTGCTCCTCTGCGGCCAAAGCATCCTCTGAGCCCGGAGCGAAAGGCCGAGATTCAGCGAGACTTTGAGACCCGCGCCACGACAACCGACTACGCCGAGTGGTTCTGGTTCCCCTATTCGAGCGAGGTCTGGGTGAACACCTGGCACAAGACACTCGACACGTCGAATGCCGTGACCTATCCGAGTAACACCAAGACCATCTTGCAAGTTTTCGGCACTTTCATGGTCCAAATTGCACAGGATGCGTCGATCCTGCTGAAGTTGACCGAAGCTCTTCCCGAGACGCAGACCAAGCTGCTCACCTGGCTGGCGATGAAGAACTTGGATGACATCGGGCCAAATGGGAAGATCATCAAGACATGGGTGCCTGATGCGTTGCACTTTCAACGAGGTGTCCAGAATCTCAGGGTTAGAGATTTGGAGGTTGAATTCCCGCTTCAACCAAAAGTGAAGCCAGATGTTAATGGAGCCGTGGATGGAGTAGGTAATGGGCACGTCAACGGTGCCGCCAACGGTGTCGTACCAACGGCACCAGCCACCAAAACCAAAGAGATTGACTTGACACTCGTGCAACAGGCGTGGTGGGACGCCATTCTCTCCTGCTACGCCGCCATCAAAACCTGTCCACAACGTATGCCGCTCGAGATGCGCATCATGGCCGGGTCGCAGGTGACTCTGGCGCCACAACGAGGCCACACGCTGGGGACCTGCGCGATCGAGATCCTGAGCCTCCACAACGTCGCAGACATCTGGCCGGCCTACGCCCAGAAGGTGTTGGACAAGTGGACGAGCTACAAGGACCACGCGGGCGAGATGGTGCCCGTGCGCGCGCACTGGGCGAAAGAGTGGTACGGATACACCGTGCGGGGGAGACGGTGGGAGGAGATCTTCAAGGAAGAAGACAGCCAGAACGGCGGCTTCAAGAAGGAGATCGCCGAGTGGAGGGGCTCGGTGGGCAGGTTGGCGGCGAGGGACGGGTGGAAGACCGAGGACGCGAGGAGGCGGTTCGGGAACGAGGTTCTCGACTGGCTGTTCTGGCAGGATGGGTCGGCGAAGCTGGGCGCGCCGCCCAACGGAGTGGTCGTCGATGATGCCACGAAGGGGGAGAAGAAGCCGGGGATCGCGAAGAGGGTGTTCAAGAGTTGTTTTGGCAAGTGAAGGAAGCCGCCAAAGAAAATTGCAAAAACGATGGGAGGAATGTAATGCTTGTCCACTTGTGAATCTGATGGAAAAAAGGCTGTCGATACCCCCCCCCCCCCGAGACAAGCCATGATACCATACCACGACCGACCCGATACCGATCGATACGAATACCAACACCGCACACCACACCGCACGCCAAACACCGACCAGCCTCGCGGCTACTTGTTACGACCTTACGCGCTCTGCGCCATGATGAATTGATGCATCTATATTACATCTATATTGCATACATATTGACGACCACGACCGACGACCGATGACGAAGTGTACCTTAGTAACGGTTGGAAATGAATCTCATGAGGATTATGGTTTTGTTGTTGTTTACCTAGGTCTGAAGGATAGTTAAATCTCCTTGTTTTGTGTTGACTACCTACATAGGTAGGTAGCTAGTGTTTTGAGCTTGTGAGCAGTTGGGAATCGAATTCTTTTGCATATCGAAACGATCGTCTAAGTATTATAAGGCGCATATCTCTTCGCGTTGTAGACCCCAGCATATTAGTCTGTGTGTACGCAAGTGATTGGGTCTCGGGAGGATGGGAGAAGCTATCCTTTGACGCGAACATGCACGGGATGTGGCATGGCATAGCGTAGCAAAAGGGCATAATCTATCCTTTCTATCCATTCTATCCATGACGGTGGCCCACCATGGGCGGCGCGTCCGAGCATCTTGTTCTTGTTCTTCCATCTTTTGCTGCCCCGTTTGCTGACCCGGTGAGAACAAGGAGGACTAGAGGAGGACTGCATGTCGGAACTGGAGAGTGTAAACCCAACTCAACCCAAAGGCTCTCGACTCGACTCGACTCGACTTCAAGACGCAACCTTACCTTTGCAAAGGGGGAAATTCTAGGTAGAAAGAAAAGGAACGACGGTCCGTCTATCTATATCAGTTCTCCCACCTCTTTTCTTCGCCCTGTCCGTCTCCCTCTCACCCACCAACCTCCCCTTTTCTTTTCTCCGACTTAGACTCTCTCGTGTATCGCGCATGCACGCACGCGAGTACAAAAGCAAAGTAAGCTCAAGCTCAAGCACAGGTCCAGTCGCAAACCTGAACCACCAACCAACTAAATGGGTTCAATCAATCAATACCCCTTCCGACGATCGACCAGGTTGAACATCCGCTCCCCTTTCTCCCGGCGGGCCCAATTGACCATGAAGACGTCGTAGGCGCGCTGGGCGTACTCGCTGCCCAGGCCGCTGATGTGCGGGGTGACGATGACGTTCTTCGCGTCCCAGAGCGGGTCGTCCGGGGGCAGGGGTTCCGGGTCGGTGACGTCGAGGGCGGCGCCCAGGAGGACGTCGTTGTTCAGGGCCGCCACGAGGGCGGGCTGGTCGAGCAAGGGCCCCCGCGCGACGTTGATCAGGAAGCACGAGCGGGATTTCCGGCCCGGCTGCGGCGTCGACGAGGACGAGGACGAGGACGAGGACGCGGACGACGGTGCAGAGCTGCCGCCCAGGATCTCGAACTCGGCCGTCGAGAACATGTGCCGCGTCGCCGGCGTAAGGGGCAACGCGATGATCAGCGCGTCAAGACCCGAGGCCAGGAACGCGTGCAGCGACGCCTTGGATGTCCCCGAGTACCATGCCCGCGGGATCGTGCCGTCCGGGTCACCCGTCCCTGGGATGATGTAGCCGGTGTCGGTTCTGGACGCTGTTTTGTACGTGGGAGACGGCCCTCGCCGTTAGCTTGGAATCTCTCGGAAAGGAGGGGCGGAAACAAGCGAGACTCACCGGGTGTTGGGCGCGGACCCGCGGTGTAGGCGTGAACATGGGCGCCCAAGGCCGAAAAGACGCGGGCGGCTTCACAGCAAAACCCAATGTCAGCGGAAGTCCCTCCCTCACGAAGAGGACAGGAGATGAGAGGACGAAGAGACAGAGAGGCCCTAGAAACAGAGGCGAAACAAACACCACGCGCGACACATTACCTTGACGCCCAATACTCCCATACCCGGCGATCCCGACCGTCTTGCCCACCCAGTCCGTGCCGGCGGTCAGCATCTTGCGCTCGGTGCCCCAGCGGTGCTGCTTCTGCCACTCGTACTCGGTGGCGTAGTGCCTGCTGGCGACGAGGGTGGTCATGATGATCCACTCGGTGATGGGCGGGCCGTGGATGCCCGAGGACGTGGTGATGGCGATGTCGCTGTCGGTCACGATAGGGTGGTTCATGTAGTGGTCGACGCCGGCGGAGAAGAGGTGGATGAGCTTGAGGCTGCAGAGATACCGAAGGGAAGGGAAGTGTCAGATAAGCAACCAGAAAAGATGCGGTGTTCCGGTGGGATGAGACGTACTTTGGAGCATCTTCCGGTCGGGCAGGGAGGGCTGAAAGGGTGATGAGGATGGTGGCCGACTGCCATAGTTCTGGTTGATATCAAGGCGAGCCTCAGGTCAGTCGACGACATGGCATGTTTAATAGAGAAGGCCGGATCAAAGCAGCCCCTCGTTGTCTCCGTCTCTCTTCACATCCCCCTTCTCTTTCTGTTTCGCCTACATCGTCTGTTTCTCGTGTCCTTCTCGTAAACCATCCCTCATACGCCTCACACACAATTGATTGGATTCAACACTGCGCAACACTCACCCTTTGGGATCGTCTGAGACTTCTCTCTGCCTTCTCTGCCCATCGCATTCAGCTGGTAATACGTAACATCGAAATAGGGGAATCGTCGCTTGATCTCAGCCGTGAGGTCTTTGGGCTCGGGATCCCACAGGACGATGAGCAGATGTTCCTTATCAGGGCCGCCTCCCATGTTGTTGGCTGTGGCTGCTGTGTGAGGGGTTGGGAAAGGCCAAGATGATGAACTAGAGTAGCAGGGATAGAGAGGCGGCTGTGGAATGGCAATGGACGGAGAGAGAAAAGGTCAGCGACGGCATCCATCCATGATGCGAGGCGGGACAATGAAAATGATGGCGACATGGCGAATCCGCCGTCACCATCGTTTATCTCCGAAAATTCGGCCACCAGCAACACACTGCGGTCCATCAGCGAATCTTCAGCCATCAAGCCATGTAATGATTGATCTATTGCATATCATCGTAAGTCCGACGGTACGATACTCGATGCTGGATGCTATGCCCTATGCTCCATGCTCGCTCTCTCCAAACACCAACGCTTGCTTGATGAGCCCATGAACAAAACCACCAAACACCTCCGCTCAATGCTTGTTTCCAACTTTGCTCGCCCCGTGGCCGTCGCCATCGCCTCCAAACCTCCCGACCGTCACCCACTGCAGCTTGATCCTCTTGTCATCGCGTCGTTCTTGTAACCCGCTCCAGCCTAACCTCTCTTCTCCCATCTTGCCCAGTCCGCCCTCTTTGATCCAGCATCCGATGACGGCGCGAGCCCAGCAGAGCTTCTCCTTGATCTCGTTGGTGCGCACAATCTCCATCTCCGAGCGACGTAGCGTATCGCTCATGATATCTTCCAATGGCAAGCTCAATTCGTCGCGACGTTCCATGGCCTCCCCGCTTAGTCCGCCGTGGCTTGCAAGTCCAATGGCGTCAGTTGGCATGAGATACACGCAATTGACTCGGTACTGGCCATCCTCGCCATCCTCCTCCGCAGCCGGCCTGTAGATGGTGATCTTGGTATGGTCGGGAAAGTTGAACTGCAATCCGCCATCTGCGAATCTCCAGACACCAACATTTCCCACTCGTTGGTAGAAGTGCACAAAGCGCTCGCTCTTGCCTGCCGCCCTCCCACTGGTCGAGTCGTCATGCCTCCCCTGTTTGTTCATGTATTTCCCAAACTTGTCCAAAAGCGCGACCTCCTTCATCCGCTCAGCCTCACTGCCCTCTAAGCGACTCTGAATGGCGTTGGCTGCGGCGACTTGATTTGGGTGTGCTGCAAGGTCGAGCAGGAATCTTCGGGCAGGGACGTCCAGCCGTTTCATCCCTGTCTCATAGTCGCTCTGCTCATAGAATTCGACGTCCGCGGCATTGGCACCTTGAGGCACAAATTGATACTCAAGGCCTTTGGCCCGCCGGATTGTGTGGCTGCTCGCATTGCGCACGACCACACAGCTACTCGGCAAAGAGTTGTCTTCCGCCGATTTCAAAATCATGCCAACCGTGCCATCGGAGAGGATATATGCTATACCATGCCGGGTGGAATAGTCTACCCATTTGTCAACCCGAGGGTATGTGGACCGAGTCCGGACCTTTCTTGTGCCGTACGCTGATCTTGGGCGCCTTCCTGCCTCATCAAATATTCGCTGGTCAAGAGCCCTGTGGAGGCTTTGCAGGGAGTTGAGAACATCGAGATTGGAAGACTGAGGGACCGATGTAGCGCGGTCTGTTCTCGCGATAATCCTAGGTTGATGTTGCGGAAGAGACACTGTGTGGGCGCGGTCCGTCGTCGATCGTGCCCGTGGTCTCTGTTCGTTGCTGGCTTGTCTCTGCTTCTCTGCCATCCCTGACACTCTTTGCCTGTCATTTCCACTGGTGGGCTGTAGCACATGAGAAGGCACGTCTCCCGTTGACCCTGCCGATTCAGGAGAGGAGGACTTCGGGCGAGTAGTTGTACCATCTGTTACCACAACCGAACGTGAATTACTCTTCGCTGGTTGGCTCTCAGGGTTCGAGGTGGTCGTGGAAATCCCGCTTTTGATTCTCCGAACCTGCGGTCTGGTCTGGCTCAGTTCTTGTTTCATCATCTCATTTATTCCGTCAGGCGCAGTCGTCGATCTCGGTAGTGTCCTGGACATCTGGGGAACTGGATCTCGCAAAGCCGCGCTTCTCGTTGTACGGATGGTGGCAGCTCGTATAGGCCGTTCTCTCAACAGAGGTTGAAGAGGAAGCTCAACAATTTGCGGTGGTTCTGGCCTGGGCATATCTTCTTGAGGGGGAATAGGAGCTCTTCGGATTGCGCCTGAAGGCAGTGCTTGCTGCCTTTGCTGTGCCGCGAAGCTTTGAAACTGTCTAGATGTCGCACTTGCCTGTGGTAAAGAAGCGATGGGCGCCACCACTGGCAATACCTCTGGCTGGGCTTCGGCGATTCTCGAAGGGAGCAGTTCTGGTTGTTCTGAAATAGGCTTCCGACTGCGGACGCGTGTTGTAAGGAGTGGATGCTTCTGCCGTGCTGTCCATTCAGCGTGAGCGTCTGAGAACTGTTTATACAGAGTCCCTGGTGGTAAGGGGACAACTGGTGCACACCCTTCTCTATTTTCGGCCTCAATTTCCACCAGTGTCGATATGTTCAAACCAGTGCCGACTCCCGCGCGAGGTCGACCGTCAGAACCAATGCCTATGCCACATTCACGGCATATTCTGCTGTGACTGATCCCGTAGCCTGATTGTACTTTGTCGCCGCGAGGGTCGGCATTTTCCAGCCATATTGGATTCGCTCTTAGACAAGAAGTGTCCAATTCGTCTGCAATCGCTCCCATGGTGAAGAAATCATGCTCAACAAGTTCATCCATCTCCGGTCTTTCAGCAGAGTTGAGGTTTAGACATGAAGCCACAAAATCCTTTGCTTGTTGAGGAATGTAATTCTTACTGTCGATCCTCCACTCGTATTCCAGCGTCCTCAGTTTAGTGTAAATCTCCTGTTGTGTCTTTGACTGGAAGGGAGGAGTGCCCATGAGCATGGCATAACATATCACCCCAATGGCCCAGGTATCAACCTTGTTGTCATGGCCACGGTTGCCTGATTTGCTCAAAATTTCTGGAGCGATGTAGTTTGGGGTACCGCATAGTGTTGTCCGACGATCATGCTCATCTGCCATAACGGCAGCCAATCCAAAGTCTCCAATCTTGATATTCATTCGGGCGTCCAGGAAAATATTGCCCATTTTCAGATCTCGATGAATAACGGATCGCTTGTGCATGTATTTCACTCCTCCACAAATCTGGATCATGTACCGGCGCACTTCAGGTAGACTGAGACAGGAGCGAGCTTTGACCATTTCCGTAAGACTCCCATTGGGGCACATCTGAAGGACCACATAGGTGTGTTCGTCGATGGTGAACGCACGAAGGAATTCGACAATGTTTGGATGGTGCATTTTGGCATGGATTTGAAGCTCAGTTCGGAACTTCTCCATCATCTTTTTCTGCTCAACCTTTGCTTTGACGACCTTGAGAGCAAATACTTCGAATGTTGTTTTTGATTTTCCCTCGAAACAAACTGCGAACCCTCCTTTTCCTAGCTTCTTGCCCATTATATAGGTCTCCGGCGACGAGCCCGGTTCTGTTATTGAAGGCGGAGGTCTCCATCTGTCGTCGATGCGATCGGGATTGGTAAGTTTGACGTCTGGCTTTGGCTTGGAGTCGACTTTGGGCTTCCTCGTGGCTTTTGGAGGGCCCATCGGAAGATTTGCTGATCGTGGCGAAAGAACCTCCATGTCAGATGCGCAGGTCTTCCCAGACAGCGGTGCATATATCGCTGCTGCCAACGGTTCTCAGAGACAAAGACAGCTGCCGTTGCAGCTTGAGGTATGAGAACAACTCGGCAGGTGTACCATGCAATTCATTGGTGACAAGAAGGGATAGAAAGTAAACATTGACTAACCATAACAGGCAAAGATCAAGGACTATTACTTGGCATGTTTGTCACTGATGCGGAAATTTCATTCTTCCGGCGAGGGGCCTCTGGGCCCTCCAAGCTCCCCACTGGCACCCAACTGGAGCTCAATAACGTACGGCCCCGAGCCCGGCCATAACGAGGCCGAGCGAAGAGCCACTCAAACTTGAGGCTCACCAGTTTACTCTCTTGAATCGCTCAATGACTGTTTGAGCATCTGGCGACGCGAGAGTGCTGCAAGATGATGAAGCATAACTAAAGACTGGTGGATGTGTGACTGTTGTTAATGGCGCCCGCTGAATGCCCATCACTTCGTTGGTATCGGTATCAACATGTCGCTTGCTCTCAAGTTCAGTTCCCTCGCTATTCGTACCCTTTCCAAGCCAATAGCTGTAAGTTGTCGCAATGGTTTCTGCGCCGTCGAGTTGCCTCTGACTGTGAAAGAATTTCATCAAGAAACAAGCACGCGAACATGATGGCTTCCGCCGGACCTGCATCTCTTTCGCCCAAACTCTCCACCGAATCGACATGCGATGGCGGATTGGCCTACTACAAGATGCCGCAGCGCTGGAAAGACAGGTGGCAAAAGAGCAGGCGGCAGAGGCTGCTAAGAAGCATAAACACACCAACATATCTACCGTCAAGACAGAAGCACAGATGAAAGCTGAGGAGGAAGCTGCCGCAAAGGCTGCCAAAGAAGCACAGGAGCCTCCAAAGCCGCGTGCAAAACCCAAGATCAGACCTTTGTCTGAAGCCAAAGCAATCGAGTCAGGCGCCAATTTCATAAGCGAGGCATTTCTCTTCAGTGTTGCGGCGGGTCTGATACTGTTTGAGTCATGGCGGTCGGGCAGGAAAGCGACCCAACGGAGAGATGATATCGCTGAGAGACTGAACGACCTGGAGGAGTCTGAGAAGGCTGCCCGAAAAGCATTGGTCGAGTTAGAGAGGGAAGTCCTCCGCCTGCGGGCAAAAGAGAAGAACGGGAAGCCAACCGCCGCAATAAGATTACTGCCGAAGGAGATTTATGAAGAGAAAGAAGAAGAGAAAGCAGCGACGCCGGTTGGTTGGTGGTCAAGGATCACGTCCTTCGCATCTTTCAACAAGGATGACAAGGAGGCAAAGGAAGCACTCGCAGCGAACGAGCCAGGACCTGCAGAAAAGATCCTCGTACAGTCTGATAAGGCATTAGAGGAGAAACATAAACAACAGAAGGCCCTTGAAGACGCAGAAAAGGCGACTTCAGAGCAGAAACCAAAACCGTGAGAGACTGAAGGAGATAAAGATGCCTATACGTGGTCATCGCCTCCTTGGCAGCGGATGATGCTGACCAGAACTCCCGACTCAACATTTGTACATTTACCTTGATACAGAGATACCCCAATTGAAAAAAGGAGTCCGATATGATCCACGCGAAGTTTTCCGTGTTGCTCCGTACTCTACCAGAATGGCGCACATTGGGGCATGCCCTGGTCAGCTCAACGTCCTTCAACTTCCAAGGTCATCAGTGAGGACACCGGGACAAGAGCAAGCTGACGAATACAGCAGAAGACGAGGCGTGTGAATGCGATCTCGTCATTCCACTCGATCGACTCAATCAACCCGCCACGCTCAACGTTCTCTTACTGTGGTCCTCCGACGCCTTGGCCGCCATCGAAGCGCGAATGCGTCCGTTCCTGTCAAAGGCGAAGCAGGGGAGCGATCATCATGTTGCCGTGGTGGTTGACAACAAAGAGGACTCAATGCATACCTTTCAGATGCTCTCATCCCTACAAAGCCGGTAAGGTGTTCTGGAGTCCACATATGACAGGGCTTCGACCGTCTCAGTCTCGCTGACCGCCACCAGAATGCTGGATATTTCACCTATCCCCACTCTCACTGCGCTGTCAATCGAAAGCGTCGTGCCTACGATTGAACGCTTTATTCAAGAGCTGCACAAGAAATACGAGTTCAAAGCACCGCCGATGCCGATGCCTACCGCCTTGGTCGCTCATGCCAGCATCTCCGCACCCGGTCATCCCCTCTCCCAACACGATGCCAATGTCTTGACCGACCTTTGTCATTCCATCCGAGATTTGGAGGAAGCTACGAGGACAAGCAACAGGAGGGAGCAATTGGCAGAGTATCTAGGACCAGTTGTCACAAAGAGCCTCGTTGATTTCTGGGAGGATGAGTGGATCATCTGATCACGCACGAACTAAGGGGATTGCGGACGTTTATGAAGCCTGAATCCTTCACTTGTGGTACATCAATCCACGCAAGATCTGGTACCCTTTCACCCGCTTCCATCGCCACTAGTGCACTCCCGAACCTGTGTGATTCACCTTCCTCGAGACGCCTCGCTGATTTCTCTTCATCCAAGCCCACACTTTATGGAATGTTACAGACCCCAGCATGCGATTTTGCGGTGATCCAAAAGGTGACGCCAGAAGCTACTGGCGCTACTGTGACGGTAAGGAGAATTGCCGCCCAGGCAGATCTCATTCTCCGCAGTATGCTTTTCTTGTTCCGCTGTTGTGTCGCCCCTTTGTCCCAAAAGAATGGCGTGACTTCTTCAGGGCTACCTTCGCTCTGCACCTCCCCACCTTCAGAAGGATGGTCGTCTGATGTCTTGCAAAAGAAGCCCATATTGACAGTGGGTAAGAAGCCGCAACGAGTTGACAGCCAAAGTCCGACCACTGCCAGTTTGACAGTTAAACCCCCGAGGAGAGAATTCCAGACATACGATCAAAATATATGATCGTACTCGCAGTCCAACTCCGGCCTGGCTTACTGGTTTGATGTCCAAGCCGTCCTCTCGCTCCAGCCTCTCCGAGGCAAAAAAGTGGACGAAGGATCTCGACAGACCGATCGAGCTCGTCCTTGTGTTACGTTTCCGGCCGCCTGCTTTTGAGGTCCGGAAGAGTCGCCCTCAAAAGCGATGGAAGCGTCCCCGGCGAATTTCGACGGTGTCGACTCAACAGAGGTCATCTAGGAAGCGCAAGATCTGGCTAGGCGCCTGTTCGCCGCTGAGGATCTTGAATGCACTGGTGGCGAGGAGGTGGTTGAGGCTTAATCCGCATACGTCGTCGTCGCCGCCGACTCTGCAAAGGTAATGGGGGAAGCACAGGACTTGACTAGGCAGGCGCTTGTTTGCCGCTGAGTATATCCGAAAGTTCAGGGCGAGGAGATCGTCGAGGCGTACCTGGCATATTTCAATGAGGCTTACTCGAAGAAGGTGATGGAAGCCTAGGAACTCGTGAAGACGGGCGGAAAGAGGGAAGGCGATCGAACAAGGAGTTTCGAGGGTCATGGGATGGCAATATGCTCCTCTCGACTGCACACAAATGCCACTCAGATTGTAGAACTAGATAACCCTCGCCGTGATACACAAGTTTTACGTGCCGCAAGTTGTCGATGAAAGTGTCTTGGTACCTGATAGGTAAGGATACGGATTCCCTCCTCTCTGCCACCTCGTCTTCTCTGGTCGGCATGTTCAGAGCATGAGGGTATGTAGAAGAGAAGCCACAGGGCGTCGCATCTTAGTAGGAAGGAAACCTGCTCAGAGCTTAACGTGCGCCTCACCCTAACCGTACCGGTTTTATAACCCGCTCACCCTCTCCAGAACTACCCGCGCCTCACCCTGATTACCTAGGGAGGCTGAAGTTGATGTCGCCCTATATACCCCCCACCCTCTTCCGGCTCGTACGAGTCAGGGGTAGCTCGAGTGAGTGAAGTCCTAATACTGGGAAATTGATAATGAAGGGCTCAACGTCTATAGAATTTACTTTTGAGAAGCGAGAGGATACACCCCGTGTATGATGGCACGGAGGCTCAGCCTCGCCGAAAGGCTTATCATGGAAGTACCGAAGCAGAGATTTTTGCGGAAAAATACAAGCCCCTGATGGATCAGTTCATTGCCAACCTGGGCTTCTGACGCTGACAACGATACGTCGGAGGTGCGGGCAGAATCTCATTTGACCTGGTCTTGCCCTCGCACAACCATTCTAGCTCGTGGTTTACATTGTTCGTTTCTACACTTTGCGACTCCCTCGTGGCTCCGTGGCAGAGTGTCTATGGAGTCACGCTTCCGTCAACAGTCAGTCTCGGTTGTCGCTCGGTAATGACTCTTCTGCCCTCCATTTCCCCATTTCCCCGATCTTGACCAGCCTCGTCGTTGCTCTAGAAACGCCTGTATCCCGAGAGCTTTGGCATCTTCATCGAGGGCATATTCATCTTGGCACTGTGCTGCGAAGCGATGAATAGAATAAGACCGAGACCCTCCAAAAGCACCACGACGATTGCCGCAAAAAAGGTATAGTTCTGGAAAGAATCGAGATGCGTCAGTAGACATTCCTGTGCGCAGAAGACAAAGAGCGAGACAAGGTTCGTCTTGTCACCAAAAAATTTACATCAAAGGGATAGCGGATTCGGGGTTCGGACGTACGTTCTCAATACAGAGGGCGTTCCAGGCCACGTCTCCATCCTTGGTAGAGCGTTTGTGGCAGCTCCACGACCAAAGATCCCAGTTCTTCTTCTTGTCGCCCATGCTGTCAACGACCTTGAAGTACACGAGGGCAGCAATCCACGCGGAAAGCAACAAGCTGGAGCTAAGATAAACGGCCCAGACGTGGGATGCACCTCTGCGCGCGCTCTGACACTGATGGACAGACGATAATATCAGTTTTGATCTCACTAATCTTGGGATGAAAAAGGAGAAAGACTCATCCAGGCAAAGAGGAGGACAGATGGATACATACACAGCCACAGAGACTTCCAAATGCGATGAAATGGACGACAACGGCGGCCACAGCGGCACCCAACATGACCCACGTCGGCCAGGGATCGATGATAGCCCAGATCATGGTCTGGAAGCCCGTCGTCTGGTTCCTTGTCGACTGACGTCGCGTCTTGAGCCAGACGTAGATCGAGTAGGCTTGGATACCGAGGATTGTGATGGCCAGGACAAGCGACAGGACTCTGAAGACGGTGCGGATAGTCTGGAAGCGAGCACGAGGAGCGCGCTCATTGTTGAGACGGCCGCCCTGACTGCGTGGCTGGTTCATAGCATGCTGCTGGCGCGCGTGGTCTTCCTGCTTCAGAAGAGTCTCGTCGTCCGCGGCAGCGTCCATGTGTCTGTCGGCGTCGTACCCGTCTCGGGCGTGCCGAAACGGCTCATAGGAAGATTGGTGAGGGTCCATTGTTCGCCTCCAAGCAGTTTTGAGTCGGACTCAACGGCTTCTGGCCTGGGTGGGGAGGTGCAAAAGAGTGATCGAGGGAAATCAAAGAAAATATGCTTAATGCTGGCGAGGTTGGGTATGTGAGATGGGTATTGCTGGATATGAATGCTTTCAAACAGGTACCCCCCTGAATGCTATATTTAACGTGTTGGGTTGCCCATCCTCTCAAAACTGTCAACTCGATACATATCAAGCGGCGACTCCGTGGATACTGGCCATGACCAATGTGACCAATTTTCCCAATGCAGGTCGCGCACATATGTTTGCCCACAGCTAACATCCCTGCTAGATCCATCAGTGCTTATCACAAACTTTGATAGAGTGATACCAGGTGGGATGGTCCATTAGTGCTTATCACCGTTAAGGTGACGGCGGAATGCTTGGTCTCCTCTTTTGCCCGCTGCCAAGACTTTGTTCCCCTAATCTCGGCTATACAAGTCGCAAGTATACTCATTCTGCGGCTCTTTCAGATTATTGCATCAAGAAGGTGTCATGAGTGGTTTTATGCTCTGGACCAAAATCTGACACCAGAGACACCGGTGCGTTTGGTCAGCAGCCCTACCAGCCATTGGCAAGCTTGCGTCGCGAGGACCCAATCCAGCTATACATGGCCAGCGAGTATTCCTGCCGGGTAAAGGTCCATGGTCGGAGCTGATACACGGCAAGATTGTTGGAAATTAACTCACCCTTGCGCCACTCTGTCAAAGACACTCTGACTGTCTTGCTGCAACAGTACCCGCCCATTCTCACTCCGCTTGCGCCGCGTCGACCTATTGGCGGTTGGGTACTGGGTAGAGGAGCCAAGATGAAGAGTCGAGTGCACCGAGTATTTTCCGCTTCGAGGTCGCATCAGCCAAAGATCTTGGGGGCTCTAATTTGGTCTGAGGTGGACTCATGCTGCCCTGGTTCCCTGCTATGGCGCATCAGTGTATAAGTACAAGCTCTCAGGGTGCGGGCTGACAGGCAGAGTGGTTCTACTGCGTGCAAACCTCAAGACGAAGTCTTCATCTCACATTACCTGCTCCACCCCTTACTGGCATCTCCCGTCACAACAGCGCGGTGGCAGGCAGCGACGTTCCTCCCTTGCCCGCATCTCAAAAAGCTGGTGCTGCTGCATCGATCATGGAGATCTTCTTGTGCCTCTCTTCCCTCATCCTGGCAGTGGCCGGCGATATCTCCCTCCAGACCTTCAACGACGACAATTGTGGAGGAGGTGGAGGCACCGCCATCCAAAACATCCATGCCAATGGCAAGGATACGACAGACAGCAGCGGTTGTCAAGCACAGGGCCAGTTCAATTCGGTCAACGTGGTCAGTGTCGACTCAGGCTTCCAGTGCAACATTTACGGCGACAGCGCGTGCCAAAACTTTCTCGAGACCGTGTCGACGGTCGCATGCACGCCTGTGATCGGTCAGGCTGCCATCTGCTTCAATCAAGCCGCCTTCGACAATCCATTTGTCGAATCGACGAGCAACGTCGCGGTCGGCGCGTTGGCAATCCAGATCTTCGGCGGGGACACGCTGCAGAACCAGATCAACAACGTGGTCAACCAGGCATGCGCAAGCGGTACTGCGTGCGATCCCACCAACACGCTTGTCCTCTCTCAGACCATCTCACCCTCCAATATTGCGTGCAACGAAGGACTCCAACTGATCGATCCAGGGGCGTGTAGTTCGGAAGACTGCACCACCACGATCGCCATGTCGGGAGGATTCAACGACAACAACCAAAGAGACTACATGAAAGGATTGATGCAGAAGGCTTTGGACACAGTGCCGTCGCCAGTCTCTTTTGTCGGAGTCCAGGTTGTTGACAAGGACAAGGCCGTACAGGCGTCCATGACTGTCAGTGTCAACAGTCAATGCACTTCGGTCCCGCCCCCGTCCGGCTTTCAATGCTCAGATGCTTTGAAAGATACCGTGAGTGCCGCCCTGGCAACAGTACCGGGTGTGGGAGGAGTCTCGTCGCTCGTATTTCAGGTGGCTTGCGACGTAGCCGGATAGTTTCTAGATCTCGGAATATTGCATGCAGCGAAGTAGCTAGACCTCTTGTATAAAAGACATAATGACCTGGCGAAGTGGGCACATCATTCTGCGTCGAGCATTTTCCTTTCTCTTGCTTCCTGACATGTACAGGCTTAATTGACTTCCAGGCACGGTCAGGTCGATCTGGGGCAAAAGGCTGGTTCGTGTGGAGTACGAGACGTTGAAGCCAAGAAAGATGACGGATCGTCAGCGCTGGATTGCGTGTCGCAGCCTCACAGCCACATCGAACTGTGGCGATGGAGATTGGAGGGCATGAGTGCCTGTCTCGGGGAGAGAAGCAGGCTGCTGGATGGCTGTGGATGGTGGAATACGCAGGCTGCACAGGCCAGAGGCTGGTGAGGCGTGGTGACTGACTAACCGCAGCTTCCGCTATAGCGCCGTTGGTATGTCATAGTCGCTCCGGCGCCTGTCTCGGTGCCTGACTGTCGCAAGCATCGACAAAGCCACCACCACTGTCGCACTCACTGCCAATCTCATCGGTGGACAACCACCAGGCCACCCAGTTTTTTCCAATCGTCCTTCTTCCGTGATTCTTTGCTTGGGCAGTTTTCACTCTCTCGTATTCAGTACATGTTCCTCGTCGAGACCGACTATCCTTCGCTTTCTACTCCCGTCTCCCCTCCTCGCGCGCATGTCCTAATCAATCCGAACCTCCACCATGGTCAGTGCCCCCGCCATAATCACGCTCAGACAAACACACTCACTCTCAACTCTTAGGGTCAAACAAAGCGCCGCGACGGCAAGACCTCTCGCGCCCCTAAATCTTCTCTTTTTGGCGGCGGCAAGTCTGCACACGCGGATTCCGGCCAGCCCCAGATCAAAAAGGCGACCTTTGAGATCACAAAAAAGAAGGAAGTGGGCGTCTCAGATCTCACCCTGTTGAGCAAAGTCTCCAATGAGGCTATCAACGACAACCTCAAGAAGCGCTTCGAACATGGCGAGATCTACACCTATATCGGCCATGTGCTGGTCTCGGTCAATCCGTTCCGGGACTTGGGAATCTACACAGACCAGGTTGTCCAGAGCTATCGTGGGCGAAATCGTCTCGAAGTCCCCCCACACGTGTTTGCCGTCGCAGAGTCGGCATACTACAATATGAAGGCTTACAAGGACAACCAATGTGTCATCATCTCGGGTGAGTCGGGCGCAGGCAAGACGGAAGCTGCCAAGCGTTTGATGCAGTATATCGCCAGCGTCTCTGGCGGAACCGACTCCAGAATCCAGAGAACAAAAGATATGGTCCTGGCGACGAATCCGCTCCTTGAATCCTTCGGCAACGCCAAAACATTGCGAAATAACAATTCCTCACGTTTCGGAAAATACCTCGAGCTCGAGTTTAATGAACAAGGTGAGCCTGTGGGGGCCAAAATCACAAACTACCTGCTGGAGAAGAGCCGGGTGGTGGGACAGATCACAAACGAGAGGAATTTCCACATTTTCTACCAGTTCACGAAAGCCGCCCCGAAAGAGTATAGAGATACCTTCGGCGTGCAGCAACCTCAGTCGTATGTGTATACGAGCAAGTCGAAATGCTTCGATGTACCGGGAATTGACGATGCGAGCGACTTCCGAGAGACTCTGAACGCCATGCAGATCATTGGTCTGACCAAGGCGGAGCAGGACAATATCTTCCGTCTTCTGGCAGCCATTTTGTGGATTGGGAACATTACATTTAGAGAGAATGATCAAGGGGGCGTCGATATCGCAGATGAATCCGTGGTGGATTTTGTCGCCTACCTACTGGAAGTTGAATCGTCCCATGTGCACAAGGCGATGACTATCAGAATTGTTGAGACAGCCCGTGGTGGCGGACGCAGAGGGTCCATCTACGAGTCGCCGCTGAATCCGGTCCAGGCTAGCGCGGTGCGAGACGCTCTTGCCAAAGCCATATACTTCAATCTGTTCGATTGGATTGTGGCGCGCACAAATGTCTCACTGAGATCCCAGGGTGTGGTGAAGAACACGATTGGCATTCTTGACATCTACGGGTTTGAAATCTTTGAGAAGAACTCGTTCGAGCAGCTCTGCATCAACTACGTAAACGAGAAGTTGCAGCAGATCTTCATTCAACTGACCTTGAAAGCCGAGCAGGAGGAATACGCCCGCGAACAAATTCAGTGGACTCCGATCAAGTATTTCGACAACAAAGTCGTCTGCTCTTTGATTGAGGACAAGAGACCCCCGGGTGTTTTCGCTGCTCTCAACGACGCTTGTGCAACTGCCCATGCAGATTCCGGAGCTGCCGATCAGACCTTTGTCGGCCGACTCAACTTCCTTTCAAATAACCCCAACTTTGAGAACAGACAAGGTCAATTTATCATCAAGCATTATGCTGGCGATGTGAGCTATCAGGTTGCGGGAATGACGGACAAGAACAAGGATCAACTGCTGAAAGACCTTCTAAATCTGGTCAGCGAAAGCTCGAACGGATTTGTCCACGAGATATTTCCAAACCAAGTTGATCAGGATGACAAGCGACGACCTCCAACTGCCGGGGACAAGATCAAGATATCTGCAAATGAACTGGTCGATACCCTCATGCAAGCCCAGCCGTCTTACATTCGAACCATCAAACCCAACGAGAACAAGTCGCACAAAGAATACAACGAACCCAATGTGCTCCACCAGATCAAATACCTGGGTTTACAAGAAAACGTGCGCATTCGGCGAGCTGGTTTCGCCTACCGTCAGACGTTTGATAAATTTGTGGAAAGATTCGCCCTGCTGTCTCCTAAACTTTCATACGCCGGAGAATACACCTACACCGGAGATGTCAGGACAGCATCAGAAATTATCTTCAAAGATACAAGTATCCCAAAGGAGGAATATCAGATGGGTGTGACTAAAGCCTTCATCAAGACCCCCGAGACATTGTTTGGGCTTGAACATATCAGAGACCGGTATTGGCATAACATGGCCGTCCGCATTCAGAGAGCCTGGAGAAACTACCTGCGGTATCGGGCTGAGGCGGCTACGAGGATTCAAAGGTTCTGGCGCAAATCCAAGGTTGGCGTCAAAGAGATTGAATTCCGAGACCAAGGACACAGACTCCTGGCTGGTCGGAAGGAACGTCGCAGATACAGCTTGCTTGGATCCAGACGTTTCTTCGGCGATTACTTGGGTCTCAATATGCCAGGTGGTCAAGGCCGTGTCCTCAGGGACGCGATCCATCTCAATCCTCAAGAGCGTTGTGTGTTTTCAGCGCGTTGTGAGCTGTTGGTCACCAAGTTCGGACGATCCTCGCAGCGGATGCCCAGGATCCTTGTCCTAACACCAAAATCGGTCTACATCATTGTGCAAGCCGTTGTGAACAACCAGCTTCAAATCTCTGCCGAGAGAACAGTACCCATTGGCGCAGTGAAATACATCTCGTGCTCGAACCTGCGGGACGATTGGTTTGCCCTCGGCATCGGGTCTGCCCAGGAACCGGATCCTCTTCTCAACTGCGTTTTCAAGACTGAATTCTTTCTGCAATTTAAGACGGTCGCGGTCGGCGGCATGAACCTCAAAATCGGGCCCCAGATTGAGTACAACAAGAAGCCCGGGAAACCTGCAGTGGTCAAAGTTCAGAAAGATCCAGGTGTTGCTCGAGACGACGTATACAAGTCAGGAACGATCCATGTTCCACAAGGAGAATCTCCGAATTCGGTTTCGAAGCCTACTCCGCGTGCTAAGGCAATTGCCAGGCCTATCACCACCGGTAAACTGCTCCGACCGGGTGGTCCAGGAGGTCAGCCGTCGAAGACGGCGGCCAGAAGAGCTGTTCCCGCCCCCAGACCCGTGCCCCAAACTCAGCGTCTCGTTCCAACGCCTGCTGCCGCTCATGCCCTTCCTCAACAACTGAACGGCGCTCCATCGCATGCTCGAAACGATTCAGCATCATCATATGGTCGAAACGCGCCTCCACCTCCGCCACCGCCTCCACCAGCAGCCGCTCCCGCCCCGGTGCCTTCCAAGCCCCAAGCTAAAGTGAAGTACGACTTTAACTCACCTAACGCGAACGAGCTGTCTATCAGGGCAGGCGAGATTATAGAGATTATACAGAAGGAAAACAACGGTAAGCACTTGAAGTTCATGACTACGCTTGGATTGGTACTGACGTGAGTCGCTCAGGCTGGTGGCTCTGCAAAAACACCCACACCGAGGCGCAAGGTTGGACACCGTCTGCCTATGTAGAAGAGATTGAGCAGGCCCGCGCCGCACCCCCTCCACCTCCGCCGCCTCCAGTTGCACATCACCGTCCTGTCCCGACGCCATCAGTTATGGTCAACGGAGGGCCTAAGCCTGGGACGCCGTCGGTTGGTGGCAGGGCCAAACCCACGCCTCCCGCACCACCGGCCAAACGACCGGTTCCAGGAGCCAGGAAACCAGATGCATCACCCGCCAGAGATAGTGCAGTGGGTCTGGGGACGAACAGCGGGACCAATTCTGGCCGTGCCACGCCGAGCAGTATTGGCGGGGGTAGTCTGGCTGGTGGATTGGCGGAGGCACTGAGAGCCAGGCAGAGCGCGATGAGCGGCAGAGACAAGGACCGGGATGAGGATGACGACTGGTAGACGAGTGTACTTGGGAGATGACTAGATGTGTGTCATGAATGAAAAATATGACGATTCAGGGCTGATTAGGATGTCGGTCATTTTGGAAGATCGAGTGCACGGGGACGATCTTGTTGGTCTTTCGTCTTCAAAGTGCAGATTGTCATCGCAAGCGTGCAGCTGAAGCAAGAATGAATTGAGACTTGAAATGAACACGACCAAGCCCAGAGCTATCCATGTGTGTCGAGAGAGAACCGTTCGAGGAGACTGAAGATTGGGGTGTCTCTTGCCTGTCTCCCTCACACCATTCGACACCTCCGCTCCTCTTATTGTACTATCTCTCTCTTTGGACCGCGCAAGATCTCTTGGGTACCTCTGCTTGTTCTCTCTGGTATTTGACCACTTTGACCATGCTCCGCCTAATCCCCTCCCCGCCTCGTGTATCGACCGGTTGGCGCATTGAAGCGAAGGGGTGCTCTGTGCTCTGGATGCTCTGGGTTCTCGCGTCATGCCACCACCGCCAGTGCTTCCTCTGAAACCCTTCGAGGTGTGATAGGTCCATCGGCTAAATTTCGACAGTCCCCTCCCAATTTCTCTCCCCCTTCGAAATCCGGCATTTTGCCACGGCTGAATTGGTCATCCCTTGGGATGCATTGCATTGCATTGGCCTCCCCTCCTCTCGCCTCGCCGAGTGTTACTGGGATGGCAGAGAGGGCGGGGGAAGAGAGGAGGGGAAGAAGGATGGATTCGACAGCTGAAGGATTTCCCTCTCAAAATATCCGGCGGATATTGGGACGTTCTCATATCATCCTATACGTTGGGCAAGTCGGTACCTAAGAGGGTGCCAGAAGGGAGGGGGCTAGCGAGGCCGAATAAGAAGAGTATGTGTACCTCTCTATCAACCCGGAATATACACCTGTCTCTGAACATTTCTATCTGTTCTACTGACACACCCACCGCATATTTCTCTTGTCTTTTGGCCGCCTATTTTCTGATCACTGCGACGCGACGTCTTATCAACCGTCAGCAACAAGACCCAACAACCGCCATCGCCGTCGCCATGTCGCCCAATAAGACCTACAAGGTCCTGACGCCCGAGCAGGTCTCGCACTTCCTGGAGCACGGCTACGTGGTGATGCCGGGGTGTTTCAGCCGGGCGGCGGCGGCCGAGTGGACGCGCGACGTGTGGACGCGGCTGGGCATGGACCCGGCGGACAAGACGACGTGGGCGCGCGAGCGCACCAACATGCCGGAGCACCGGCGGCTGACGGTGGCCGAGTTCGCGCCGCGGGCGTGGGACGCCATCTGCGACCTGGTCGGCGGCGAGGCGCGCGTGACGGACAAGAGCCGGACGTGGAGCGACTCGTTCATCGTCAACCTGGGCACCCCCGAGGGCGAGGGCCGGGAGTACCACCCCAAGGAGCTCGAGGGGTGGCATGTCGATGGTGAGTCGATGCTTTTCTCCCCAGTTCAAGGTTGGCAGAGGTGATGTATCTGGAGAGACTGGATCGAGGATTGAAAGCCCATGGAGACTTGTTCGTGTGTGGAGCGAGATGTTCAGAGGCAGAGAGACCCGGGAAGAGTGCAGGAGACGAAGACGAAGACGAAGAGAGCCTCAGCCAGGACTCTCCAAGGTTTTCCATCCCGAGTCTGACGAAATACGGGACAGGCGACTTCTTCATCCACTTCCTCGACTCGCCCGAACAGGCACTCCTGGTAATCCCCTTGTTCACCGACATCCTCCCCAACGGCGGCGGCACGTGGATCTGCACCGAAGGACCGGCGCGAATAGGCCAGTGGCTGGTAAGTCTCTCGGTGTAAGCAACAAGTAGAAGGAAATGAGATCCCTCCCTCCCTCCCTCCCTCCCTCCCTCCAAGTGTGAAGACAGAAAAACTCACCCAATTACCATGCCTGCAGTACGACCACCCCTCGGGCGTCACGCCGCACATGTAAGTCCCCTCCATCCAACATCTAGAGGCAAACACCTCGCAACACCAAGGGAAAAAATCCCCCAACTCAACCCCGGGAAGAAGACACCAGGGGGAGACAAACATCTATCTACATCTCCATCTCCCACAGAGTCCTGAGCTGACAACTCTCCCAACCGCGAAAGGGTCCCAGTCTCCTCACCCCCAACGGAAGGTGAAGGTCAAGGCGATCCCGGCCTGAAATTCTTCAACGACACCGTCCAGGGCTGCGCGCCGGCATCCTTCCACGAGATGACGGGCCAGGTGGGCGACGTGGTCCTGCTGCACCCGCTGATGCTGCACACGGCGTCCAAGAACGGGCGGCGGCTGGCGCGCATCATCACCAACCCGCCCGTGAGCCTGCGGGAGCCGTTCAACTTTGACCGCCGCGGCGGCGCCGACGAGGGCGAGGGCGACGACAATGATGGGAGTGAGGGCGCGTACTCGCTGGTCGAGCTCAAGACGATCCGCGACCTGGGCGGGCCCGACAGGCTGCGCGGCTGGACCATCACGGGCGAGCGCCGCGCCGTGGTCCCCGAGCGGCTGCGCGTGCAGGCCAAGTGGATGGAGGAGGAGAACCGGCGGCTGCGCGAGCGCGGCGTCGAGTATGCGGACCGCACGCAGACCGAGGAGATGGTCCAGCAGCAGGCCCAAGGGCTGGTCGCGGTGGCTTGAGGGAGGGAGGGAGAGAGAGATACCCATCCATACCCTGTGGCTTTGAGAGAGAGAATGTACCCGGGTATGAAGGGAGGAGATTTTCTCCTGATTCACGCAGAGCCAGAAACGCAGAATGCTAGATGCTAAGACACAGAGACTGACTGACATTCTTGACCAAGAGGGCACATCGTGGAGGAGACGGCCGGTCTGTAAAACGAGGATGGGGGTTGAATACGTCTGATGAAGCACCCACGACCTGGGATCTGCGGATCACATTCACCCTTTTGCGACTGTGAAGCAGTCGGTTATGGAGATGTCTTCCATTCAGCTTGGGCTTGCTAAACGATCGAAGATCCAGAGCACTTGCAACATGGGACTAAAGGGAGTTGCTGCATGGTCGTCAAGGCCGACAATGTCGATGTCAATTTATGTATTTTCATTCTTTGCTATCTGCATTCTCTCTCAGCCTGATTCTTCCATTTCAGTATCGAGCAGAAAACATCAAGCCATTCTCCCAATGCCATTTCTACCAGAGTCTCTCAGTCTCTACCATAATTGCCAGTCCCCAGTTCTCGTACCAATATTTCACGTATCAGAAGAGCTCCAAATGACCTGCAATATCCCCAGTCCTCGGGCCAGACTTCAAGATATCGTTTCCTTGTCCATGGCGGTGTTAGTGTGGAAATTCTCACAGTAGTTGATATTGGTGTTGCAGTAAAGTGGTGACTGGGTCGACTTTTATCAAGAAACTCGCTATTCATGAAGCAAGAGGGATGAATTCGCATGGGGCTGGCTTGCTTCGACTGGAATATCTGTTTTTTCGTGACAGTCGAATGCTAAGCCGTGGAATCAAGGACGAGTTCAGTCATGGCCCTGACCCGTTCTGTTCCACCATGCATTTGCAGTCGCATTCATAGGCCAATCCGTCCAATGAGGAGAATCTCCCGAATTATCACTGGTATCGTTGGAGCCGGGCCTATGTCCTCCATGCGACTCCACGACAAATGGGAAGCCTCCGTCCTGGCCACGATCGAGCAGGATCGAATTGTTGGGAAGTATGATCACATCCTCGATATATGCAAGCACAATCTGCATGTTCGAGGCATCACGAACAGTCCCGTCCGGCATTTCACGACATTGAGGAATGTTCCACTCGTTGACGCAGGGGACAGGGTACTTGAAGATGCAGCTGCAGTAATAGTCGCACCAAGTCACACCTTGATTTTGCACGGTCGAAGTTCGCATGACAGTCATGTTCACAGCACAGAAATACCCCAGATCCGACTGTTGGCAGAAGCTAGGGCCGTCCGCTGCATTGCCACAGTTGAGAGTGAATCTGCTGGAGGGTTGACTGGGGACACCACTCGGAGGGGCAACGGCTGCAGAGCCTGGAATCTCATCTCCAGTCGCAGACATCTCCGCATGTCCCGAGTGTGCCTCGCGAGCGAAAGGATTCGGGCATCTGCAGCTGTGAGTGCATTCGGGGATGTCGGTACCGTTGTGGAAAAGAGTGCGTAGAACAGTGCCTGTCAGCGCGACACATGAATAGCCTTCACTTCGACAGTGATTGGTGAGAGATTCGTTGTATCTGCTATGTGACGAACAGGTCACACCAAAAGGATCAAAGCTGCTGGCCGCCGGGGCAGTCGCGATGTCGTTTGTTCTAGGCTCTGCACTGGCTCTTGTCTTCTTTGGACGCAATGACTGTGCAGACGCACGGCGTCGTGGGGCTCCCGGGCAACTGCAGCCAGCTTGACAGATTTTAACAATGTCCTGAGGATGCTGCAATTCATAAACTGGCCCAGACACGGGGGCACATGTATAGCCCTGATTCTTGCAGTATTGTGTCAGAGACTCATTGAAAGACCAGGTCCCTTTGGTCAACCCATCAAACGAACTGCACCCAAGTAGAATGTCCTGAATGGTCACTTCGCCGGGCGTCGGGGAAGGGTGTGACACTAGGTCATGTTCACTTCCTTCACGCTTCCAAGTCTGCGATGGACAGCCACAAGCGGAGTCGCATTTCTTAATGTCCTTCGAGCCGGGCTGTAAAGTCAAGGTCAATGAAGCGCGTGTAGGGTCGCTGGCGCATGAGTAACCGTGGTTTGCGCAATACATGGTCAAGTTCTTGTCATATAGTAATCCGCCAGTAAAAGGAGATGTTTCGCTGGACTGCTGCGATTTGCATATCATCTGGTGCGGATCGGCTGATGTCACGTCCAAATCTCTCGTAACCACTTTGCGGAAGTCCAATGTCCCATTGGGGTGGACATATGCATCGTTAACATCCCCCAGCAGAGTGCCATTCTCATTGTAGACCATCTTTCCTTTGAGCAGGCACGTTGTGAGAAGGGCCGCGTTTGGAAAACACTGAATCGATGGCTTGAGGTTGATGCAGACACAACTGTGCTCACACCAGTATTCACCGGTGCCTTTGAACTTCAGAGCACCCTTCGCGGTGCAGTAATACTGGTACGATGAACCGCACCATGCTGTGTGCTCGCGGTCCTCGCATAACAATGCGTAGTCATGGCGCTTCGCAAGTGCTTTGGTGGGCGTAAGGTCCAGAGAGCCATCCTCAAGGACTTGGGCGCTTGAGAGTTTGCCGAGAACAGTACCATTGACCGTGTCAAAGACTGTGTCATCCTTGACTCCACAAGAATACACTTTTCCATAATAGAAGCACGGCCTTGGGGCGATGTTGACACAAGCGCAGTGTTGCTCGCAAGTGATTTCGGGCTTGCCAGTGTGTTTCACGACGGCATTCGCATTGCAGAAATAGCCATGTGTTGAGTCCTGGCACAGTCGTGTGAGAGTGCGGTCGTAACAGACTAGTGCATTGTCATGGCTGAGTTCTGTATCACGCTTTGCAACTGCTGTGGTCAAGTCCATGGTGCCATTGGGAAGAATGTTCGCCTCGGAGGCATCGCCAAGAAGCTCGCCGGTTGTGGCGTTCAAAACCATGTTATCAACAACTGAACACTGACTGGAGGCTTTGTTGACGACACAAGGCTTCGGCGCTGGGTTGAGGTTGATGCACTTGCAGATGTCCTGGCACAAGATGTCCTCCTGCTTATACTTCAGCTTGCCCGTGGTGCTGCAAGTGTAACCGATACGTGCGCACATGGCGGTCCATTCTCTGTCGTCGCAGACTAGTGCAAAGCTGTGGAGTGGCATGTCTGCATCTCGACGCTCTAGGGCGGACATGGGCTTGACAGATGAGTGGAAGGAGGCGAGGTCGTGTGAGGGACGAATTGCAACCTCCTTTGACGCAGTCAGAGTGGGAGCATGAAAGCCATGATGAGAAGTGGGTGTGTGGTGCCAGCCGCTGACGACAGAGGTATGGCTTCTGGTATGTTGAAGCGGACCAGCACTGAGGAGACCAGCAAGGAAGCAGAGAATGACGGTGAGATAGAGCCGGGTGGCTTGAGGCCGGCCTGCAAAAGTGTCGGATTAGCTCCTCCTTCTGTGCTATGAAGGGCTATCGAGCCTGGACGCACCTTTGATCTTGACCTTCATGACGGTTGTCAAGCAGCTGTTGAGAGTGTCTGACCTCAAGACTGAAAGAGTTCAAACCGCACCGGCGGTGTAGAGGAAGAGGTCTGGATTGGTTGCGAGAACGAGCGACTTGGCAGAGGAGAAGCGATTGATGAAGAGAACAGTGAGGGTGATGAGCAAGGAAGAAGGAATGAAGATGTTGTTGTTGTCGACGGGAGAAGGAGCATTTTATGTGATAGAATCTGTCGAGAGCGACTTCACTTGGCGAAGTGTCACCAGGTCGCCATTCACTGCGCCGCTGTTCAAGTCTGTCACCCTGCGGCCTGGCAGCGGTTGGAAAGTGAAGACATGCGATACTCAGCTCATCTCTCATCTCACTGCTTTTTCACCAGAGACTGTATACCACCGTGTATTTTTGTCACCGACAATCAACTCCCTCAGCCTCGAACGCTCCTTGCACCTCAAGATGCAAAGTGACCACCATGTCAGGCCACTGTTCGCTTAATCAGATTGAGGTGCATCGTCAACATCTTGCAGTGCAGCCCTTCCACCCGCCTGGTCTGTTATGTTGTTCGACTCAAGGCCGGACATCAACACTCCGGCGTTGCTCAGACCTCCTCTTTCCTTGGCCCAAACCCGACAAGGCTGCAGCCTTGCCCTCGAACAACAACGCCCAAGGACATATGACTACGCCAAACCACATGTGGATGATGCACAACGGGTAAGAGATCCCACCGACGGTGGAACTGATGACCGGATTCTTTCCGTTCAGGGGTCGCGCGAGCATCCTAATAAGACAGATTAGATAATCCCGTTAAGGTCTTGTATAGTTTGGTCAGCACGCTCAGGGCTATATATTGCGTCCATATCCTCTCACCTGAGTCCAATGTATTCCAAAGAGCGTTCTTCAACCTTCGGACGAAACCTCGGACCTCCCTCTCTGTATCTCAAATCGGTTAGCACCTCGAAGAACAATGGGCGACGCTGCTGCTGCTCCCTTCCCATCTCCCTTCCAGACCTGGCACAATGATACCTACCCCAGCATTGACCCTTCACGCCCCGAGCTTTCGCTCAAGGGGAAGACAGCAATCGTGACTGGAGGCGCTGGTGCAGTCGGCGCCGCTACCGTCAATGCCTTCGCCAAGGCAGGTGTCAGTCTCATTGGCATCGTGGGACGAACACAGAAGACCTTGGATGCCACCAAGGCTAAATTCGAGTCTCAGTATCCCAATACAAAGATTGTCGCCGTGACAGCGGACACGGCATCTCTCCCTAGCGTCGAAGCTGCATTCAGAGTCATTCAACAACAAGCCAACAAACCGATCGACATCTTTGTCCACAACGCCGGCCATCTCGCCGAACCCGCGACCATTACATCTTCGGATCCCAAGGAATGGTGGACATCTTTCGAGGTGAACATCCTCGGGGCCTTCCACTCCGTGCGAGCTTTCATCCCGGTTGGTTCTCCCACAGCGACCATCATCAACATCTCGACGGCGGCAATCCACGTCCCCGCAGCTATAGTATCCAATTTGTCAGCGTACTCGTCCTCCAAGCTCGGCGCGCTCAAGGTCTTTGAGTTTGTCCAGAGCGAGAACCCGGACATGCATGTGGTTAATGTTCAGCCGGGCGTCATTTTGAGCGACATCAACGTCAAGCATGGGGCCATGGCACCTATGGATACCCGTAAGTCATTCTCTCCTTTCAGCCCCTCCCGAAACACGTCTGGTTTATCCCCATTTGCTGACTTGTTCCCCCAACGTGCGATACAATCAGCGGACTTGCCAGCTTCATTCGCAGTTTGGGCATGCAGCCCGGAAGCCAAATTCCTGAAGAACAAGTTCGTCTGGGCAAACTGGGACGCGGACGAAATGAGGGCCAAAGCTGACGAAATCGCAAATTCGCCCGCGTTCACAATGGGTCTGATGGGGTGGCCCGTGCTGTCTTGAACCAATGTATCCGTGTATGTAGCTAGCCATTTAGACAGATACCGCGCCGTGGGCACGGCGTATTATTGTCGTATTGCTCTCCCTCTGATCGGTCATCGGAGCCGAACTTAGCCCCTTGAAAGCGGTGACATACTGGCGAGAAACCCCCGGCTGATAGAGCTATCAATGTTGACATTGTCTCCGGATTAAGCAGTCGGGTGGCCCCAGAGCATGGGGACGGTGCGAACGGTCAGAGCTGCATTGCCGACCAACGTCGAAATAAGCGAAGCTGAGACGTGCGTCTGGAATCTTGAGCAGCAAACTAAGCCGGATCCAAACATCTCGCCGTGCTACCGTGCCACGGTTTACGCCATGTCCAGTCGGAATAGCTACACAAGGTCGATACTTTGTCATGCTCGCCTCACATATTCGTCCGAAAGACGCTGGGCTTGCTGAAGCACCTCGCCCATTCGTCTACATCTCGATCGAGGACCCAGAGGAATCTAGGAACAGAAACATGCGCGTTTTTGGTGGCTTTTTGAATTTGTCAGAAGCCAAATTTCGTCCGTTCATAAGCTCTATCTCTATAGTCATCACCACGTAGTCAAATCAGACCACTTCATAACATGTCTATACATCTTGAAGGCTGTAAAGAAATTACAATTCAAATCGAAGCCTCCTCGGGCTCGATAATGAGCCGACCCATTGCAACGGCCACCAACCGTAGAACTTTTGTTTCCAAAAAGACCGACCATTTGACACCGTCGGACCAAAATCCAGAAACAAGGAGTAAAAGATACCCCTGATTTTTAATGCTGTTGGCTGGACGAACTCTCGCCGCCGAGCCTCTTCAATTCAAAGTCCTCCGCGTTGCTGCTCACTGGAGCCATGGGTGGGAATGGCTCGTCTTCAGTAGTGTGAGACGCAATCGAGTCCACACGAACTGCCTGTGAGCTGACTTTACCAGATCTCGCATCTAGAGGGCGAACAGACGGAATGGGGGGTGCCTGGCCCTCCTCCGCCAGTGAGTCGCGCGGAAGATCCATGCTTCGGCCCGTGCGATTGAAGCGGCTGAGGAAGCGGTTGCGATGTGTCTCGGTACTGCTGATCGAGGCCCGATGGTGGCCCGTGGTGGATGGTTGTCTGCTACCACCAAAGCTTTGAGTGGTCGAGCGCCGAAGAATCCCGCTCATCATGTGTCCTTCGCGAGACGTTGACCTTCCGTGGCTTTCGCGTTCTTGGGACTCTGAGATCCTTCGTTCCTCTTCGATCCGGTTGGACTCTCGGATCACCTCTTCGAATTGTGGGCGGCTTCGGTCTTCGTACACATCGGACAGTTGCTCCCCTGAACTGACGTCTTTCATACCCAACGAAAAGTCCACCCTCTTGGCCATGGCCGACAGAGACTCGCCTCTAGGTCGTCCTAGTTGGCCTGTGCTAGGCCGTCGCCGCATGATGGAAGGGTAGTGAAGCGGAGGGGCTGCAACAGCCGGCGTCTGATGGATTGGATCCCCAGTAATACTCCCCGAAGCATGGCCAGGCTGCAGCTCGTTGCCATTGCCGCCGATGAGAGGTGGAGCGCCCGGAGGCAGCTGCATAAAGTACGGCACATCTGATCTCCAACCAGCTTGGTTACGACGAGGTCCTTCGATGCCAATCTCTTGCATAGCCACCATCAAAGCGCAGATGAATTTGTTCCTTCGCTGAAGTCGAAGCAGCTCGTTTTGCCAGTTCGATTTGTAGAAGAACACAACATTCAGCGTGAGAGAATACGCTTCGGTCACCTCCCTAAGTTCCGTCAAGATATTTCCCTGGTACTCACGCTTTTCGGATCTGACAAATTCGAGTAGCGAGTTGCGCAAAGCCTCGATTTGGTCCAGAGTGGTACCAAATCTGATGACAATAGGAACGGCTTCGGCAAGACCTCCAGAGCGCCGCATGTTCAGGATGAATAACGTGTTGAGATACGAGTTTGGCGCTTGAACAATGTGGCCTTCCATTTTCTTGAACTCCGTGTACAACAGCGAGATTTCCTTGACAAAGTAGTCATCTCCTTTGAGCGATGACCCGGTGTTGCCGTAGATTGAAACTCGGTCCCCAACGTCGAATGGATGCTTGACGAAGACAAAGATACAGGACTGAAGGAATTCTTGAGCCGTGGCGGAGAACAGCCAGGATAGAGCGAGTACTGCTGACCCAGCAGAAGTCAGGACTCCGGCTGCCGAAGTGGAGATGAGAGAGATAAGGACCAAGAGGGTGACGATGCAAACGATGAAAAACAGAACATCGTCAAGCTTGCTGACGACAGAATCGAGGTCCTTGAGAGAAGCAGTGATCGATTTCCGTTCCCTGCCGATCTCGACACAAACCGCTTCAAGTTCCTCCATCGAGATATCCCCATTCATGTCTTTGTCGAACATGCTGAAAGCAGCTTCAGCTTCCTCTTCGTTGTCAAAAGCGGCCTTCAGGTCTTCCGAGGACACGGTTTCGAATCCCTCTCGCACGAATGTCCGATACAGGCGTCGAGCCAGAACTTGCGACCCGCCGGTGCTGTTGAGCAGGGTCAAGACAACCTGAGAAGGGTGGCCACTTTTCGCCACCTTCTTCCCAGTAAAATCACCCGCAACAGTACCGGCCACATCACCTACTTTGGCAAATGCCTTGGTGAGAGCTTCCTGAGCTTGAGCGGCGTATAAGGCGGGAGTTTTGGTTCCAGACCCAGGTTCCACGTGTTTCTCTTCAAATTCTGCGTCCTCCATGGCAATTTTGGCTTTGGAAAAGATGTAGAGTTTCGTCAGGCTGCCAATTTGGAATTTGTTGATTTCAATGCGGTCGGCGTAGGTTCGCAAGTGGAAGGAAATGGCAATCAGCTGAATAATGATCTTCTCGATGAAGTTCAAGGTCGCACCCACGAAAATAGAGATAATGACCTTATTAAGAACCTTTTCCCAGTGCTTCGTTTGTTTGGAGCCATTAACATGGTGGTTGGTCATGGTAGGCAAGAAAGAGACCTCGATACCAAGCCACCAGAAGAAGATTGTCGCCGGAATTTCGAGGGCTTTGCCTAAATCTCGCCACTTTTTGGAATTGTTCGTGAAGAGGCTCGAGATAAGACCCAGAGGATACGGGATACTCCGGGCAACAATACGCCCAGCCCAGAGAGTCAGCCAGATAATTTCGAGCCATACTCCGAACCAGATCAAATCAACACCGCCGACACTTGCATGCTCGGCAGCAGGTAGGAATGCCCCAACCAGAATGGGAATCAGGAGGAGGGCAAAGACCGGGACGATGTAGGTGAAGTAGCGTATGACGAAGCTAGAGTGGTGGATGTATTTGAAGAATTTGGCAATCTTAGTGCTGGGGTTTTCGGGCGGCTTGTATATGGCGGTACGTTCGTGGATAGGGTTCGTAGCCGTGTCAAACTCGTCGAGTGGTTCGGGTGCTCTTGATCGGGATCGATGGAGTTGTGCTGAACTCCGACCGCCCTCTGAGTCCCGAGATTCAATTGACGTCAACCGTTCAGCTCTCTGCACGGCCAGTTCATCCTCGAGACGATGAGCCTCCTCTCGCGTCTTGCTGGGGGACCGTGGGTCCTCGAAGCGTGTATTGGTATCTCGTCGCTGTGTTTCCACCTTCAACCGGTCGAGCAACAGTTTGCCGTCGACAGAACCCTCGTGTCTGTCATTTTCCACCGCCGTGCTGTCGTCATCGGAGGGCCTTTGGCTGGATGGGTCGAACTCGAAGCGAGGCAGTTCTTTCTCGGGGGTGGTCATGTTGGGTAGAGGCAAGGTCGAGAGACACGGGTATGGAGAGGAGCAGGACTCTTCCCTGCCGGCTGATCCTCCTCTTTACCCTCAAATATTATACATCAGAAGCCAGCCAGCGGCTCTGGAGACAGGTAGCGAACGTGTGGGTGTATATGACGCAAACAAATGGGGATCAATGCCGGGTGGATGGAGTCACACACAGGCGTAAAATGATCAGATATGGGAAACGATATGTCTGAGAAGTAATACCAAAGAGGGGCTATGTCAGTCTATAATGTGCAAACGAAGGTGTATAAGAGGCGTGATAGAAGGAAGTGCATCTGGGACGGAGGCCGAAGTGCTGCAAGGGATGGGCTCCCCTCTTTCCATTTATGCATGCTGCAAGTCTACCTGGCGAGCTGGGTACAAAATCAACTCTTGCTTGTACTGGTAGTTACGTATGGCCCAGAAGAACGAGTAAGCACAGGCACGCAAAGATAGATACCGCGAAAACAGGAGCGATTGACAGGGATAGGCAGCCTTGGCTCTTGGGGACCGCTTTCTGGTGGGCGAGGTGGGCACCAAGAACGCCCCCAGGCGCTCCACAGGCGGATCCCGTTGCGGAATAGAGGAGTAGGCGCCTCGGATGGCCATGCAGGGCGCCAGAAGCCATACCCCAAACTGCCAATCGTGCCCCCCAATCCCGTCTGCCATAGGCGGTTGACCCCTGGAAAGCCGCCCAGGACAAATGTTGGTGCTTGGTCGATGCTGGGAATTTTCTGACGGTGGCGCCAGTGGAGTGTTGATTCCCATCCTTGTTGCATCATTTTTCGCAGCCGCCCCATGTCTCAACACAACGCAGATGTTGATCGGCCAAATCGCGTTGCCGTTTCTGCAAGTTCCTCACTCGACGATCGAGATTAAGACTGAGAAACTCTCGGGCAGTTGCAGACCTAAATGACCGAAAGATCCAGTTTGTGCATAATGCCTCCGTTATACAGATGGATATTTTGGAATGCCAAAATCTTCCCGAAAATGCAACTGGCTCTTTCAATGGCATGTGCCGCTGGTTGGTTCTCGTCCCAAGCGAGGCCAGGTCCCCCAGCATGGTTGACTTCGGCTATTGAGTGAGAATCAATCACCCTACAACCATCCACCCCCCAAATATACAGTCAGCCACACCAGGACCAGCTGTCTTCAGCTCGCTTACAGCGATATTTCAGCACTGCAATCATCGAATGTGTTGTCTCGATGAAACCACGCACAGAAGACCATTTGAACCAAGTGTTTTAGCATTTTGTGGCGCTTTGGATGAGCAGACGCCGAGCTCTTGACCAAAATTTTATCTGGGCCTCTTATCAATGTGTGGCGCGCGCGCCGTTGTGCCGCCAGCGATTGTCATTCAAGCCTTGTTTCATCTTTGACATGTGCTTCATCTCAAGTGGCTTTCATTTGCTGTGCTCTTATCAAAGAAAGGAGACCGCCATAGTTGGCAGGCCTGAAACAATGTCCGCAGCCAGCCTTGTTGGACCAGCCCCTGAGTTCGGGTCGATGCAGGAACAAAAGTGACGGCTCGAGCATACGAGTATATGTGAGGAGTCTGAGGACAAGGCGAAGAGCGAAGCAGATTGATCGCCAGCAGTATCTCGCAGATCTCCAATTTCAGTCTAAGAGGTGTCGAAATTTAAATCGCAACCGAGGCTCAGGACTGTTGTTTGTCGTGAAGGCGCCTCGTTCCTGGAGATCACTGACCGTTTTTTATTGACCGATACGACTAACGTGCAGGTTTTCGAGTCTTAGTGATGTGTTTTTCATGCCGAGATGCCCAGCTCGACATGATCTCGCTAGCCATGCCGAGGAGTTTATCGTTGATAGCATGAACCACGCCTCTCGATCATCACTAGAGGCAGATTGCATTATCATATAGCAGGATAGGATGCACTGTGAAGGCAAAGCAGACAGAAGGCAGGGAACGGAGCGGAAACAGTTGACAGCTGCAGGTACATCCATGGCGGCATGAACGGAAAAGTGAAGGGACAGGCAGTTTGGTGGTTCTTGGCTTGTTTATGCTGCTCCGTCTTCCCCAATAGGACGCGCCAATCGCAAATTGATACACACCACTTGACCATCCGCGCACTTTAGGCCTCATTCTGTCCTTGTCACTCTTCTTCGTCCTGTGCATCGACAGACCTCGCAGAGTCGACATTGGATAGCCTCGCGTCTCTTTTGTCTTTTCCTCTGTATCGCGCTCGCAGCACCTCCACAGAATGCACGGAGAGGTGAGTTTTCCTGCCCTTTGTTTTTGTGTACCCCTCCATTGTTTCGTGCCCAAGGTCCCCTGCATCACCATTCCTATCTCCACGCAGACGTCCTTCGAAATAATTTTCGTTCTCTATTTCGATGCAGCACATACTGATCTTCTCAATAGGTTTGCCACCTGCACATTGGGCAGGCTGGCACTCAGCTTGGCAACGCTGCCTGGGAATTGTGCGAATAAACCCTGCTCCCACCGCTACTTTGAATCACGATTGCTAATCACCTCGCCCAGGTATCTTCTCGAACACGGCCTGAAGGCTGATGGTCGACCTGATCCCGATGCCAATGTTGGTGATGCTGGAGCCTTTGAGACCTTTTTCACCGAGACCAGCAACAACAAACACGTCCCTCGGTCCATTTTCGTCGATCTCGACCCTTCCCCTATTGATGAAATCCGAACCGGCAAATACAGACAACTCTTCCACCCAGAGCTCCTGATCAGTGGTAAAGAGGATGCTGCAAATAATTATGCTCGAGGTCACTACACCATCGGCAAAGAGCTTGTGGACGATGTTTTGGACAAGATCCGCCGCGTTGCAGGTGAGGATTGACAGGGGCTTCTAGAAAGTGAGGAGGGATACTGACCTACCGCAAGACAACTGTTCGTCCCTTCAAGGCTTCTTGATCTTTCACTCCTTTGGGGGTGGTACTGGGTCCGGCTTCGGCGCCCTGCTTCTCGAACGACTCTCGGTCGACTATGGCAAGAAGTGCAAGTTAGAATTCGCCGTCTACCCTGCCCCACAGGTATCGTCGTCTGTCGTCGAACCTTACAACGCTGTTCTCTCCACCCACAGCACCATTGAGCACGCAGACTGCACATTCTTGGTGGACAACGAAGCTGTGTACGATATCTGCCGTCGCAACCTGGATATTCCTCGACCCGACTATGAGCATCTAAACCGCCTCATTGCCCAGGTCGTCTCCTCCGTCACTTCAAGTCTCCGCTTTGACGGTGCTCTGAACGTCGACTTGAACGAGTTCCAGACCAACTTGGTGCCGTATCCTCGAATCCACTATCCACTCATCAGCTATGCGCCCGTTGTTTCCACCAAGCGATCTTCCCATGAGAGCTTCAAGGTCCACGACTTGACGCTGCAATGCTTTGAGCCAAACAACCAGATGGTCGTTTGTGATCCCCGCAACGGAAAATACATGGCTGTTGCATTGCTCTATCGTGGTGATGTTGTTCCCCGAGATGCGAATGCTGCCATTGCCTCTCTCAAGGCCAAATCAAGCTTCCATTTGGTTGATTGGTGCCCTACCGGATTCAAAGTCGGCATCAACTACCAACCTCGTAAGCTTATCGTCATTGGCCGTTGGTCTATTCTGCTGACATATACATTTAGCCATGCCTGTTCCCGGCGGCGAGCTCGCCAAAGTCGACCGGTCCGTTAGCATGCTGTCCAACACCACCGCCATCGCCGAGGCCTGGAGTCGACTCGACCACAAATTCGACCTCATGTATTCGAAGCGAGCGTTCGTGCACTGGTATGTCGGCGAAGGAATGGAGGAAGGCGAGTTCTCCGAAGCCCGAGAAGACCTGGCGGCATTGGAAAAGGACTATGAAGAAGTTGCTAGCGACAGTCTCGAGGCAGAAGATGAGGCTGGCGCCGAGTATTGAGTGCTCACACAAACATCTAACTGATACGACGACGACATGAAATCGGCGGAACGTCCTCATTTGCAACCACACAGACGCGGTCAATTGGTAGATCACAGAGCTCCAAGTCATTCAAAGGATGAATGATGCGCCATACTCTTTGGTCTAGAGAAGTGGATTGTTGACCAATGTGCGTGGAGTAAATGAGACCCACGGTATGAAAGCATGAGACGAGTCACGGCAGCGGGTGTCGATAGCACAGATTGATTGAAATAGCGATTGTTACCATGAGAGATATGGGAATTCTTGAGGAGTGGTGACGCCGTTCATAAGACTGCAAGTTCATGGAAGCTCTTTAGGTAGCGAACGAAAACCATATTACACCACTCAATGGAGAGATTACAGCTTTTCTATATTTACAGCCTTGCTCGAGCAACGCCCAGAATGTCAGCCTTGCTGATTCTGCGCACGTGACTTGGATGAAAGGCATCTCCCACTGCTCGTCCGCAGTTCATCCCCCTTCCCCGGCGGTGTTGGTGGTGCATCTGCTGAGATTCGATTGCTAATCTACTGTGTATGGCAGAGTCTCGTACACCCATAATGGTCCCCTTCATTCCGTCTGCCATATAATCATCATGTTCGGGTCCACCATGTCCCTTGTAAACCCTCTTCCTCCTGCGCAACAAAGACCGGCTCTCTACCGTTCTCTGTCACATACTAACTCCTCGAACAAGAACGACACCGCCTCCGCTGGCCAGCCTCAAAGCGCAGAGCCGAGTACTCGGCCTTCACGACCGTCCCATGTCAGATCGAGATCCTATCTCTCACCTGCAGACCCCAAACCACGGAACGCAATCACCCTCCCGGCTGCACCCAGCGCATTTGAGAAGACGGCATCGCGCCTACACTTGCCAGGAACCTCGCATCGACATCACAAGGACAAAGACCACAATTCCAGCGGTCATCAACACTCACAATCGCATTCGCACATAGCGCACCATAACAATGACTCGACACACAGCCTCCCCTTCAGACGTCACCGCCCGACCCAGTCCGAAGCACATGCTCCCCGTCGGTTCGCTTCAAAGGAAGCTCTCTCGACCCTGCCCCATCTGGTTGCAGGGCTCAATGCCGAACGCGAGCGGCGCACACACGCAGGGAACATACCTAATCCAATAAATCCGACCAACCGCAGTGCAGGCGGCAGCAATGGTCCCAACAACACGGCTGCGCATGTCTTTGGACCCTCCGCCGCCATGTCCAGCGACTTCCAGGCAGGCGGCCGCTACGACTACAATGCTTCTGGATTTCCCGAACTACGCCGGCGTGCGACGTCGGATCCCGCCTCTCGCGACAAACTCTCCCACCCGGCTCCAGCACATCCTCTACGCCCCAAGACCTCGCTCGAAGAAGCCCTCGATCGTGGTGATGCCGCCCGCGTCGCGCGGCGGATCCATGTCAAGGTTGAGGATCTCCAGCGCCGCGACCAGGAACTCCGGGTGGGCGAAGACGAACTCCGCTCGCGGGTTGCAGAGATAACCGCCACGGGGGTGGAAATAACTCGTCGACTAGACTATGGGTACTACAACTTGCTCGAGAAGGTCGGAAACCTGGTCAGCATGATTGGCAGTTTCCAGTCACTCGCACGACAGAGTGAGACGTTGATAGGCAACTTCGAGCGCGAGAGCAAGCGGGTCGACGAAGACACGCACCGACGGGTCAAAGTTCTACAGAGCGGATTTGAGACGAGGCAGGTGAAAGCCCGACAGTTGGCAGAGCGCGGGCAGAAGGCGAGCATGAGGGCGCGGGAGCTGTCGGCGCGACTGGAGAAGGCTCGGGCGAAGGTCGAGGAATGGGAAACCCGCGAAGAGAAATTCCGCAAGGCGTGGGACCGCGTGTGGGGGATCGTGTGGTGGACGAGCATCGCGGTCATCGTCATTGTGGTGGCCGTGGTGCTGGGCAAGGAGTGGTATTTCCACGGAGACCCCGTCAAGGCCGGGTTGAGACAGCACGGGGAGGGACACTGGAACCGGAGCTTGAGACTGGGCGGGCCCGCAGGAGGGCAGGAGAACGAGAGACTCCTTCGGCTCGGCGAGGGTGCAGGCGGTAGCAGCGACAGCAGCACCAGGGAGAACGAGACAGACACCGCAGTGACGAGGCTGAACGTGCCGGACGACGTGCGGCAGATTCTCCTCGGCGTCGCCGAGAGGAATCGCATCCGGAAGAAGGCCTTCCCGGAGGTTCCCAGCATGCTTTCCACAAACGCCCGGTTGACGACAAGTACAGAGGAAGAGCAGTGTCGTGAGGATCCGAGACTGGCCAGCTTGGACGAGCTTTGAGTGATCCCCGCGTTATCACCCACCAGTTCTCCTGCTCAACCTCTTCTTTCACGAGACTACATCTGTTTGTGTGAGCACTGTGGCTTCACTGGACGGTACAAGACGGTTCCGCCGGATGGATGGGAAGGGAAGGGATTGACCCCATGGCCATGAGTTTAGGACATGATTCTGGGCATCTTGAAACGAACAAGCGAAAAGCGATGACGAACCCCTTTCGAGGGTATTGAATTATGTTCGTTGCTGGCTTTCTTGGTTTTGTGTGCATTGGATGTTTGAAAAGAGATACCCCCCCTCAGTTTGCTTGCAAGAGGAAAATGCCTTTGATCTTTCAAATGATATCTACCTTTTGGTTTCTTGCCCAGCGGCCACACCATTGATTTTACACACCGAGACGAACCCCAAAATGATGGAGTAACAACAATGCGTCGTTGAGACGCCGTATCTATCCAGTCAGTACATTGTGAGAGGTTGAGCGGACCTCCTACTAAATACAAGCAAAAATTGCCGCCGATCTCGTCGGGGGCCCAACAAGCCTAGAAACGCCGGAAGCATTGGTGATTAAGATCCAAACGGTGTGGCGACATCCAAACCATTTCCAATCGAATATAATGTCTCAATGGAGGGCCGGTGTCTCCTTCCGCGCCGTGTGTAATGATGTATCAGGTGAAGTTGGCCGCCTGAGAGTTTGGAGAGATGGGAGCTCGACTTGTTGAAAGCTGATGAAGGGGCCCGGAAAGTGAGTGTGGAGGTAGTACAACGGTGATAACAATGGCGATGGATGAATGTCGCCCAAGCCTTCTCTCATGCCGGAAGCTTGTTGGACATTCCTGCGAAAGCAAGGCTGCCCTACTGTTATTCCAGCAATAATCGGATATGAACATCTGGAGCAGCGGCACCAGAAGACCACAGAGACCACATCTCAATCATGCAGAGAATCGACGCTTTGAATGGGATTACCACGGTATCCCGCCAGAAGATCATCTGCTGGCCCCGTTGACACCGTTCGAAATCTTGAATCCAACAACTGCTTTTTCTAGTGCCTGCAGGACATCCTTCTTGAGATCCTCGGCATCCTCAACACCACAGCTGAGTCTGACAAGATCGTCAAAAACGCCGATGGCCTCACGTTGCTCCTTAGGTATGCCGGCGTGCGTCATAGCGCTAGGAACCTCGCACAAACTTTCGACGCCTCCTAAGCTTTCGGCAAGAGTGAAGATGCGAGTTTGTTGACAGAATCTTTCTGCAGCAGAGTGACCGCCTTTGAGACGGAAACTGAGCATCCCACCACCCATGCCTTCGCGATGCTGCTTGATGGCAATCGCTCTCTGCTTGTGAGAATCCAGACCAGGGTAGTTCACCGCAATGACATGTGGCGAGGCCTCCAGTGCTCGAGCAACAGCCAGTGCATTCGTACTTGCCTCTCTTGCTCGGAGATGGAGCGTCTTAAGCCCTCGGTGGGCTAGCCAGCAATCGAATGGTGAAGGCACCGCTCCAATGGCGTTTTGGAGAAAGGTCAATCGCTCTTTCAGTTCTTCCGAGTTGAACGCAGCAACGCCCATAACAACGTCTGAGTGTCCGTTAATGTATTTTGTCACAGAATGCACAACGATGTCTGCTCCGTGATCCAGTGGATTCTGCACGTAGGGCGACAAGAATGTATTGTCCACCACGACCAGAATGCCATGTCTGTGGGCAACTGACGCGACATTCCTGATGTCAACGAGACTCAGTGTAGGATTTGAGGGACTCTCGATCCAGATGAGTTTCGTTTGCTCCCTGATCAACTCTTCAATGTCCAGTTCAATAGAAGGCGAAAATGTGACCTCGACTCCATGTGCTAGGGCCACTTTTGTGAAATATCGATGAGTGCCTCCGTAGACGTCCGAGACAGATATGACATGTGAGCCCGAAGCGAGCGACTGGAGGATTGTTGCCGTTGTAGCTGAGCCCGAGGCAAACGCCAGAGCGAATCGAGCGTGTTCAAGGGCGGCCACGGCTTCTTCAAAATTGTCACGATTTGGGTTCGCGCTGCGACTGTATTCATACAGCCCAATGGGCTTCCCCACAGCGGTTTGTGCGAAGGTCGTCGATAAGGACAGAGGTTCGATGACGGCGCCTGTGGAGGGATCTATAGGTGCGCCGGCATGGACCGCAAGTGTCCCAAAGTTGTAGACGGGGGAAGGGGCTCGAGCAGGTGTGACGATGCCGCCATCTTCGTTGGTCAAGATGCGCTCGTTGGGTCTGAGAGGACGGGGCGAGAGAGGGACCTGGACTGGAATGGTCATGACGGCCGGCGAAGGCTGATTCTTTCTGCTTTGCTTCAAGACAACGACAAAGAAGAAAGTGGTGTGGAGCGATGGAGGAGCCCGGATTCTTATTGCGGGGGTCAACGACTTTAAGCTGGAGGGGAAGGACAGGCAAAGCAACACAGGTAGGATTTCAGCGACAACGGGGAAGAGAGCGAGGTTATGTACTTGTTGAGCACTATTTCATCTTGTTTGTAAGAAGAGACATTTTTGGGGATCAGTGGTCCCTATCCGATGGAATTCTCTCGTTTGACCCGCGAGTCGTCAAACCAAATATTTAATCAATCAGACAAAAGGGCAAGAGATGACGTGCTTGTTGATTAGGGGATCCAGGCACCTCCCAGGCACGACAGGCAGTTTCTGCAGGCCTAGGGAGCCCAGAACGCCAATGCCGGGCGGGCGAAAGGCTCCTCCGCGTTTAAATTTAGTGGCCCCTCGCCCCTACGCCGGCCTGGCGCCCATCCAAAGGGCGTGATGACAAACCCATTCCAGAGGCAATTGCAGTAGTTGCCGCTTAACCACGGCTAGCCCCGCCAGTGCTGGGAATACTTGCTCCCACAGACACCAACCACTTCTCTCTCATTAACCAATAGGCAGGTCGTCGTGGTGAGTATTGGCTCGATAAATGGTCCGCTGGAAGGTGTCAGATAATGTCGACGAGCAGTATAGCCTTCTCCAGCAAGCAGAATGCGCACAACCACATTCGATCGCTTGCAGCTTCGTGTCACCACCAGTCCACACCGCCCAGCCCAGGCTCGCCCATTGATGCCTGAACCAAGTTAGAAACAGCTTCCACGGCCCGTGATCTGGACATTATACCTCGATAGAGTAGGGCACTCTATGCTCTACCACCGGGTCTGGTTCAGGCTCGCCCGGTTTCCTGATCTTGGGAGGTGTTGGTGCTTGGTCATTCCACTTTTCGGCCTCGACACGTATGTTGACGATCGTGCCTTCGTCGAGGTAGATTGGATCACCTTCAGTCTCCCAGACCCAGGTCTTTTCGGTCTCGTTGCTGTTGACGGCTCAATACGGCGTTCGGAGGTGTTTGTTCCTTGGCTCGACTCACTAGACACAACCCTCGAACAGCATGGTTGGCGGGACAAAAATGTCGTCGAAGAATCGGGTTGTAACTTGACGCCGTAGAGTTAGCTCCCTGTTCGAGAAGCAGTGTGTACGACTTACCCCGAATGCCTTCAGGTGTACATTTCTGGATAACGCCGGTAATGATCTCGCCTTTGAAGGGTCGAAACACAATCATTCGGAACTGAACTTTTCCTCCCTATCAGCTCCAAGGTAATCGAGGAGTCAAAAGACTTGATATACCATTGACATTGGCATTTCCCGTGCCATGACCGATCAAGCCATCAGAAGCTTTCAGCAGATCATACATGCAAATGCACAGCCCGACCTTCTGCACAACCTGGCACCGGGGTCAGAAATTGAAATCCAAGTACGTTGGAGAAGCAGACTTTGTTTGAATATTTCTCATTGATGCGATCTTCGAGGTCTTGCCGGGTAATTTGGTTGTTCACAAATCCATGTGGCGGTATTTGCACGACATCGTCGAAGGTGGTCTACCGAATTAGTATTCCCTAGAATCCCGACCTGGCGGAGTGATGAAGCAACCGTACGAGGATGAACATATTCCTACGGGATGCGCAGAAGATTCCGTGATTGTGACTCGGAGGGAACGAGACGTAGCATGTTCTGGGACTCAGAGAGGGCGGGTATGTATTGGAAAGCCGTCACGACGAGATTGAGTGGTATAGGAAAATCTTTCTGGACATAAAAGCGCCTTTGATGGAGGTTCCGCTGTGGCGCCGCTTTAGACAGCAAATAGTCTTGGCGGGCTGCTTTTCATCTCCCAAGGGAACGTTGGGAATAACGAATCTCGCTCCATCGGCCACCTTTCCACCTTGATCTTGCCAGTGTCGCCATTGCCACTGTTGCCATCGCTGCCCTACGCTTTATATCCGATCATCCGTAGAAATGCCTTGCGCTTTGCTATGTCCGCTTCACCTTCGATGCCTTTGGGACTGAAGCCATCCACAACGCCTAGAATTCCCCGTCCCTGCTCTGTCTGTGCCACGATAACCTCCACGGGATTCGCTGTAGCGCAATAGATGCGACAAACTTCGGGAACAGTCCGGATGGCACCAAGGACATTCAGAGGATACATGTCCCGTAGGAAAATGATGAAGCTGTGGCCGGCTCCGATGGCCATGGCGTTTCGCTGGGCCAAAGCGACAAGCTCTGGATCGGTTCCTGAATAACGGATCAAGCAGACGTCCGACGCCTCACAGAAGGCAAGGCCGAATTTGGCTCCCGGCACAGCGTTGAATATAGCCTCGTGGAGGTCTTCGACCGTTTTGATAAAATGGGAGTGGCCTAGGATCAGATTGAGGCCCTGCGGGTTATCGATGAGAACGGTTTTGAGTTCCATATCTTGCCAGTTCGCTTGATTCTTGAGATGTCGCTCAGTGTATTTAACATAGTATCTTTTTGGACGTGTTGGGTAGCCTTATATCCGGCTGATTTTACAGTCAACGCCATCAGGTGATGTTTAATTCTCACCTGTTCCATGCCATGTTTCCACAGCCTCCGACCCATTGAATCTTTGTGTATGACGAACGAGTGCACCGTTGCGTGACAGACTGGCTCTAAATGACATGGGCGTCTGCATCGCAAGGCGTCGAATTTGTTCGCTTTTACTTGCACATACCTGCGTCCGCGTACTGTTTGATGCGTTTGCTTTCCCAAGCCTCAGAAACGAATAATCAACCTCAAATATGAGTCCAAGACAATGTCAAATGCATAGTGCCTATTAAAATAGACATAACCATGTATTGGTCCACTGGCGATGCAGATTTTGAAGTACGGAGGAAGTTGTGTTGGATGGAGTGTTGTCTCTTGTAGATGGCGAGTGGAGGATGAGCAGGGCGGCGAGGGATTGGTCAAAGGTGATGCCGGATTCCAGCCTTGCCGCTCAGCCTTGCGCGGCGGGCCTCTTCCAAACAAAAATTTGGGGTTCGCCGCCGCTGCTCGCTTCGCGCAACTATTTCCAAACTTTTCTGCTTGGTAAACTAGGCACGCGGGCATTTTGTCTTGTGTCGTGTATCTAGATGATCCAAAAAGTATTTTAGCAGTGCTCCCTGCACTTGTCGTTGCACCTTCTGGATGTCAGGCCAGCCCTTCTCTTTCCCTCCTCCGCCTCCACCTCCTCCCAAGACAACGGAAGGTGCTCACCCGCACACCCAGACCTTTCAGGGCAGCAGAGGGTCATTCAGGGGCGGTCATTCTTTCAGAGGACATGCAAGAGGTGGTCGTGGAGGATATGGAAATAGTCGTCCAGGGCAGACTACATCGACCGCAGTGTACAGTCAGAATCGATTCCAGAAACCCTTGAATAATGGTCCACAAAGGGGCGGCTTTCTCAACGCCGCGCAGAAGCGGGATCATAGCACTGCGTTTGCCCCGGTCCACCAACACCGCCCGCGGCCTACGGCTGCGCCCGCGGTACCTAGCTTCAACGCTTCGATCGAACATCTGTTGACTCGCAGACCATCTGTTGATCAAACTAGCCAGAAATCACCTGAGCCCAAAAAAGTAGAACCCAGAAAACACAATGTCCTTGGTTTAACTCCTGCAAAATTTGACCAAGATTCCGATCCAGAAGACGACGAAGATGAAGAACAGCGCCTGGCGAACAAAGCGACGTCGGGCGTGGGTGGTTACATATTCGAATACAATGGACATCCTCTCACTCTGCGGACTCGGGAAGAGATATTGACTTGGCTCTCAGAAAGAAAACGGCGCTACCCGACAGAGGCGCGGAGAGCGGCGGCGAAGAAGGAGGCTGAAGAGAAGAAGCGAAAATGGGAGGAGGAGCAGCAGGCCAAACGAGAGGCTAGAAAAGAGCTTCTGGCCAGAAGAGAACAAGAAAGAGCCGAAAGACTGAAAGCAACGGACAAAACGAAACAGCCACGCGAACATAACCGGAGTTCTCGGAGTCGGGAGGAGACCACAAACACAGATGCCGCCGCTCGAGCCAAATTGAAAGCCGATAAGTTACGAAAGAGAGCTCTCAAAGCGCAACAGCAGTTGGAGAAAGCGGAGGAAGCGTTGCGGATTGCTGAGATGAAAGGGACTTCCTTAAATTCCTCGAGTACCGCCACGATACGCAGTCCATGTCCAACCCCAGAAGCTGGCGATGTCTCGTCCAATTCTGACCTCACAGACTCAGATGTCACCTCATCCTCTGGCTCGTCCACAAGCTCCGGCTCAGACTCCGATACAGATTCGGATGCTAGCTCTGATTCAGGTTCCATTCCAGAAGTAACGAGCGCTAAACAGGCGTCTGGTGCTCATGCCTCTCTACCGCCGGGACCACGGTCGGCAAGGCCTCAAGCGCCTCAACTCTGCAAACATTTTGCTAAGTACAAAACTTGCAAATGGGGCTCAAGCTGCCGCTATTCGCATGATATCATTCGAAAGGACGGGAGAAGCGACAAGGGAACAACCACGAGTCTGCACAAACATTCAACAACTACCGCTACCGGCAACGTACGGAGGAAAGGATTGTGGCAAGTCATGGTGGACAAGGAGAAAGAAGAAAGCAGGAAACGCCTGCTAGGTGCCATCATTGGCCTGGGAGAGAAAGGACTGCTTGAGAGTCCATCACAGAAGGCAGACGGCACTATATAGGATGCAAACGTTCTCTCAGTTATTATTTCACCATCCAACCATCTTTCGATGAAGCAAGCGGTTACGCACTCATGAGCGTTTTAGCGACTTCGCGCTGGCTTTAATACATCATTTGACCCTCCCGTTCGCAATCCCTCCGAAGCAAATCCACGACAAACCCCCGCCCTTCTCTCCCTTCCCTGATCCCAATCACACCCCCTCCGCCTGCCAGAGGGAAACAATGCATTTGCCCTTCCCACACCAACCACTTCCCCGTCACGCCGAGCCTCTGGCACTTGCGCATGAACTCGATCCCGTCCGGCGCCAGCACGTCGTGCGTGCCCAGGACCCCGTGCACGTTTACCTGACGGTCCTTCAGAGCGTGGAAGGCGGCTTCAGGGTTGCGGAGGGGCGAGACGCTGGAATCGGCAAGCGGGATCGCTCCGTACGAGGACGGATCCTGGTTCTTGGGACCGTGGCCGTTGCCGTCGCTGTTCCTGTTCCCGGTCCAGACTTCTGCGACCTCCCGCGTCAATGCTGCCGTGAGGACACAGTCGAGCTTGTCCGCCTCGCGAATTTGCGGGTTGCTGTTCGTCAGGTCCGTAGGAGCTGAGATGCTGATCAGGGACGTGAGTGGGAATCTAGGACTCGTCCTCGGTGTCCCGTTGGGTGGTCGCATGGTCCCATCGTCGGCGAGGGATGGATCCGCTCTGGGAGAGACTTGCTGCTGCTGCTGCTGCTGCTGCTGTGGTGTCAATGCATAATTCTGCACGGCCCAGAATCCCAGACTCAGCACGACGTTCCCACCGCTGCTGTCACCCATCAGACTCAGCGTATCCCCATTCTCCACCGCCTCGTCCAGCACCTTCGTCAACCACTGCTTGAGAACCCGCAGACTCTCTCTCGCCGGACTGTTCGGCGCGAGCGGGTAACTCACGAGGACCAGCTCGATGTCCATATCCCGACGCAAGATGTCGGCACGTGGACTATTCTCGGCGGCTGGAGGGTGAAGACGACGGTTCGCCAGGTCCTGCGTGAGCAGGGCCAGGAAGCGCCAGTGCTCGGGCGCAGGAGGGGTTTGGAACCCGCCGCCGCAGAAGTAGTAGACGCGGTGTCTGCGTCCGCAGCCTCGAGGATTCACGGCCTGTCCGTGGTGGCCAGTGCTGCCGTCGCTCACCACGCCACTCGCGAGATTCCCAAATCCCCCACCGCCAGCGGCAGACATCCCATCCCCTCTTGGGCCCCCTGCCCTTTCAACGCCCCCTTTCCCCTTTCCCCCGGTCGCGCGAACCCGGTACATCCACACGCCCTCACACCGCGTCTCGGCGATCTCAACGTTCCGCTTCTTCGGCGGCGACAGACGCGGCGACCCCGCCGGCTGGGCTGGGTCGCGGGGCCGGACGAGACGAGGACGGAGCGGCTTGATCACGGCTCGCAGCACGCGGTAGAGCAGCGAGAGGTCGGCCCGCGTGGTGATTTCCACGCCGTGGGGGACCGGCGCGCGAGGCTGGCCATCGTGGTGGTGTCTGGGGCGGTTGCTCGCCGTCGTTGTTGCTGTCGTTGTCGTGGGAGGAGTGGTCACTGTTGACGCGTCGTGTGGGAGTGAATGGATGGCTTCTTCGACAGGAGGACGGTCTCGTGCTTGGAGCATGATTGCTCCGTCTGTCTCCTCGGGCGGTATGCTTTGTCTTGCCTTGTCCTATCGTATACCGTTTCGTCTCGTCTCGTTCTCTTCCCTCGTTTCTTGCCCGGTATATAGATCCTAGGACCCCATCTCCGAGTGAAATCACCTCGGGCGTCCAGAGGATGTACGTATCAAGGGTCGCCAATGGTGAGTAGACGTCAGACCAGATGCGAGGCAAAAGCACCGAGGGATCGACGAGACACACAGATCGGCTTGTATGTTGTCTGGTATCTCGCTCCTAGGTAGTCACAATGCACACGATCATGAATCCGGCCGCCACCAACTCTACCTAGATACCATGTATTTGGAGATGCGATCTGCCTAGATTCCTAGAACACATGCATCATCATACATGGCTTCACAACACCACCACTTCGTACCCGTGACTCGCCTCGAGAGTTGGTATGCATCTCACCACTCAGGAAAGAAAAGTCGTCGACGTCATGATTCATTAGAAACCGAGTTACGTGAACAGGCTTTCCCCCATGATTCCCATTCAGACTCCAGCCGGCGCCTTGCTCCAGTCCACGTACCCACCCCGAGCGACCGACCACCCAGGACAAGGTTGGGAGGCCGATCTGAGGATCTTCGTATTAGCCACACCACTTGCGTGATAAGCGAGCAATAGTGCCAAAACCCGGTGAGATTGAGTAAAGATCCGTCTCGACTCAAGACCTTCCAAGTGCCAACAAGTACGAGGTACGCAGGCACGTAGGTCAACTTTAAGAACCCAACCCGGACCTGAGTAAACCAATTTGTATCTCATCGCCAAACAACAACTGATGTCCAAGTACGGTGTACAACACCACGCTTGCTTCCTCGAATTTTATTATTGTTGTGAATATCCCCAACATACACACACACAAGTGGAAAATCAGCTCCCTATTGCGTCTTTTGCTCGCCTTTTGACTTTCTTAACCACATAGCTCAGGAGTAAGTGTTGCCCATGGTCCGACCATCCATCCTCCCGAAGTACTCTAGGGCCTTTGGATCAAGACATCGAGCTTACCTTCCGACCTGACTGTGTCTCGATCCAGCCTTCACCGCGGCCACCCTTCATTCGTGCCTCCGGGATAGATCGCCATATATTTGTCGACTCGTGGCTGATTCGTATCCTGGTAGCGGAGATGGGTTGCTGTGGCGTAGCGTAGGTGTAAACCACGTCTGAGATGCTTCTGGAAGCGACGTGAAGATTAAATTTGGCATCATGGTTCCAGGGTGCATTCCAGGGAACGTGTTTTGGCCAGGGCCAGAAAGCCAAGGTGGTTGCTCAAATGGAACAAATGAAAGTGGCATCGAGCTTCCAGGGTGCATTCTAGGGATCATGTTTTGGCCAGAGGCAGAAAGCCAAGGCGGTTGCTCAAATGAAAATGACATCGGAGGCGCCGCTGACCGAGGGGCATTTCTTTCAGCGGGATTTGAGATAGATTCAGTGCCTGAACGTCCCAAAATCGACATGGAGTCACCATATATTGATTCGGGAGGTGTAATTGGCTCGTTTCTGGCCTCTGTATTGTTCCCTTCATTGTCACTAGGTCGGATCCCAGCAGAAGGAGAATATATCGGAGGTTGTGGTCGGGTGGTTTCCCGTGGCCCTGATGTATTCATATATGGATCTGAAGTGGAAATCCCAGAGATTGCCTTCGAAGCAACTCTAGCGCGGTGTCTAGCAGGACGAGGTACCTCGGAGTTCAGTTTGCAGAGAGGAACTTTCTCTCCAGCTAGTGGATTGGACGAGGAAGTCGCTTCTGGCCCAGCAGAATCAACGCTCCGCAGAAGTCTCCTTGATGATCGACGGCGTGCAATCACCTCTTCGATTTCATGCACGTTAGGCACACAGCCGCATTGGGCCGGATAGCTCGTATTCGCTCCACATTTGTAACAAAAGCGCCCACCGCACGAGCAATGGATCTGGTCGCATCCGTCGATCCTCTCGACCAGATTCTTGCAGCTCGGGCATTGTTTCCATTGCTTGCTTCTAGCGAGTGTGCGATCCCTCACGTCCATCAAGTCTTCAAGGCTCTTGCAGGGGTCGCCTTCAGCTCCGACATGGTCAGCGCGTCCTTGTTTGCATTCCACACAGGTCTCGGCACCGCAGTTGGAGCACAAGAGAAACTTTTCCTTGTTACCAGTCTGACTCGAGGGAATGTAACGACTGCAGAACTTGTTAGAGCAATAGACCGGGTTGGGGGCTGAGTATTCTTCATGAACGCTAAGATAGCGGGACCAGACTGCCTCATCAAGATGTTGTTGGATTGAGCCAATGTCCATGGGCAGCTGAGCATAGCAGCATTTTGGTGGCCAGGAGATTCTGTTGGCGGTGCCAGCGCTGACAAGTTGATTGAGACAAGTTCGGCAATAGCAATGACCACAATCGAGAAAGATGGGGACCTTCACTCGGTCGAAGCATGCTCGGCAAACGACGACCTCGCCTTCTCCGGGCTCCGAAAATTGAGTGCGCCTCAATTTGCATCTTCGTCTGGCCTGTGGAGAATGCGCATGGATTGCACGTTTCTTAACCGTCTCCTGGTGATGCTCCGGATTCCTGTCTGGAGACCCCTTTAGGAGAGCCGCATCTCCAACAGCTACCCTAGAATCTTGCAAATTATTAGTGGTGGGACGCGGATCAAGGTCCACGGGGTTCTCCTGACGTGGTTGGCTTGTCATTTTGGGGCTTGAATCTGTCGTCTGTTCAAGTACTTCGACGTCGAACAGAGTTAAAGTGTCTGAATCCCCGCGCCAGAATGCGAGAAAAGCTGAGAGGTGCTCAGTGAGACCAATAGCCCGCCTCGTTCTGCGCAAGATGACTTTGGGTATGGCGGAGACGTGGTTGCCTGAGACGGCTCCAGTACCAGATTGACCGGAGCTATGACCAGTGTGATGCTCTGTCTTTTGTATTCTTCCATTGTTTGCCATAATCTGTGACGCGTGGGGTATCGTAGGAAGGAGAGGGGAGTCGAACATATACCGACGTCCGGAGGACTAGAGGGTAGACTCCGCAGGTAGTAGACAGACACGAAGACGATAGTTCGAAGACACCCAGAGGATGGCAGGGAGCCCTTCTTTGAGCCGGGTCAACGTGTGTTGGGTGCAAGTGTATTCAGCCTTGTCAAGCTAAGTCGACAGCATCAGTTGCATCAACGTATTGGGGGAAGACCTGTCAACAGTAAGTAGAGAAGGAGAGTGAACAGGTCATTGTAACGGCATCAGAGATATAGAGGCAGTCAAACATGTACAGATGGCAGTTGAGAGAAGGTGGTGAATCAAGAGGTAGATGGACATGTCACTGTAGCCGTGCAAGTGGTGTGGTGGTTGACGTCGATTGGCGGGGAAGCGACTGGATGTGCTGTTGTGCTCCCCTTGGCAGCTTTCGCTTCATCAGGCGGAAGGCAACCATCTCGTTGCATCCCCAATATGCGCCCAGTTACAGCGTTCTTCATTTCGCCTCGAATCCAGTCGACCATCCCATGTCGCAAAGCAAACTGTCCGAACCGTACACGGTTAGCCGTCCCCCCAACCCCAGCAAGGTGCGCGGAGGGAGATTGTGAGAAGCAAGCACGAGAAAGAGGCGGTAACATTTGTAGCTGCCAATGAGAGAAGACCCTGCATTTTCATCTGCGAAAGGATGTGCAATAACGAAGATGGCGAGGTTGAGCTGTTTTCTTTTCTCCTTGCTGGTGAGGATTCGGCTTGAATTTGGCCCTAGCGGGTTGGCCGGGTCCGCACGAGATTCATCAGGATCGGCAATGTTGGAAGTCATATGAATTCTCATCACACAATGTAGACGACCCCCAAGGACTAAAGGATGAGTATTGCTTCATCATGGCAACCTCTGTGGCAGGCGACTAAGATCCTCCTCACTCCTGTGTGATATGGTGTTTGTGACCATTGCTCGTCACTGCTGCCGCGTCTCCTACCGGACCTTCTTTGTTGATTCACCTCAACACCATGTTTTGCCTGTTTGTTGCAGTTTGCTGTCGCCATTGTTGCTGTGCTTCTGTCGTGCTCTCTATCTTCTAGAATCTACACTCACCCCTTCCAGCAAGAGCTGTTTGTGCTTCATAAGTGCTTCTCAAGCATTGCGTCGACATATTGCTTGACCACCATCTGCCTCCACCTCAGCCGCAATTATGTCCGCCCTGCCCACTTGTCCTGGTGAATACCATGTCAGGTCCTTCCCCATCAAGTCCCGGGATTTTTCTGATAGTGACAGCATCGAAGCTCTCACTCCGATTTCGTCAACCGGTGCCCAGCCTTCCACCCCTGCCGAAAGCGAAACCAGCGGGTCTGTGATCAGCGAAGCAACTGCAGCATTGCACAATGAACTTGACAGGAAATTGGAAGCCCTCGTTCTGGCCGAAGAGACAGTGCCTCCTTGCGGACAGCCAGCGGCCGATCTCCCCACCGAAGCGCCTGCGCCAACTTCTAGAGATCCGTTCGGATTCGTGTGTGCTTTCGGCTTCACCGGATCATTCGACGAGCCATCAGCCGTCCCCAGGACGAAAGGCGCCTTCCTCGATGCAATCAGAGGCGAGATCGAGGGAATCGGCATGACCCAGAGAGGTCTCCAAGCCTACCAGAACGCCATCAACTCTCGAAAGTATCATACATTCAGCACAAAGTTTCTCATTGATCAGAACACCGCCACCGTCATCACTCTCGACCAGTTGGATCAAATAACTACCCACCTGAAGAAAGTCGAGGAAGAAGTTCAGCAGATTGAGAACGAAGACGAGGAGGTCAAGGACGAGCTTATGGAAGCCTTCAGGCATGCCCAGCCTTGGGTGATGCGTACACGGGCCATCCTGCGACATTGTCATGTTTTCTACAAACTCAACTTTGTCCTAGCCACTGGGAAGAAGACTACACAGTCTTGAAAAGAGGTGGCTGTGGTTCAGAAGTAACTGGTATCCTTCCGTGCGAAGGGGTGAAAAGGCGTCGTCTCAGGATGTGTCGGAGTCAAGATGGCCGTCAGAGGTGTGGCATTGGTGTGACAAACGACAAGTTGCGCTTGTTGTTTGTAGTGAAATGATTGAATCTCTTTTCGTGGTTTACTTCGCTCCTTCCGATGCTCACCATGCCACTCGAAACTACCGGTGAAGTTGAGCACCGTCTCCGAACCCCTTATCTTCTCTTTATTCCGCAATCTAGATTATCTCTTGACACAGACATTGCTCTATTGGCTGCGGTGACCGTTCTCTGGTCACGGACGCCGTTCTTTCGCAGGTTTGCAGAGCCCAACGATAAGCCAACATCCTGCAGCGGCGCTGGATACGAGCCAAACAGCTCAATCGAGCCCAACCGAGCGACCAATGGGCTGATAAGCGGTCTGGCTTTCTTAAAGCCAGCACCCAATCGTGTTTGTCTCTTATCACGGTCTTGCGAGGTCCAGACTGACCGAGCCGCCCTCTTTGCCTCCGTGGTTGCCAGCGCCTGCCGGATTCCCAACTCGTACCGACTTTGCCCCCAAAACGATGGACGGAGCCTTCCAAGAAGAGCCCCATAAAAGGATGCATTGGCTTCATGCTCTCAGCGTTACTCAGAGTTCAGCGGGTGGCGCTGGCTAAGCAGAGGGCGATCTTCGATCACCCCCTGCTGCCTCTCACGGCCCTGACATCCAGGCCCCTCGTGCGATGTTGCTAACTAGCTTAGGCGCCGACTCCAGGCATCGAGGGGTAAGCAGGGGAAACGGTGAGGGGCAGCCAGAAACCAAAAAAAAAAATATAAACAATGGTGACAACACAATCGAAACAAAACCGGATGAACTCGTTTCCCTGGGTTGGCGACTGAGGACACGCTGCTGACCGACAGTCCCCCAAGCCTCCTGCAACTTCACATGCCATTCGCTCCCGACCTCAATCTCAGCATCTTCGATTTCTTCACCGCCAGAAGCTCGACCGTGGGTCGAGTTCGCGCGCACGCGAACTTGACCCCTCCATCGTTCAAAGCTAACGGCACCGACCTGCGGCGACATGCGGCGCCTTGCTCGATCCAGCGGGCCGTCACCGACTGTCACGCGTTTTCATTTGGCCTCAGGATCAATCGGTGAGGACCATGCTTGCCCTGATTGGGTCTTTTACACACGACGTGGCCGTTGATGCTTTCGCTTTCAGGCGTGGGGCTTGCCTCAATCAAATTGTGCAATCCACCCTGCTCCCAATTGAGAGAGTTTTAGCAGAAGGGGTTGGAACGAAAGCAAGTGAGGGGTGGAGGGGTAACATGATGTATATAAACACCATCCACGCGGTGGCACGACCTTCTTCTTCCTCTTCTTCTTCAAGCTCTTCAAGCCCAAGTCTTCATCTCAGTCTATCTTCCAGCCAGATCATACTTGACCCTTCTACCTTACCTTCACCACCAACACCATCACCATGGCCGACGAAGCTACCAAGGCTCACCTCCGCACCAAGTTCGACAAGCTCACCGCCGATGACTTCAAGGAGGTTGCAGGCAACAAGGAAGCCCTCGCCGCCAAGGTCGCCGAGAAATACGGCATCTCCAAGGACGAGGCTACGAAACAAGTCGAGGAGGGTTTCGCTGGCAAATAAGTAGCGAACACTTTTGGCCCAACGGTTCACTCCTCCAAGCTCCTCCTCTCCGGCCAACAAATACAAACCCCTCTCTCCACCAAGGGGACGGCAGTCATATCATCATACTGAAACAAAGGGAGGAGGAAGATGGAAAGAAGAAGAGTTCGGGAATGTTACATACCGTACCCAAGACACACTGGGATTGATTCTCCATAGCGAAGGAGTCAGAAAAGCCTACAATTCATACCTTGACCAGCTTCGACCAGAATTGATAGAACAAAGGGAACAAGCATATTTTAGACGGACGTCGACGGCACCTGTTTTTGATCTCCTAGATTTAATCGTCTTTACTGTTTCCCGAACGAGCTCGTTGGTGTGCAAGTTGTCGCTAAGTTACACCACCCCCTGACCCACGACGAAAGCGAGTTCGATTTTGCCTTGCCTTTGACCCTTCACGCCGTGCCCCTTTTTGTTTCAGCCTCACGCATGTTATATTCCGTAGCCTCAGCCATGGACTGTAACTACGGCAGATTCCTCGGACACAACATTGTCTCTCTCGTGGTGACCGTGTTGATTCTATTTGCCTTGTCCTTTCCTCTCCTCTCCTCTCCTCTCTTGTTGTTCACTCTCGCATTTGTCTTGGCCGTCCCCCATGCCTTGGAACGGCGGTGCTTGAACACCAACACTCGAGACACGCACGGACAACTGGTCTCAGTCCACCTTCACGCGTGTCTCTCTTCCCGCCTTCTACCTTCTTTCCGCACCGGCATTGTACCCAGTCCTCGCCCAGTCCCCCTCCTCCCTAGGTCCTCAATTCTCAATTTCCCACTTCTCGATGCCACGTCCCTTACCGCCCCATCCAGCCTGACAGTCCTGGATCCTTGGACCGCTCCTTAAAGGCTCACTCAAGCCAACGGTGCCGTGACACGTAAGGTACATGGGCACCCGTCCACCGCCCGCTCCCTCTCCCGTATTTGGTTGTTATTATTCCTTTCCCACCTACTCTACCCGTAGGGTGCCGTCCCGTCCCTGTCTGGCCAGGTACATGCTCGACACGGGAATACCCAACCCAGCCCGAACCGGGAGGAGCGGACCCAAGCATGCCCTCTTCACACTACGCATGCATGCATGCATGCATGTACCTACCACATAGGGAGGTTATGTACCCAGCGCGTACCCGTACCTGCACCTGCACCTGTACGTGTACCCAAGCCTGACGACAACGTCCTAGGGTAGCGACCGCGGCTTGGCAACGGCGTCTCCTTGTGCCTGTGTTGCACCTAGCTTGGAAGGAAACAGAAGGGAAGAGAAGAGAAAAGAGAGCACAGAAAGACGGGCCAACTAGGGGAGCCAGCCAGCCAGACGCATCCTGGGGACCCGCTAATAATAGACGGATACTTGGATAGGGAGGGAGAGAGGGAGGGATGGATGGACGGCACAGGATGGGTACATTCTCATTAGCTATCACCCATCACCACACCAACACCGACACCAATACCCACCAGCCAGCCAGCCTCACTTTGAGGAAAACGAGGTCCGTAGGCTGCCTCATTAGCCACCTAGCCTCCGAGCCACCTAGTGAGCGGCGTGGAGAGCCCGCCATCTAGCTACATGCGGTATTGCAGCTTCCCACAGGACGACAAGAGCGCGGACCAGCGACTGAGGAAAGCCATGGAGCTTGGGCATGGCCATCTACCATTCTGACACACCGACAGCGACGGGGAGAGAGCACACCAACCAACCAACAGCCACACGGTTCGGCACAGCAACCCTCGACATACTGCAGCAGTCATGGGAAATCCCGCCTTGGACTCCCAACCTCTTGCCTGGGGATGTTTGAAGAAACTCGGTGTTCGTTTTCTATACCGTTAAAAATACTCAAAGTCAGATATACTAGGGACATAATTCTTGTACAGCTCTGAATGCGCCCGCCCTGAAACCATCTCGCTTTCCTCCAGTATGGAAAGGCCTCGTTAGGACGTTCTTGCACGCAATGACTGGTGGGAAGAATCAGGTTGAGCATGACAGCCTTTTGCCTGCCCCAAGCTGACATTTCCGACCAGCCTCGCTTGGCTTGTCGGCAAGGTGTGATGATCCCATCGTCCCGCGAAACACTGATCCAGCCCTCGACGAAGCCTCTGTCAAGGCGGTGTTCTTTTCTGTCCAATGCGGCGTCGTTTCATCCTGGCCTGAGAGAGACTTTTCCTGCCCTTGGCGCTCCCAATGATCATTCAAACTTCTTCCTCGTCATCCAACCCATCCCCCAGCAACTCGTCATCCTCTACAACTTGAGAGTAATCCTGTCCTCTTCTTGAAAAAGCATCTCTCGAGCGATAAGGAGCACCATACCCAGCATCCGCTCCTCTTCCCACCCCGAACCTTCCGCCCGAACCACCACCTCCACTCCCGAGAGGCATATATCCTCGTGCACTCCTCCACAAGCTCATGACGAGTAACGGCGTCGCTTTGGCCACCGCGACCACACCACTCACCACCACCACAGGAATCTTGATCCACAGCGGATCGCCGCTTGCTCCAGAAGAAGCGCCAGCAGCAGCCATGCTTTCTCCAAGCCGAATTTGTCCAAACGAGCCGAATCCGCTCTGCCACCTCGTATATACCCAATATCCAATGCCGAGGGAGACTGCAATTGGGACAACAATCGCAAAGAACAATGCTACCCCTGTGATGCCATGCTTCTTCTTGTATTCTTCTTCATGGCCTGGGCAAGGTCTTGATTCCAGCTTGTCCAACTCTCTTCCCCCTTGGCACGTCGTGAGCGGTATCCTCCTGTATCCGGTAGGATACCAGAACTCGAGTTGACCCGGATTGTCTCGACACTTCTGCTCGTGATCGGCTGGTTGCAGTCCCGGAACCAGTTGGCACGTTCCGTCGGCTTGTGCCTGGTAGTTGTAATCACATTCAAAGTCCTGACGCGTGCAAGAACAATTTCTGGCGATGTTGTGCAGGTGACTGATGATCTTGCCGTTGTAGCACTTTGCATCGGCCCGTTTGCGGTGATATTGAGCTACGTGGCCGAACAAGCAGTTTGAATCTTGCATAGGATGCTTGGGTTCCCAGAGTGCATAGTCGCCCTTTTCGGGGTTCTTCTCGTCGAGTTCACATTTGACTTGACGTTCTTCGAGGCCAGAAAAGTCTAGGTGCACGGTAAAGATGCCACGTTTAGCGTTGGATCCCAATTCGCGACCCCAAAGGAGGAAGTTGCGAGAGTTGTCTGACGGCACAGTAGTGATGGCGTCAATCTGCATTTCCACATCCGGGGAGAACACAAACTCTCGCCACGTTCTGCCTTCATCGAGGGTGTAAAAGAGAGATTTGGTGGGTTGGGATTCCTTGACAATCACGATAATGCTGCCTTGATCGCCATACTCCCACATGTAGCTGCCCTTCTTGACGGATTGCCAAGTGATGCCGGCGTCTCGAGTGATGAAGGTATCTGTGGCTTCGTCATCTTTTCGGACGAGGTACTCGCCAACGTTGCCCACAGCCATCATTAATCCAACTGCACTAGGGCTAGAGAATGTGGCTGACTTGTCGGCGCGTTCGGTATAACTGTGAATGTGCAAGGAACATTTTCCAGTCGCCTTGTTAGCCTCTTCCACGCAAGAGTACTTGTTCCCCAGCGCATCCTCTTTCGGGGGAGGGAGATAGGCCCACTGGGCACCATCGTTGTGGGTAATCATCGACTTGAGCTTCTTTCTCTCTCCGTTGTTCGTCTCATCCAGGTTGGACACGACGTTGACCATAGCAACTCCTTCAAGACCTTGCATTTTCTCAAAATCGACATAGCCTTCAGTGTCCCGGTTCACACCGCCCAGGGTGAATACGTAGGATGTACCGTTGCTGTTCGACTTGATGATCGCACCATATTCGTGGTCTTGAACAGCATTTACGGTGACATGAAGGAAGACGGCATGAGTAGAGCTGTCCAAGACCGTGTAGGCTTGCTGATGTTTTACTTGAAAGTTTCGAGGAAACTCCGCAGGTGCAAAGGTTCGTCCGTCCACACTTGCATCCACCTTCAAGCTCTGCTTGTCTTCTGTCTTTGCTGCGACGATGATGAACTCCGACATGGTCGCAAAGTCCAAAATATCAGGGAAATGCACCTTTGATTCGGCAAAGAAGTTGTCACTGGACAAAAGCATGAGGTTCTTGTCCGGGTTCTCATCTTGATACTGTTCGCAGTATATCAATTGATCACCACTGCCTTGGCCTTCTCGTGTGATGAACTCGCATTTTCTGGCATATCGAACCAATGTGTCCCAGTGGTCGCCACGATCTTTAGACAACCAAATGTTTGTATGGTCGTCGTTTCCAACGGCGCCCGACCAGAGTAGCCAATCCTTGTATTCAGGATGGAACCGTAAAGTTGGTAGCCGTAGAGTGCTTGGTCGTTCTGGAGCTGTGAATTTATTAAACCGAGCTCCTCGGTCGATGGTATAGTGCACAGTCTTTGAGCCTGTCAGGAAGAAAACTGCATCGTGATGGTGAGGGTTAGGCGCAATGGCAGTGATCGGTTCCCCCTTGAGGATCCGCTCCCAAGTTTTGCCATGATCCCGCGTCAAATAGATATCTTGCTCGCTTGTGCGCATGACAATGGTCTCATCAGTACCGCTGGAAGTATCGCTTCTTTCGAGATAATACCATTCAGAGAATCGATCAGCGTTGAAGTTGGTCTTCTCGACGGTGATTTCTCCCGAAGCAGGAGTCTTCACCGAATCCGAGCATGGCCTTTCGATATCCTTGTCGAGCTCTTCACCGCCCTTCCGTTGGCATTCGTTGCCAGGAATCATTCGCCATCCGGAGGGACCTTTAAACGTGTCCTTTTCGCTCTTACATGCGCCCTCTGGAACTGCAATCGGTTGTGCTGGATTGCATTTGGTGCGGTCGTCGGGGTCTCTGACAAAGTTGTAGTCACACTCAAAGTCAGCCATCGTGCAGACGCACGGTTCAAACTCAGGCACGGGGTCTTTGAACTCCTCGTCGATAAAGCATTCAGCATCAGCCTTGCGTCTCCTGAAGAATTGCTTGTGGCCCATGAGACAGCTTGGTTTGCCGTCTTTGTCGACGCGCGCGGGCCAACGCTCAAAATCATCCTTGCCGCACGCTCGTTCATGCAACCCCTCAAAGTCGATTTTGAACATGACCCACTCGGTCTTGGAGCCTGCCCCTTTGGCGCCCATCATGAGGAATTTGAGGGTGGTGGAGTCCGGAACGGTAGTGAGAAACCTTGCTCGCACTTTCTCTGGAAGGTCTGCTTTCTTCCAGGTCTTTCCATGGTCGATCGAGTATCTTATGTGGCTAGTGGAATCCTCGTCGTCAACAGCGACAATAACTGCACCCTGGTTGCCGAACTCGTACAAGTAGGCACCGTCCAGGCCCTCGTACCATGTGACTCCAGCATCATCCGAGACATAGAGATCGCCGTCTTCGTAGTCCTTTAGGAACTTTCCGGTGTTGCCAATTCCCATAACAATACCTGGTGCCGGGCTGGAGAAGATCCTCCCGGTTTGCCTTGCATCGGTCACGGAGTGGAGATGCAGCCTCTTGTCGCCAACTTTGAGATCCTGGAACGTTCTCCCGTCGTCGAAGCTGATCTGAGATACGACTTCCTTTCTAGGAACGGTTGAGCCCTCGACGTCCTTCCAGTTGTCCACAACATTCACTAAGACGATCCCTTGAATCGCCTGAACTTTCTCGAAGTCGACGTTGCCAAAGATGTTGCGATTGGTGTGGTCAATATTCCGAGTGAAATAGGTGCCGTTGGAGTTCGAGGTGAAGAGGTAGCCCATAGGATTCGTAGGTCGGGATCCGAGCACGTCGACCTGTAAGCTGTAGTTGGTGCTCTCCAGGATGGTATAGGCATCTTCATCTATCCTGTGTTGTCCAAATTCTGCTCGGTGCCACTGTGATGCGTCTTTCGTCACGTACAGAGCCAACTCATCTGTGCCCTCCGATTTTGCAGCTGCAACCAAGAATCCTTTGACCGCAGCCATGCTGATAATCCCAGTCACGGCTCGTCCATCATCAAGCGCAGGCTCGAGCTGATCTCGTTGGAAAAAATCGTCCGACACGAGCAGTCTATTGTCCTTCGGCCAAGGAGAATATAGCCCTTCCACAATACAGAATATCCGATCTCTTATTTCAGGAGCAATCTCCTCTGCAAAATCTGGGGTGCTGACAGCCCATTGGCACCCTCGCGTCATATCGCCCAATCTGCTGGTCGTCTTAAAGTCATCATCGGTATAAAACGCCCGCTCGATGCAGGCCAAGCCGACACAGTGCTCAGCGTTCCATATCACTCGTTTAGGGTCCCGGCCGTGGAAGCTCAATGGGGCGTTGCGAAATCTCGCCAGACCATCGCCGTCGGAGGAAAATTTCCTCCACGTCTCGCCGGTATCTGTTGTCACCCAGTGGTCGGAGTCTAGGCCGATGATATATGCGCGCTGGTTGTCGTAGGGATGCCGGTATACGTCCAAGGCATTTCCGGACTGTCCTTGGTCATTGATTTCCTTCCAGGTCTCGCCTGCATCGGCACTGCGCCAGACGATACCAGTCTCTCCATCGTAGCCAATGACAACGTCCGAGTCATCGAAATAAAAGACGTTTTCTAGAGGGTTATCGAATGTGGTGGCGGAGATGGTTGGGCCATCCTTCTTTGCTTGCGTAGGCTGCGGAGAGGAGGCCAGCAGTAGGAGGAGAGCGACCGACGAGACGACTGCGCGACGACAGTAGGATCTTATTATCATCTTTGATTACCGCATCGAGCGGGAATGAAAAGGCTGAATTACAGAAAGAAGAACCGCCGCAGAAAGGCTTGAAAACGAAGCAAGAGTCGAAATGGACACAGTTGTAGGATTGGAGAAACCGAATGGCGCTGCCTGCAATCAACAATTCTGTGAGGCTCATGGCTCACTGGGCACTTCGACCTTCTAAGATCAGGGTCCCTGCCCGAATGGGGGTAAGCGTCACCACCTTAAAACGCGGCCTCGACGGGAGCTGCGCGCTGGGAGCTCCTATCTCCTTTAACTGGGCCAGTGGCTGACGGCAGAAGGTTGCGCCCCCGAAGGCGCCCCTTACGAATCCCCGGTCTTGCAATGCGTACAGGTATGTGAAGAGGGTATTATTGTTCATATTTCATCAAGCTATTCTTTCTTGCCTTTCCCAAATTGCTGCTTTTTGTCCAACCCCATCAAGTTCCCAAATATAATGCCGCCCAACCCGTTTGAATATGCAGGTAGCCGTGGCAAGTCTGCTGCCCCAGATTCCTTTCCCAGGCTCCGAACTCCCCCGCTGGCTGAGAAGCGATATTTCCAGCCTGAACGCCTACGCTCAAATAACGCACTGACATAGATGCGGATATCCCATGCTGTTGCTTCATCCGGACCATACAAAATAGGGCAGTCAATGTCACTCAAACGTCAAGTTATTCAGACTCATTTGAGCCTTAGTTTTCGAAGGAATCGTTTCATTTTGGATTCCTCGGCAGGTAGTGTATCCCATATGGTTACTGCGTTTCCGTCCACAGGCACGTCGATTCGCTCCGGTGTCGGTCTGTTGACCTTCTTTTGATGGTCTGGTTGTGATATTTGCTCCTCTGGCGAACGTAGATCTGGTCTCGTCAAGGTCATGTGTAGCGTCATCTCTCGATCTGCGGTGACGCCACGGGCATATGTCTCGGGCTGCCTTCGAATTGAAAATGGTCTCAGTCCTTTGGAGCCGTCGATGCTGCTCTTGTGGGATGGACGATGCATTTGGAATACTGCCTCTTCAGGCGTTCGAGGGTCAAACATGGTGTCTGGCTCGTCGGCGTCGTCACCATCATCTCCGGACAGCGACGGTGTGTCGTCATGGAAGAAAGTTCGATTGAATTCAGGTCGTGGCTGCGGACTTGTCATGGGTCTAATGTGGTTCCACTGTTCTCTTTCTTCCACGGAAGGAAACCCAAACTCAATGGCCTCATCGAATTTTTGCGGCGAGGCAAGATAGAGTCTGAGCTTCATGCGAGCCGCAGGGTCTTGGTAATGCGTTGCTCGAGGATCGATGGATGATATTGACGCTTGAGACCGGAGGTGTTTCAGGGAGAACGAAGAGGCGCGGGTGTGGGGAGGTATAAAAGGCACTGCTGGCGTCGGTGGTGCCTCGATTGGAGGGCGTGAGGATGATGTCGAACTGCGTCCACGACGTATGGAAAGACTTGAGAGGGAAGGGGCACGTCGCGAGCGGCGCCGGACGGGCGCTGATACTGACACTGTCCGCCGGTTTGTTTCCGCGATAGCTTGGTGGTAGTCGTCCAGCTTGAGATCGAGATCTCCCTCATCCTCCAGCCATCGAAAACCATCTATTGAGTAGTCACCCATGTCGATAGCAGAGTCAACCCGCGATTCTTCTTTGAGTTCTTCACAGTCGACAATGGTGGCGTCGTCATCAGAAGTTCGACGGTCGAACGCGGCAAAGTGGGTGGGATGCCAACTGCGGCGACGGAGTGTTTCGTCTGCAGAGTCGAGGATGATGGCGTCTCTCTCTTGTGAGTAGAATGAGCACTCTTCCCTCGAGAACAACTTCCGCTGGACGGCAGGGGGCAAGGAAGCGAACCAAGCGACGGTGGTGGGAGTGATGTCTGCTGCCGAACAGCGCCTCCTCCGCAGTCTCGTCCCGTTGAAGAAGTGGCCGGTCTGTGTGATTCCGTGGGTCAGGAAGCTGAAGGTGTCGGAGGGTTGGGTCGTGAAGCCAGCATTGTTTGTGGGATGGATTGAGAGTTGGGAAGGGGGACGTGAGAGGTTTCTGCCATCTTCGGCCAGTCTGAGACGTTCTAAACTACTAAAATACTGGTGCAACACATATGTTAGCCCGTGGACCTGCAGACTAAGCGATCGAATGAGGCTGTCATTTTGTCTAACGGTCGCAAGAGACAAGTCGCAAGGTGGTGGAGGAAGCTCCTCTAGGATGCTGGGTCGTGTTGGTGGTCCCTGCTTCGAGGTCGGAGGACCGTGCCGCGCCCAGGATGCCTAGGGCTCCCAATCTGGGCTAGGGGCAGCAAGCCTAAGCTCCAAGTGTCCAAAGCCCAAAGTGCTGGCGGCCGGTGGTGGTAATAGCGTGGGTTCGGTCTCTGTGGTGCGGTGGATGATCTGACTGGAATGACGTGGGACGGCTCCAAGGAAAATGGGTCTTGTGGACAGAGATGGCAGTGATGAGCATCCTTCCTGCCGTCCCCCTTGGCTTTGGCCTGAAGATCATGGCGAAGATCCCGTTTCATCCCCCGTGGCGATCACTAGGCACCCAGCTAAGGCTGCCGGGTAAAGATGGGGTCCGTAGCGGTGGTGGTAGTGGTGGTGGTGATGATGGTTGAATTTACCAGGAGACTGTGCAGCTCGACTGGAACGAGGGAAAGAGAGATTGGACAGAGACTAACTCACTTTTCGAATCACAACTGGAGGTAGCGTGTCGAAGGCCACATCATTGGGAAACGAAGGGCGTCGAGAGGTCCGCATCTTGGAAGCAAAGGACGGGGAGTATCGATGGCAGTGTTTGGGCTAGCAATTCTGATGGTGTAATATTTGCTCCGCTTTGGGATTTCGCCGCATATTCCTGTCGTGTCTTCAGACGTGTCTTCCCCCCAAGGGGACGATTTCTTCGGGTAGAGGAAGTGGCGGTCGGTCCGAAGATTGGTCGCTCGCGGTTTGGCTTCGTTGGGCGAGTGTGTGCCTAGAAGTGTAGCCGGTGATCGACCCTAATTGCTGGCTGTACTGTCGAGCATAGAGTAGCTAGTCTCTCGCTTGAGCATAAGGAGAGGCTTAAGCGGGCAGGCGGACAAATGTAAATATGGAGACCTTGGAATGAAATTAAAAAGAGAAAGTGTATTTGGAGGGAAAGGAATGGCTATTATAAAAGTAACAACAACGGGGTGTAAGGAGAGAAGATTCAACAAGGCGATAGGAGTGGAGGGTGAGGTGCTGCCATCCTCCCTAGCTATATGTATTTTCTGAAGCCTGGCACTCGAGAAATGAGCATTTCTCGAGCCGTGTTGTGCGTGGCCCTGGGCTGAGATTAAAGCCTACTCCGTGCATGGGCATGGCAGCCCTGCACACGATGCAAATGCGGCCTAGATACAAAGCCCTGCGACGTCTGGAATCCTGGTGGCGCTGCTGCTGCTCGTCTAGACCTGCGCTGGCGCTGCGCTGGCCCTCCGTCTTTGCTCATCCCTCTTGCTGATTTTGACGTACGTGCCTCGCGCCATCGGCTGCCTTTGAAACGCCCAATCCACACAAAACTCTCCTGTTGGCCCGCTATCTTCCGCGAGGCGTCCTCGTGGTTCTTGCTAAGCGACACCAGGTTCATGCCGCAACGCGAAACCACCAGACGTGAGGTGCCGACGAACCCACTGAACCCAGCAAACGGACTGCTTCAAACGGTCTGGAAGCTCGCCCTCCACATCAGGAATACGGTATATTGTGCCACCAATTTATCGGGCGACCTCCCACCATGTCCTTTCGTACCAAAAGGACCACGGCCTTACGGTGATGGCAAAGGAGACATAACACTACTCGGTACGCCCAAGGGAACTGGAAGACCCGACCCAAGTCAAAACAAACACATCGGGCTGTGTGCAAGTCGACATGTCATGTTTTCGGCGGCCTGCTGCTGTCAAGAGTCAAGACAACCCCTCGCTTAGAGACCAGATTTGCAGAATTTGATGCCCTCTTGTCTCCTACGATTCGGTTTTTTTTTTCTGGCTACTGCCACTAGGAGGAGGACTAAGAGATTTGGAGCGGGACGTTCGGCGGCTGAGCTCGCGTGGCAGACAGGGATCAGAGAATATCTTCTTGCCATTCAATGCACTGCATACCATTTTGTGGCTGCAGAGAAGTCTCAGATGTCAGGAGATCGGAACGTCAGCAAGCGAAAGAGGCGCACGGAACAGCCGTGAATTATCTTGACCTGGTTGAACAACCTGCTGTCAAGCTGCAGCCTGATCGGTTCGAAATTCAAGGTACTGCTCCCTTCCGAAATGCTGCAGTAACCGCATTCGAAAGCGTTGCCGATTGTGCAACCATCTGGAGGGACAAGGCCAGGACGAGTTGTTTGCGAACGCGACCCTCTCCTGGAAGCAAGAAATTACATCTCGGACTGACACCGGGAAACGACTTGAACTGGGACGCTGATGCGCCTTTCTGGTGGTGTCTGACCGTGCCACCATCTGTATTGGCTTACTTGGAAGCACCTCTGCTGGAGCTCCTCACAACCGGTGTGTCATACCACAGCATGTCCTCCGAGAAGTTCTCCGTATCGGCTGAGCGCTTTCGAATTCTCTTGTTGCACAGGTTCTTCCCATCCCCACCCTATCTGAGGTCAGACTGGATGCAATGATAGGGAACACCGGAACCCGATGCTGACGGGTTTGTCTACGTTGTAGCGCCCACGTGTCTTCTCAAATCGCGAAGCAATGGGAATGTACCAACTTCAGGTTGTTACAAGTTCTTGGCTGCCCGGGTGGACTAAGGTTCGCCAGACGCAGGCGTTAGCGAGATGCAGTACCGAGCTCGCCAGGTACAAACATTTCAGCTCGCAAAGAGCTAACCGCCAAGAGGGAATCAGAAGCGTGGGCTAACAGCAAGTCGTCGCTTATGTCTTCTTTAACTCAAAAGTTGCAGTCGTCATATCGGCAATAGTGACAAATGTATTAGTAGCTTACCATCGCTTGGGAGGACATCCAGTGCGCATTTTTTATTATTTCTGGTGTCCATGGCCGGGTAGACCGGTGAGCCGGTGGTGTGAGGGTGTGGGATACCAAATACAGGGGCAGCGAGGCAGCCGGATTGCTGACGAAACTCCGGAGTTCGGTGGTTCTGGGCAACTGCCTGCCAGCAAAATGCTGGGGGGGGGGGGGGGGGGGGGGGGGGGGGGGGGGGGGGGGGGGGGGGGGTGTGGTAAACTAGTCCACGGCATATTCCCTGGCAATAGGGGCTCGACTCGAGTGTCCTGGTTACCAGCCAGAGGCGTACAGCTATAGGCTGCCAGGTCCCAAATCCCAAGGGGAGGCTTCAGCCAGTCGACCAGTATCCTTGAGTCGAACAGGCACGAGGAAGGGGGGAATTAGGGGGCATTGGCCCAAGCCAAGCCTGCTACTGCTTCACGGGTGTTTTTGAGGGAAGGGCGATCGACGAAGCGATGGGAAGTTAAGAATTGGGCTGTAACAAAAACTTAGTATCGTCTCTTCGGACACCATGTTGGATTGTTGAATAGTCCCAAAGGGGCCTTCTATTCTTACAAGACTGCGAGTGCTGGCATATTCAGCTCGCAAGATGAGGGCTGATGAAAAAAGGAATAAACAGTCCGAAGGGAATATGCAGGTCTCTGAAGTGGCCGGCCACCGCAGCCAACCACAACACGGTGCCTGGAACAAGGTCCCATTGATGGTGTCGAATGCGGGGAGAAAGTCAGCAGTCGAGTGGTGGGAGTGGTGGGCGCTGGGAATCGGTGGCGGTGGTTGATGAGGGCGACGCTCAAATCGAGGCTGAGGAAACAGGGGGGGAGATGGGGGAGACGGACGCCCCTATTCCGCAACCCGTTAGGCTTCCCTAACGTGCTCGTGCGCTTGGAGCTTACCAGAGGCTGCTAGGCCTGATGAGCCTCTAGCCTGGGCGCTAAGTGGTCGAAACGGGCTTGCGAAGGTTTCCTGGTGTGTCGCGGCGGGCGCCCTTAGCACCACTGGCATCATTGGCATCGCAACCCTCCAGCCAACGCGACGGCGCGGTTGAAGAAACCCCCCGTGTCATTGTCTCAAACGAGCAGTCAATCAACATCTGCGGTTTTTGCCTGCGCACTCCTTGATTTTATTTTGGTCGTCGACTGACACCACACTTCCCTCCACAGCAGAAAAAGTCCTTCCTCCTGCTTATATCCTCCCTACCGCTCTTGTGTTAAGACTTGTGCGACTCATCTCCACTGTGCCTTCGAGCTCCCTTCCTTGTGCCATCCCTTACAGGCATCGCGCTTCATCCCTCGGCCTCACTTTTAATCTTGCCTCAGTTGCCTTCCGGAAAAGATGCGTTTCGCACACGCGTTGGTCGCTGCCCTTTGCGCAGTGGTCGCATCCGCCCAGCAGAACAATGCCATCAGCATTCCTGGTGGTCAGGGCACTTTGGATGTGACGGCAGGCCAGCCCCTGACCATCGAATGGACCAATCCCTCAAGCGGCACCGTGACCATCAAGCTGCAGCAAGATCCTATCACCCCAGACTCCGGTGTGGTCCTGGCCTGTATGTGAACATCTAGATTATGCTGTAGCTTCTCTTAGGAGTATCTGCTTACCTGACTGTAGCTGGCGTCCCTGCCTCCGCCCTAACGGCAACCCTTCAAATCCCACCTGCGCAGGACGTCAACTCTCACGTCTACACCATTGAGATCATCGATGACACGAACCCCAACAACATCAATTTCTCTCCCAACTTCGGTATCCAAGGCGCCACTGGAACAGCCACTGGAGTTGTCACTGGTACTGCTACCTCCACCGACTCTGCAAGTACCTCGGGCAGCACTACCGATACTTCATCTGGCACGAGCACTGGCACAGACTCTTCAACAACACTCACCTCGACCGACAGCCTCATTACCTCCACCACAAGCTCCGCGAGCAGCAGCAGCAGCAGCAGCGAGAGTTCGGCAAGCACAACCAGCTCTCAAGAGACGACCGTGTCGACGAGCTCTGCTCTTCCATCTGAGACCACATCAGCTCCGGATTCCAACAGCAACGGGGCTGTCAGCTTGAAATTCCAGGGCGGTCTGTTCGCCATGGCAGTTGGGCTGATCGCGGTCTTGTAAAGTGCGTTTCTCGGAGACGAAATACAGAAGCGAAGTCCAATTTTCTTGTACAATCTTGGCATCCACTTCACCTGCATGTGGATATACCTTTGCAGCAGTCTGTATTCATAGCATCCCTGCTCGGATTCGGGCTTCGACCTTTGTCCATTACCACTGTATTGACTTCGAAAAGAGGAGGATCTTTCGGTGAGGTCGGATGGCATTTAATTGCTCAGAAAGAACGCAAGAGGTTGCAGTACAGGTTTCCTGGAGCATAGTGGAGGACATACATGGATTTCCAGCATGGCGCTTGTTTGATCAAAAGGAGGGACAGGAGCTGGATCCTGGATATCAGGATGCTGCGCTTTGCATAGCACAAAAGAATAATAAGACGTATCAATTGCGCCGGTGCTGTACCTTGGTTTCCTTTCTCTTTATGGGTGCTAATCTCAGGATGACGGCGTCGACCGAGTACACGGTGAGAGCAACGCCTGTGAAGGAAGGAGGTCAAGTTGGTGAGAACCCATTGCTCAGGGGAGGCAAGAAATCCCCAAAACAAACACAAACACCAAATGCATGCCGGCCGGCCCTCATTACGCCAGCAAAATGAGCAAACTCAGACGGGCTGGTCGACGCCTGAGGCATTGCATTCCAGATGGTAAAAATGCAGACCAACCATGCGGGCGCTGACAGGATGTGGCCGAGGGCTAATCGTCTTCTTGCGCAAGCAGATGGACGACGAGTCTGACCCTCCTTTTCAAACCCTTGGACAATTGGCCGCCCCTCGGGGCTTCTTGGATGGTGGTAAGACGGTTGAGGAGAGAGGGAAGAGAGGCTTCATCCTGGCTCAGATGCCCAGACCAATCGAACTTTGACCCCCATACCGGTTCCGAGGGAAAGAGCCAACAAATCGAGCCTCGCAGTCTTTCTTTGTTCTCTCCATCCAGCACGTCGATGGATGCAACTCTGTGTCGACTTTCACTTTTTGCATGTGCGATTATTGACTCGGAGCTATGCAGATCAGCAACGTCTTTGCAGATAGTGACATGCATTATCAAGCATGATATCCGAGCTGCCAACACACCAATCAACCGGGCAAAGTATTCCACGTTTGTTTGGTTGTTTTTTTTTTTCACCGCCATGTCTTTGGCTGAGAAACGATAATGCAAGCATGTCTCGTCATTTCGCTTCGCAGGCTCTGGACACATCCACTCCATCTTTATCGAACAGTTCTTTTCCTATACGATTGTTTTGCAATGCACTCGCAGGCGGGCAATGGGACTAACTGCCTCGATGTAGTAAGTGTTATCAATCAGAAGAATGGGTACGGGAAGAGCAAGAGGATGAGTCGGGTTGACTCTCGCCCTGCACCCACCCATCTCCTCTCGGTGCACGCGTTGTTCTGCGTTGTCTTGCCAAAAGAGGTTTTGGTTGTGTTACTAGAGGACTAGATTTGTGTACAGACATGCCAGGGCTTCGACGCTACAGAATGGCGATGATATGGCTATCTATCATGTGGGAACTCGACTTTAGTCTATCAGCTGTGCAACCACATCACCTTGTCCCTTGGCCTGCTTCATCGCAATCGCAATCACAATCACAATCACACATACTGTACTCCGTACTTGCAGGTACAATCCAGCCTTCAGCCAGCCTCGAGCATCCTCTAGCCATGTCCACCTGCCCTCGACCCGCACCAGGTCCAGCCCGAAAGCTGTTGTTCCACCCGTCCTCGAGGGAAACCGGACTCCACTCACCGGTCTGTCTATCAATAGTCTTTCTCCTCACAGATAAAAAAAAAACTCTGCGAACATATCCACCTACCTGCTCGTATACTACTCTGCTCTAGCCCCTTCCTCCACCACGGAACAACGCGCACTCGATGGACCGGATCCAGTATTTAGCTACCTGACGAGTTGATGTACCTACTCGTACATAGTAAGTCAATGCGGGTACAGACGCGGTTCCGTCGTGCACCCAGCGTTCGGCGCCACCACTACCCGAAGCACCTCCCCTCCAATGCCTTCGCCCCAGGAGTAGAGGCTTTTTCGTTGTTTGCAAAAGTCCCATTTCTGCTACGCGCACACACACCCCTACTCGGTCCTCCGCCATGGCTTGGACGAAGTACCTATCAAGAGCTATTGACATACCTAGGTACCTAGCGCGCCATCACAGCCAGTCACCCAACGGGGGGGGAGGGGGGGAGGTGGAAAAGTTCAAAGCTCCAGGGATCAAAAGAGACAGTCTACAACAGCCACATACATACCGGGTAACAGTGGTAGGCACATATCTCCCATACAAGGACCCCGCGACACGCGACGCGAGTTCTTGGTGGTTGACTTGCCCGAGCAAAAGCCGTCGGTGCCACCACCACCACTTGATTGCGCCGCCGCCCCCACGATCGTCCTTCGTCGCCGTCCTTGAAATCGACGACGGTTGTGCGTTCCGTCGTGGCTGGGCCCAAAGGGCTCCGTGGGTGGGCAGCAGAGCAGCATTGCGCCACGAGTTCGTTCGCCAAGTCACATCTCGTCGCCGCTAACTACATACCTATGTACCTACAATCTAGCTTCCTACAACGTCTAGCCACAGAGTAGCTACTATTACTGACGAAAGTCTTATTTGCGTGCCCGGCGTTCTACAGTATGTACCTAACCCTCCCGACTCGCACGGACATAGTCTACATCCCTTCTTTCCATCCATTGATCCGGTCGTCCCGGTTCCGGTCCTCGAGACAAAGAAGCGAGGGGGTTGAGCAACCCGTGATTTTACCTACCTACCTACCTAACAAACCGAACGACAACCATTGTCCCTGCGCACATGGCGATATGCAAGACGTGCAAAGTTCGGCTCTACAGAAAAGGTTTCACTCCTTCAAGGCGATTCGTGTAATGGTTCTTTGTGTAACAAGTAAAATCAAATCACCGCTTCCTTTCTCCCCTTCGCCGCTCCCGCTCTCCAGGGTACCGACCTCTGCATGGGCCACGGGCTCCATGGCGGAACAAACCCCCAGCGGCCCCGAGGAGTTCTTTGTGTCAACGACGGCCCTGGAACATCAACGTCCTGTATGTAACCATGGCATGCCTCCCCTTTCTCCACCTGCCCCCGGCCTCCGGTCTCCGGGTCGTCCGTCACCCCTCTCGTACACCCACAACCCAGAGCCCACGGCGCGTAGAGAACAGGCTAAATGGACGGGCAGGGGACTGTTTCTTCGTGGGGGGTGAAATCGTCGTGGAAACCCCAGAAGAGATATTACTCCGTGGAGGAGTGGGGGGTTTGAGTCGCCCATTTGGGGGTTTGTGAGCGCATGGTGAAACTACAAGGAAGCAAGCGGGCAGAGAGAGAGAGAGAGAGAGAGGGCAAAAAATCGCATGTGCTTTCTGGTTCTTGAGTTTGGACTTTGCCACGAACAAGTCGATGCCAATGTCCGCTAGCCATGTAGGTAGGCAGGCGCTGAGGCGGCAGGGCAGAGATGTATCGCTGCGGAGGAAATATGGATAGTTAACTGCGTTTTTGTATTTCTTGCTTGGACCTACTATTTCGGTGGCCCAAACCGTCGCTTTGGCTTTTTTTGGGCCTCCAAGTTGCCCATTGTCTAGAGATTGAAAACTCTCACCTTCTCTCCTCTCTGCTTTTACAGACGGTACCGCATCGTCAAGCGCGACGGTGAAGCGTCGCAGGTGGTGGTAGACGGTGGTCGCCTCATCCTCGCGATGGCCCTGCCTCCATGGGCAAAAGACCCGTGGGCGGGGACGAATCCACCCGGCCTGACGTGAATAACCATGGCCGAAAAGGTTTTCGATTCCAGATTCGCCCTCGATATGGTTTTGTTTTTTGGCATGAGGAGTCGTGGGGTGGAATCTAGTCCACCTTGGCTCGCGTAGCAGTGGAGGTTGGGAACCAAAGGGCCGCCTGTTCCCTCGTGCGACTGTGTCGATCACGACATCATCCGGCATCATGATCATCATGAATTTCTCCTGGCCTCGTCTTGTCTGTGGCTGGCAGAAATGGCGAGATTGTGGTGTCCAGCATCCTCATGAGTAGGTAAGAAATACTCCGGCGGGGATCAGGCAGTGGGTGTGGTGAGACAAGCCTCAACCTTGCAACGGGCGGTGCTGTTCCAAAGGTTTTAGTCGAAAGATTCCCCAAAAGAACTTACAGGAGCAAATTGCTCGATCGTCGCGGTACCATGTTTTTTCGCCATCGCGATGTCTTGCATCAGGTTCTTTTGCCCCCTCCCCGGTAGGCAAATTTTCATCTCTCAGCCAAAGTCAGTCGCCAATCACCACTCCCCCCAACGGTGAAGCCACTGCCATTGAACCGCCCGGGGCAGAGCTGGGGCTTTTTGCCTCGTCGTCGATCCGAACACGTGAAGGTTCACTCCGCCCCCCCGTTGCCTTTCCACTGCGCCAAAGAGGATTTTAGCAGTGTCAAACGTGGGCCATGAAAGACATGCGAGCGACAGATGGTGACACCAACGACCAGCCTCAGCTTCCCACTGTCCAGTCCAGGCTTTCAAAATCCTTGCAAGGAAACCTTGACCCCCCCCGACCCCTTCTCCTCCTCCTCTACTATCATCTCCTGATGTGTTGCGTGCCTGTTGATCTCATTACGTACGAGCTTCTCGATTACAGCACGTATGATCCTCCCTGCGCAAAAAACCCTGACCTCTCCAAACCACCTGTCAATCCGGGTTAGAGTTCAAACGTGGCCCTTATCGTTTTGGCTCGTTGCTCGGAGGTTACAGAAGCCAGCATCCGTCATCTGTGTGCAGAGAAAGCTACGAACCACGAACCAACCTGTCGCGCTGGTCGTGCACCCTTTTCCCCGCAAAAATTGGGACGACGGCGTGGGCGCTACTGGAAACCAAAGCGTCCAATGAGCAGAGAGACATGCCGGTGCTGCTTCAAAGCGTACAAGGGGGCCGGGCCATATGGAGACCTGCAAATCAAAAAGTCTAGAAATGCCAATTCGGGCAGGAGCAAAGAGTCTGGACCAACCGCCATCAGCAGATCGGGGGCAATCGGGGGGTGTGACATTCCATTTGATACAACTCCTCTCGGGCACGTCATGCGTTTATTTGTTCGTGCTATCAAGTGGAATGGCGATACGGCTATCCCTCATTTCCCCCTGTACTGTGTACTGTGCTATGTAGAAGCATGTTGACGGGCGTGATCGTCCTGGGGAAACCGAGGCCCGAGCATCTTCCATCACCACCAGTGGTGTTGTTCGGTGAGCACTGCGCAATTGCGCACGCGAGCATCCCGTCTTCACATGCGCCACCTCAGCCTGCGGTTTCTCCCGACCTCGTCTCTCTCCACAACCTGCTCATGTCCTCGTAGGTTTCCACCTTCTCTTCTATTGATACCGCTAACCGTCTATATGTTTCGCCAGAATCCGATCTCACTTCCCCAGCCTTGTCCGAGTTCGTCCGATCCAAAGTCCCCGACCCAAACCGTCTTTCATATATACAAGGCTGCGCGTATCTCCCCAGATTGCTGCAGTCATCTGACTCTGATGTAGAGCATTCCTAGATTCCATATTCAATTTCCGGCCAAGGTGTGGTCCTGTAAACCTCGTCATGGAGGACTCGGTTTGCGCCCCAGCCTGGTACCGTCATTAGGTCGTAAGGTTGTAAAATTCCCAAAAACGCCGCGCTATGCTGCTGGACAAAACATCGTAGAAAATTTTCCCACCCAAATTTGGTCGCGTAGCTTTTTATCTTCGGTTCCAGCCCACATTCCATACCACATGGGCAATATCTCTGAAAGTATTCACGGCATACATGGCCTGGCCGAAAAGCGTGTTGTTCATGGCCACCTCGTCCTCGTTTTCGTCGTATGGCATAAACATACCAGATTCGGTGCGTCTCATCATAGGGTGGCCATCGTTGTCGTCATCCTCTTCGTCGTAAGGGGACCGTTCGTCCCCAAAGGAAGACTGAGGTTGCCACGGCTCATCCACCACTTCCGGATCGTCGTCAATAAGGAAATTCTGGTTTGGCCTAGGAGGCCGCAAGGTCTCCTGTGATGGTGAGGGTGATAGCTTTCGTCCATTGGGCCAAAATCCATTCGGAGGTTTAGGTATCTCATGAGGTTCGGGTGTATCAGTCCTGTATTTCAACGTAGTGGATGGCAGCGGCACAATGGTCTTCGAATCGTTGCTGAAACTGCCACGGGGTGTTGTTCGACCGCTGCCCCGTCCCGATCGTTGAGCCGGGGCCATCATTAAGCCACAATCATCGTCCTCGTCATCCTCGAGTATTACGTCTTCTTCGTCGGGTTTGTCATCATCTTCCGAATCAATAGCCTGCACTTGCCTGACCTCTTCGTCGAATAAGACGTGCTTACACTCTGACGGGGTCGGTACGTCAAAAGCGAAAGAAGATCGCGGTCCACTGAAACCAGGCGTCTCATTTTCGGCAGGGGTGTTGACCACCGAACTGTCGTATCGTGGGAGAACAAATTCGGAATTGCCTCGTCTCAGGATCGGGCGTCCGCTGGCTGGGCTGGACTGCTGTATCCGGATGATATCTCCCGCTCTCTGTAATAGGGAATGCTGTGATCTGGATCGTTCCAAGATGACTGCCGAAGCCGATTTCTTTTTGAGGATGGGCTTTTTCGAGACAAAGGAAGATGAATGAGATAATCTGCTGGGGGGAGGAGATGTGTTGGTCATGGATTGAGAGACACTGCCGTGCGTCTGCAGCGGACCGTACAGCCAAGTCACGTCACAATCCTTCAGCCAATTGAGAGTCTCTGGCGAAACTGTTTTGAGGTGATTTTTGGCCTTCATCCACGATCTCCAAGAAGCATTCTCCAGCCGAGTGCCGTTGGTAAGACTGCCTCGCCTGTGAACCACGTAGCTCCACGACCTCCAGATCTCTTCCTCTTTCCATTCATGAGAGAGGTAGTCAACGTGTCTCGTAGGTTCCACTTCTATTGATTGGTCGTCCTGCGTCTTCCTCCCCGCGAGGGAGGTGTCGTCCGTAGGAGGACTCGGTATCTGGGTTGTCATATCATCATGTTGGTCGGCCGAGACCCGAGCGTCCTGGCTTGGTTTGCTGGCCAAGTCAGAGGCCCCAAAGGCAGGGAATGCCATATCGTCATCTTCGTCCATCAGGTCCCTGTGATCCAGGGACAAGCAACTAGCCGGTGTGGAGGCATTAGAATCCCGTCGCGAGGAATAGGTCAATTGAGGGGAAGAGGGCGCGGTCGAGGGGCCGGAGTCAGGATAAACCTTGTCATAGTCGTGGCGAGAGTAGGGGGAGGTTTGGGACTGGAGTTGACCGCAAGATATTGAAGTGTCTAGAGAGGATAGATCAGGATAAGAGCTAGAGTGTATGGGACTCGACGAGAAATGCGAGGCTCCAGGAAGAGGTGCCTGTAGAACGGTCGTCATGAGTGGCACTTCATGAGCCTTTTGATCGAGTTTCCTTGATATTGAGGAGGTTTGCCTGGGGTGGGAGATATGCTATACACTGTAGCTAAGTGGCGTAGATCAGGTCGGTATAGGTTCAGAATTGAGGACCGAAGGAGGAGGGCTTCTGCTCAGGCAGTTCGTCCCAGGTCTTCTTTGTCGGCAGAGTTTGCTGTGCTTGTAATCTGTGGGCAGGTCTTTGAACTGAGGAGATTGCTTTCGCAATATTTCGGTTACGCAAACCGACGTGTATCGGACAGCCTAGTATAGAACTAGAATATGACCGGCAATTGGAGGTGAATGGTAAAAGGGTACAGCGCCTGGAGGGGGGGGCGGTTAGGGCGGACGATGGGGGGGGTTTAGAACGATCTGCGAGGACGCAGAGAGGGTTGAGAGAAGAGAAGAGATCGAGGATCAAGCGGCGTGGATTTGCAGGTTTGACATTGGAAGCGAGAGCAGAAAAAAGAGGCGTTGCAAGATGTGTGGAAGGATAGATGTGGAGTTTCAAAGGTTGTAGCGAGATGTATGTCGCGGCTGTGTGGATGGATGGAAAAATTGAGTGAGCGTGGAAACTGTGGGCAGACTGCAGGCTGGAGTGGGGGAATCGACCTGGAGGAGGGACTGAGTCTCGAAGGATTCGATCAGAGCGAGGGGTTACCGACTACCCTTAGCGGCGCTATGCCCACCTGCTGTCCACCTGCTGCCCAGGGGGGGAGAGGGGGGGAGTGGTCCTGCTTAGGTGCCACCAAAGGGCCTAGCAGTCTCTTAGGTGCTTAGGGGCCGGGTGGGAGGCGACAAAGACGATAATTGTTGAAGCACCCGCCCAGCCCGCGTCGAACGGTGGAGACGGGCTGCCAAAAAGGCCAACCACAAGGCCAACTACGACGGGAGAGCAAGAGGGAGAGTGCTCGGCTTCCCGAACGCCCGTGCAAGCTACGAGGCAACCCTCCAGAGCTCAGCAGACCTGGGCCTGGGTTATTGTCCGGGGGACCCGACTCTGGAGGAATGCCCCAAAAGTTGATTTGAGTTGCATACCTCTCCCACCTGTTGAGGAAAGGTACGTGGGCATGCCGCAATTTGAGTGGCTTGGGACTGGTCGGATATGACAGTGATGCTGCAGGGTGCAGGCTCATGGCAGAAATGCCGCCTAAACAAACTTGGCCGCGTGGGAGGGAGGAAGAAGAGGCTGCTAAAATGACCCGGATGGTGGTTTAGATAATGCCATCCATGGATCAGGGCTGGGTGGAGGCAAACCCCGAGCGCAGGCGGGAGATGAAGGAGGGGGACATCCTGGTCCAAGCGTGATTGGACCAGCCATAGGCATACCTAGATACAAGTCGCTACTCGTCCTGGCCGACAGGGAAGTCACCTGTAGCGAATATCAGCGAGGCTTTGTCCGAGGCGAGAATTGCCCATGGGAAAAAGCCTGTGAGTAGGAGAGTTCCAGAGTCCCTATAATTGGGCGGTCAGGCAAAAACAATTAAATGGGGTGGCACGGGTGGTTGGTGAGTGACACACGGTGAGATGAGGTGTGAAATGACGATGACGACCCCCTCGCGGCCAATAATCACTGGCGGGGAATGATCTTCCGAAGTAGATGCGGTTGAGTATTGAGCAGTGAGACCCGAGTAAGCAATCGGTACCTCGAGTCCCATATAACTTTCGCTTACGCACAAGGTATTTTTAAGTTGAGTTCTCACACCGCAGATCAGATCGAGCATGATTACCTGAGCAAGGCAATTCCCATCTTCTCCCGTCATGGCTGTCTGTCAGAATCTGCCATTATTGTTATTATTCTTCCCTCGGTGCCGCCCTGCAGACGGCGGGCAACATTCATGTCACTGCCCACCACTACATCCACCCTGCATTGACAGCTTCATGTCCCTTGTCGTTTCATTCTCTGGCATATGGCCCTCGCTCTCGCTCTTTCCCCGCTTCCATGCTGGTCTCTTGGTCTCTTGGTCTCTTGGTATCCGGGTCGCTGTACCCCTCCTTCACCCTCCATCGCAAAGCAACCATCTCCTCTGCAACCAAGACGCAACACCCCACGTTCCTCCCACTGATGATGCGGCACACCTGCAAGCCACACACCCCGAATCCTGCGTCGGATAATTCAACCAGCCCTTCTATCCGACCTAATCATATGGAACTTGCCTTTGGCCGCTGCCGCTGCTGCTGCTCTCCGGTTCCAAAGGAGCCCACGGTAACAATGGCTCTTGGCTAAGCTGATGGAACTCAGGGGTCGCACCACTTTTCTCGTGTTCAAAGCTCCGTCTAAACATGACCTGGCCAGAAACATCTTTCTCTGCTGCCACCGACGACTACAGACTACCTCCTGCTATGAAATTTTATCATTTGGTCCACCCGGCATGCATCCCACTCTGCGTCGCAACCATGAGCCACAGCTACGGATGCGCCACCCGAAAATTTCCTGATATTGCTTTCGCTAAGACCTGAGGGCGGCACAGTAGTCCCCTTCTCACCATCCATGTCCAGGCCCAATCCCCTTGCCCACACACCTCAGGCAACGAACTGGATGGAATACCGCAGCTCAGTGCATAAAATTCCTTCACGGCAGTCGTATAACGCCGTCCAGTAAGATCACGTCAAAAAGACATTGGACGCTGAGGGCATCTCCGCTTGCTAAATTCAAAGAAGGCCTGTCGCCTGTAACATGCAGACATTATCCACCTCAGCGGCTTGCAAGGATATTGCATCTCTTGCCCGCCCGAACGCACCCTCTTTTGCGTTTCAACTATCTGACCATTCTGGTGCTCACACTTGCATCGCACCTCGGCAGCAGCGATTTTAATTGGCTGCTGTTTGTCCACCCTTCTGGCCGGGCTCGCGGACGGAATTTCGCATCCTGCCTCGACGCTCAACGTGCTCGATACGAGGATTGGACAATGGTGCAGAACTGTCATCAATGGCCCAGAGCCGTTGACCGAGGACCAGGCCATTCCAAGCCTCATCACGCCCTTAGCCAGGAAGATTTCGTCAACTAGCTTGCATCCTTTGCCACAGTTGAGGGATATATGCACAGACTTTTGGACAATCACCGCCTCTTTTGGCGCTGTTGACGAGGATTCTCGCTGACAGTTCATTCGACGAAATGTCACGTCCTCCGAACCCACGCCAATGATGACGAGAAATGTCCGCTGATAAGGCTTTGCTGAAAGGGTCTCAAAATGGGAGATCAACAGACAACAAACGCTGATACTACAGACCCTATCTAGGAAGGCAGACCAAATTGAGAATGTCACCATTCAGAAAATCATTCGTATCTCTCGACGACGGCACGGCTGAGTGTCAATGTGCCGCATTTTTCATCCATATGATCCTAGGATGGCCTCCGTCCGTTTCGGCCGGCAACGAGCGTGATTGAAGTTTCTTAGCAAACCCGGCGTCAATGTTTTGAGCATTACCCAAGTTGAAAGCCTAAGCGTCGAGGGACAATCTCTGATAGCTAAGCGCCCGCAAGCCCCATCCGAACGAGGCTTATAGCATTCACAAAACGTGCTGAGAGGGATCTGGTGCTCCTACTGATGACCTCGAGACCCTCAGGGTGGCCCATTGATCTCTATATACGGAAATGTTGATCCTGCTGCAGGGCTTGTCAGGTCCATATAAGCTGATTGATAGGTGTCCGCGAGCCCAGTTCTGGCTTAGGTGAACGAGATTCGCTTTGACACTTGGGCTGGCCGCTTAATGCATGTCAGCAATGAAGGTGTGGGTGAAACTTTCTCTGTTGCATGGCATTGTACAATCGAGAAGACTGCGAGTGTCGCTGTACAAGGTACAGGTCTCCCAATGGCATACACATCTGGGCATCACTACCTTCTCTGCATCATGCCACGGGTTGCCACCCTTGGCGAGCCCATTCTGAAGACGGGGACGACACTCGAATGTTTTGTAACGTTATACTCTTGCAAACCCCTGTTCCTTGATGAGTCTGCATTGACCATCGCTCTGCAAACACTTTCTCTTAGAGAGAGTTGACGTGCTGTTGGAATCTCCACTGACGGCCGGGACGGGTGCTTCTAGTGCCTCCTTGTTTCCGATAGCCCACTTCCCGCAGAATATTGCTCAAGGGATCAGACACTGGAGGCGTAACTACTCGTCTGTCGGCATGGCCTCAAGTGCGCGAGTCTTGTTGTGCGCGTCGACTGTTGACAGCACACCACTAAAGCACCCAGATAGTCCTAGGTGACGCACGAGTGAGGGGTGCTGGGGGCGAGGCTGGAGACGTACTTGGACAAGGAGGAAAGGCGGATGATCCACAGAGGTACCAATTTTGGCATATGCTAAATAACCATGACTTACGGAACCCAGTCTACTTTCAGGACTAGGCTTCGCCGACTTGTTCCGTCCTCTAACCTGCCTGTGCAGTGCTGGAGAAAGCCTGGACCCTTGGCTTTCATGCGGCGGGTGCCGTTGCCAGAGATAGTGCGTTGTGGCAACTGTATCTCAACCCTCGGAATGGGCCAAACCTTTGACATGGCTTGAGAAAATATCTCTCAGGCAACCAAAAGTCGACATTGAGGAGCCCCAAGATGTGATTGTGTGGAGGAGTCCACTGCAGCTGATGTGGACTCTCGTGCGTTGGGGGGACTGGAGACAGAGAGGACTTGATCCATCTGCAAGTGATCGATGCACGTCCGTTGATTCTTTCGTCACGACTGTTGTGGGCCTCGCATGGGAAAACTGGAGACAGGAGCACTCATCCACGTCGATCTATCAAGAATGGCTTCTTCCTGTCGTTCGAGTCTCCTGGTGAGCTGTCATATCTGTGTGTCAAACACCGAGGGCAGGTGGCTTGAGACTGGAACAGTGGAGAACCTCGCAGTCGGCAATTCTCATGGCAAAAAGCCTCATAATTACCAGCAGACTCGATACGAGACTGCAGCGTCTCGCCAGGGGGGCGCGAATATCACCTTTGGGAGGACCACTTCGTGTCAGAGACACGGACCACAACATGGTCCCTCGTGTGAAAATAATCCCAAGGCTTAACCGAAAGGGAATGAGTTTGATGAAATGGGAGAAGAGGGGGTCAGATAAAGCTGCGTAACACCGGGGTAATGTTGATAACACTGGAGACATGGCGCAACAGCTTCGAATCATCTCAAGTGGCTGGATCCCTGTCGTCTTCATGGGGACGCTGCATCTCGAACACGCCCCTTGCAACTTGCACGTGAAAATCAGTCGAGATATGCAGATCAACGAGTCAATGGGCGAAGTCAGATATCGTGGGATTTTCATTTTCTGGCAGTGAGTCAGCAAAGGCTGGAGGCCCAAACATGTGACATTCAACAGGCTTGTCCATCCGAAGATTTACCGCATACGGTTTGGCTTGGCAATCATCCTCCCGCTGCACCACCACGACCAGTGACGCCCAAAGGGTCCAGCAGACTGCGAGTGTGACCGTGCAGTGTTGTATCCGAGTTGATGAGTGGCCGAGACATTTTGCGACAAGCCACATGCAACACCACTGTCGGCGGAATCTATCATTAACCACAGGTGTGACTTGAGTACCTTAATCGTGGTTTTCAGCCTAAAACCCTGATGTCGGCGGAGGTCGCGACAGAGCCAGCCTCCGGTGCTGGGACTGCTGAGGGACCTTCTGCCAGAAAGGTTGTCTATTGCGGAGGTGGGCACCCATTGCATCCCGGATAGACCCAATGGATCGAGAATTGAATGCTGATGCCTAACCTGGAACTCGTACAGTTTGCACCCTTCCACCCGAAGTACGGCCTACATCTCCCAAGACACAAGTTCAAATGATGCGAACTGGCGGACAGCTAACTCAAGTTTGGACTCATTTAGTACTGCGAATTCGGCGGGACGGTCAAAAAGTGTGAAGAATGGCTCCAGAAGAACCACCCTGACATGCACCAGAAGTTATACTCGGAAGGTTTGCGCACCCGTCGCCTCTATGTGTGTCGGAGGAGTCTAACAACAACTCTACTACAGAGGCCTTGAACGCTAATCTATCAGCTCTCTCCGTCGACGCTCAGAAAAGAGCAGAGAAAGATGCTGCCAAAAAGACTGCCAAAGCTGCCGCGGCCGAACAGCGCGAGGCGGAACGGAAAGCCGAAGCCGTCGTCCTGATAAAGCGTGTCGAACGAAACAAGCGGAAGTACGTCACTGTGGTTTCGGGCTTGGAGGAGCATGGACTGGATTTGAAAAAGGTAGCCAAAGAGCTGGGCAAAAAATTCGCGACAGGAAGTAGTGTCACCAAGACGGCTGCGGGAGGGGAAGAGATCACTGTGCAAGGTGATGTGAGTGATGATCTGTACGACTGGTTGCTGGAGAAATATCCTGAGATACCAGAGGATAATTTGGATATGAAGGATGATACAAAGAAGAAAGCTTGAGAAGCAAGGATTGGACAACTATGTCTGAGGCTATGTGGTCGAAGGGCCGTGCTTTACAAGCCGGTAACATGTGCTGAAATTCAGGGAGAAAGATTCTGACATGCACAAAGACAATGACCTGGATGTGAAAGTCGAGATGAAGGGAACGATATTCAGATGAAATTGTTCACTGAGACTCAGGCAATATCCAGCTTCTTGAGTATTTGTTTCGACTTTTCCTCGGAACAAAGGACACTTGAAAACTCATCGTGGTCACCCAAAACCAACTGGTCCGGCATGCTTCACTTAGAACGTCGATAGCAACTTATCTCTGCCGCCGCTGAAAGCTGGGCTTCTCATAGCAACGTCTCCTCAATTCCCTCCCCCTTCGACAGTGCGGCGTGTTTCAAGATCACAAATCCCGTGGGTGTTGAACGGTCAAACATGTCTAGTCGCGAGCGTCCATCTTCAGACAGTTCATCTGACTGGGTTTCATGCAGCAGCAGCTCCTCTCCCAGTGTGAGCGACGAGGTCCGTTCCAGTGTTGGATTGCTGGCGACATTGAAAAAGAACCTCTGGTTGACGTCATGGTCACGCTGCCGCAGTCGAGCGCTGCTGGTGCCCCCAGACGGTGCTGTGTCTGGGCATGTCCATTCTATTATATCAGCTGAAGCCGAGCCTAACGGGCTTGCCCCTAGCGGGGAACCACCGATGCCTAGCCCTCAATCGCCAAACAAAATGTCCCTGAGTAGCCACTCCAGCAGTGCGTCCCGGGCTCGCTCACTATTCGCTCTCCATTTCAGTCGACACCGTCAACAACGCGAAGCCCCCTTGTCATTGGCACCAGACAGTCCGCGCACCCCCCAGCATGGCGACGACGGCGAGGTATCCAAAATCCATGTCTTGCCTTCTGACACGTTGACCTTGGCTCCTCGACTGCCTTCGAACGCTCATGTCTGGTCCGAGCTGACCAGAATGGATCTCAATAACCCGACTCTGAGCCCTAACCTCGCAGACCTGCTCACCGGTCTGTCGAGTCCGGAAGATGCAAGCCGCAAAATGGCAGCTTTCAAGCTGCAGTCGCTCATCAACGACCCTTCCTTTGCGGAACATTTCGTGCTTGCGGGCGGCCTGCCTCGACTGCGCGCACTCGTCCTCGAAAGCAGTGGAAATACCCTCGCGTACAGTCTGGCCAGCTTTGCTAGGCTATTAGAGGTGGACCAAGGATGGGAGGCCGTCAATGATCAGGTTGTCCAGAAGGCAAGGCTTCTCTCGTCCAGGCCATCACAAGGAACGAACACCGCTGACTGACTGCGCTTTCTACGTCCAGGTGGTGGAACTGGTTGTCTGCCAACCTTTAGTGAATATTCTCCGAGGCGCAATGGCGATACTTGTCTCTATTGTTTCCCGACCGTATCATGCCGATCGATCCTCCCAAATCAACACCAATAACAACGCCGGCGGATTCCAAGCACTGAAACCGGCCCTTGCGGTTTACCCGCAATTCCTCGAGATGCTCGTGACAAGGTTGTCTTCCGCAGACCATGCTCTGTGCGCAAACGCCCTACAACTGATCAATTCGCTCATGCGCGACGCGATCACAAACGACAATGAAACCGAATGGCCCAAATTTATCAAACGAATACAAGATCTTGGAGTCATCAAGGCAGTATATGTGTTAATGCAGAGTTCTGCGCTACAAGATTTGGCGCATCCCTTGCTTGAATTCCAAGCATTGACCAAAATATTGCTGAGGAGGTGGAGAGACGTACCGGTGGACCTCGTTAAGCCCGAACACAGGCGGACCATCAAAGCAGTCCATCTCTCCAGCAATCCAGAGAAGCAACCTGAATACGAAGTTCGGAACGGAGAATCCAAGCCAAAGCACAATCCCCTTAAATGGAGGCGACTCGGGTTCACCAGCGAGAACCCGGAGCCAGATTTTGCGGACATGGGGTTTCTGGGAATGATGGATCTTTCTGACTACGTCCGCAAATACCAAGATGAATTCCAGAACATTCTGCTGGAACAAGCAGTACTGCCAGAACAGCAAAGGTGCCCATTGGCCCGGGCAAGTCTGACGTTGACGGCCATTCTATTTGAGCATTTCGAAGTAGACAAAATGGACCTGGAGGATTCCAAAAGCTACCTCGCACTGGAGAGTCGGACCAATTTTGACAAGGTCTTCAAACCGCTGTTGCTGCACTGGAGCCGGTTGCACGTTGCTGGTTTACATGCGTTCTTCAGATTGTGGAAGGCAACGGGTGCCGAGGTGGACGACTTTCCCAAGATTGTCGAACTGGTCCGGATTTTGGTGGAGAGTGTTGTTGGTGGCGCAGATCGCACCAAAGGGATTGAAGAAATTGAGAAAGAGATGGCTGCTTTTGAGTACGGTAAACTTCGTGAGCTGCAGATGGAGCTCCTGGAGCTGACATACGAAGACGTCTGGGGTCAACACCTTCGTGGAGTCAAGGAAGAGTTGCAAGGCGAAGCTCTGCAATTCGTCAAGGAGCAGAGGATTCGGTGCCTTTTGGCTGGAGCATGGTTTCCTAATGGAACATATACGGATCAAGAGGGCGGAGGCCCTGTAACGGAGGATAGTCTGGTCCAAAATGCGGCGCATGGCTATCGTTTCGTCAGGCTCTCGGAGAACCGCAAATACTTACATTGGGGCGACTTTGACGAAAAGGAGGAGCAGTCGCCTTCCACCGCAAGTCTCCGGGACAAGATCGATCTGTCCATCGTGTCGTCTGTGGTTTCCAATGTCACAGCCAATGACAGGTCGTCGATCGGCTCGGACTCGACGCTGAAAGAACTGCTACATGACCGGTTTACCACAAACAAGATCACGATCCATGGCTACCTGCCCAAATCCCGAGGCAGCCGAGAAGGGCATTCGAGGACTTCCTCAAAGACGTCCTCAGCCCGGAATGGGTCCAAAGAATCAGTTCTTCTGACCTTCCACCCGAACAGCCACAACCTTGCTTCAGAATGGCTCGATGGACTTTTGATGCTCCTTGACCAACAACCCATCACCGCCGAAACCAATGGTCTCATCCACATGATCAGCGATTACGGGTTGAAGGTTCGGCTCCTAAACGTACGATTCAATGACGAGGAGGGGATTGTGGAGGGAATGGACGGAATGGATGGTCCTGAGATACCAAGCCGAGAAGGTCTGGATGATGACTACTATTATGAGATATGATGCCGGAGGATTTCAAGGCAAGCAACGAAGCAGGCGACCAGGGAGGACTGCCTTCCTCAGAACCGTCCTTTGGATACATCAGGATCACAGTGCTGGATGTTATCTCGGAGCAAGCAGCAAGGCCACGTTTGGGAGTCTGATGGCACCCAGAACCAAAGGAGATTGAACGAAGTTTTTGGCGATTCCCGTGGTTGAGATACCCTGATATCATACTTGGGGCAGATGCGTGGTCGGCTGGCGTCCAATTCGAGTCCATTGAGATATCACAAGGTCGCATCGCGTGGCCACGCTCAACTGCAAGGTGTCATCTGGAGGTGCCCTGTCTGAAGAAACTTGTTCAGACTGCGCGGTGTTTCGGTGCCACCGAAGACAAGCCCTTCCTGCCATTGAGATTCGCAGGACACAGGTGTACCGCTGTTCTATCGATAAGACATGCGAGCATTTGCCTTCATCACCTTCTACACATCTTTTCGAACAAATCTCGGCGTAAGTGGTCTGAGAGGAAGGAAAAAGGACCTTTTCCCTCTCTCTTGCACGTGCTGATTCTGGGGCTACGATTGGTGATCTGAGCAATGGGGAGCGGAAATGGCAAATACACGGAGAGGAAGACTTCGCGGTGCATTTGCCTTTCCCGCCGAGGCTGCCACCCCAGCGGAGGTTCCCAGGCACTGGATCTAGCCTGTTTCAGGGGCCTTTAACCAAGACCTTGACTGTCTTTGGCGGTTCTTGGGGCTCACTGCAGGCGCCCTAGGCCATACCAAGCCTAAAACCAAAGCCCACCCGGCCAGTGGCACCCCGCCATTGCCCCGCGCCAGGCGAGATGACCGAATCAGCGCAATCACCTGCGCCCTCTTGGTGCCTCGGCCGGGCTTGGAGGCGGGAGTCTTTCACTGGCGCCACCACCAGATCGACCTCACGCCCGCCTCCAAACCACCTGGCGCAGTCTTTCGTCATGGCTGCGCAACTCGTTGCTGTCGTCAGCCTTAGCGACTCGGATTGGTTGTAGCAGGGCACATCGACCGCAGCGTTACAACAAAACTCGCCCGTCGTGTGCCTGCTGTGCTTGTCGCGTGTCTTTCAATGGTCGAGGCAGGCATGCCCATCCGATAAGGTCTGGCTGATCGTTCCGCTGGCTGTCCCCTCCGCTCCATCCAGCACCCACCCAGCTCGAGCTAAACGATCTAGCTTTGATGTCAACTCGGCGACGTCTAGGGATCGTTCCCTCGTGCGAATCGAGGCAATGGGTTTCCAATCGTCTGTGAGGGATATGGAGCAAGGACCCACGTCCACTCCCGAGCCCATAGGTTTTTCTTCGACTTGATAAAGCTGCTGCTGTCCCTGCATCCCTACCTTGGTCCTTCCTCCCTCGTCACTCTGACCTGTTCCCTGTGCGACGTAAGAGAATAAAAAGGAACTGTCCGTCAGGAAACGAGGAGACGGGCTAGCTAGCTTGATCCTCGAGTTGCAAGCCTTTCGATAGGTGCAACCATCTGCGACGTTGCTATACACGACATTGCTGCCTTACACGCATCTCCGTCTACAGACTAAGAGATAGCCGTCATGTCTACGGATTATCCGACAAAAGAGGTGGTGGAAACCCAAGCCGACTCGAAAGATGTCCACCATCACCACCATTCTCTCAGCGAGAGAGTGCGCCACAGCATCTCTGTGCAATTCCTCGATGAGAACACGGTTGAAGGCCAAATCTTCTCCATGAACGATATCGATCCTGCTCTCGACAAGAAAATGCGCCTCCTGAACAATGTTGGTCCCCCCCCAAAGAATGCACAACGTCTTGGAGTTGCGAGTGGAGAGAAAGCGCCCTGGACGTGACGGTTGCTGACCAAACTTGCATAGGCCATCGACGAAATCGGCTGGACCCCCATGCATATGAAGCTTTTCTTCCTCAATGGCTTTGGCTACGCAGCCGACTCCTTGATTTTGCTGCTGCAATCAGTCACTGCCGGTCAAGCCGCACTCGAATTCAACCCTTCTTTTAGCAATGGTCTTACCGTGGCTGCATACTGTGGCATGTTGATCGGAGCCTTGTTTTGGGGATTGAGTAGGTTCTTCCGATATCCTCCCGGCAGCGCCACTTTACTGACCGGTTTGAAGGTGCCGATGTTATTGGTCGTCGATTTGCTTTCAATGTCTCCCTGTTCAGCTGTTCAGTCTTTGCAATAGTAGCGGGTGCTTCCCCGAACTGGTATGCCCTAGGTGCCTTCACGGCGTTGGCAGCATTCGGTTCCGGAGGCAACTTGATTCTTGACACCACGGTGTTCCTGGAATACCTCCCTGGCAACATGCAATGGCTTCTGACTCTCATGGCTTGCTGGTGGGGCCTCGCACCGGTGGTCGCAGCGGCCTTTGCATGGCCATTTCTCTCAATTTCCAAGTACAATTGCACCAGCCACGCGACTTGCACGTATGACAACAACATGGTATGTTTGCCTACCGCAATGCGACAACTGACGCGTGCTAAAAACTTGGCAACAGGGTTGGCGATATGTATGGTACTCAAACGGAGCGTTAATCTTGGTTCTCAGTATCCTTCGTGTGACAGTCATCCGACTCAAAGAGACGCCGAAATACCTGCTGGCGAAGGGGCAAGACCAGGAAGTTGTCAACACTTTCCAGTCGATTGCTGCCAAATACAACAGGCCTTGCTCGCTCACTATTGAGCAGCTCGACGCGTGTGGCCCTATCAAATCTACATATGGCAAATCACGCTATGGATTCTCGGAGTTCCTGGCTCACCTGCGAGGCCTCTTCGCGACGAAGAAACTCGGAGTCTCTACTTGCTTGATTTGGCTGTCGTGGACTTTGATCGGTAAGTGCGCGAGGGCGGCGTGCCAAAGTGTGCTAAAAGCTTGAGGCTAACAACAAACTCACCAGGACTCGCATATCCGCTGTTCTACGTCTTTCTGCCCCAGTTCCTCGAGAGTCGTGGCGCCCAGACAGGGCAAAGCGGCGCCTACTACACCTGGCGAAACTACATGATTACGAATACGGTTGGCATTTTTGGGCCGGTCCTTGCAGGGTTCATGTGCAACTGGAAGTTCTTGGGACGAAGATATACCATGGTGATCGGCGCTTTGATCTCCATGGCCTTCTTCTTTGCGTACACCGCCGTGCGCACCCCGGCTCAGAATATCGGCTTCACATGTGCCATTTACTTCTTTGTCAACGTGTACTATGGGACTCTCTACGCATATACTCCTGAGGTAAGTGCTGGAGGGTCCAGGCCGAAAGATCTGATGGGGAGACTAACGATACGTTTAGAGTTTGCCTTCTGCCCATCGAGCTACAGGAAATGGTATCGCAGTCGGCTGCAATCGGGTCATGGGTCTCGTCAGTGCATTTGTGGCGGCCTACTCCAACACCGCCACAAGTGCTCCGATCTACATCTGCGCCTCCCTCTACATCGCCATGGTAAGTGGATGGCGGTTGACGAAACTTCAAGTCGAACGATGCACTAACCAGTGTTACAGGCGCTCGTGGCCGTTGTCATGCCTTTCGAGCCTTATGGAAAGAGATCAATGTAGAAAGCAGCATGTGAGACCCGCCTTGGAGACATGGTCCACCGATATACATGATTTATGATACCCTCCCCTTGAAACGCCCGTATCAAATATATTGCTGCCCTTTTTCCCAGCGGAAGGACTTGTCCGCAAGGACTCGGGTGCAAATGCCACGAGATATCGCGTGGGAATTTGCCGCCCTCAGAGCCACTTTTATCTTCTGTCTGGCCACCTTGTGGACTGGTCGACTGATCGACTTGATCCGGGGTGGTCCATACCTTCCTGAAGCGGTTTAAGGAACCCATGAAGATCCCACTTGGCAGCAGCAGCGCCATTGACGTCGCTTCAAACTATCAATGTTGATCGTCGTCCTCCTTCCTATCTCTATGCATCCACGCGCAGCTCCATGCATGCTTCGCGCCGTAGCTGTTCCCATTTGCCCCCCGCTTGCGACCCTTTCCTGGATCTCGACCTTCTGATTGATCCAATCCCTCCTCGCGACATCAAGCAATGCCAGGTGCGCTCCGGGAATAGCTTATCCAACCCCGGCTTTTGCTTCATCTCTGATGCAACGTCTCGAGAATCCCCCTCCCGTCTCCCTATCAATGGTATCGCGACCTCATAGTCGGGATTGTCTCGGTGGAAATCCCGACGAAGATAAACTCTTCCCTTCTGTCATTGATTCTAAAAGGTCAGTGGTTTTTCTGTTTTGTTTGATGGTCTGGTCTATCGAGACTCTGTTGTCCGTCTGTGCTTTCTCCCTGTGCCGGCTACCCGACGGAGCAAGTGCTTCGTTGTAACAGATTCGGTACTCCTCCTTGTTCTTTTGTCGGTGTAACATTGTTTCTCCGACCTCCTCAACTGGATCCTTTCGTCATCGTCCAGACAGGGGTACGCGACGTACGTCCGCGGCAACCATGGGCGACATCGAAGAGAACGAGAAGTCGGTCGCCGTCCTCAATCTTCCTGGTGGACGCTCCGTCTCGCCCGTGAACATTGAGGAACGACGGGCTTCGGTGTCTTCTGCCGCCGCGGCGAAGAAAATCCTCGAGCATAGCAACGATGCCGACGAGGCGATGAAGGCTTTCGCCTCGGGCGAAGTTGTCGAGATTGACGAGGCCACCAACAAGCGCCTGCTGCGCATAATTGACTGGCATCTTATGCCCCTGCTCTGCGTCATCTATGGGTTGAATTACCTTGATAAGACGACCTTGTCGTATGCCAGCATCATGGGCATCAAGACGGATATCAACCTCGTGGGCGATGACTACCAGTGGCTCTCCAGCATGTTCTACTTTGGCTATCTGGCTTGGGAGTATCCCACAAATCGACTGTTGCAGAGACTGCCGCTCGCCAAGTATTCTGCCTTTTGTGTCGTGGCCTGGGGGACGGTTCTGGCCTTGTTCGCGACAGTCTCCAACTTCGGCGGTGCCGTTGCTATTCGATGTACGTGTCGTGCTTTCTCCCACCATCTCACTCCCTCCCGGTGTCCAAGCATCCGTCTAACGACAATATAGTCTTCCTGGGTGTTATGGAATCTGCCGTCACTCCGGGGTTCGCTCTGTTCACTTCTCAATGGTACACAAAGCGCGAGCAAGGTACCCGTACGGGCTTCTGGTTTTCATTCAACGGCTTTGGTCAGATCTTTGGTGGTCTGGTTGCGTATGGCATTGCTGTCGGCGCTCGCAAGAGCGGGACGGCCATTGCGCCCTGGAAAATCGTCTTCCTGGTCAACGGCTGCCTGACTGCTGTGCTGGGAATCGTGTTTTTCTTCGTCATGCCGGACAACCAGCTCAATGCGCGGTGGCTGAAGCCTCGCGATCGAGTGTTGGCCGTCGAAAGAGTGAGAATCAACCAGCAGGGTATCGGCAACAAGCACTTCAAGTGGTATCAGTTGAAGGAAGCCCTGCTGGACCCATTGACCTGGGCGTTCACTTTCTACGCTCTGACGGCGGATATCCCTAACGGCGGCATCAGCAACTTCTTTTCGCAACTGGTGGGTGTTTCTTGTGCGACTCTTGCATCCCCTGTCAGCCATGTTGTCGATGCAACCCTTTGTTCGCACTTTCTTCTAATCGCACGTCTTTAGATCGTTTCCTTCGGCTATACGCCCGAGCAATCTCTCCTGTACGGCACGCCCGGCGGCGCTGTTGAGGTCGTCTCCCTCATGTTCTGCGGCTGGCTGGGCGATCGTCTAGGCCAGCGACTCCTGGTCTCCATGGGTGGTTTGTTGGTTGCCCTGCTCGGCATGATTCTTATCGTTGCCTTGCCCCTGAGCAACAACTCGGGCCGGCTAGCGGGTTACTACCTGACCCAAGCATCTCCCACCCCCTTCGTGGCTCTTCTCTCCCTGATCTCCACCAATGTCGCCGGATATACCAAAAAGACCACTGTCGCGGCGTTGTACCTCATTGGGTACTGTGTCGGGAATATCATCGGCCCGCAAACGTTCAGACCAAAAGATGCCCCGAGGTACAGGCCGGCGGAGATTACAATCATCGTTTGCTGGGGGGCGTGTCTCATTGATCTCGCGTTCATCTGGTGGTATTGCAGGAGGATGAACAAGAAGAAGGAGCAGCAACGGGCCGAGCCAGGATATGTCAAGCTAGAAAATCAGGAGTAAGTGCGATCCAACTTTCCTTGCACGTCTTTGCAATCCGTTCCAGGACGCGTGGGAAGGGGCGTTGAGGAGACAAGGGAGGCGGGGATAGAGGTTGACAGAGAAGAGCGGCGGCGAGGGCGTCGTCGTCTTCCCCTCTTCCGTGGATGTCTGGACTCAACTCGTCTCCCTTTTGTCTCTTCCTTCACTGCCTCCCCGTTGAGACCAGCGGCCTCGGAGTGTATCATGACTGACATGCATATCTGTTGTGCAGGTGGCTTGATCTTACCGACAAGGAGAACCCCGAATTCAGCTACAGCCTCTAGGTCAGCCGATGGGTGCAATCAACGACCACTTTCTTGTGTTCGTGGAACCTTCACAATGGTGGGATGAGAATTGCTGGCAATTGCAGTGCTGGAAATTGCAGATTGCTTTGAGGTTGCTTGTGCCCCGGGACATGTGGCCCTGGGGCTCTTTTGGATCTGGTGTGCAAGAAGGAAGATAGGCGTGGGTGGAAGCATAGCGCGAGTATGACAATCCAACAAATCCTTGAAGAATGGGGTGGTGAAGCTGTGCGGGTCATCCGTTGATTCCAGCATACAGACGGGCAAAGCGTGATCGAGCACCAGCTACCGTCATCCTTCCTACCAAGTCCACGATATATCAATAATCTGTCCCCTAAGTCGAGATAGAGAGCCCGTGTCTCTCGCTCTCCTCTCCTCTCCTCTCCTCTCCGCCTCCCTTCAAGGCCTGCCATGCTCCCTTTTGCCCCTTAGCCTCGTGCAGCCAAAGGAGGGTAGGGTAACAGGGGAGAAGGGATGTCCTCATATGCTCCTCTTACCGTGCCTCGACGCTCTGTAAGAAACTCTTTCGAAGCCCCCTTTGTATGGGCTCTTCCTCGTTCCCGCTGGTTCCCGTTCCTCACACATGCTCTGTGTGTGGACAGTCCTGTTGCCAACCACGGTGTCGTCTCTCTTTCCTATCCTCCATCTCTCTCTTTTTCCCGCAGGCATAATTTCTCCGTCCTGTTCCCACGCCCATTTACACTCTTCATACAGACAGACACAAACCTAACTCTCACACACACACCCCACCGAAACCGGAGGCCCAGCTGGCATCGCTATCAGATTAGATCGTTTCCACGCATCGCATCGCATCTGATAACGTCTAAAGTTGCCGTGGGATGTCGAGAAAGTTACGGTTCTTGCATCATCCGTGAATGACGGCCACATGCAACGCCCCGTGCGTGCATATCGTGGCACATTTCGCGGTGTCGTGGTCCCTGTCGTGTCGTGTCGTGGTCCTTGTCTCTGCCCTCTTCTTCGCAGTGGTTCGAAACTCTACAAAGAAAAAGAGGTCTCGTGCATCCCTTTTTGCATCCAACCTAAGTCTCCACAGGTGTCAACCTGGCCAACGAGGGCCACGTCGAGGGCTACACCGCTTCAGCAGATGGGCACGATGGGGCGCTGAGATGGAGGGGTGAGAGAGGGAGAGGGGGGGGGACAGAAACGTTCTTTTGCGGACGGTCCAATGTCCGTTGGCGGATTTGAAAGAATGAGGATGGGATGTGCAAGAGAAACCACCACCGCTTCCCTTCGACCCATGGTCGGCATGTGAGGTCAAGGAGTTTGAGGTGAGGGGGGTGTGTGTGTGTGCTCTGGTTCTGATCCAATGGACGACGAGGCATTGTCATCGTGAAGGGTCACAGTGGTTCGTCGGTGTTGTGTGTTGGTGCCACCATGGCCAGTTGGTGTGGGATGGTTCGCAAGAAGCTAACTTTTTCCCTGTTTTCTTTTGCTTGTGTGCAATCATTTGCGGTCTGTGCAAGGCAAACACATCGAAATGGATTGGATTGCATTGGATGTTACGGATGCTAACAGGTTTGTCCCGTGTTTGCTTGGGGAAATGCTTTGTACGGTAGCTAGTTATTTCCGCGGGACCGAGTCAGGCGTAGACGGTGCATGCCCAATGAAACGCCTCGTAGATCTGATGACGGGAATTCCTTCTCTTTGATTTCACCCTCCTCTCTCTGGCGGGTCGCCTGCCTCCTGGACAGACAGTTTGGTGGCACGTTGTTTAGTTGCTGGCCGCCCCAGTTCCACCCCCCTCCTCGGGAATCACAAAACACATCAATCAGGGCGGCCCGACCCCAGCCATGCCGGAGACTCTACGTGGAGCGGCCTGGAACGGAAGGTTGGAGAGCTTGTTGGGACACACAACACACCATCACCTCCTTTCCCTGTACCACATGGCGACTTCTATACGCTGCTCTCCCCCGTTTGGTCCTGAATGGGCCCCGACTGAAACATGATACACCACCGGCACTTGCCTCCCTTACAGATCCTTCTTCGCCCACATCCCGATGCGCTCCTGGACATCTTCATCCTCCCAATCCTCCACGGACATGTACTGTTTGAGGAGGGGCTTCTTGCCCATCCACAGGGCCATGTAGGCGCACACGCACTGGAACAGCCAGGGGATCCACCACCGAAGAGGCCCGAGGAACGAGAGGCCCGGGAAGATGATCAGCGCTGTGGCGGAAATGTGCCTGTTTTCGGGGCCATGCCTGTTAGAAAAAAAAGAGAGAAATAGCCAGAGCGCGAGAGAAGAGAGAGAAAACATACTGGATCAACATGACCTGCAACAGACTTAACGGCTCCTTGCCTTCACTGATATCACTCACGTAGATCAACAGACTCTGGAAGAAGAGCCGATCCATCTTGTCGTCCATGTCCTTGGGGTTCGGATGTGCCCAGAGCAGGATCACGCTGTCCTCCTGTGCGCCCGGGGACGGCCAGAACCGGTGAGGCATGTAGGGCGCGATGTGGTGGGGTTTCATGGGAGGCGTGTTCTGGGCCGTGTGGATGGTGTCGATCTGGGCGTACGTCGTCGTGGTGCCGACTTCGCCGGCGAGCACGGCGAAGGATTCGGACTGTTGGAAGTGCAGGTGAAGCGGCGGCGACTAGGAGACCCGAACATGGGGGAAAGGTCAGCATCCCGCTGGATGATTGATAGAGAGATACATGTCTTGTCAGGCAGACTCGAGAATCTTATGTACCGCCCTTCCAAGGATGAACGGGGACCTAGTAGGACAAACCTGAGGATGGGCTTTCCCTTTCCTACACAGCGGATGATCATGTTTGTAAGTCGCTCGCATCAATACACTGTGAAGAGAAGCGGTGTCAGTAAGCCGGTACGCAAGACCTATCCCCAAGGCTCAAAAACGTAAGTAGTGGGTGAAGCGCCAAAAGCCACGTCCCAAGGAAGGCTGGCCAGGGGGGCCCAGCCTTGCGACCTTCCTCTGAAACTCCATGGCCCGGATCGCATGGAACCTGAGCCCCGTTGAAGATGTGGGTGTTCCCTTCCATCCCCTCGAGTCCATAAGATGGTAGATTGTCTGAGGAACCCCCCTTGCTCGCCCACTCGACTCCGACGGGAGGATGAACGGACTCGGGGGCCAGGACGGGATGAATGGATGACAGAATGAACGCGACAACGCGTGGAAAGGGGGGACTGGATCAACTCACGAGGCGTTCCGCGACGGCCTCGGCTGGAGAAACTCCAGGATGAAGGAGCCACTGTACAGCGTGTACGGGCCCGCGATGACCGGCTCGTCGTCCTCCTCTGCCGCGCGGGCGCTGGCTGCCGTCGGCCTGAGCGACATTGGACGAGGACAAATGCACCTCGCGTTTCTTTCAGGCTTCCTGGGCCCTTTTTTCCTTCTCGCTTCCGTGCTGGATTTGGTGGTTGATTGCTCTGCGATAGGGAGACTATCTTGCGACAAGAACGACGGGTAATGACAAATGGTTGACAATAAGAACAACGAATAAAAAAATCCAAGAAGAAAACGGATGCGCGCCGGGGTTGGTTTGATATAGGTATATATACACGAGGTAAGGGTTATGTAAGTCAGTCCTTTGAGGCTCCCCAGCTAGCTACATAGCTACATACACTACTCGTCGCTATTTGTTCCTTCTTAGGTACCTAAAGGTACTCGGGCTTACTCGTTTAGTGTCCATGTCCACCGCTGTGGCGCTCGCGGACGATGATTCAACAATCCGCCCCTGGAAACTGCCCTGTCAAACACGTTGCAGTTCCTGAGGAGTGCAACCCTTGGATTATTGCCGATTAAGCCCAGATCGATGTACCCGTACCCGTACCCATTGGGGGCCCAAACCACATTTGGTTTGGTTTGGTGGGTGGGTGAGTGTGGTGGGCATTGCGCCGAGCGAAACCGTTACAGTGGCTGGGTGAAGAAGAACGTTCGTGGGCATGACAATGTTGCTCTGCCTCGTGGGCAGGGAGAGACATTCAGTCGACGGCGCGGTACGCATGGGTTCACTTACTTGCGTTGCGCCAACGTGTCCCAACCGGCGGCGAGCGATAGGTCCTTAGACGTTCAAAGACATTACGAGTACCTCGAATTTGGAGCCTCTGGGAAGGGACAAACCCTACAAGTAGAAGGATTACCTAGACCTTGGGGCCCGCCCGGAAATCCTGACCCGGCCGACGAATAGGGAATTGTCCACTTCCACCGTGGGTGGTAAGATTTGCGATGGGTTTCGCTTTGGGGGCCGGATGCCAGGGGAGGGAGGGGGTGGGTGGTGGGCACTTATGCTATTAATGCTATCTTCACTCACGTCCTCTGATATCTTTTGGACATATCAGGGCAGATCCTGGAAGTGGAGATAGTAAGACCAAAAGAAAACACTTCTCTAGATAATACTGCGACAATCCAAGCCTTGGGCCAAGCCAGAGTGTCCCTCCATCCACTCGCAAACGACAGCGGCTACGAGAAATCCAGCATCAAGTTTCTCATGCCGTCCATCATCCCAGTGACCTCGTCCTCCGAAAGCATGTCCTCTGGGGCGAAGACGCCCATGTCTAGGTAGCCGTCTTCGACTTTGGCTTCGATGTCAATGGCAGGCTGCAACGGGGACAAATGTCAGTCGAGGGGAATGGAAAAGGGGGCACGAAGTCGTGATATGGGATAAACTGACCATGCACCACCTCGTGGTATCTGCGTCGACTTCCATGCTGTTGATGAAAGGCGACGGCGCATCAAGCCCCTGGGCCCTATCCTTCTGCTCAGGCGTCATTTCTGCATGAGTGACTCGTATTTCGCTGGATGGATCTCCCGATGGCAGTGCCTCCTCCGCGTTGTCTGGGAGAGACAAGAAATTGACAAAGGTGTCGACTTTGACGCCGCTCCAGGCATAAATGTCCCTCATACTGACTCCACAGTTCTCTGGCTTGGTGACTTCACCCAGATCATACTGGATTTGCAGAGCTGACTGAAGAAGGCTCTCCTGACCAGAGCGAACTCTGAGCGGAACAATGCTGAACGTCGGAGCCATCAGTTCCATAATCCCGTCGATATCAAGTGATCGGTTGGCGAGATAGATCCCAATCACAACATCCTCCCGTCCAGGGTTGGTCTCTTGTTGCCCTTCACCTAGCTCACGACGGATAGCCCGGTAAATTCTGGCATATGCGGCGAAGAAGAGCGCTTGAATGCTAAGTCCATGATACTTCAGCCGGTTGCTCAGCCGGTCAACTGGCAAAAGCTTCGGAAGGAATTTCTCCACCCGTCGTGCTGCGAATGAGCCTCGACTCAAAAGTCGCAATGCACCTTGATCTTGACCAAGATAATGTGACCAGAATTCTTCAGCTGCTGGACGAGCTGCTCGATTGCTGGAGATAAGAGTGCTCATATCTGTGTGGAGCTGGGTCTGGGAGCTGGTACCGGCACATAATCTCTCGAGCCGTGTTATGAACAGCTGGAAACCCACTGCATCATAAAGCGCGTGGTGAATGCGGAGGGCGACGAGCAATTCATTTCCCGTGGTGTCAAAGCGCATCGCCCAGGGGAAGTCGTACTTGTCCGCTGCCTCATTTTGGACCACAACCTGAAATGTTTCTGGCATCGCGCCGTCACTGTTATGAATGAAGAAGGTCCTCAGCAATGGGATTTCTTGGACAAGCTTCTTCAATGCCCGCTTTAAACACTCCAACGAGACGCCGGATACTTTGAGCCAGAAAAGGGGAAAGAACAAGTGGCCATTGCTTGCACTCCACATATCAAGCATGTACGTCTGACCAGCGGTACATGGTAAGATCATTTCGAGGTCGCCCTCTGGTATCCTGATGCTCTTCTTCACGGCTTCAGGAATCGACAGGTCGGCTGTCGGCCCATTTAGCACACGGGAATCCTCCTTCATGGTAGCTTTGAGCTGTTCAGCGGCTACTGCCATCTTCACAACCGTCTGTGCTCTGATGATCTGGCTTACTGGAAGCTGCACGCCCTCTTTTCTCAGCAGACTAGCCACTTTGATAGCGCTGACGCTATCCAGCCCAAGGTGGAACAGACCGATATTCTTTTTGACTTGCTCTTTTTCCAAGTTGGAGACTTTCGCAAGGACGTCCCTGATGATAGTCTCGGTAGGAGTCCAATTTTCTTGGCCTTGGGATTGCAGTAGATCGTCGTCAGGCTGAGAGTCCGTCTTTAGCCTGTCGCGCCTGCTACTGAGTAAGTCCACGGCTGGCAGACTGCAAATCGACGTCTTTCCGCCTTCTTCCCGCAAAAGAATCTGGTCAGGATTGTTCATCAGAGCTGCCAGAATGGTATCCAGATTGCTCAGGAGTGTCTGTCCAAATGCTTCGTCGGCCACTCCTTGTTGAAATGCAATAGTCCAGATCAGACCACTTGCATCGCCTTCCAATTCCACATTGACAGGATATGGCGGCGTGATGGATGTTCCGTCTGACGGCATTTCCTCCCACAACGCTGGGAGATCACCTTCAGCGGTTGGGAGCTTTTGGAATGTGAACAACGTGTTGAACAGTTCGTCATTCGCCCCCTGTTTTCGTGCGATACGAAGAGCCTCACTCAATGGGAAGTGCTGATATTCCGAGACTCGTACAACTGTATCGTGCACTCTCTGCAGGGCTTGCGATTTTGTCATGTTGGCTTCAATTAGAGGTCTGAAGGCGACGGTGTTGAAAGTTGGGAAGATCAGTCGATCCGAGCCTTCGGTGGTGCGACCGGAAAGAACAAGCCCGAAGCATACATCTAACTGACAGGTGTAGTGAATAAGTGCAATTGTCCAGCATGTTAGCCCGACCGTCTGAAGCGTCACTCCTTGCTGTCTACAGAACTTGAGGGCACTGGTTAGGCTGGTTTTCGACTGGTTGTGAAGCAAGACCGAGGAGCCGGAGTACCTGTGATCATCGATGGGCGCTTGGAAAATGGTGGGTTGCATATGCAGCAATCGAGACTCCCAGAACTTACGAGCCTCTGCGCTCTCTGCTTCACTGATTATCTCCTCGAGGTGTTCTTGATACTGACGGAGCACCGCCCCTTGGATTTTGCTGTTCGGAAACTGGTAGGCCATAGTGACTTCCTGGCGCAGCAGGTGCAATGACCAGGCGTCGTACAATGCATGTGGCATGGCGAGCACAAGGAAAGACGCGGTTTTCTCGCGCACGAGGGCAATGCTGGTCTGTTGGTCTGCCAAAGTTGGCTCGCTGGGGACATTCTTGAGACTTCTGATAACTTCATTCAATTTCTTGTCGTCGAAGATCGTCACCTCAACTCCTTCTTTCACCACATATTGCACAAAAGCCGTGTTCACGTCTGAGGAGTCGATAACCGCGAAGTGAGTCCTCAAGATTGGCTCTGTCTGGGAGACCTTTTCCCACGCTCCGACGAGCCTCTTTATATCAATGTTGGCGTTTAATTTGAAAGTCATGACGTTCAGATACTTGTCCGATTCCAGGAGCAGACCTTCCTGCATCGGTGTGACTGGGAAGATTGCCTCCACGCTTTCCAGGTTGATCCCATGGCCTTGCAGCATATGTCGATAGCTTATCTGCCGCTCCCCAATGGAAGGCACCCGCTCCCCATTTGTGGTTCTTGCTCGGGTCTCTGTGCTTGAAGTGGCTGCCACAGCAATCCCCGCAACGGTGGGCGATCTCATGATTGCGCTCACGGTGACTCTCAAGCCACTGTTCTTAACCCGAGCTGCGAGCTTCATTGCTTCTATGCTGTCCAAACCTAATTCGAAGATCGTGGGCCTGTGCCGATGTATCCTGTTTTCTTCCACGGACGCGAGCTTGGCAATTTCAGATCGAATGATTGTCTCTGTAGGGCTCAAAGCGATGTCATGGTCCTCTTCACAGACACCGTCAGAGGCTGAGAGGTCCGTTTTGGGCTCTCCATTCAGAGTTCCGGGGTCTCGTAGCAGGCAAAAATCGGTGGGCAGGATTACACCCATCTTTTCTGGTCTGCGAACCACATCAATGTACATGTTCAGCAAGTGGCTCGCCCTTTCTGTGCTCAGATATTGTGACTTTGCGATCAGCGTGACGTGGAATTCAGTGCCTTTCTGCTCTACCTCAATGTTCAGAGGATAATCGGGCGAGCTGTCTGTCGGAACTTCTCGCCAGAGTGTGCTGGCATCAAGATCCAATGATGCCTTCTGGAAAACAAACAACGTGTCAAACAGAGCCTGGCTTGCATTCAGTCCCAGGTATTGAACGATCTTCCTCAGAGGCGTGTGTTGATAAGGGATGATATCAACATTGAATTGGTGACATGCTTGGACGAGATCGGAGACCGCCGCTCCGTCTTTGAGGGAATTGATGGCACATGGAATGGTGTTGAACATCGGGCCGATGACATCCTCTATTTCTTCTCTGGCGGTGGCTCTGCCTGACACCACCACACCTATTGTGGGACTGAAGTTGAATTCCTTTGCCATCACATAGAGTAGCGTGGCCTGGAAATAAGCTGAGACTGTGACGTTCAGTTCATTGCACAAGGTTTGCAGATGGTCGATGCTTAGATGGTCCCTCAAGACGACACAATGAGTATCTGTCTCGTGCTCTGCATAGGTTATCGGTAGTTTCTGTGGCCGGATGCGAGCCAGGTGCGACAGCCAGAATTCCCTCTCATCCGGCAGCTGACATAACGGACCGCAGGGCAAGGCCTCGTAGAATTGCATTTTGGGGTTGTGGACCTCCTCAGGGTGCTCATATTGTTGCTTGACTTGCTTCAACAGTATCGGAAGACTGTTTCCATCATAGAGCCCGTGAAAGATTCGGAGAATCATGAAACCACCGTTTCCAGACTTTCCCAACTCGACCTTCCAAGGCAATGATGTAGACAGAGATCTGACAGTTCCGACCCAATCCTTGAAGGAGGAGTCCTGCAACTTGCGGATGCCGCCGTTTCTCACCTCGTACCTGATCAAATTAACTGCGCTGTCGTACTTACGCAGCACAACTTGAGCAAAACCATCAGCTGTTGGTACGAAGTATGTCCTCAGGATAGAAATTGAGCGCTGGACGGCACCCCAGGCACTTTTCAGTCGCTGAATATCGGTATTCGGATTGAGTTTAAAGAGGAAACAGGAGAAATAAACCGTGTCATCGAGTCCACTCTGCATGACCCTGGAAATCATGCCTTCTTGTAATGGCGTGCAAGGTGCGATGGACTCAATGTTTTCAGGTGAAACACCCATACTTCGCGCGATTTCTCCATAGTGGGCGTCATGGAATGATTGCATTCTCTTGCGAGCGATTTCCACGGCTTGGATCTGGTGTGAGTCGGCCTCCCGAATGATCGCTCGAGCTAGATCTTGGACGACAGAGTGCTTGAGGATCATTCCAACTTCGGCGTTCTGAAATCCTTTCCGCTTGAGAGCCCTTGCAAGCCCAATGGCTGAGATGGAATCCAGCCCGAGTTCAAACAATCTCGAGGTTGGCTTGATGTCCGATATCTGGATTCGCAAGAAAGATGCCAGCACACTAGCAACCTGATCGTAATACTGAAGGGCTTCCGGGGATGATGCATAACTTCCGCTGGGTTCGTCTTGCGCTGCCCCTGGCAGATTTTCCTCGTACATGGCTTTCAGCGATTTATGATCAACCTTGTTGTTGACTGACAAGGGCAGAGAAGAGACTGCAAGGATGTATGAGGGCACCATGTACGCTGGCAATTTGTCAGAGCAGCCCATCCGAATCTTGGTAGCAAGGTCCTGCGACTCCCCGGTCGCTACGAGCGAAGGTTTCTCGTTCTTCGCCCGTCTGTGGGCTGTCGAGAAGAAAGTTACTAGCTGGTCTTTCTGTTGTGTCGGGTGCTTCAAGACCATGGTAGCAACATCCCTGATTTTGCTGTCCGCACTCATAGCAATATGATTGATCTCGCCAATCTCCAGGCGCTGCCCACGTAACTTGACCTGGTCATCGATTCTGCCCAGAAATTCGAAGCTGTCGTCATGCAGGAGGCGGACAAGATCACCGGTGCGGTAGACCCTCGTACCATATTCCGTCAACACCACGAATTTCTCTTTTGTAAGGTCGGGCCGGTTGAGATACCCCTTTCCTACTAGAGGTCCAGACAAACAAAGCTCGCCGACGGCGCCCCGAAGAACAGGAGTTTGTGACGAAGGCTCCAAAACAAAAGAGCCCACATTGTCCCATTGTTGACCAATATTGGTGGGTTTCGCATGCTTGGGGACTTGCCGATGCACTGTGCAGCCGATCGTCACTTCACTCGGCCCATAGAAATTGTAGAGACAACCTGCATCGCCCCAAGTTTCCAAGATATCCTGGCTGACTTGCTCGCCGCCGACGATAAAGACTCCTCCGCATAGACTTGGTACATCTTCGGGTGTGAGCAACCTTGCCAAACTGGGGGTGAGGTCGAGGTGCGTTATCTCGAGAGCGTTGATAGTTCCCGGAAGATCCTCGAACAAAAGATCTCGGGTGGCAGAGGTCACGATGATGCCGACACTCCAACTCCAGTATTGTTCCAGCACACTGACATCGAAGTGGAAGGATGCGAACTGCAACCACCGAGATGATTCCTTCCATCTACCACAGAAAATCCGCTGGAACGACAACATTGCTTGGACTGCGCTGTCATGGCTGATCAAGCAGCCTTTCGGGGTTCCTGTAGTTCCTGAGGTGTACAGACAGTAGCAGACGGCTTGGGTATGCAGCTCTTTCGAGAGGAGAGGTTTTTCGCCAGACAACTCCTGCCAGCTATCATTGTCAATGGCCAAAGCAGACACACCTGGAATAGTGTTGAACTCGGACGTCTTGTCGTCGGTCGTCAGCACAATCTCACAGCCAGAATCGCGAAGGATAAATTCCTTCCTCGAAGTTGGTGCACCCGGATCAATGGCAATGTAACCGCATCCTGATTTGAGTACTCCCAATATTGCAAAAGAAGCTTCGGGGCATTTATCGAAGCAAACAGCGACGAGATCCCCAACTTGCAACCCTTTGCTCTGGATCAGTCGAGCGATTTTGTTTCCATTTGAATCCAACTGGGCGTAACTCCAAACTTGCTTTATTGGAGTCATTCCCTGCAAGCCTTGGACAAACTCGAGAGCAGTGTTTTCTGGTTTCTCCTTCGCTGTCAGCTCCACAAATTCATGCAGGTAGCGGACGGTAGATGGGATCCGTTCTTCTTTCGCAGGCACAACCGACACAACAGGCTGTGGAAGCCTCGAAGCATATGTTGCTTGTGTGAGCAGGCTCTTCATCAGTTCTTCAAACTCTTGAAGTACATACACAGCTTGATCTGGTGGTATAACCGCTTCGCGGAAGGTTACCTGAAGATCCAGCGCATCGTTCTCTCGAGGAATGAGCTCCAAGGATATTGTGTACTCTGCATTGGCATTATCTTTGATGAGCGCCCACGGTCTGTCTGGGCCCTTTTCGGCTTCGTATTTTTGCAGAACGATCACGGTGTCGAACAGATCACTTTCAGCCTGCACCCATCGTTTGATCGAGCTTAGTGGACTATGCTGATGTTTCAATACCCCCGCGCATCGTCTAACAGCTGATTGTAAAAGGTCGGTCCTGTCATGAGAAAGTCTCATCGCAAACGGCACAGTGTTGATGCAAGGAAATGCAACCCTGTTTTCTTCTTCGTCAAAATCCCGTCCAGAAAGTATGACCCCGAATGTGATATGGTCCTGGGCAGTATACGCTGCAAGTAAAACAGCCCAAGCTGCAGCGGCCAGGGCTTGCATTGTTGCTCCTCTAGTTGCGCATGCATTCTCGAGTGATTTCAGAGACATGCTGCACTGCCGAGTCGCGACACGATAGTTGTCAGTCTCTTGATTGTAGACTTTCAAGTCCGGAAAGCGAGTTAAGCACATATCAGCAGATACCTTCTCCCAGAATGCCCTCGAACTTTCGTCTCTGCTCAAGCCCAAGATTTTTGAAACGACCGGAGCAAGAGGGACAATCGATGGCAGCTGCAAGCCTGCATACGAACGAGCAACATCGCCCAATATGATGTCTAGAGATTGTGCATCATAAAGAGCATGCACCATGGAGAGTTCAAGGGTTGAAGAGGAGCCTGTTTTGGACACCCGAATATGCCATGGTGGTTGAGTGAGACTCCGCATGTTTGTAGAGCTCTCTTCGCCTTTCCCTTGTCGTATTTGCGTTGAATCGTCAGCCCACGGCAGCTGTACTGCATCTGGACGATATATAATCATGACGAATGGAGTTTTGGGGTCGTCTGTCTCAGCGAAGCCAGTCCTTAGCATTGCGTGCGATTGCAAAGCAAGAGACCAAGCACGTCGTAACCTTGATAAATCCACATCGTTGTCCAGCTTGAAGTGCATATGATTGAAATAGAGCCTGTAGTTCGATCGAAGGAACTGCGAGAGAATTCCTGATTGTATAGGTGTGCAGGGCCATACAGATTGGACTCTGGATTCGTCAAGGCTATTATTTTGACAAATCGATCGCCGACAACTCTCTTCATAGGAACCAAGATCGAAGAGCCGATGTATTTGGCCTTTTCCAACCCCAGAGTCGCAGATACTGGCGATATTTCTGACACTTGCAGCTTCCAAAATGGCCCCAGTCGATATATCGAACCCTCTTTTTCGCAGCTTTGCCGCAATTTGCACGGCATTGATGCTGTCGAACCCCAGACTAAAGACTGTCGTGTCCCTGAAGATCTTTGGAAGAGCATCGGGTTGCAATTTCACAAGTATATCCTTAACTAATGTCTCCGTGCGAGACAAATCTTCATCGACGGAAACCTGCCCGTCGATTGGGGTCGCAGCAGCTGAGCTTGCAAGAACAATCAATGGTTTGGAAGGTTGCACCCTTGGCAGCATCCTGGCGATGAAGGAATAGTCCAAAGCTCTTGCTTGCGGATATTTGGCGGTGTGCGAGAGAAGGGCGTCGTAGACATCCAGAAACTTACCCAGTGTCTTCCGTTCAGCAACCTCAGAGTGCAGCTTGAGGGTGAATGTGTCGGCATTCGAATTCATCGTAATCTCAAGTATGAAGGGGAAAGACATATCCCCTGAGTCTTCAACCAGAGTCCAGACCTGATTATCGAGCCGCAGTTCGTCTTGTTGGAGCAAAATCAATGTATCAAATAATGCTCTACCTTGGGTGTCAACTGCTCGCTGGATTTGACGAAGTGAGCTCGATTGATATGGTAGAGTCTCGACATTCATCTGTTGAATGCAGTGACACAACTCCTGGTTCGATTCATCTGGCTGCAACTGTATCCTCGCTGGAATTGTATTGAAGCATGGAGCGACCATGCTCTCCACGCCATCGATAGGAAGGTTGCGACCGCTAAGGACGTTGCCAAAGCAGATATCCTGACTTTCGAAGACACAAGAGAGAAGCCGACACCACGGAGCTTGAAACAGGGCCAAGGGGGTCGAAAGTATCTTTCGCGCACGTCGTTGAAGTTCTGAGACACCGATTGTTGCCCTCCGTTCGACCAACAAATGAGTGTCAGGGGCAGCCTTATCCTCCGGCAATATGGCTTCACTTAGCTTGTATAAAGAAGCACCCTGTAGCTTTGTGCGCCAGAAATTATATGTGCCACCAGTATTCGAGGCTTCCATGAATGACAGATAGCTATCGAAGGGCGTTGTAGGAGGTAGTTGGCGACCGTGATAAAGGGATTGAATCTCGCTTAACAGCACGGCCATTGCCTCTGCATCATAAAGACCGTGATGCATTTTCAGAATCAGCTCTGTACTCTCTCTGACTTCAAGGCTCCACGGTGGGATCATGAGACCATCCAAAGCATAACTCAGGTGTTTCGTGCCTTCTTCCAGCCAGGGAAGTTGGAAGTTCTTCAATACCACCTGCACGAAGGGAGAGTCAGAGGAGTCAGTCACGGCAAAGCCTGTGCGAAGAATCTGATGTCTTGCCACTGCGAGTTCCCATGCTTGCCGTAGCGTCGACATATTGCCGCAGACTTTGAACCGTAAAGTGTTTCGATAAACTCGAGAAGAAGCATCCATCGAGCTGGTCACCATAGATTCTTGTAAAGGCGTACATGGAAGGATCCTGTCTACTTCCAGGCCCGCCCGAGAATAAAGGCCGCGGACTTGGCCTTCCCACTTTTTGAAGAGGCGACCCAGATCGTCCTTATCGTAGAACGTCTTTTGCTCTGAAACGTGTCTCTCAATGTGCCTCATTAGTTGTCCGACGGATGGATTTTTCATCAATGAGGATATCTCCACGACGGGATAATGGTCTCTGAGGGCTCGAGAGACGCGTATCGCGCTGATGGAATCTAAACCAAGGGAATAGAATGAGGTGGAACGGTTGATCTTCGCAGGACTGACGCCTAGTGCATCAGCAACGACACGAGCAATAATGCATTCGGAATCGGAAAGGCGATCAACACTTTCCGACAGCTTGCTGCCTCTGGACATGGCCTGAAGCTGTTCTACATCGAGATTGCGATAGTAGTTGATCAAATCGGCTCGGTTGACCTTACCCTGGCGTGTCAGTGGTATCTTGTCAAGTTGGATAAGGCTCTCAGGTATCATGTAATCCGGCAAGCCATTTGCCAATGTCTCGAAGATGCTGATGTTCATTCCGTCAGGGATCGTTGACCTGTGGGATTGACGCGGAGTCCAAAAAGCAACAAGTCTGCTTGTATCATCACCTTTGTCGATGACCAGGGATACCGCATCTTCAACTTCATTACACTTGATCAGGGCAGAATTCACCTCTCCTAGTTCAATCCTCTGGCCCCGGATCTTGACCTGATCGTCTTCTCGGCCTAATATGACCAAAGAGTCGTCACAAAGAAGCCTTCCGATGTCGCCTGAGCGGTAAAGCCGACCATATTCGGGATGATCGAAGAAGCGCTTCGAGGTCAACACCTGGTCAAGATATCCGCGTCCCACTTGTTCTCCACCAATCCATATCTCGCCTGCTCCGCCTTTTAATAGTGGTCGAAATTGCAAGAAAGATTGATCAACGGACTCTTGCCTTTGGCAAATGAAGACGGACGTATTCGGTAGCGGAGGGCCAACATTGTTTAGTATGTCAGACTTTGAGACCTGGGGTCGAACGTTACATATGTTTGTCGTCTCACTAGGTCCGTAACCTTGGTACAGTCCGTGTTCGGCCCAATCTGAGAACACTTTCGAGTTCATGGGCTCTCCTGCGGTAACCAGCATTTTCACGTGCGGGATATTGTCAGGTCGAACAAGCGATGCCACCGAAGGGGTCATACTCAAATGTGTTATATCCAGCTGGTTGATGAAGAGTTCAAGGTCTCTGAACAGGACATCATTTGACGCTGTGCACAAAGTCATCCCCTTGTGCCAAGCCCAAAAGATCTCAAAGACTGAGACGTCAAATGCTGGGGAGCAGGCTTGCAGTAGTCGATCTGTCTCAGGGTCACACGGGTAAATACGTGACAGCTCCTCCAGATTACTTAGCAGGTTCCGACGGCTGAGGAGGACGCCTTTGGGAACTCCAGTGCTGCCAGAGGTGAACACTGCGTATGCTAATTGATCACCCTTCAGTGATGGGTTGTTGCAGATACTCCTCGCGGAATGATGCTCCAATAAACTAGCTATGGAGATTGAAGTTGGTCCATCAGTCTCCTCTGTTTCCCGCACATGCTCTGTTGAAAGAGTAAGCCTGCACCGAGCTTCGGCCAAGATTTGGCGGACTCGAGCTGCTGGCGTTCGAGGGTCGATACATATGTATGCGCCTCCAGCCATAATGGTCCCAAGGATGCCAATGTAGAGAAGGGTCGATCGAGAGCCGATTATGCAGACAAGATCGTCAATCTGCACATTGTACTCAGTTCGCAACACAGAGCCAACGATTCGGGCGCGTTTGTAAAGGTCGCTATAAGTGAGGGTTTCCTTTTCCACCTGGCTCGTGCGCTCATTGATGCTATGCACGAACTCAACGGCTGCTCTTTCTGGGCACGATTCGGCAAGTTCTGAGATGGTTGTTGTTAGATCGAAGTCTCCGCTGAAGTTCTGGAAGCTGGTGTTGGCCAAAGACAAAGTATTCTTGTCAAAACTTTCCCAAAAGCAGTTCAGACTAAGGTCAAGGTTGCTCATAATTCGAGAAGCAGCAGTGTCAAGCTGACGCGTCAAAAGCATCGCATGGTCTTCTGGAACAAGCGCTGTATCAAAAGTCAACTTGAGGTGGACTTGACCCTGACGGGGCTCAAATTCTAGCACTATCGCATATTCCAAGGCATCATGCGTCCTCAGCGTTGCGACTTTGGTGCGATCTCTGCGATTCTCTTCACTGTCTTGTTGCCAAACGCACAGCGTATCAAACAGCTTATCTCCAGGGCGGAGACCTGCCGCATTGTTGATGTCCCGCAGGGCAATACTCCCGTGTCGAAGGGTCTGGGTGCGTTGTCTCTGGACATGGTTGAGGACATCATGTACTGTTCTCAAAGCACTGGTATCGACACGAAGAGGGAATAATGATAGGCAAGGCCCAATGACCGACTCAATCCCTGCAAGTGAGAAATGACGACCAGCCACAACTACTCCAACAGCGACGTCTGCATTGTCGAGATACGATGAGAGCAAAAGCGACCACGCTGCCTCCAGAACCGTCTCCCGGCTGCAGCGTGAGACAGACGCAAAATGTGAGAGTTGTTCATATGTCGTGGAAAGTGGAAACTCCGTCGTGGTTTTGCGTGGGCTCTTCGATCGGACTGGTGTTATTATCGGAAAAGGAGAGGGCTTGAACTCTTGAAGTTGAGTACGCCAATATTCAAAATTTCCCACCTTCTCCGACCTCAAGCGACTGTGCTCGTGCGACCGAAAGTCGGAGAATTGTGTCCTGCGAGGAGCATCCTCTTCGGACAAGATGGCATTCAAATCGTCTAGGATCAAGTCCCAGGACCATCCATCGTATAAAGCGTGATGGATCCAAACCAGGACATCTCTCTCATCAGTCGTTTCTGAGCTTGCCAGCTGCAGGGGATGCAGAAGACTTAACTCGGGATCATATGGGAGGTCCCGCCACACAATCTGAGCGAAGGGCATCTCCTGTATCCCAGTCTCGATGAAACCGGATCGCAATATCTCATTCTTCATGGAAAGCTTTTCAAATGCCCGACGCAAGTCGCTCAGTGTCAAATCTGGTCCAAGTTTGAGCCAGATTTGGTTGAAATTCCGGTCCGCCTTCGTGGCTGTTTCGATCAACATCGCCACCTGCATACTACTGCAAGGCAGGATCTTTTCGTATGGCGTTTTGAGGCTTGAGACGCTGAGATCTTGCAGCATTTTTGCTCTGATCGCTTGCCATTCGTCCGATGTCTCATATTCTGGCTCAGTTCTTCCATTTTTCGCGTCTTCTGACTTGGCAATAAGGCTTGAAAGTGTGGCCACATTATCAGCTTCTGAGATCATCGTGGCGTTGACACAACTGTACTGTCGGCGCAGTCGAGACGCGATCTTAATGGCACGGAGGGAATCGACGCCCAGCGACCAGAAAGAAGTCAATCTGTCGACTCGGCACCTCAGCTCAGCGTTCAATACTCGGGCTACATCCTCCTCTAACGGGGTCGCAAAGGAGGTCCCCTGGTTGATTGGCACTCGACATTCTCGATAGTTGCGTTCAAGCGCTTTCCTGTCAATTTTTCCTGAAGGTAGTCGAGGTACGTCGTTGTACAGGAGCACGATCTCGCCGGGACGCATGTATGGTGGTAGCCATGATTTGCACTGAGCGGAGACGTCAGGAACCGTAACATCATGTTTCGCAGCACAGAAAAGGACCAGAACATCGTCGATGATGCTTGCAATGGCAAGGTGAACACCATCAGTTTTCGAAGCAATTTCTTCAATTTCTCCTAGTTCAACTCTTTGGCCCCTGAGCTTGACCTGGCCGGATGTCATGCGTCCCAGGATTTCTAGCTCCCCGTCTGGACGACAAATTGCTCGATCGCCGGTTTTATAGATTGGCCCATAGCCGGCAAGTTCAACGAAAGCAGCTTGATTTTGTTCTGGCCGATTCAAGTAGCCGTCAGCAAGTTGGCCCGCAACCGCCAGTTCGCCAGACTCGCCAATTGGTGCGATCTCTAGCGGTTCGCGTTCCTTCAGGACAAATGCAGTCACTGTTGCCAGTGGCCTCCCTATGCTGCGTACAGAAGCATCTGCAGCTAGCTGTGGCGCGACAGTACAATGAATGGCCGCCTCCGTGGGACCATACATAGCATACAGCATGCTCGACTGGTCTGCGCTTCCTCCGAATTCGGAAACGACCGAAGCTGTGAGCATTTCTCCAATTGTCAGCAACGTCTTCAAGCAAGGGGCTGCCTTCCTCGTCCTGAGTAATGTTCCTGCCACCGTCGGGGTGAGCTCCGCAGCGTCTGCGTCAAGCATTCGGATAGTAGCGGGTAAATCAATAAGCATCTGCTCACGGTCACAGCCAGCTAGTGTCGCTCCCCGGAAAAATGGAAAGAATATCTCAAATATGGAGACATCGAATGTTGGTGAAGCAAATTGTAAAAATCGTTTGAAGCGAGGAATATGCTCGTCGTGCGCAAGTAATGACTGTGACACTGAGAAGTGCGATACTACGACGCCCTTTGGAAGTCCTGTAGAACCTGAGGTGTACATGATATACGCCGGGCTGGAGGGGTGGATGCCCGGACGGTGTTGGTGGTCGGTGTCATGCGGCTGTGCCGAATTGGACCTTTTTTGGAGGGTTCCCAGGGATACCGTCTTGCATTGGACGTCTGACAGTGCATCCCCAAAGGCAGCCCTGGTGTTGGTGGTTGCCAGCACAAAGGTGGCCTGAGTATCTTGGAGGATGAATTTCAGTCTTTCTGGGGGCACGTCTTGACTGATGGGGCAGAAGGCAGCGCCAGACTTCAATACCGCCACCAATGCCACGTAAAACTCTGGAGACTGAGGGATGATGATGGGAATGATGCAGCTTCCACCCTCCCTGAACGACACATACTGCTGGATGTCCCGCGACAGGAGGTCCGCCAGGCGATGGAATTCGCGGTATGTCAGAATAACGCGTCCACCATCCCCCAGCAGGAAATCCAGAACGACGTTCTCGGAGGGTGTCGCTATTAGCTCGTGCAATGATTGAGGCCCGGGCAGTATTTGACGATTCTCGTTGACGATCGAGAGATTGTGGGAGACGTCGACGCCATGGTGGTCATTGACGGGCGACGGCATGTTGGTGATTGCCGATGGTGATGAAGAGGTTTAAGATTATGAGAGTCTCTCTAGGAGACCAGTATCGAAAAGTAAAATAGAAGAGAAATAGAAAGGGAGCGAGGGAGCGTCGTGGAATACTTGTCACAGCATCCGATGACACCTCCCAACGAGGTGTTGGTTGTACGTCGTTGGTGTTTGACGGCCGACGTCATGGGAGTGAAACGACGTTTGCAGAACTCCTGCTCCGGCGTCTAGGATTCTCGTTGTGTCCTTCCTTGTTCTCTAGACGATGGATCTCTTGTGGTGTAGCACTGCTCAGCATAGACCACAAAGGAGTGACCAGTAGTCGACAAGTGCCCCTCCTAGCCCACTGACTTGCATCCTACCACCGACTACACAAACCGCCAGCCAAGCTGCCCCTGCAGGCTATCACCGTTAGTCGAATGCTCCGTCCAGTGGGCAGGCTGGTCCGCTTGGAGTCACAAGGAGGAAGAAAAAAAAAATTAGTTTCATGCTCGAAGCCTCGTCTGATGGATGCCGCGGTCGCTTTGAGAGGGACAGCGGGGCATTTTGTCCACAGCGCCCACAACGGCGACTCCTCCCACCACGCCACAGCCTGCGACCATCCACTGCCATGGCCGACATGAAGCCGTGACCAAAGATTATCAGATAATCTGCCCGATTATCAGATAATTCTCGCTCCGCAATCGGCTCGGATGGGGAAGTCGCTGTCCTTCGCGGTGAAGAGACATGGCGTGACGTATCCATCGACCAGGGTGCCACCAGGGCTTCGATGCATGTGTGTTGCAGTGCCCGCGAGATCTTCCCATCTAATCTCTTGTCCGTGTCATGACTAGACAGAAAGTTTGTGCTGGGACACACAGCTGGCACCACCACCAGAGCAGTTATTACCGGCTGATCCCGCGTCGATGGTGGCCATCAGGGCAAGCCTCCCTTTCGTTACTCAACTGTGTCCACCGCACATGATATATTCCTGGCTTCATATGTGATTGCTGCCTCTCTCGACAAAATTTGCTGCAGAACCTGGTCGCCTTCTTACTGTCCACGTTGTTTGATTCTCTCCTCATGGCTCCGGGGGTTTTGTCTACCACAAATGGGCACGAGCATCCATCAGGCTCAGCAAGCTCCGCGAACGGCATCAATGGCTGGGCCGCTGAATCTTTAACCAACGGTCAGCGAACCCACGCCGCTGCTCCTGTTCTCTATTCTGCAAATCCAGGGGAGGTTCACGACCTTGTATGCGTGGGCTTTGGGCCGGCCTCTCTCGCAATTGCAGTGGCTCTTCAAGACTCGTTGCGCGCTCAAAGGGAAACCAACCCTCAAGTTGCCGCTCCCACAGTACGCTTCCTGGAAAGACAGCAGGCCTTCAAATGGCATGCCGGGATGCTGCTGCCCGGCGCAAAGATGCAGATTTCCTTCATCAAGGATCTTGCCACCCTCCGAGATCCCACAAGCCATTTCACCTTTCTAAATTACCTGAAAGAGCACGAGCGACTGGTGCAGTTTTCGAATCTGGGCACCTTCTTGCCGTCTCGGCTGGAGTTCGACGACTATCTGCAATGGGCAGCACGCCACTTTGAACATGTTGTCGAGTATGGCCAAGAGGTTGACTCGATACACCCACGGAGACTGGCTGGGGCGGACAAGTATGACTGCTTTGAAGTTGTGTCACGAAGCCTCGCCACCGGCAGGACTGTGACTCTCCTGAGCCGAAACGTCGTGATAGCGGTAGGCGGTCGACCCGCGAGGCCGACACTATTTCCGACCTACCATGACCGTATTCTGCACTCCTCTGAATACAACACGAGAATCAGCCGCGTGCTGCCAGACAGGGACCAAAATTACATCATTGCTGTCGTGGGCGGCGGCCAAAGTGCGGCCGAGGTCTTCAACGATCTCCATCACCGTTATCCCAACGCCCGCACCAGGCTCATCATTCGAGACTCTGCCCTAAGGCCAAGTGATGATTCGCCATTTGTCAATGAAGTCTTCGATCCAGAAGCAGTCGATGCTTTCTTCGACCAACCAGAAGATATACGTGCCAAAAATGTCAAAAAGAACAAGGCCACAAACTACAGTGTTGTGCGGCTCGAACTGTTGGAGAAACTTTACGACGATCTTTATATCCAAGGCATCAAGCAACCAGACAAGCGTCTGTGGCAGCATCAGATTCTGCCGCTGAGGGATATCTCTGCAGTGGTCGACAATGGACCGAACGAACGAGTCGATTTGACGTTGACCGACCTAAACCCGTCGAGCACAAACGGCGAAGAAAGATTGTCGGTCGATGCAGTCGTGTTGGCCACCGGCTATCGGCGAGATGCGCATGTCGATATGCTCAAAGCTTGTCAGGGCATCAACTCGACTTCGGATGGCCACTGGCAACCTGGACGTGATTACGGTTTGAAACTAGATCGTGAGTCTGTGAAGGATGGCGTCGGAATCTGGCTGCAGGGATGCAATGAGGCCACTCACGGCTTGTCTGATAGCTTGCTGTCCATTCTGTCCACTCGAAGCGGAGAGTTGGTGGATTCTATCTTCGGAACAAGCTCGAAACCCAAGGGTCACTGACGAAGGACTGGTTTGGATAAGATCGACGACGGTGTAACTCCCTTTGCATGGCGAGCAAGAGAGACGTCCGAAATATTTTATCTCGGCAGCACTGAAGATGTGTTGACCATAGATGGTGGGTGGTCATGACTGTGGATATTTGTTATTAGTTGTAGACTGGCGAACTCCCCTTGAACCGAGCTTGTACCTCCCCAAATCAATTGGGCTCCTATTGGCGGTCTTCCTGGTGTTTCAAGGCAGACACTTCTCAGCATATTGCAGTCCCGGGGCAGCCGATGCCCTTGTCTTCTGTTGTGGAGAGTCCAATGGAGGCTGTCGACGACTTTGGGGGAGGTCGAAGCGCAGGAAAATCATAGGATGGAGGGGCGCCACCTCCGCAAAGAGGTTACAGGTCGGAGGCGCAGATGCCTGGTGTAAGCGGCTTGGAGACGAGGGGATATCCATCCTCGTTGGCCAGTCTGGTCCAAGTCCAGAGTCAGCCAACTGCCGTCCGGAGAAAGGGCGCAGGGGACTGGCTGGGTGGCGGAACGGTCTAGAGACAGCATCTTGTCCTCAAATCCAACTGCGACCTTTGACACAAGGGATTGTTGGAGGGACGAGAAACGGCCGTAGGGTCAGTTAGAACATGAGCTGTGACGAGCAAGAGGACCAACTGCTCCTAAATTTTCTGATCTCGGAACCTCATCTTGAACCTCGGCATGCGATCCAGTGGCCAGTGGCTGATGATCATTGCCGGCGACCCAGTCACGGCTCAGCAATAATCAATTTGACCCTCGCACTCTTCTAACTTTCGCAGCTGTCACGTCCACCCTTGTTGGATTCGAACCATTCTTCAAACCCTCTGTTGCGCATGGACAAGCATTTGCCCACTGTTGTCGACTGAGTGGACATGGACAGCCTCGAACACGAACTCGAGCACCCAAAGAAGCGTCGGCGGCGTGAAATTGAACGGAAACCGCTCGCCGCTCGACTGGCATTTGACGACACAGTCAAGACCGATGCTGCATTGATATCTCAGGGCCTCTGGTCGAAACTGACGGGTGACCCCAATGGTACGCCGGTTCACTTCGAGTCCAACCCGTCTGATGCGCCTGACATGCTGACAAGGTTCTGCAGATGCACGTTGTCGGACATCCAACCTGTTCATAGCCCTCACGCCTTCGTCCCCTCTCCATACTGAGCTGCAGGATTCCACATGGACTATTCTCCCTGTACAAATCCACGAGCCCCAGTCTCCTGCAGACGGCCTGTCACAGTCCGATGCTATAAAGCTTTCGCCAAATTCCTCTGCTTGTCAATCAATCCTCAAGACTTACGCGGCCATCGATCGAGATCGTCATCCCGGCCATGTTCCCAAGTCAATCGAGATTCGGGCGATCGCCACGAAACCTCTGACCCTAGAAACCATCTATGTTTCCGTCGAGAAGGGTATGCTTGAAAAGATCGATGATATACAGGCCAAGTTCGGTGGTGGCTTTCAGTATGGCAGACATTTGAAGGTTGAGAGAAAACCCTCTACACCCAACGGCGTATTGCAGAATGTGCCTCCTATTACCGGTCGACTGGCCTCGCTTGTCCGAGAGGCGCTTTCTCAATTACCCGTGGTTCACTCAGGGGATGTCTTTCCTTTACCACTCCCAGCACACCCAATCACCCACGTTCGACCGCCTCCTGCCATCGTCGTGGAGTGCGAGCCAGTGTCGCAAGGAAAGGTCTCGGCAAAGACTAAGATTGTTCTGATACAGACAGGATCGTCACAAGAGAAAGCCCTTTCGAAATTGGCGCCTGTCCAACCAATAATTGAAGAGTCTCTCGAAGACACTGCAGAGGACACGTCGAATGACCAGTTCTATTCAGCAGCCGAGGATAGGCAGACGGAGACTGGCTCAGATGACGATGACATGTCGGACGAGTCAGGCACCGATTCGCCTCATGAAGAAAGTGATGAGGATTCGGACTCCATGGATGATATGATTTCCCTCAGCGCACCTGGGCTACCGCCCCAGCAGGCCGGGACGCTGTCAGCCATGACTGCGGCAACTCCAAGGCCTGGCGGGAAAAGGGCCACAGGAACGCACACCCCGGGCTCGCTCTATTCAAGCTTCACATCTGTAACGGCAAGGGGTGGCAGTCGCCCTGGGAAAGTGTTCAGAACTGAAGCCCTCCTCCGCAAGGTCCCAATTGAGTTGATGCATCCTCAGCCCAGTCTAGAGGATGATGAGGAGTCATTCGTCTTCATTGACACTAGCACGCTTGCCAAGATTGGATGTTTTTCTGGCGACTGGGTTCGAATAGAGGTCGCCAGAAATGTGAGCTCTCAAGGATTCCCGCATTCAGCTCTGAGAAGCCTCGGCGGATTTGCAGAAGAAGAATCTGACTGGAGAACGGTCAAGGTGTTTGGCCTTTCGGGCCTGGCAAACCTGCAGCCACGTTACGCTGTTGACAAGACTGGTAACCGAAGGTCGAGTTTCTCGCAGAGAGACTTACTGTTACCATTTTCACCGGTCGTCTATCTCTCCCCCATCCTTTTGGCCAATCTATCAAATGCCCAATACGTCAAACTTGGGGCTTTGCCCACCACTCCTCGGCATGATCTCAAATCCAACCATCCACCACGGTCCAGTACGTTCAAGTCCCCGCCAATAGCAAAGGAGGTTGTCCTTTCGAAGCTCGCAGATCCAACGACGACCAACCCTGCCTTCCAGCCAACTTTATTCTCATCCCTCCAGTATCACCTTCAGAGCAAAAAGCGCATCTTGAAGAAAGGTGATCTCATTGCGGTGCCGGTAGACCAGGAACTGGGAAAAGCCCTCACCTCTCAAGGAGGCCCAGATGAAGCACCGAGTGAAGACGAAACCATAAAGCGACTCAATTCGCCTGAGACCGTGGGTAATTCGCGATTTGCCATTGCATGGTTTTCGGTGCAACAAATTCACACTGAGCAGCCGGGCAATCAAAGTGAGGAGGACCAAAGCACTTGGGGCGGCGTTGTGACACTCGACAGTCTACAAACTAGAGCCTCGCAAAGTGGCACAACCATCCAGTCGGTCTCACACTCGATAGAAACCTGGAGTCGTTATTGGTTTGGCATCAATAAACTTCCGCAGCAGAACATACACCGGATGGATCATGTCCCTACAGCAACAGATATACCGCCCCTTGACAAACTTCCGTTAGAGCGACGTCTGTCGGGGTTGATTTCCGCTGCGGTGAGCAACCGTGCTGTCAGTCTAGGGCTTCCGCCCCTCGTCATATTGCTATACTCCACTCAACGACAGATCGGCAAATCGTACATCGCGAGATCCGCCTGCTCAGCCATCGGTGTGCACGTCTTTCCCATATCTGCTCACGATCTCCTCTCGGAGAATGCGTCAACCACAGGAGGTGGTGATACAAAGACAGAAGCATTATTACGCACCAGAGCTGAACGGGCGCTCTCGGGAGGCGCTCAACAAACAGCCTTGCTCATCCAGCACATCGATGCTTTGACTGCTGATAGAATGGTGCCTGTGTTACAGGAGATTATTTCCGAGTCTCGTGTTCTGATTGCTACAACCTCCAAAATTGACGACATACCTGCAGGGATCCGCAGCCTATTCTCTCACGAGCTGGAGGTAACAGCGCCAGATGAAAATGCCAGAGAACTCATCCTTCGCAACGCATGCGTTTCTATCTCGACACCACTGTCGACCACTGTGAATCTGAAATCAATAGCTCTTCAGACCGCTGCGCTGGTGGCTGGTGATCTTCTCGACGTGGTGAATCGAGCTTCACTTGCACGGTCAACTCGCCTGTTGTCTCTTGCAGAGTCTCAGAGTTGTAATGTCTCCGATATCTTCATCTCTGGAGGCCAGACAGCCACGCACCTACTCCCTAGCGACTTCACTCGCGCAATCGCCGCCGCACGATCCAGCTTCTCGGATGCCATCGGTGCTCCCAAGATTCCGACCGTCACGTGGCAAGATGTCGGTGGTCTCTCGTCGCAAAAAGACGCCATCATGGAAACCATTTCTTTGCCCCTCACTCATCCCGAACTTTTCGCCAATGGCATCCGAAAGCGATCGGGCATCTTGTTTTACGGGCCTCCAGGAACCGGAAAGACCTTGCTGGCAAAGGCAATTGCTACGGAGTTTAGTCTCAACTTCTTCAGCGTCAAAGGCCCAGAGTTGCTCAATATGTATATTGGTGAATCTGAAGCCAATGTACGCCGGGTTTTCCAACGTGCTAGAGACGCTCGCCCTTGTGTTGTCTTCTTCGATGAGTTGGACTCGGTTGCACCAAAACGTGGAAACCAGGGCGACAGTGGCGGTGTTATGGATCGGATCGTGTCCCAACTCCTCGCCGAGCTCGATGGAATGTCAAGCGGAGGTGGAGGGGGTGATGACGGGGACTCCAAATCGACGTCAAACGGCGGCGGTGTTTTCGTTATCGGTGCAACGAACAGACCAGACCTCCTCGACCCAGCGCTTCTCCGACCCGGTCGGTTCGACAAGATGCTCTATCTAGGTGTCGCCGACACGCACGATCAGCAAGTTACGATTCTGAAAGCGTTGACAAGAAACTTCACATTGGCCCCGGATGTCGATTTGATGGGCGTTGCACGTCGGCTCCCTTTTACCTACACTGGTGCCGATCTGTACGCTTTGTGCAGTGACGCCATGCTCAAGGCGATCACACGGAAAACGCGATCTGTGGATGAGAAGGTGCAACAGATTAGCAAGGTGCGTGGTGAGGATATCAGCACTGGTTATTTCTTCGATCATTTAGCCACCGAGGAGGACGTGCAAGTTGTGGTGGGTGAAGAAGATTTCATGGCGGCCCAGAACGAGTTGGTCGGTAGTGTGAGCAAGAAAGAGCTGGAACATTTTGAGAGGATTCGCAAGCTGTTCGAGGAGCAAGATATCACCGTTCCGCCCTCCACGAATGGCGAAAGCGGCCGCCCCCCTGCGACTTTACCTTTGCGTCCCACGCCAGCGCCACTGCCGGCGTCCCAGGCAGGATCGCTTCCGCACGCGAAGGACCAAAATCGAGATTCTCTGCCGCAAGTTAAGGATAAAGGCAAGGGTAAACAGAAGGAAAACAACACGCCGAACTCAAATCACACCCTGTCCTCGGCTTCTCCGACCCATATCTCAACCTACAACAAAACAGCCGTAGCACGGATTGGCAATCCCGACTCTGGCAACTCTTCAGACGCAGATAACTCGGACTTTGGATTCAGCATGAGATCGAACCATATGAACGGAAGCGCGATCAACGGCACAGGAACATCCGTGGAGGGCAAGGGCAAGGGGAAACTAAGGGAGTTGGTTCCGGAAGCATTGGCCGATGGATTTGTGGATGATGTCGAGGGGGATGATGAAGGTCTGTACGACGATTGAAGCACGATGCCAAATGTGCAATGAGCCTGCATCCACCCTTGTCCTGAGACACTGCACTGCAAGCGCAGTGACAGTGGCGGTGGTAGCTCATGGAGGGAGTGTGCCGAATACCCACCAAAAGAACGGCAAGCGTCGAATAATTTGTTCGCCATCTTGGGCCAGAAAAGTTACAAACATTGACTCTTGATTAGATATACTTTGACTCTGCCTCCGTTCTACAACGGAACTTTTGTTTGGTTTAATCATTCGTCAGTGCAGGAGGTACTCAAGGCTCCCCCACATGTACATCTGCAAGTCCAACTCTCTAGGTACCTATGTACTACCAATTACTGGTACCTCCGACCATTCGTCATATTTCCCCTGTCTCCATCTCGTCTCGCAACGTGCATGAGTGGACTCGTATATTATACATATACACATATACACGCAGGCTCGCAGACGTGTTAGATCCCTAACACACAGACCAGAGTTACAGACGGCTTAACTTACTTCCTTACATGCTTGCTCGCTTACTACCTTACTTACTTGCTTACTCGTTTCCTCTCTTCTTTCCTTTTCTCTTGACCCTCCTATTCTGCCTCCCCGTTTCACCTCCCCTATCATTCCCCCTTGCCCCCTTTTTCGTGATAGACATTATTATATCCTTTCCTTTTTTCCCCCCCCTTCCATTTCTCCCCTTTCTTCCCTATCCTCTTCTATTTCGGCCCCTGCTTTTGATCACCTCTCCACCACTGCGCCCCATGTCGTTCTGTCTATCCGTGCTATTCTCCACGAGGCACTGGTGGATCGATGGCGAAACGGGGCGCTGCCTACTGCTGACGCAAATAAACAAGAGGGAGATAAAAACCAAAAGGGGTCGATCCATTGATATGATAGATTGACCCTGGGAGATCCCCCGGGTCTACCGGTAGTAGGCTCGAATACAGAACAGACGACTAGTGTTTACGAGGTGTTATCAGTCTCACAATGCGCTGGACGCGTGCCACGGCAGGCCATAGACGACATCAGCCATCTTCGGTGCATACGACGTAATTAGATATTACCTGCGGGAGAACTACCGTGGACAACGCCGATGGTTCGACTGTAACTGGGGGCATCGAAAGATGACTTTTCCCCTTGATATTGTGAAATCAATAATACTCCTCTTTTTCTTAGCCTAACTACCACGGGTAGAAATTGAAGGTGGAAGTCGTCCTGTTTCGTCAGTGATGCTATGTGACCGGGCCTTACGCCCTGTCCCTACCCACGACATGAGAGATCTTTCCGTAGCCACTGGTGGCGAATAGCTCTGGCTTCGAGTGCTACCTGTATTGGGATACACCGTCAACTCTGCGTGAGATTCTGCCATGTTGCTTTGGTTTATTGTCTGTTGTTTGTTTCCCTCTCAGAAAAGAGACTCGATTCGACCACTGCAACCACCGCGACCAACAGCCCAGCCAGGGCATGGTCACGACTCACAACCGACTTACTCTCCCCTGCTGGCTCAACTCTCGCTCTCGCTCGGATCAACACACGCACATCGCCAGGACCTCTCCTTCTCCCTCGTCCTTCTCTTGGCCGTACCTGGAAGAATGAGAAAAAGGAGGCGCTAGGTATCCGGTCCCGTTAGCACGCCTGAGCCTTGCCTTGTAAGGTGTCTCGTCTCATCTGCCTTTTTACATGGCGTTCATCCCGCCTCATCTCCGCTTTGTCTTGTCTCTGAACCTTTTCTTTTCCCTCAGCCGGCATCCATGGTTTGAGAGAGATATGGAGTCCACACGCGCGCGGGTGTTGCTCCATATTTTCGCACCGTTGGTAAGCCCCATTAGTGGGCTCCGAGCGACGGCCTTCCCCCTGATCCAAATCATCACTTCGTCTCGCGTGCGCCGAGATGAGCAAAGAAGGAAAACAAGCGTTTATCAAACATGCATGAGATCTAATCAAACGGTTTGTCTGAAAACCTTTCAAGCGCCGTTCTAGAAAAGTCACGTCGGAGGTCTGATATGCACGCTTCAGGAGAAAGTGGGCCACAGGGCCGCCGGATCTAAGAGTGCGCAATCCTCGGGTGCTGAAACAGGCGTTGACGGAGGATTAATTAAATTAAAGCAAAGATCAAACCCCTCTTCGACCAGGGGGAAGTCGAGGTCCAAAATCCACCATGGACGACGCGAGGTGGAATGAGCCTGAGGGAGGCGGGCGAGTTGCATGCGAGATGGATTCCTCCCTCCGCGACCACATCTAGCTTTCGTGCAATCTCAAGATGATGAGAATTCTCAGTCGTCCATCCAGGCGCTGCTGAATAGAGACAATATCTCGGGTATGTGCATTCGAGGTTGGTCATTCCAATACCAGTTCGAGGTCTCGTTGACAGCAGACTCGAACCACCCTATATATAAAATAACAATGTCGATGAAGCGGTCGTCTCGACCTGGAAAAATCGACAGAATGCCCTTCCACGTTGCCTCTATCGTGTCCCAGAGATGAGAAATCGACAAACTCCGACAATCGTGATCGTTTCGTAGTCCTTTCTCGACAAGCCGTGCCTCGTGCGCCAGATGTATCAAAACGTGTTATTATGGATTATGTTTCCCGTGTGCCTGCAGGCGTGTCCATCAATGAGTATTCGTCCTGCTCTTGTGCCTCGCCTTTTCTCGCGTACAAGTGTGCTCAGTCTGACCAGCAGACCTTCGTCGCGGACCCCAATTATATAAATACATAGGAATGAAAGAAATTTTTTGGCGACCAGGCGTCTGTCTGACATGCCGTCAATCGAGAGCTCTAACGAGCGACCGATGGCTGTATAAGAACAAGAGGTCGAAATCGAAATCGCAAACACAGAGAATTAAGCCACTCCTGTCTGTTCGTTTCTGCGCATGGGTATCATGTACACATGTATCTCCCGCTTTCTATAGTCGTAGCTCGTGGTGTCAAAGTGTCTGGGTGTTTGTCGTCGTAGGATTGGTTCGAAGAAGGGTCGGCGTAAATGTATGAAGATAGGCGTGCGCGTCCATGGCCATGGTTCGTGACAACTCTCCCGTGTGAGACAATTAGGCGGACGGAGGACCTGACGGTGGATTGTCCTGCTTCGGCCCTGTTTGCGGCTCAAGATGTGGGCTCGGTATCTGCTGTACATCTCGAGCAACGGAGGTAGCTGGCTGAGCCCGTTCTGGTCTCGCAAGAAGTCGGTCGGAAGGACTCTGTGCTGCGTCTGTACTCCGTCCATCACCCGATTCATCTCCAGGAGATCTAGAAAGAGCCTGACGAGACGATTCTCCCTCGTCGCGCTGGCGTCTTGACCGCCTTTTCCCGCTCGAGGTCTCCTCCTTTGGTGTGATCTGCTGCAAGCGTGGAGTCTGCATGACGGGTGATGTTGTGGCAAGAGCTTCAGAAAGCGAGCTAGGCGTTTCAGACGGTCTCGATTTCTTCGCTGGCCTCCTCTTCGGCTCGTAAGTCTGCCCGGCCTCTGCAAGCTTTCGGTCGCGTTCTTCTGCTTCTTCTTTTGTCGGACGGCCTCGCTTCCTGCGTTTTTCTCCAGGCGGCTCAGGCTGAGTGAAAGGGCGCAAGATTCGGAACCCCTCTCCATTCGTTGTCGGAGGAATAGGCGAGTCCGTCGAGCGAGGAGGACGAGGCTGGATCGGACGTTGGGTTGGCTGAGGCAAATCCGACTCCGACACTGCTCTCACTTCCGGAGGATATGGTGCAAGCTGTGGCTGAGGGAACCCTGGCCCTGGGAGCCCCGTCCCTGGGAACGAGCGGGATTGACTACGCAACAAGTTGTACATTTGTCGGCAGGCGTTAAGAGTGCGGCCTACACCAAGGTCAGCGCATGACTACGGATTTCGCGTCCAGGAAGGAGACAGTGGGTGCCGATTTGAGAGGGGGGTCCGGCGACCACATCTCACAGGATCGCGGCAGTATCCCATCCCTTCTGAAGCCTACATACCTGCTGGCAATGCGACATCGTCCCATCTGGGTTGGATATTGCCATGGTCCATGGCGCGCACCAGAAAAGCTGGCACATCCTGCCCGGTACTCTGAATAATGCTGGTCAACAAGACGATTTGCTCCGAAACTGTCCATGGTTGGTTGAACAAATTTGACATTGGGAAGGGAGGGAGCGGAGCGCAAGCTGAATTTTGGAAGGGACGGGATGCATGTGACTGTCATCAAGCGCGCAATAGTGACCGGCATGTACGCAGGGTTGGTTCCGCAACGCAGTTCATCCAGATCCGAGGGTACGGCAAAAACTTCTCTGGACTCGACTTGACGGTGTACAGAGGACGGGAAGGACAGTGGGTGAGTTGGCCGGGGAGGTTGTAGGAGACCTTTAAGAATCGTAGATTGGTCACCCATTCAAGCGACAAGGCAGAACAAAAATTCCAGGACGCTGGGACAGAAGGCCTTGGTGGTCTGGTGGTCCTTCTGCCTTCGAGGCCAGTTGAGCCAGGCGCAGAAGGGGAATCATTCCAAGTTAGCCATTTGGGAAGAGCAACTGGGCATAGAGCAGTCTAGCGATTGTCAGTGGCAGATGATCAGGGAGCCGCGGGTCGACCAATGTCGGCCGCAGCTGCAAGACATGCTAACGGCGCGCTGTGAGTGGCCGGGCGGTGGCCATCTGCGCGTGAGAGCAAGGGAATTAGAGTCCGGAGTAGCAGTAGGATGTCTGAGGGAAGGTTTCCGTACGGCGTAAGGGAGGTCGGTGGTGGTTCACTGGGACAGATGCTAGATGCTGGTCAGTTCGGGTTGGTTCAAGTGGTGCTGCTGGCGGGCGCAGTCTGTCGCGGAGCCCGCCTTGCTTTGTTCGCTGGAGCTGCGCCTGATGAGGTCTGGGTCCCCGCCGATTGTCTGCTAAAGCTGCAAACTCTCGACAAGCTATGCAGCAGGCTAGGCTCCGTCGAGCGGCCTGGGTGGATGCAGGCGTCAAAGGGTAGGACGAGATGCAGGATGGATGGGTAGTAGGGGGGGGTGGGCACAAGTGGGAGAATCCTGTCTCTCGTGCAGCAATCCAGTGCTGTTCAGGTTAGCCCAGCCATGTCTTGGTGGTGTTTGGGTACATTTGGGTTGCTGCTGGACAAGATTAAATCCCCCATCAGTTCTCAACTCGGGGTTCGCAGCGTTCGGCAAGCTGCAGCGCAGCCTCCGCGCCCCTGCAGCATGCCGAAAATTGATGCCTTTTCGCCCGTCAATCTCAGGGTTGCATGCGCCGTGGCAGAAGCAAATGGCTCTGCATCCCTCGACTCTGCTCCTCCGCGCGCGTTGGATTTTTGATAGAGGAGAGTGGAGGCGCTTCCCGGGCAGCCCGCAAATCAGCGAACTTGCCGTCATGGGCGTCCAAGGTCGAATGGGGAGCCCGAATGCCGTGTTGGGTGCTCAACGAGCCGCCGAATCAGAGGCGGCATGCCGCCTAAGCTTCGAAAGCCCCGGGTGTGATCCTTCGCCATCCTCACCCATCCGTCCAACCATCCTCAGCATCCCAATTCTCAATCACAATTGCCTCGTGGCCGGGCGTCCAACAAGTGCTCTGCGAATAAATGGACCCCTTTCCATGCCGCAGCCTTGTCTATCGCGACTGGCTCCGAATCAACTCAACTCATCCATGTGAGCGGAACGCAGTTCAGTTCGAGGGGGGGCAATCCTGGCCTGAAATTGCGAAGCGAGCTTTTGAATGAGGAGGACTTCTCCGAAAAAACACACCCTCCCCAAACTCCACGGGTGCCAGAGGCAAGACGAGAGAGCTTTCCGCCCTTGCGATACTCCTTCTCCGCCCACTTCCACCTTCGCCCAAAACTGGTGAGCAACGGGCAGCTCTTATATAGACCGCGCCGTTGTCCCTCTGACCGCTCTTTGTTGCGAGTATCGGATCTGCCAAAACACGCCAACGCAACGATGACGGAAGTTGGGCAGATGTGCAGAGCCACGTTGCGCCGTACGAGAGCTCTCTTTCTCTGACCTCGGGAAGCTAAACAAACATTCGCCTCACTTTTAGTGAGCAGTTACATGCACCCATCATTACGCTAATCTCGTCATCTTAGCTCTCGCTGCATCGAATCCTCGTCAGGTGCTGTCCTTTGTCCCGCTCACGGCATATACCCGGCTCATGAGCTTGACGAACACGAGTCCTACCGAACAGCAGATCAGGGAAATTAGGTTCGCCTTCCTTCCAGTCTTGCCTCTACACGTGGCAGCGTCGCTAGCGATGGGCCTGACTTGGTCTACGAGAAAGAGGACATTCGTTCACACAGTTCGATGACACTTGCAGCTGAAAGCACGGTACTAGCGATCTCTATTCATCCTACCATCCTGCCTCTGCCTCTCTGGGCATGTCCATGCGTCCCCATAGCCGCGGGAGAGACCGTAACAGCGCCCGATCCATGGAGACAAGGACGGTGTTGGAAATCAAAGAAAGGCAAGAGACCCTCAGTGGCTTCTCGTTGACGAGCGAGGACATCAGCCTCCCATTCGAAAGTCTGGACGCTCTGCCGCCTAGAGCAATACGTGAGAGCATGTTCTCTTGAGGCGTTTGAGGCGCTCGAATCCTGGAATTGTCTCATTTGGACCATGCCCAGCTGTGGAGATTGTGCTCGACAGACAAGGTCAAAGGGCATTCCACGTATTTGAAGGCATAGGTTGAGTGATTGGTTCCTTGTCATCCTCTCGGTCATATTATTGGTCGGCCTAAGACGACACAGCAGCAAACTATCCAGAGTATCCAGGATGCATAGTCGTTATTCCCTCGACAGACTCCCAAAACCAAGGCGTTACTTACCACTGTGTCGATGGGGATCTCCGTTGCAGATGACAATTCCCTCTAACCTTTAGAAATAGGCCACCCCGCCCCATATGCACACCGTCAACTACGTTTGACAAAGTGGCCGCTTTGTCCCTGTCGAGGTCACCTTAGCTACATTACACGTTGCGTGTACTATTTCCCAGACTTTGCCGTCTGGATTTGGGTTCGTCTCGCTGCTGGGGACGTCTACCACCGAGTGTTGTCGAGAGCTCCTCACCAACTGCTTCGAGATCGGCAGCTGGTGGATGTGGTAACGCAATTCTACAATGCATTAAGTCGGCATTGGCATTCGGCGGTGGCCTGGGTGGTGGTGAATGTCTGATAGACGGTTGCCAATCAAGACCTTTTGCTCTGAAGGAGGAGACAAAAGTTATGTAAATCATTGGCTTCTATGTAGGTCCATAGTAGCGACTTCACCTTAACGACTGTGGTCAAACAGCATCCAATCCCTCGCTGGCGCTGCGTCTTCACACGTGACGTTTTCCTCCATTTGTACATCGTGGTTCCCTTCGAGAATCCTGCCAAGCGAGGGTCAACTCCCAACCGCGGCGCTCACTCCCCTCGGCCATGATTGGCTGAATGGCATTTGCTGAGGTCTGAAAACGGTTATGGCAATTGGAGTACGGACTCGGCGAGTATTCAGTTTGACCAAGGGCTTTAGTTATAATCTGTCAACTACTGATCCCATACTATCTGAGCACAGAAGACTGGCCGGATGTCGCACACCACCCCTAACCCTCCCTCGGTGGTAGTAAATGCTGCCAGTGAGAGACGACAAGTGCCGCTGAGGGATTATCTAAACGCACGAGTCGCGCCGTTCTTGAAGAAGGCCATCACAGAAGGCTTAGGCGCTGAGTACGTGCTTCACCGCCGTGGACTGGCTGACAAGGATGAAATGATCTGCCTGTAAAGGCGACAACTTCTGCTCAGGGCATTCGTGCTAATTCGTATTGCGCAACAGAGCAGAATTCCCTCTCCAGTGGCTGGGAGAATGCCTCATCCACCAGTCCATCCTATACGAAGGCAACCCGGACCATACGAATATTCGCGAAAGATTTTTGTATAAGTTTGACGATCCCAAACCTCAAGAGCCGGCAGATGCATCAAATGCCGCACCAGCACCAGCACCTGCACCTACGCATCGTTCACCATCGGCGCAACCAGAACCTGCGCCCGCGCCCGTCCCACAACAAGAGCCTACCGACCTACCCCCCGAGCTTCCCATGAACGAAGCGAATGATGCTACTGCTGAACAGCCAGAGCCTACACAGCCATCTGATGGAGACACTGCGCCGCAAGCCACACCCATAACAGAAGAACCTGTTGTCAACGGAGTCAAGGAAGAAGAGGCAAGAGTGGGAGACGCAACTCGAGATGTTGATACTGAGATGGGAGGGACATCATGACGAAGAGTAGGTTGACACTCAGCTTGCATGGTCCCGACCGGCGTTTATACGTGGTTTGGCGTTCAGCTAGGACGGTCTTTTGGGTCTTGGAATCTAAAATCTGATACCCTCCAGCTATTCATCTACAGCATAAGAGAAATTCCGATATCACATTCGTGGCAAAGGCAAGAATATATCTGTTCCACATGGAAAGAAGAGGTGTAAGTGCTGTGAGCTGCATAAGGCTGCTTCATGCACACTGAACAGCTAGAGATTGTGACACCCTCATAAAGCACAACTGGTGTACCTTGTCCTTCACATCGCAGTCTGAATCATCGGAGAATCAACGGGACAAACCTGCTTTCATGTCATTAGTCCCCATTCTCGACCATAGAGCGAAAATGCAGTAGTCAGAGTGGGAGGTGTGGGAAATCAGAAGTCCATTTAGATCATCGAAGAGAACCCTGCTGGGCTTCTCTTCTGACATAAGAGGTACCAGAAATTATAAATTTTCGAAGTGTTTGTCATCATGCAATGCTTGTAGAAACAATAAGGGATCGATTTGACATACCTTGAAATCGCTGAGAGTCACAAACGACGAGGATCGCCTTCGGTGTCTCCCTTTGGGTGCGTTGTACTCGATTTCAGCAGATCACGGTCGCACTGAAGGATCAAATATCCAACTCGGAGGTACAATATTAGTGACTCGAATAGTGTCTAAGTCAATCCTCAAAGACTCGAGATTCTGGAAGTCAAGGTCAGTCGACGCAAACTTGAGACTCCCAAATTTCAAGTAGCCGCCAAGATTTCGCGGCTCTTGGCGGACCCACCACACACTCCGAGACAGAACCTCTGGAAACCTGCACCTTACAACTTTCTTCAAGATCGGCCATTCTCTCTTCCACTGCGACAATTCTCAATCACAGGCAACATGGGTCGTCTTCACAGCAAAGGCAAAGGCATCAGCGCCTCGGCGATCCCCTACTCGCGCTCTGTGCCCACCTGGTTCAAATCCACCCCGGAGACTGTGGTGGACAACATCTGCAAACTCGCAAGGAAGGGTGCGACACCGTCACAAATTGGTGTTGTGTTGAGGGACAGCCATGGTGTCGCGCAAGTCAAAGTCGTTACTGGTTAGTTCTCCGATACCGCATTCGTCCTCGATGGACCGTGTGGACGCTTGCGTGGCAGCAGCTAACAGATTTTGTGGTCGCAGGTAACAAGATCCTGAGAATCCTCAAGTCGAACGGTATGCACGCGCCTCAATCAGCCCCGGTGTGAGAAGCGGAGAAGCGTTAAAAGGAGAAAGACGCTGCCCCCAATCTCCACCACCCTCCTTGGGAACAAAGATTCTCAGCATGGCCTCTGAAATTGGTCCTGTGAGACTGACAGAGTGACATTACACAGGTCTGGCACCAGAAATTCCCGAAGACCTTTACTTTTTGATCAAAAAGGTGCGCATGCCCCCAAACACAACCGCAAATCTTCCAGATGACAGCTCATTTGGGCCTGGATATGGCTGACCTGAATTATCTGCAGGCCGTCGCCGTCCGTAAACACCTCGAGCGCAACCGAAAGGACAAGGACTCGAAATTCCGACTCATCTTGATCGAATCAAGGATTCATCGCCTCAGCAGATACTACAAGACCGTCGGTGTTCTGCAACCAAATTGGAAATACGAGAGCGCCACTGCAAGCACCATGGTGGCATAGGTGTAGTGTGGCAAGGACGGGGATGCCACAAATGGAGTGCAAACTACCGAAGAAGAAAATCAAGAGGCCAAGTGATGGAGTCAAATTCTTCAGCGAGTTGCGGTTGATTGGCGACCCCGCTGGGAACTGGGAAGCCTGGATCGGAGTCGTTATGAGACCTTACTCGAAACCGCCTCGGGAATCCAAGACGAGATACGGACACAAGAGCTTCAAGGCGAATGCATTCTGTATCAGAGCTCGCCTTCAATAGACCAATCGAACCGATGTCTGATTTAGCGTAATGGACTCGGCATCAAATACATGATTGCACACCTGAGTCAATGGTAAAATTGAATATCCTCGCTTTTTGAAGGTCCAGAGGGTGGTGTTTGATTGCCACATCTCAAAGTAGCACTCTCACCATACTTCATGTCATATCCGGATAGGTATACGCAATATCTCGGCGGCCACGGTGGTATCTGAGAAGTGGGGTTTGATATCCTCTAGTCAGGTGTCCGAAGGGTGGTAACATCATGTCAGTGGGAAAACGTAAATAAGATGCCACTCCACCAGACAATGCCATTTGATTTTGAATGGTATCCAACCATACCAAGATGCTTACAATGCACAACCCTTCATGTGGGCCGGAGCCATGATACATGCAGCTAAATACAATAACCGGGACATTGCTTTACCGCAAATGTACATGTGGTTTGAAGTGATGCTGATAGAATGCACCGAGCCCCTGGGGTATCTTGAATGCACCAGAAAAACGCCTTCCGTGATGCCGCTGAACAGTGAGTGACAGGAACCACCGCAACGGAACTCGTGTCTTAGCCGCCCTGACTGATACCTCCTGTTTGCTGCAAGGCCGAAACCTGTCTGCGCAAGTCGAGCCAGAAGTCTTTTCCACTGGCCATGGCTCCAGCTTCGTCCGAATTAACAGATGCCGTCTCATGAGCGGGATTCTACTCACGCTTGACGCCCCACGGGCTCTGGGGGGTTGCGGCTTGCGACTTAGTGTCCGGTTTGTAGAGAGGGGCCCTAGCCTCGTAGCCTTGCTTCAACATTGCCTCCACGACATCCGAATTGAACCCCGCGAGAGGTACATGATCGTCTTGTGGCGGGAGAGTAGTTGGGGTTGTCGTGGGACCATTTTGGATGTTGTCGGAGGACTTGCTTAGATTTGAGCCTGCCTTTCCACCTCTTCTGCTCTGATATGTGTGAGAGCTGCCATCTCGGGATGCTGCAGACGCGGAAGTGGACTGTCGCTGCTGGTTGGAGTTTGCACCTCGGGGATCGTTTCCTCGGCGTCCGGGGCGGTTTCTGACATTGCAGGTCATTTTGTAAGCATTTAACCACAAATGAGCTGATAAGAGAACGTCGGAGGCTTGGTAAAGTCGACGAGATATGTTACTCACTCTTCATTGGTATTCATCGAGGGTGGCGGCAGAAAACGAAATGAGTGAACCGTGACTGCCAGTGTTGATAGAGACGGCGGATTCTCGATGCACAGAGCAATCGCATCCCGCAGATACGATGCCAAGCCCCAGACGGGTCCACACCTTCGGTCCTGCAAGTCGCGCTTAACCGAATTGACTGGAGATCGCCATCTTGAAGCGACGACACTCAAAAAGCACCCCAGCACACTGTGACTACAGGGCGTCCTCCAGAACATCATACATTGCCTTAGCCTGACCGTACCACGAGTCTTATCACCTGCGCTCCAATTTGCGCCACCCTAATCAGACTGAATGGCATCCCACGTACAGGAAAACGATCCGAAGCCCACCTGCGCCTCCTAGTTGAGGGTTGATTACAACCGGTCGCGTCGACTGCCGGCCACCGTGCTGGCAGGATGGGCCCTCTGAGATCTGTGCAGGCAAGAACACGCCCGCGCAGAGAGGTGAAAAAGCTATCAAAAGACTTCAACAACTCGGACGAGGAAGATCTCGCAGATTTTCAGGGCGCAGAGCCTCCCTCGAAACGCATCCGCACGTCGCGCCGGGCTCAACCTTCACTCAAGTGGACACCGGGTGGCAGAGGAGGCGGTGGCAGACATGTCGATCACGAGAGTACCCCTTCGACCACAAGGACACCTAATGCGGACGAAGAGTACGCGCTTCCCCGTACACGCACGAGACAAAGCCGCAACCCCAAGAAGACGATGATATCCACCCCGCGATACTCCGCCAGAAGCAGAAACAGAGGCGGCGCACGGCCCCGATATAGTACAGCAGCCGCGGCCTCTGCCGCGGTGACACATGGAGACGGATACAAGCCTCGAGAAGAGCGTGGCTGGGAAGAGTTCCATCCTGATCTCGACCTTGATGCGGACTTTGCCGTGTTACCTTCAGAAGAAGTAGACGGACTCATCAAAAAGCCCACAGCAGATGCATCTAGCCAAGGCGCCTTGACCCCGACGGAGGGCGAAAGCCCCGCTCTTGGGGTTTCCACGCCTTTGAAGAGACGACCTGGAAGGCCACATCGCACCCAGAATTCGATGGTCAACGCTCTTCTGACACCCGAAGTTCCCAAGTTCGTGCCCATGCCAGGACCAAACCCACGAGAACGTCTCACTTTACCCAAACCCTCCTACCGAGAACTCGATCCTTTCTTGTCCTACGAACTAAACAAGGACATTGCGCAGGTCGACTTTGTGGACAAGGCGATGGCAAATGTTGGGTACCAAGAGAGTGAAATCTTCCTCCGGCCGGAACGGACGCTGATTAGACAGATGGAGGGCTCTGCAGAAGAAGACCTCGATCTCAGTCCAGACCTCATGACACACGGAGAGAATTCTGCTATTGGTAGTACCGGCGTTGGGCGAGTCGAGTATGACATGGACGAACAGGATGTTAAGTGGCTTGAGGCTTTCAATAAAGGGAGGACCAAAGATGGTGTCCAGAACATCAAGCCCGCAATATTTGAGATTACAATGACCAAAATCGAAAAGGAATGGCATGCATTAGAAAAGAGAATACCGAAGCCCAACCCCAAGGCGCCTCAGACGCAACGGCCACGATCGAGCTCCGCCGCAGCCGTCAATGGTGAGCCTGCTGGAGAAGAGCCTGACAGCAAATGCGCAATCTGCGACGACGGTGACTGCGAGAATGCCAATGCGATAGTGTTCTGCGATGGCTGTGATCTTGCGGTACATCAGGAGTGCTATGGTGTACCATATATTCCCGAAGGACAGTGGTTGTGCAGGAAATGCCAGCTTGTGGGAAACTCTCGACCGAGCTGCATATTCTGCCCCAATGAGGGCGGCGCCTTTAAGCAAACCAACAACTCAAAATGGGCGCATCTCTTCTGTGCCATCTGGATTCCAGAAGTCACAATCGGCAACCCATCCTTGATGGAGCCTATTACAGACGTTGAAAAAGTGCCCACAAGTCGTTGGAGACTCGTCTGCTACATCTGCAAACAGGAGATGGGGGCGAGCATTCAATGCAGCGACGGCCGTTGCTACGAGCCTTTTCATCTAACTTGTGCGCGCCAAGCTGGCCTCTTTTTGCAAATGAAGACCGGAGGCGGCCAGAATACCCTGATGGAACCGTCGCAGCTCAAAGCCTATTGCCACAAACACACCCCTGGTGACTGGAAGCGTCAGCACCACACTGACAAAGCCTATGAAGAAGCGGTCAAGTACTTCAAGGAACACTTCCGTGGGCAGATCTGGGCAGACAGCCGTGCATCTGCCTTGGCGATCCACGATATCCAAGATACGCCTACGACAGACAAGGGTCATCTGAAGGTGACTCTGACTAACAAGAAGGGACAAAAGCAAAAGACGGTCTGGCGACTTCCCTCAGGTGCTCCTGTAATCCCCGAGGTTATTCTCAAGTCCATCGAGGAGTCCCTGGTAAGATTTAATGTGCAGAAGAAAAAGGAATATGTCTCTGAGATCTGCAAATACTGGACCCTTAAACGCGAAGCTCGTAGAGGGGCTGCTCTTCTGAAGCGACTGCAGCTACAGATGGACACATTCAGCTCCTTCGAGGTCACACGTCGCGATTACAAGGCCCAAGGCGCGGGGGGCCGTGCCCGGCTGGAGCGTCGCATAGACTTCGCTGAGAGGTTGGCAAAGGACATGGATATGATTGTGCAGCTATGCAACTTGATCAAAGAACGCGAAGCGGCGAAACTTCAAGAGGCTCGCCTGTTGAAGGAAGTCGTCGACATCGTCTACTTCCCCGTTCCACATCTTCTAGAGCCCATCATCGAGAAAGCGCTCAAGTAAGTCTATCCACCTCATATAACAGCTTCGATGCTAACAAGATTCAGACTTGACAGAGGACTGTTCCGTACCGCCTTACTCGAATTGCAGGCCAAAGTCCTCAGAAAAGAGCACACCTCAATCGCGAGCTTTTCCAATGATGTGGTACAGGTGATCAACTCGCAATTCGGCAACAGTGCAGGAAGCATCTCGGAATTAATTTCCTTGGTCAGCGGTCGAGCCGAAGACATGAAACCCGAAGATCGGGATCGCCGAACACTTGCCCGACGGATCGTCAAGGGCATTGAACCACTTATCGAGGATGCCACCCGAAAAGAAGCTGAATTGCACGGTCGGCCCTACGCTGAGCAGATCAGAGAGATGGATGAAGCCCTCCTCTCTCGACGTGGCTCGTTGGCACAGTCCGCGGAAATTCCGGTCATGGATTCTGTCGAATTGAAACACGAGGTTGGAATCGCCAGTCCAGCCGAGGCCGATGTTGAAATGACTGACGCTACAACGACTGTGCAAGAATCGACTCGGAACGAGGAAACCATCGAGGACTCGGAAACGCCTGCTGGACAAGATGATTTGCTCAAGCACCACGGTCTGGAGATGGCGTCTCACCTTGTCTCTGCCAGTACACCGCCAGCTTCCACGAATGGATTTAGGCATGAATCCCATGCAAATGGAATTGTGCCGGTAGAACAAATACAACAAGTGGAGCCACCGACACCACCAATGAGTTTGGAAGGTCATTCTCAGAGTCTCCAGTCTGAAGGTGGCATTCCTTGGTATGTTACTCAATTTGATCCAGAAGGCACGACCATCTTCGAAGAACGCTGGACGGGACCAGAAGTGTTACGTGAAATGAGTGAAGAGCTGAGTGAGATGGATGAAGACGAGCTCCAAGGACTGGGTGCAGGCGATGATATCGTCGGACACACTGATGGTGCCGCCATCGGTCACGAGACCACAGACTCAAAGACCGAGGACGTTACAGCCAAGAAAAGGATCCTGAGGAGCAAACGGAGTAGGGGCCCTGTTTGGGGTACGAGGTCTTTCCGGACCAGAAGATGAGAGAACAGGGGATGGATCATTGTTGGATGCACGCGTCGGCTTCGATTACACCAACCCTCTTTCTTGGGCCACATTCTCAGTGTGACTGCTTAGCTGTAGTATTCAATAGCAAATTAGCTTTATTAACAGTCTGAACGCGGTTCATCACAGGACATAGTAAGAGGTCCCACAAGCCTTGATGCCACATTATGTGCAACCTCACAGAGCTAAAGGCTCTGGGTGGTAAAGCTGGCTTGATAAGGCTGAGCCGACTCATCATTTCGGCGGAAGAAAGATTTGCCGCTTCCGAGACCATTCCTAACTAGGCAATTTTACCTTGGCGCTGAGTGCGCGTGTCCTCTAGCGATTTTTTGCTTTCGCCTCACTCTCCATCGTAGCCTTACAAACATTCCACCGCCGCCAGCAGCAATCAGCTCCCTTCATCATCAAGGACACTTCCTTTCATCCCCGACCAGTTCTGGGTATGCTCACTTCCTAGGCTCTGTTGAAAGTGTAACAAAGGCCTTCCACAAGAGGTCCGCAGTCAAATTGACCTCATCCCCCTTGCTCAATACCTCTCTCTCAACTTGACACCATGGCCGATTTCGAGGATTCTGCTGCTCGCTACGAAGGTATGCTTCCAGTCCTAGGACGGGTTTTTGAGATAATCTTTCTCACATCTTCTAGATGATCGCGGTTACGAACGACGCGATCGATCTGCCTCACCTCGAGGAGATCGTGATGACCGAAACCGCAGCCGATCTCCCAACGGCCGTGACAGAGCGTAAGCCTCATCTCCTTCAGTGTTTCGCAAAACGTTCTGACCTTTTGGAATATAGACCGCCACCTCCGTCTGACACTCGCATGAAAGACCTTGACGAGGATGCCATGAACACTGGCTCCAATCTCTTCGTGACTGGAATTCACCCTCGTCTCACTGAAGCCGATGTCTCCCGCCTCTTCGAGAAGTATGGTGATGTCGAAAGCTGCTCAATCATGTTGGACCCACATACCAAAGAATCCCGTGGGTTCGGATTCGTCAAAATGGTCTCAAACGAACAAGCGGAGGCTGCTAAGGAAGGCTTGCAAGGCGAGGTTGTCGAAGGCCGCGTCTTGAGCATCGAGAAGGCTCGTCGTGCCCGTCCTCGTACCCCCACCCCAGGGAAATACTTCGGCCCTCCCAAGCGTGGTAAGTAGGATTCCGACCACCAGACACAGCGTACTGACTTTCCATAGGTGACTTCCGTGGACCACCTCGTGGTGGTTACCGTGACCGCTATGATGATCGTCGGGGAGGATACTCAGGCCGCCGTGACGACTACCGTGGCGGCGAATATCGTGGCGAATATCGCGGTGACTATCGTGGTGGTTCTCGATATGACGACTATGATCGACGTGGCTACGGAGGTGGCAGACGCGACCGAGAAGAAGGCTACGGCGGCCGCGGCATTGATCGATACGAGAGCAGGCGCGAAGAGGGCTATGGCAGTGGCACACGTGGAGATCGACGTGGCTACTACGACCGCAATGACGAACGTAGCTACCCTCCTGCTACACGCGACGAAGCCCCTCGTGAGTACGCAGGTGGTCGAGACTATGCCCGTGAAGATCGTTATGCCAGCAGGTAAGCAGATGGACGAAAGGGAACTTGGCTGTTTGCCCATTCTCTCAACAAATTGTGGAATACCAGCCTTCGAGACATGGAATCCGAATCCCTCCATGTATCTGAAATGGCACTCTGCTAGCTGCAGCAACCAAAAACGTCACCCTGTTGTTTCGAGTCAGAATGGTTAATGGTCGACTTCATTCGGCGCAGCGGGATTACGGTTATGGACGGGGCAACGGCGACAAAAGCAAAGCCACAGTTGCTCTTTATTGACGACGTGGGTGTCGACATGTATCACAACGATTTCGGCTGGGGCTTTTTTTCTCGTACTCGACTGATTCATCATAATCTTGTTGCGACAGTCATTTCAGCACGCTTTTCCTTCCACGCACCTTGCTTCAGCCTCGATAGTTCGCCTTTTCCGCCAAAGAATCGGCGTCAAGATCCGACTGACATGCTTGCCTTACGCAAATTTCAATCCAAAATAAACCAAGAAGATGACTCGCCCTGCGCCGTACATACACAGCATGATTCACACGCCAGTAGTTTCACCCAGCAGGTCTAACCCGCCTTTGTCAACTCAGCGCCGTCATTCCGCCATGCCAATGCCGCATTGAATTCGTGGTGGTCTAGGCAATCGACGGCACCGCCCACCGACCACCGGAACACCACTTGCTCGACATGTAAACATCACCCATCCTCACTGCACCGCACAGCCCCAACATTTTCGTTGTTGTGGACAGGTAAGTCGAACACAGCAGATCGTGGTGAGAAGATTTGTCCTGTACGGGCCAGGCAGTTGATGTTCACCCACCGGAGCGGAATAAAGATCTGAACGCAACGCGAAGTCCCCTGCCAGTTGGGAACGAACGTTTTGCGTGGATGTCAGCTTCCCCTGCTGTTGCAGGCGTGACATTCTCTGCATGAAACGCATTATGATGATGCCTGGGTCTCTGCCTCATGCTTCAGGGCACGCTTGGAATGACAGATCAAAGCTGCTCAACTGGAGAAGCAGACAATCCTGTGTCTCACGGGAATTCAACAGCTCTCAGAGCAGTCAGGTAATGCGTAGCTTTTCAAAGGACCACATGATCACCGAATAGTGGCCCAAATATGTGATGTCACTCTACGGTAAGTTCAAAAGCTCTCTCTGGACAAGGCGGTGGGTTTGCAGCTGGACCAGCACAGCTGGGATTTGTACGAGGCACAATGGTCAGACCGCCCTGAATCTTCCTGCGTGCTTTGCAAGCCACGGCAGCTTCCTTGTCCGCAGCCACAGGCACGTTGAAGCCAAGCGACAAGCTCCGGAGTACATACTTGGTGGTCCTACATCATCACGGGCGAAGGTCATCAATCACCTTTAGGGCGTTGGTGAGGATTTTCACCTCTGCCTACTTATCCTGTCATATATCTCGTCCGGCTGGTGCAGCTCCAATAACCAACTCGTTCTATGGGCGAAGCTTCAGATGCTCATTCGTAGGCTACATCATTTGATTTTCTGCAAAAGCCAGCCACATTAGTGAAATTCTGTGGCCTGCCGCATCAACACTATTTGATCACATATATCACCTTGATAGAGGACCAAACCAGGGAAAGAGGCAGAGTCTACACTCGATAGTTCCATGCATCGAGGACTTGGCAGGCATAACGTGCAGGTAACATACCTGAGTGAGCCAGTCGAAGTACCGAGTACGGATTCATGCAAGGCGAGAAGCCGTGTGCTATGTCATGGTAACACTCCAAATCCGTCCCGATTTGCTCCATCACACATTGATGCTTCGACTAGCCTGACTTTGCATGAGAGAACTGCATTTGCCATTGGAGGAGAAGGTGAGGAAACAAGCAGTATCACAATGTGAGCGCGTCAAGGAGCGTCATGATTGGGTGCGATGCAAGGCAGACGCTCGGACCATCATGACGATGCTGGGCGAATAGGGACATCGAGTCCCCAATGACCAGACCAACTCTCCTGCTCTGCGTCTCAACATCTATATCTAACCGCCCATCCGACCGCTTGGTCGACCCAGCTTTTTCTTCTCTTCATCCACACATTGATTGTCTGGCATTTCCTATTCCTAAGTTTTCCTTACGACCTAGATTTGGCTGGTCCAATTCTATATTTACCTCTATCATACTCGATTGCTATTCTTGTGTCTGCTGCCCCGCAATTCAGATCTGCCTCATTTTGTTATATCCTCAAACACCCTTCCAGCAATCTATCTTGTCGCAATCTGTTGAACAGATTCAAGATACAATTAGTCTACAGCATCAGGTCAATCACCACATTCATCAAATCAATCAAGACATAATCATGCTTGCATCACGCGCCGCAAAGCCAAAGTTGTCCCTGAGCATCTCCACCGCCTCTGCTCAGACAGCCAGACCAACACTGTCGCTCAAGTCTCCCATGACGCCGTTGAGATCACCTTTGAAGTCACCCATCTCACCGTCGCCCGCCAGCCCAACTGCACGGAACACCAGACTCAACCAGCGGGGCTACTCGACGATGCAACAGCCAACATACTCATACGTCAACACCAGCTCATCAAGAAGCATCTTGAAGAAGTCTCCTTCCAAGACTAGCACGCAACAGCGGCGGCAGCTGTCCTTCTCTGACACTCCTGTCGTATACAGTGTGACGCCCATTGAGGAAGAGGGTTACTATGGCTCTCACGTCAAGATGTCGAGGGACGAGCGACGATGGGCACGGAGATGAACGACTTCTCTAGCAAATTGCGCGTTTGATTTTTAGCGATGTGATATGTTACGAACTTGTCCACGGCGAAGGGTGGGTTGCTGAACAACGACTCCTGATGATGTACCATTTTGATATATTGCGCCTCATCCCCAAGGAGCTTCCGAGAGGGTAACAGAAGAAACTAATCAAAGAACTACAGAAGAGTTGAAGCGGGAAAAACCACAGTCTTTTACCTGACACTCAAGAATAGTCAATATATGACATAGTCTTATCTTTCGCTCTCTTTTCATGAGTTTTCTATCACTGCCACTACGGCGACGAGGCTCCCCGTTGTATGTCGCACACTTGACCTCACACGCGGGTCAAGTCGCAGTATCATTTCCAGCGACCATACTCTCGCATGTCGGATAAGTATGTAGCAGACAAAGGCGCAACCCAGGCACAGTGAACCTGGAGGACGTTCGCCTGGATGAGAGATGCTAAGCCTGCCCTTTTTCATTGCTGAATCCTTTTTCAGTCTGCAGCAACCAATTCAACTCAGCAGGTCCACTGCCAGAGAGAACACTCACCTAAATCAGCCGAGGGGTGGTTGGTATACAATCCATCGCTGCCAATCTGCGAGGGCTAAATATAGGGCCTGCAAGAGATTAAGCGCCTGGGAAGCGACCCCGAGTTTCATATCCTCCAACCTCACTCGAACGCCTGTTACGCCGCAGAGGCACACAGTGTGTCTTGTTGCGACCGTTCAAGGCGGCATGTATGGCGATTGTCCGCTTGAATTCAGAGCCAAACGGTTCGTTGTCGTGGAGACTGTTTCTACAGGGTGTATGAGCATTTCAAGCCCGGTTTGTGTCAGTCCATGCCTCCCTGAAATTGATGCCCGGCGGCTATCGTTACCTCAGAAGCCAACGCTCGTCATGACCTCCAACCCGACCAATCTGCATGACTAGAATGATCGAGATGCTGGACTTCTGGGGCATCGACAGTTTCCGCAGCCAGCCAGCGTGCTAGGGTGTATCCAAAAATTCTCGAAACCGCTCGAGTTCTTCCGGCTTGAACAACCCGGTCCATGTCTGCCAGCGGCTACTGAGATTCGCTTGATCGACAGCCGCTTTGTGGTGTGTTGCAAGTGGCTCGCTTGGACCTTGAAGAGGTAGGGCTGGCTGGCTGCCAAATATACTTTCTGCAACTACATTGGTATGATCCTCCACCTTATGGCCCCATCTCGAGGCTCGAGTTTCACCTGTTCGTTCGACATGGATCCTCCAATGGTGAGCGCGACTGATTCATGATGGATGTACATCTCTTGCATTTCCCCGAGGCGCCGTTGCATGGTGTGCGCCTGGAGGCTGATGCTCGAGCACTTGTACTTATGAAACTGGATGGTTCGCGGCCGCAGTTGTTGAGTTTCGCGTCTCTTTCAATCTGAGATTGACGCCCGTGTGTTTGAGGTTCTTTGGCAAGGTCGTTTGCGCTGGACGCAATTGTTCATAAGAGGTGGTCGGGCTCGAGTCATCCAGGCATACACCATTTCATGCCATTCAGTCTCAGACGTGCTGCACAGGTCCAGCTCAGTCGTTTCCTTTTGTCATTTTTCTGTACACTGGCTCCTCCTCTACCCTCTTAATCATAATTCAGACTCCTTTCCTTTTGTTTGCGCAACCATTTCACCGACCGAGGCCTCGACCCATCGGCCTGCTCATGACAAGGAATGCCAAAGCAGCCATCCATCGCACGCCGAGTTCAGCGACCCGTCCCCTACAGCCTACGAACACCAACGACCATGGTCACCAGCATGCCTCCGACCATGGCTCCATGGAACCCCCCTCCAATGCATAGTCTGCATTACGCAGACCACAGCCTGCAATATGGCCAACAACAGATGATGTCCAACTATCTCCAATCCGTCCCTAATTCCATGCCCCCTGTTCCCCACATGCAGAGGGAAGTGATCCCGCGCCCGGGCCAGAGTGGTCCTTGGAATGGCGAGGAGGACAATATCCTCTTGGATGCCAAGGGTCGAGGATTGTCCTGGGAGGAGATCCACAGGCGCTACTTCCCCAACAAGTCGGCCAACGCATGTCGGAAGCGACACGAGAGGGTGTTGGCCAAAATGCGCGACACCGACTGGGACGAGGCAAGGATCCAGAGGGTGACAGACGCGTACAACCGGCACAGGCATTCCATATGGCTACCTCTCTGCAAGGAACTTGGAGAGTCCATGTCCGATGTGGAGAAAGTGGTATGTGGATATTGATTGACGTTTGCCATTTGAGCATCTCGCTGACTGGCCCTCTGTCCAGATGTTTCAACAGGGGCTTCGAAACCTGAGGAACCCTTCTCGCCCCAGCCATGCACGAAATCGATCACGAGCAAGTTCTGGTCAGGGAGGTGTGAGCGACTATGAACGGGGCTCATCACTTGACGAACAATACGACCATACCGACGACAGCGGGATCAGCCTCGGGAACACCGTACATAGCCGACGTGCCAGCGAGATCACGACTGGTCTATCGACAGAAAGTCTTCCCCCAGTCAACCGCCTTCTCTCCGAGACTGGATACGGGTACACAGCATGAACACAGCTAAGACGGGGCTGGTCTGGAACTGAAAAAGGGGTGGGAACCTGCTCGGGCGGGGGATATCTAACGACGCAATGACCTGGGTTTGGCTTTGTCTGGCGCATGCAACGAATCGGCGCACATCGCACTGTATTATTGTATTATGTACATGTACTTCCAAAGGCTCAGGGACAAACAGGGAGGACTTTGGAGGGGACTGCTAGGGAAGACATACAGCCACAGGGCCGGGCTATCTCTCACAATGCACGATGTGATTTTTTCTCCTCTCCCTTGTGTCTTCCCCACCGCCTCGCTTCGTGGCGCGAGGCTCTGGACCTGCGCATATCAAAATTCCGCCGGAGCTGCACTCGGCTCGCGGAGTGTTATGCCGAGCTCTAGACCACATCCGGTAAGACGCCAGATTGTGCCTGAGCCGGGATTGCCTGTCTGGGCTAGCCCGCGGCTAAATCGATAGCGAGACCAGAGCTCCAAATTTTTGTTTAATTTTGTGCCCCGAAACTGCGGTTTTTGGAGGGCGAGAAAGGGTCAGAAGGGGACACGCATCACCGCCTCTCCCATAAGCAATCTCTTGCTTCTATCTTGCTTCTCCGTCCAGTATTCCCTTGCTGTCCCTCACTGTAGCATTATCTGCAGCCCCTGTGACCGCTCCTCGGTCGGCTCATTCACTTCTTACTTTCGTGTGCCTTCACTTCTGATTTATCGTTCGGCGCGACCGAACCTCCTGGACCGGGTTTGCACAGCAACACTTCGTCCACCGTCCGTCATAATCCGTCCGTCCAACGGCCCTGGTGTTCTATTCTAGACCATGGCGACCGTCACAGAAGCTGTAAAAGAGTCCCTGCTGGGCTCAACGGCTCCTGCAAGCCTGTCGACAGAATCGCGCATGACCTTCCTGAGACATTCAAACAAAGGCGAAGACGGAGATCTTTATATGAACGAGGAGGATTTTATCAATGCTATCGCGCCGCCAGAAGAAGACTATGTGAGTCCCGTCCCCGGCGCGCGTCACATGTCGCTCACCCCAATCCGTTGGCACATGTCGGCTAACGCGCTCGCGCCCGTCGCAGCACAAAATTAAACGGGAACAATATGGCATCCTCTTTGGAGTCGCGGACCGTCACAAGCGCGGCAAGATCACCATGTCGGAATGGGCCGCCTTTGATAATCTCCTCGCCAAGTCGGACGCAGAGTATGAAATCGCTTTCAGATTATTCGACGAAGACGGAACAGGCTCGATCAAGTCCGACTCCTTCCAAAAGATCTACGAACAGAACAGAGGCCAAGAAAGTATCCCCTTCGACTTCAACTCAGAATGGGCTTCGCTATATATCGGCGGGAAAAATAAGAGACATGAGATGACATACCCCCAATTTGCGCAGATGATGCGTGGTTTGCAGGGTGAGCGCATCCGGCAAGCGTTCCATTTGTACGATAAGGACAAAGATGGCTATATCGACCCCGAGGACTTCGAACGCATCATCCGAGCCACTGCAGGACATAAGTTGTCTGACCATCTATTGGAGAACCTGCCGACTCTGTGCAATATCTCGTCGGGCACCAAGATCTCATACGCAAATGTCCGTGCCTTCCAGAACGTCATCCGTGAAATGGACCTGCTCGATCTGATCATTCGCAACGCGACAGCGAAATCTCCGGATGGCAGAATCGACCGCACAGATTTCCTCAACGAAGCTGCTCGCTTGACTCGCTTCTCTCTCTATACCCCCATGGAAGCCGATATCTTGTTTCATTTTGCCAGTCTCGACTCCCCTACCGGGCGGTTGAGCCTCGATGACTTTGCCAAGGTGTTGGATGCCAGCTATCAAACAGCAGGGGCTAAATTGAATGCGGTTGCCGAAGCTGCCGACCGCGCCGTGTCCAAGTCTCAACAGTTTCTTCGCAGCTTGCTCGAATCTGCACACCATTTCGGTCTTGGCTCCATCGCCGGCGCGTTTGGTGCATTCATGGTCTATCCCATCGACCTGGTCAAGACACGCATGCAAAATCAGCGGAGCACCCGACCCGGTGAACGACTTTATGAAAACTCCATCGACTGTGCGCGCAAGGTTATCCGGAATGAAGGTGTTCGTGGGCTGTACTCGGGCGTACTACCTCAATTGGTCGGGGTTGCTCCCGAAAAAGCTATCAAGCTCACGGTGAACGATATCGTGCGAGGAAGATTCACGGACAAACAGACCGGCAGGATCCAGCTCTGGGCGGAGATTCTTGCTGGTGGCTCCGCAGGGGCTTGTCAAGTGGTGAGTCCGAGCATTTGAGGCATTTGATAACACCAGCTGGTAAGTATGGTACTGACGGTGTGCTCTGCGTTGCAGGTCTTTACCAACCCGCTCGAAATCGTCAAAATTCGCCTGCAGGTCCAAGGTGAACTGGCCAAGAAATCGGATGCGGTTCCCAAACGTAGTGCGATGTGGATCGTTCGAAATCTCGGTATCCTAGGCTTGTACAAGGGTGTGACGGCCTGCTTGTTGCGCGACGTTCCTTTTTCGGCCATCTACTTCCCCACGTACAGTCACCTCAAGAAAGATTTCTTCGGCGAATCACCCACCAAGTCACTGGGCGTCTTGCAGCTTCTGACCGCCGGTGCCATCGCAGGCATGCCAGCCGCATACCTCACGACCCCCTGCGACGTGATCAAGACCCGACTGCAGGTGGAAGCCCGCAAGGGCGAGGCGACGTACAACGGTCTCGGAGACTGCGCGCGCAAGATCCTCAAGGAAGAAGGCTTCAAGGCGTTTTTCAAGGGCGGCCCGGCACGTATCCTGCGTTCGTCACCGCAGTTCGGCTTCACGCTGGCCGCGTACGAAGTGCTCTCGACGCTGCTCCCGTTCCCGGGCTCGGACGAGGCCGAGAAGGTCAAAGCCGGCGGCGGCGTCGCGGGCATGGCCGGCAGAGTGGAACCGGGGGTTGGTCTTAGGGAGGCCAAGGCCCCGTTGCCGTACCTGCGCAGCCGCAACGCGTTGAAGATCCTGCTGGACTTGGACGTTAACTTCGGCCGGGTCAAGCCCAGTAAAGAGGCGGGCAGCTTGATGCAGCAACACGCCATGGCGGCAGCGGCGGGCAAGGAGGCCGTGGAGAAAGGCGTTGGCTGGTTCGGGAGGAAATTGTGAGCCCCAAGTGAGAAGCAGAGCACCCTCCCCTAACCTTCCTACTCCCTCTCGCTCCTCCCCATCCCCCTTTCGGGAACTATCCCTTTCTCTTGTTGAGAGGCGAAGCGCAGAAAAAGGTGGATTGAACTGGCGCTATTTTTCCCGTGCTTGCCCATTCTCCTTTTCTCCCTTTATTCACGCCCACCGCGGGCATGGACAGCACGCACGCACACACGCATCAGTTGGGATATGTCCACGAGGGATGGATGCCGTCGTTTTCCAATGCATGCATGCATGCATATCTTGGGATGTGTGTTTTTTTGTCTCCTTCTTTTCCTAGTGGTTTTTTTCCCCAGCGCGGTTCGGCTGGCAGGGGAGGACGAGCATAGCGCAGCATAGCGCCACGGGCTGTTGTTGTTCCTGGGTGGCCGGCGGGGAATAGATTGTACCGCTATGTACAACACAACGTGATGCATCAACACTCACTACCTACCTACATACTCGGGGGTAGTTAGCTAGACATTTAGAGCTCGAGCACAAAATGAGAGAACATGAACACAGAACACGAACGTGAACATGAATATGAACAAGAAGCTTTACAAGCAGCTACTATCTATGTATGCTATAGTATAGCTAGTATAGCTAGTATAGCTGGCTAGTTTGCTTGCTTGCTTGCTGGAATAGACGGATAGATTGATGGGCTCGCTCACAAGACAGCGGACAGAGAGCAGATAGACAGGCAGACGGACAGACAAGGAGTAGGAAAAAAAGATGAATAGGGGTGTCGTAATTGCTTACTTCCCGTGCCTATATACCCGGGGGTACCCCGTACATACATACCTAGGTACCTACGTATGGCATGGCATGGCGTACATACCTACCTACCTTGCTTCCTAGGTGCTCATTTCACCGTTGGAGCGCTATGATGGCTCCAACGACTCACTCGGACCTGGTCTCGCCGGCCACCGCGTGGCACAGCTCGACCTTGACGCCCGCGGAGAGGAGGACACTGATCCAAAGCCTCTGCGTGTCGCTCAGGCGGTCGTTCGCGGACTTGACTTCGGCGAAGAGGATTTCGCCCTTGGCTTGGTGTCGGGGTCCATCACTCTGAACTTGAGCATGGTCACCGTCGTCGTCGTCGTCGTCGTCACCGTTATCGCCACTCTGGTCCTGATCAGCCTGGCCACGAACCTTCCACAGCACCAGATCCGGCACGCCGCCGCCCCGGCTCTGATACTCCTGCGCCATGACCAGCATGACCGTGCCCAACGCCTGGCCCTCCCAGCAGCCCACCAGCTCCAAGAGATCGTCCTTTTCAAACTCGTCCCACCTCACTCCGACGATGCACGTCCGTCTCTCGTGCTCTTGTGCCCACACCCTCTGGACAATCTCTACAGCCTCGCCGTTCGAGATCTGATTGATCCGCGCCAGAATTTCCGGCATGCGGGCCGAAAAGAAACTGTCCGTGTGCAAATCGAGCGGACAGGTCTGATAGGCCGTCTGGAAGACGTTGGGGATGTACGGATTGAAGAAGAGGATGTCGTAGAACAAAAGGCCGAAGATCGTTCGCAGGATCCCGCCCTCTGAGTGGTAGCCTTTGTAACCCAATACGTGACGATAGTGGGAGAGGCACATAGATTCGACGGAGACGGGGAGGTCGGTGTCCAGATGGTCAAGCCAGACTGTCTTGCTTCCAAGCATTGGATTACTGGGTTGGTTGGGGAGAGAAGGGCGCTTGGTGTTATTGCTCGCCGCTGGATCGCCGTCCATAACCGTGTTGGCGCTATTCTTTCGACTAAACGTGAGATTTCGTGACGGTGTATCCTCGCGGCCTTGCTCAATTTTGATACCCACGACATCTCTCTCCACAGCTTTCCCAAGCTTCACATGTCCGAAGTCGTGCTGTTCCCGAAGTGGCACTCGTAACTGCTTTTCCAACTTCTTGACCCGCTTCTGCAGGTCATAGTGATAGATGACATGGCATTCTTTATCTTGAAGGCCCAGCTCACAGGTCTTCAATGCGATGCGCTTCCAGTGCTTCTTATTTGCCTCGAAAGATCGGCCTTCATCGGCCGTGAGAGCATGCATGTAGTGTTCCTCCAACAGTGCTTTGCGTTGGTACCATGCACCTCTTCTGGCCGCGTGGAAGAGCCGTTGGTCCAATAGCTCGTTCAATAGTCCGTGCTCACGAAGATGCTCCTTGAACCGGGCAAGAGGGTGAAGGGCCTTATGCACAATACGCGTGTAAACCCAAGCTGGGCTGAAGCGACGTAGATAAGCACCCTCTCCACTCTCATAGACGCGGTCTTCCTTCCTCTGTTCTTCTGCCAGCAGGGCTTTCCACCGCGGATACACCGCCTCAAAGATCTCTTTTACTTCCTCCAGAGCTTTCCGGCCCGGCGTCCCGTTGAATTCAAGTATGTTGTCTATCCGGAACTGTGTGCGCAGACTGGCTTCGAATTCGAGGAGGAGAGCACGGGACTCGAAAATGGTGGTCGACCGGCTAACGATGTACTCTGGGAAATTGCGGCGGGATATCTTCGCCAGGATCAAGGTCGTCAGGCTTTTCTCCGTCCATTCCGTGCTACGGTAGAAGACAAGATGGACACGTTCGAAAAGCTTCAACGGGGTCAGAGAGAGTCGGATGCAACGTCCTGTCCGATCAAGTATTTTCTTCGTAAAGTGAGCGTCTCGATTGGCGCTCGAAGCGTTCGGGGTGCCAGGCCCACTGCTCTCCTCTCCGTCTTCATCATAGATCGACTGATTGTCCTCAGACATGGCACTCCCCGACTCCTGCGTCTCCGTACGTCTTAGTTCTTTGAAACCCAGACCAGCTTGCCTGCCGCTGGTGCGCCGGAAATTCTGCAACAGTTCTCGTTTGTTCTTGCCTTGGACTTTTGCCTGTTTAGCGAGCGTCTTCAATTCGTCTAAAAGTAAGAGACTGCTGGCCTCGTCGAGTGTTTTGATGTGTTCCGACGAACATTCTGCAAAAGTAAATGTCTCACCCAAAACCGTGCCTTCGGGAGGTTCCAATTCCCCCGGGTGGACACCAGGCGCTTCGTCTACGGCAGGTAGAAGTCTTTCCTTCTGCAACTCCGCGACGGCTGCCTCCATGTCTGCGACATCACTGTAATACTGAAGGTCTTTGACTCGGAACCATTTACTGGTCTTGCGAAGGAACAGCCGCACGTAGAGATATTGCGCTTCGTAGCTCAGTTGCCTCCATATGCCAAACAGACTCAACTCGGCTTCGTTGAAGAGATGCGCTTCCTCGTCGAGGACCGTGTCCAGAGCGAGGTTGAAGGCGTCCACGTAAATAGAGCTACGACCTCTGACCCAAGAGCGTGATTCAAGCCTCGATAATGTCGTGTCTTCATCTCGGCCATCTTGGTTGTCATGCGCGTATTCACTTGCCTTGTAAGCCTCATAAGCCTCTATGGCTTCTTCATCCGTCTTGACCGGTGGCAGAGTAGCCTCCAACTGTGTTGCCCGTGGAGGATCAGAGCTAGGGTCTGCCCGTCCCTCCAGGCCGTTTTCTTCTCCCTCTTCTTCTTCCGAGTCTGGAATCTCATCCTTGATCCTCCTCTTCTGGGTAGACTTTTTGGGAGACTCGCGCTTCGGACTGGCGGTGCCGGTCGATACAGCAGCCTTGAGTCGCTTCGCGGGCGGGGCGGGAAACTCTTCACCGTCATGAAAATTGGTGGATGGAGGGTGAGGGATTCTGGTTCCCATCAAGCGGTTGTGCATGGACGGCGACCTGGGCTCAAGAGCCATGGGAGTTCCAAAAGTCCTTTCCCGACCTGAAAAGGGCAGGGAGCAGGCATAACACAGGGATTTGTGGGTGGAGGGCCGCTGTCCGGTGGGGGATGCGGCATTGAGAATGAAACGCGTCGAGATGACGCGCAGTCACGCGGTCTCTGTTAAGGCGCCAGGTTATGGGATTGTTGGTTATGGGATGTTTGTGTCTGACAAGTAGAATTCGGGGCATCCGCCAATAAACTACTAGTGATTGGGGAGCTCGGGCTGACATCAAAAAAATAAGGTGCTCAGTCTGACGGGAAAAGGGTCGCAGCAGATTTACTCAGAGCTCATCATGATGTACGAATGGTACCTCGAGTGCCTAGGTATTTACTCTACCCTTGGACACAGTGGTGACCCTACCCTCATTAACAATATTAGCCATATCTGATATAGCGGCCACCTTGTTGCTATCAAGACAAAGCCTCCATACCGTGTCAGAGGTGCCACTTGCTACTGAACCAGATCTGCGCTGTCGACTCGACTCGACTCGACTCATACATAGTCAGAGGCTGGCGGATAATTGAAACAAGTGTACAGTCACACAGAGAATTTCTCGATCATAAAATTTTCGTATACCGTGTGGCATTACAGCTAACTAACATGTGATTGCTTCGGCACCATAAGTAGCTGAGCGTACTGCATCTGGACCCCCAACCCTCGTCCGGCGATCCAGCCGTCTACAATGGAGTTGTGCCAGTGTAGTTACCGTGCTGCGTCGAGAAGTCGCCCATTTGGGTCAGGCTCTTGATTCTACCCAGCAAAAACTCGAGCTGTCTGTACGCCGCGCCCGGGACGTATTGAGGAATCTCGTGACCCGCCATGTCGACAGTTACCCAGGTCAATCCTCTCTCGGTGTGCGTGGTACCCATGTATCCACCGCCGGCGACCAAGCCCACAGGTGTGGCGGGGATAGGCTGGTTGGTCGTTTCCTGAATGACAAACCCGATCGAGGGGTTGTAAGGCACGAAGAACTTGTCGGAGGGTTTCTTGGAGAAGCCTTGGGCACCGTTCCAGGTCATGTTGTTCAGGGTCATCAGCGTGCCGTTGGTCATGAGGAGGTAGTCCAACAGACCGCTGCCGACGATGACGTTGTTCGTAGATTCGATAACATGTGGGAGGGCGCTGAAGGATGACGGGGGAGATTGGTCACCGTTGGGGAAGAGGCTGTCGTCACCACAGATCACGTAGTCGGTAGGAGGGGCGTGGATCGCGGCTTGGACGTCGCTGCGGTTGAAGTAGTTGTTTGGTCCGTTGCCGAGAGATGGGAAGCCAAGTTCGTCGTTCAAGAACGGGCAGTAATCTGTCGGTGGTCGAACTTTGTGTCAGTGTTTGGTTCTTTGCATGGACACGAGGCGAAGGAGATGCCAGAGCAAGTCTCGTCCTACCTGTCAAGTGATAAAAGTTGAAACAAGGGTTGACGTAGAGCTCAGCAAAAATGATATCCTCCCAGATGAAGCAATCTGTGGCAGCTCAAGTTAGCACCAAACAACGATCTCTAGAGTCACCTACCTGGGTTTGAGGCGTTCACCGGTTCCTGGAATTTGCCCTTGGGTGGGAAGGTCAATGCATTCTCCATATACTCGATGTAGCCGCACTGCTCTGCCCGCTTGTTGATGGCGGCCACGAACGTGTCGTTGAGCGCGAAGACGTTGGCATAGTTGTTCATGTGCGTGGCGGCAGGCACTGTTGTCTAGGCGTCAGCTACACTGAACAATACTGGCGTCAGGATACACCTGGGCGCTTACCTTCGTTGAGCACCGAGTTAAGCCCAATACTAGGATCGTTGATTTGAATTCCAGCGACATTGTAAAAGTCGGTGTTGTTCTGATCAATCATATAGCTGGCAATGTATGGGATGTATTGTCCCGCATACGACTCGCCGGTGATGTAAACTTTCCTTCCCGTCATGTTGAAGGTGGTCATGAAGTTTTTCCAGAAGCCAGCAAACTGTCTGCCAACGTCAACCTCGTTGTTGATCTTTGCTGGGGCTCCCTTTGCTGCAGGGGAGAAGCCGGTGCCAATCGGCTGGTCGACGTAGACCATGTTGGTAAGGTTCGTAAAGGAAAACGGGTTTGGCAATGGCGCGTAGGTGCCACTCTGCCATAGGAAGGGGCCATGTTCTTGCAGAAGGCCGTCGAGCGAGCTGCATCCAGGACCGCCGTTCAGCCAGATGGTGATCTCGTCCGACGCCTCAGGATTATCCGAGGGAAAGAACCAAAAGAACAGCTGGTTCTGGTTCGAGCTGTTCCCGTCAATGGACAGTGTGCCCGCATATGACTCGCCAATGTCAAAGTTGACGAGTGGAACTCCGGTGCCGTTGACGGCAAACTCTGCTCTCGTCAGTGCCCATTCCACCTTTGTGTGTCTCGAGTGTCAACCAGCGGACTCACTCTCGGTCTGGGACGTCAAGTAGCTCGACTGTTGTCGTTTCCTGAGCGAATGCACTGACCGGCGCTCTTGTGGTGGAGCCGGAGCTGGAGCTCTCTTGGCCAACTTCTGCGCAGCCATCTTGTGTGGGTTCGACACAGACTGCGCAAACGCGCCAGCCGCCAGCGACGCGGTCAGAAGAGCGGTGAAATGCATGGTGTCCAGATGCTTGCAAACCCAGGCGGAAGACGATGCCAAACAGCAGAGGCGTGGAGACCGCGACCCAGCAGAGTATTTATGGGCCACATGTCGACTGTGGGAGCTTCCTCTGAGCTACCTTGCACAGCAAATCTTCGCGCTACCAGTGGCAAGCTGTCGCATGACGCACTCATCCCAGAAGGCAGCAGCAAGATAGGAAGGTTGCATTGTCCAGTCGAGATAGCGCTGGTTCAAGGGTGCCTGACCAAAATGCTTGATAAAGCTTCATCCTGCTCGTTTGTGGGGGAAGGTGGATGCTCGCGGGACAATCATTGCTCTTTGCAGCAGGTCGAAGGATTCTACGCCTCATGCCTTGAAGGCATGTGCCGAGGGATGTAACTCGAGTATAGACAGGATGTGGATTGCCGCCTCGTAGCGAGTGATTGCTAGTAGGGATTCCCAGGCAATGGACGGGTCATTGCCCTGCCGTAGTCGAGCTGCGTATGGCTGGATGATAGCCGCTGATCGGTGCATATCAAGCTTCATCAAGCGGAAATCCCCCGGATGGATACGTAAAGCCATCGGGGTCTCGTGCGCTCCTGCAATTGACTTCCTTCGAGAAAATGCAGAGAATGCATTCCTGTTCGTAGAGAGGAGAGAGTTGAAGCCCGTTTTGATTGCTGTTTGATTGACCGAACAAGTGCCTGTGAGTGACCTTGGTCCAATGATGACGGAGATGTTGGCTATAATCTTACGGGGCAGATTTGGGCCTGTGGCCAACACTCGCTCTGATCCCACGGTCCATTCATCCTACCATCCATCCATCCATTTACCCAGTTACATTGGCTCTACACCAATCGGAAGAGGAAGAGGAACAGCCACAGTTCCTGGTCCTTCTCGCCTCTTTCCCTTCGGCGCCATCCGCATCGCCCGCTGCCCGCAGGCACGTGCAGGTTTGTCACATTGAGATTGCAAATCCCGTGCACAGGCAATCCAAGTAAGATTCGTCGAGTGCTCATTCAAATTACACTAGATAGTCGTCGAGGTGGACTTCCAATCACGGGGTATACATACACTCTCCTCCCAAAAGGACACAATAAAAGATAACAGCGGTTACGTCGCTTCAAAATCAACCTTCGTACTTTTGATCCGCCATCTCCTCACACTTTGTTCAAGATTGCCTTGTCCATATCGGAGGCTGGGGCTGGCGAAATCCCGCTGCCCGAGTCGGAGCCCTCCTTGCCATCGATAACATTCTCATCTCTTCCCAGCATCATATGTTGGATGTTCACCTTCGGTCCGGTGAACCACTTGTGGGCGTCCACCACCCACCAGATCAGAACAAACAGCATCGGCCCACCCCACACCAAACAGGTCCAGTTCATGAGCGACGCATCCAGATCCGAGCCTGTTACGCTGGGCAGGCAGAGGATGGGGATCATCAGCAGGGTGAAGGATGTCGATGCCACACCGATAGGATACGAGAATTTCCCAAGGTGCCATGGTCCGCGACGGAAGCGGTTGCCGACGAAGAAAGTTCGAATGGTAATGGGAATGGTGAAGGCCACAAATGCGGCAATGGCGCCAACGCTGAAAATGGCGCCGATGGATGCCTCACCTCCAAAGAGGAGCAGAGTCAGAAGAATCCCCACCACGCAATTCAACCAGACGGCATTAACGGGGGTTTTGGTGATCGGGTTGACTTGCTTCCACAGATTGGAATACGGGAAACAATTATCACGGGCGTAAGCGAAGGTGACTCGTGATGCCGCGATCATGCAACCCTGGCCCATGGAGAAGCCGCAGACAATGGTCATGGAGAGCAGAGCCAGAGCCGTGTTCTTAGGTAGGATTTGCATCAGGTAGGATGCCCACGGCTGGCCGATATCTGAATCGAGGACGTCATCGATATTGATCACAGTATAAGCCACGACCAATTGCAAGAACCAACCCATGACACCGCCGATGCCAGAGGTCAGGACGATGGCCCGAGGGCTGGCAATATTCGCGTTGCTGCACTCCTCCGCAAGATGGAAAGGCGCATCGTATCCCGACATGGTCCAGATGACGGCGATGAACGACATGAGTAGAGCGACCCCATTGGGAAAGTCCGTTCCCTCGTAGAAGTTGCCCCAGACGGTGCTGCTTTTGGTGAAACGAGGCAGTCCCTGGGACTCACGGTTGGTGGCCGCCGGAATCGTGATGATAGTGATGACCAATGCGATAATGTTGAACGTGCTCCCATAGGAATTGAACGTCGCGATCCAGCGGGTGGGCATGGATGAGATGCAAGCATGGAGGATCATGATCAGGGTGGTCAGAAGGAATACTTGGTAGTTCTGGGGGATAAAGTCGGGATTTTGGATGGATCCGGCGGCGAGGATCATCGAGGCCAATGCGTAGTCGACTGAAGGCGCACCTGTGACTTGGACCAGCCAATTCGACCAACCAGTGATCCAGGCAGCCAGGGGGCCATATCCTGGAGGAGCCAGCACGGCCGCGGCGTAGTACAGACCACCCGACGTGGGCATGGACGAGCACAGCTCAGCTGTATTTTTTGTTAGCCGTAGCACATGGGTAGTATCTTTCAAGCAACCAAACATGAGACGTACCCATGCCCATAGCAACACACTGGATGAAAGCCATAGCAATCAACCAACCCCAGACCATACCGGGCGTTCCAGCATAGCCCATGCCGTAATAGAGAGTGGAAGCGAAGGACGGAAGCAAGCCTAGGACGGCGAAAGAAACACAAAACGAGGTCCATAACGAGAATTCACGCTTGAATTCTGGGCTATTTGTGTGTTAGCATCGAAGTTGTGCGATCGGGGGCTTAGCAGCTTTGGAGGAACATACACGTAACCAAGCGCCGCGAGCACCTCCTCGTCGGCAGTCAACTCTCGATCAAATATGGGCACCTCGCCGCCCGCGAGCACAGATGTCACAGGCTCTTCTGCAACCGACTTGCGGTGTCCTCCCTGCGAGGTGACGCTGGCATTCCGGTCTGCAGTCATGATGGCGCCGGGATCGTGGATATGTTATACGGGTGAAGTGGAATTTATCTGCATGTACAATGACGTCCAGGGACCAGATTCCGGCCGAGGTGTTCGAATGGGCTTCGTGGGTAGGCTGCGCGAGGGCACCGATGCTCTCAGCAAGCGACCTAGCTGCGGGTGAGAAGATATGTTGAAGTACACACGAGGAAGACAACTTGGAGTGAGAGGCAATCAGCCCGTATTCATAGCAGAATGCCAACGGAGGGTTTTAATCAAGGCCTGCATCCCATCGCTAGCTGGGGTGAACAGAAAAAAGCAGAGCGAAGCAGGCGAGCCTCTCACAGCGGGTGAAATTGCCCAGGGCCTTGAGGCGAAGGGCATGAATTGGCCTCCGACAGACACCAGCTAGGCCTTAATCGGGTAACTTGATGCTGGTTATCGGGAGGGTGGAGTCTTTCTCCAGGAGCCCAGCATGGGCCATGACGAGGTGTGGCAGACATAGCATCGCATGGAGAGATTTTGATGAGAAAGCTGAATGGCTGGTGGTGGGCGAGGGAGAGATAAGACTAGGTCGGAGAGGGGACACGATGGGACAAGAGGGGACAAGACGAGGGGATGGCGACTTGTGGAGGGGGCGCAACCACTTAGGCATGCCTAGAGGCCAGCAAAGGGTCCGGCGGTGGGCGTCTCCGACGTCGCTAAAGCCTAAAGGGACCCGTAGTAGGCGAGCCTAACGAGACTCTGGACCACTAGCAACAATTATCGCCGTGGCATGGGGCACCTGGGGCACCTGGGCAGATTGTCACTTGCAAGTTGCAATGCCACGCGACAATCTCATTGACTAACGACCTGCGGCGAACACAGGCCCTCGCCTCCTCTGCCTCGATCCAGTATCATCCCAACATCAATTACTCGTATCTGGGTCTGGCACACCGTCTATCACAACCTCGCCTTATCAAGTCTGGTGGACTCGGTGCTCTCCAATGCGGTGATTATGTGTTGTGCTTACTTCACACTGGATATTCTCTTCTCGACGAGGAATGCTTCTGGAGCTCTCAGCACCATAATCATCCTCCGCCCACTGCGCCCTCGCCGGATATCGGACACAATTCCTGAAAGGTACAGAGGCCCTTGCGAGTAGATGGCAATAGGGACAATAGATACAGGCCCACAGGTGCCCGATCAAGTGGCCTTGTGAGATCTTTTCTGAAGCCCATTTTGCCTCATGATAAGCTTCCTCCGCGCGATCCGGTCTCCATGTCTGCTCCTATTTCAACATTTCTCTAACGACCTGGTGCTTTGCCTCGCTTCTTCACTTGAGCCATGTCTCGGGCTGCGTCGGTCGGCTCCCAGTTAACCCTCACCATCCAGGCTGCGTCGGTGATGGCTACTAGGACCACTATCTTTCAGGGGTGCGCCGCATCGCCCTGCCAGATCCGGAAAACGAGCGTCAATATCTCCAGGTTTCGCCAACCTCGCTCCCTGTCTAGCTCTACAATCATTGGCTTCTCCAGTGTGATATGCTTCTGTATACTCCGTATCATTATGGCGTGTGACGGGGGTATCTCTTCTATTATGTATCTCGTTGTAAATTGCTTCTTGCGAACGGACATCGACGCTCTGCTCCTCGCTGCCACTTACTCTTGTTGGTCACTGCTTTGACTATCCCCTCGATCATCATCCACGACTCCAGATATTTTCCTGCATATCCTCCTTGCCTCCTCTGGCATCGTCTTCCAGAGTACCTGCCGAACTTCGCTGCCCACCTGCTCCACGGCATCCATTGCCCAAAGCACATCGAGATGCTCATATTCCTCAATGACTTTGCTGTGGACCACTTGTACGAACGGCTCGCGTCCACGTTGAAACCGCCTCAAAAGTCTCCTACCATCGACTAGATCGTCGCTTCCAGCAACCCACAGTGCCAGTGGAGGAACATGTTCGTCGTACCATGCCGTTCTGCCTCGATCGTCTTCGTCGGATGAGGCACGCTCGGAGCTTTCCTCCCCGTCGCCATCCTCCACCTCCTCATTTTGTCCATCTTCGCGTGTGGCCAGAATGCACTTTTGTTTCGCAAAGCATTCTCGACCCAGCCACCACCTCATGCTCTCCGCACTTACGTAAACGGGTGAGAATTGAAAGAGTCGATCCCGAAGACCTCGATCCCACCGCGTGTCGGTCCAATTGAACAGGAACGAGAAGACCCGGTACCCCAGCGCTCCATAGAGCTTGCCAGGAAGCATGCGGTGCATGGTCATCATCAGCGGGATGAAGCTGTGAATGCCAAAGAAAACCCTAAACATCGACGGTGAGATAACCCGCATAAACTTGAAATACATCTTGCCAATCAAGGGGCCGGCATAGACTGCAGGGGCAAGAGCGCAGAAGACACTGATCCTGTCACCCAGATCGGGTCGCTGCTCTTTCGCCAATGCCACAAATGCCTCCGTAGTACCTTGGCTGTGACACACCAATCCGAGCTTCTCGAAACCTGTTTCCACGAGAACTCGAGACATAAACGCAGGAAGGTCCATCACTCCCATCTGCCGAATATTCCAAGCCCACATCCGTGGATCGTGATACTTTAGCAGACTATGTTCAGGACTGAAACCGCAACGGTTGTTTCCTAGCCATACATCGTATCCAGACTTGCAGAGATAAAAGGCCAAACTGTCGTCATCGTTTGCACAATAAGCGCCAGCGCTCTGCAGGAGCCCATGCACCAGTAACACAGGGTATCTTCTGTTGCCATCAGAGTACTGCTTTGGGATATGCTGTTGGAAGCCTTCTTTGGAATCTGTGAAAACTGATGGCTCGTCCGGCTGTCGCTCCATGCTTGGACGCGGGGTGTATTCTGAAGGGCTGTAGATATGCCACAATGTCAGGATAAAGCCGTCTTCTGTCTGCACTTTGAATTCTTCAGCGTCTAGACCAACTCGACGTGCATAATACCTGATGTCGCAGACTAGCTTGTCAGGTCCTCCTTCAAGCGCCACCAGTCGCTCTTGTGACGAAGCAGCCGGCTCTATGGTACCGTTTTGTATTGTTGCGTCCTGTTTCGACGTGCGTCTCTCCCATTCCTCCTCTTGCTCCTTGCGTATAGTTAAACGTCTTCTTTCCTCGTCGTAGAATGGTCTCTGCTTATAAGGATCCCGGAAGGTGAGCCACAGCCATGCATAATTGACAAAGTGAGGTATTGATGTAAATAACGCCCCGAGTACGATCACGGTAAGAAAGGCCGTCGAGAGTACAGCTGATGTCGTTCGGAGTACTGTACATTGAAGGTCTCGTAGAAGTGACGGAGCCCCATAGAGAGGCAAAGGAGGAAATAGCGGATGGGTGTGCAAGACTGGGATTGCTTCGTCTAAGCGGCTGGATTCGCTTTCGTGGTCATCTTTCATCAACTCGCTCCGATCAACTGCGCCAGCCCCAGCCCTCTGCCTGTCGAACCGGCTCAATCCCCGTGGTCGTCCTGGCCTATACGGTCGGCCTTCAGATCGACTCTTTAACAAGTTGATTTTATGTGCTTCCTGGACGGGAACGGCTGGCAGTCTGTTGCCGTCTGTCGTCTCGATGACTGGGTCTAGTGAGGTGATGAACTTGGCTTCAACGGCATGACCAGCCCTGTCGCCATTGTCATCTGTCTGTGACGAGGATTCAAGAGAGAGCTTTTCAGCTTGTTGCTCGTATTCAACGGCTGCATGGGCGCGTGTTCGTAGCTGTGTTTGCGACATCTGAGGTCTCTAAACTCGCGAAGTGGTGCTTTGGTATGGGTGCATTGACTGTTGATGTCATCGGGACCCAGCAATAGGCCCAGCCAAAGATGAGCTCGTACTTGCTAACAACGGAGTAACCTTGAGATTCCAATCCTGCAATGAAAAAATGGGTAAACGAGAGAACAGAGACAGGATGGAAGGAGTGGCTTGCATATCGCTACACGGCAAGTTTGTCTCATAAACAATACAAGGCACATGTCGCCGCAGACTGACAAACCTAGAAGTTATTCCATGGCAATTTTGCGCCGCGATCATCATTGGCCGAATCTTTGCGCCTGTCTTCGAAGGACCTGCCGATCGTGGAGAAGTCTGAGTCGAGATCTCAGGCGGTGGCAGGGAAATGAAGGACTCGCGGAATCAGATCATCGATGTCATTGCCTGCTCATGCGGGTATCGACATCATAGTCGCATATTGGGTCGAGCCAACAGGGAAAGCGATTGCGCCACATGTGGACTGGCGAGCGGACCGTTGCCGAGCCATTCGCAAAGGCGCTCCAGCGTTAAGAGGCAAGACTCGATGAAACGGGTAGGTATCATCGATATCTACTGATCTTTCAGTGGGGCAATCCTTGGAGAAGGTTGGCATATCTGTACCGAACCAGGGCTTCTGTCATGAGCGAATCATTGACCAAAGTTGGAAAAGGGAAGACATCAAGTCGAGGGGGAGCATTGCGTATTCGGAACAAATGTTTTGACGTACTTATTTCTGCGAGTCGGGCAGACCATGTCCGCACTTCGCCGGAATTTCTTGGCATCACTTCCGCTGCGGAGCGCATGACTGCGGAACCCAACAGCTGTGTGGTACAGAGGTGCTTCCACGCAGGAGCGGAGAGCAGTGGTCGTATCCTTGGATCTGGGACTAGCGCAAGTTGAAACCGAAGGCCTGCATCGAACGACAACCCACATCGAAATTTGTTTTGTGCACCAACAATACGAGTCACCCACAATGCTGTTCTTCAGGTACTTGATGCCACCCCTCAATGCGCTCATCAAGTGCTTGCACTAAGAGAGGAACAGTTTCTTCAAAACCCTAACCCAGCAGACCGTCACGGTCGAACTGAAAAACGACATTTCCATCCGCGGCACCCTGAAATCCGTCGACCAATACCTGAACATCAAACTCGACGACATCACCGTGCTGGATGAACTGAAATACCCCCATTTGTCGTCCGTGAAGAACATTTTTATAAGAGGCTCGGTGGTAAGATACGTACACTTGCCGCCTGATAAGGTCGACAGGGGACTTTTGGAGGATGCGTGTCGGAGAGAAGCAATGAGTCAAAAGGGAAAAGGAACTTAGAGGGGCGACAGCAAGACGAGCGGCAAATACTGTCAGCACGGGCGGGCAGCACGGGCACTCAATGGGACCAAACGGGCTTGTCAAGACACATTCCACCGACGGAATCGTTGCGGCGTACTCACAGCAACGCTGGATATCCGGCAGCTGTGGTGACGATCCAGAAATGGGTGCTCGTGTTGCGCTCGACTGGCGCGCGGTGATCCCAACTCCATTCCTTGCGGAACGCCGAGAACATCCTCAGGGACGTTGCCAGTGATCCTCTTGACAAGACGATAGGGGGGAGTCCTGAGGGGGATCAATTGCTGGTTCCAGGACACTACTCGGGATACAGAGAAGGAGTGCACAGGGCTTGCAAATGATCACATTGGACCGAGTCAAGGCTCGAAGGATCAATAGTGGTGTTTGATCTGATGGGAGCCCATGTCTCTTCCAGAAACAGCGGCGTGAACTTGCTAGCTGCCATGCGATGGATAGATGCTCACATGAGGAACGATCACAACAGCCTGACCCTTATACAGCCTTCTCGCGTTAGCAGCTGTGACCGTCACCGTCGCACAACAATCGATGACACTCATCTGCACATCGACTGTGTACCATGAATCGTAGTTACACTCCATAGCTGAGCTTCCCATCTCCACTCCCCCAACCCTCCGCCCCGGTCTGGACCGTGAACAATCCGTTTTTCCTCTTTTCGGCCTCCCACTTTTCAATCCAGGCCTTCATTTTCTCCCTGGTCCTCGCACTTCCCACATTAACCGTTGGGACGATTCGATTGATCCTCAGAGCGCAGCAAAACATGGTCAACTCCCGGAAGGAACTGTGTTCTGAGTAAGGCACTCCGAAACAGTTCGATTCCCGCGTGCTGCCGCGCTGAGGAGCCAAGTCCCGCATCGTGTATCGTGTTTTCCAGCCATCAGAATGCAGCACGGTACTGACCGCCGGGTTCTCGGTGAAACGTGACGTTGGGGGGCGGTAGGACCAGCCTGTCGGTCGAAAGCCGACCACTCGAGCGAAGTGGCCTTTATAGGTCATCAGGTAGTCGCGAAGTGTCTCGGCTCGGATCTCCATCAATGTTTGCATGTGAACCTGTGCCTCAAGTGGGTTCTTCGTTAGTCTGGCGTTAAGTTCGGGATCTTCGAGGCAGAGGCAGATGCGCATTTTCGATGGAGGGGCGTAGATCTTGGAGTCGAGGGCTTTCGCGATTCCCAAGCAGATTCGCTCCTTGCCGATCGAATAGGTACCGATGACGACGAGGAGACGTCCTCGCATTTTCGGTTTCTTGTCCGCCTCCTCGTCGTCTGGCTTGATGAGAGTGGCTTCGCCCTGTTCGAGGAACTTCTTCATCGCACTACCAGCGCGGTTCGCCTTGACTTTCTCCCAGCCATCGTTTTCGTCCACAATCTCCTTCGACAAACTGACACACATTTGCGCACAAGCATCAATAACATCGTGTTGGCTCGGAAACGCGTATTTGGGAGTTAGATAGGTCGTGTCCAGGTAGCAGGTGTCAATGACTTGTTGCTTAGTTAGGCCAGTAATGCTGTCGACAATATCAGGACGTAGGAGAGGATGGGAGACATGGGCAGGACATGCCCGAAAGTCCCCACAATGGAGGATACGGGTTAATTTTGGAGTGCCGTCTTTGTTCCTTCCCGTGACTTTTTCGAACAGGTAGAGTGACGACCCAGGACAGTGGTTGGCAGGAATCATAGTGACGAAAACTCCCTTTGTATTCGGGACCTCGACCTTCTTCTCGAACTCGAGTGGAACTACCCACTTAGGGTCGACTCTCAGCTGCTGAACCATTAGATTGCAGGTGACTTTGCTGGCGTAGATCGGGCCGTGGCACCATGAGGACGTGAGACCAATGTAGTGATCACTGTGGAAATGACTGAGAAAGTAGGCGTTTTGATTTTCCACCTTGCCATACCGGAAGGCATCAACACAGATGTAGAGGCCAGGCATGATCTTGTAAAAGGGGCAGGTTCGTCGGTAAGCGGGTTTGCCGCGAGATTGAGCTTCATGTGCTGCTGCCTCTGCCCAGGCGGCGTCTTCTGCATGACTAGACATGAGTCTTGTAAAGGCCGAGCCTCCTTTCCCATCTTTCGACACGGAAAAAGGACTAGATTGAGCAGGACGGGCAATTGCCGCACGCTGAAAGCGTTTAGAGACAGAACCAGTGGCACCAATCTCGTTGGATGCAGGAGGTTCGATAGCTGTGTTCAGTTTGGACAATTTTGGCAGTGGTTCAGCATTACCGTCAAGGCAGGCATTGACATGCGCTGACGCCTGGTTTTCGGATAGCCCTCTCAAGCTCCCAGCACATATTGGACAGATAGAGATGCTATCGCTTTCCTCGGCGTCGATTTGAACATCATCTTCCACAGCGCTTCGGGGCGTCCTAACGCTTTCAGTCTCCGATTTTGAGTCCTCGTCGTCAAAATCCATTCCCATCTCTCGTTGTTCCTCCATCCACTTGCGCTCCATGTATTCTTCTCCTCCATCAAAGAATTCATCGTTCTCAAAATCCTCATCGCCGAATTCTCCAGGTTCGAAAACACTTGTTTCTTCGCGTGTCAAGGGCGGAATGACCCTTGCAGGGATTTCTGAATCTTCATACCTATCTTGGTCGACGGCATTGACTCTCCTGGAGGCAGAACCCGAGTCAAACTGCTTGGAGGCATTTTCTGTCGTAGTGAATCCTGTATCGACGTCAATGGTGCTCAAAGTCTCCAAGATCCCGGTGTCTCGTACTTTCTCCGTGGTGTCGGTGACGTTGACAGCGCTATTGATGGCGGCAGTCCAGTCATTGTCCTCCTCATCGCTGGAGTCGTCGAGGAATCCACCTCTGTACTTCTGTGGCGGCTTAACCAACTCCGCGTTCCCGTCTCGCGAACTTTGCACATTCTTGACCTCGCTAGCACCAGTTTCAAGTCCGGGTGACGGGGTGCGGACAAGGTCCTCGAAATCCTCATCATCATTGATTCGCCTCTTTTTGACGGACCCACCGTCTTCATGGAATCGTGTCTCGTCACCCCCCAGCTCACGCGCCTCAATACCCGGCTGTACGTCCTTGAAGAACAGCGGAGGAGGAGCACTCGTATCTGTGCCGGTGAGGTTATTCTTTTCTGATTTTGCGAAGAAGTTGAGTATGCTCTGGTTCTGGGCAAGCCCGTTCTTCTTTGCCACAGGGGTCTTCGAGGCAGGTTGGCGACCAGACATGGAAGTCTTAGACATTGGAGATCGCTTCTTCGGGGCGTGGTTTGCAGCCTGTCTTGCGTGGACGACAGGAAATGAGAAGTAAGGATTCCGTTCTGGACCCTGGGGAGGGGGAGTTGGAGGGCGACCGACGTAGGGGAGGACTCGGTCGTCTATCGGGAAAGAGGCATTCTCTCGAGGGTTGCGAAACATCTTTGCGGGATCGAATGCGTCACCGTACTAACAGGAACCATCGTTGATGCAGTGATGGAAGTTTGGAAAGTAGATGGCGTCGCCTTTGTCACCAAGCTGTGAATTCTAGGGCGATGTGTTAAATTTGGCGTTCTTCACTTCTAGGCAGGTGTGGCAGGCCAAAAGAACTCATGACGCGCTCCAAATCCATCCTTCACAAGGCTCCAACAACCCCCCACCCTTCACATCGACCCTCCCGCAACAGCGAATTGATGAGCCCGGCACTCAAATGGTACTTTCTGCTTGACTAATGGACCAAATTCGGATGTCATTCTAGGTCGTACCCCCAGAATCCACCATGGCAAGACTGGCAGTGTCGTAACTAACACTCAACTGAGCACAGTGCAGGCTGCATTGGAAAGACACGCGAACTCACGTGCTCAACGCTGCTCGCCAAAAAGCTCCCCCAACCACGAAAAGCGGCCGGTGACACGGGAAACGACTACTTGATAATCGCCTAAACGATGTCATCGCTCTGTGCCCTTTTTCCTTGAATCCTCTTCCACAACCACCGGAGTCTGTCATCTGCAACTTCCTCCCCGCTGTAGAGCGGCTTGCATGTAGCCAGTCTAGGGCGCATGTCGGCGGAGATCGAGCGTCTCAAGGACGAGGTAAGTCCAAGCAATGTGTCCTTTGTGCTCAGGGGCCTGTTCTTCGGTTGTGTAGTTTGCTTATCTTTTCTCTCTTGCACCAGGGCACGAGACAGCAAGTCGTTATAGCTGGTGGTATCGCAGGCCTCGTGTCCAGATTCGTCATCGCTCCGTTAGACGTTGTCAAGATTCGACTCCAGCTTCAGCCGCATTCGCTCTCCGACCCACTATCTTGCGATGGCATCAAAGGCCCAATTTACAAGGGCGTCTTTTCCACTCTGCGTGCAATCGTAAGAGATGAGGGTGTCCGCGCCTTGTGGAAGGGGAACATCCCCGCTGAAGTCATGTATATCACTTATGGCGGCGTCCAATTTACCGCCTATCGCTCCATCACTCAAGCTCAGGCTATGCTTCCAACGCGTGCGCCACCATCGATCGAGTCTTTCATCAGTGGTGCTGGCGCCGGCGCTGCCGCAACTTCAATTACTTATCCGTTAGATCTTCTACGGACACGATTTGCTGCACAGGGGCCGGAGAAGATCTATTCAGGACTCGCCAATTCTGTCCAAGACATCATCCGACGTGAGGGGCCCAGTGGTTTCTTTCGAGGCCTGAGTGCTGCGCTGGGCCAGATCGTCCCTTACATGGGCCTCTTCTTCATGAGCTATGAATTCCTCCATCAATATATCGGAGGCAAAACATTACCCTTCGGCTCCGGCGATGCCACTGCTGGCGTGTTTGCCAGTGTCTTTGCAAAGACTGCCGTTTTCCCGCTGGATCTGGTCAGAAAGAGACTGCAAGTGCAGGGGCCGACCAGAAGCAGATACATCCACACGAATATTCCCGAATATACGGGGGTTTTCCGTGCACTTGCGACCATCTGGATGAAGGAAGGTTATCGAGGCTGGTACCGAGGACTGACTGTCAGCTTGATCAAGGCGAGTGGTTTCTCTCGTACAGGATCTGCCACCACGTGCTGACTTTGATACGCAGGCCGCGCCAGCATCAGCCGTCACAATGTGGACGTACGAGCGCGTAATGCATTCACTTGTCCACACAAATAGAAACGATGAGATGTGGGAAACTTATACTGGCTATGATGATGATTACGATGACTAAATTTTCACAGGATATGATAGTGTTTCATTCTCCTGAAGCATGGAGTTGGAGGCTGTAGTTTGCTACGGATGTGCTGGATTGCACAAAGTCGTGTTCTGCGTCATTGCCAGACTGTCCAGGAGCTTCAGTGCCGTGAAAGAGCCTGTGCAAGGACTAGGGACTGGAAGCGTTGCGTATCTCAGGGAATTTTTGGAGCCTCAAAGGCGAGGCACATCGCGCTCACAGCAGCGCTCATCCTCGCCTTCAACATGCCAGGACAATGTCCAGATTTCAATCTCGAGCACGTCTCCAGGCAACAAACAAGTCATAGTGAGTTTGAGAAACGCAAACCTGCGGCGCTGTTGCACGGGAGAGGCATGGGCTAACCCCCTGATAGATGTGTATCATCATCCTGATCACCATCGATCTTTCATATGGTTACTTCGATATACCCTCTATCGCGCTGGTTGCTTTCCCTGATTACTGCAGTTGGAAGGAATAATTTAGAGGCAAAAGGTCTTCATCTCCGTTTTCTTTGGGTTTGGACGCCGCATGATCATGCGTGTGGGTCGAAGGTGTATTGCACGGGTCATCAGGGTTCTCGGACGGTGAAAGCACCCACAGAGCTTGTATAAGTCACCATCAAGGGGGATTAGCGAGTTTCAATATTTTCCGTACGGGGTATCTATTCTCGCTGTATAGCATTCGGTTTTCGAAGAGCTTCAAGAAGCCTTGTACGGTTCCTGGTCATCGATTATCCTGTCTGCGTAGCTTCTGTCATCTTCCAAAGTTGAAATTTGCACCGGCGTATTTCCACAGCGCCCTGAGGAAGGCTTGGTACTCGACCCTCGTGCTGCCGCTGCCAGAGACGTCGCCGCCAGAGTCGCCCACGCAGAAGATCTCGCTGAGCCGGATCTGCCAGGGTGGATAGCCGTCCAGCTTCACCACCGGTCCGAAGACGATGACCAGATCTGGTTCTCCCGCACCGACCTCTTTCCCAGCCGGTTTGTCGCCGCTCGCCAGCCTCGAGTCCGGGATCGCGGTCGTCGCGCTGATTTCCGTGTTGATGAGATTGGAGGTGATGTCCTTGGGACGTAGCTTTTGAGCTTGGGCCATCTCGGCCAGTGTCCTGGTCAGGTCGACCAGCGTGTCTCGCCCGTCTGTGGCGGACAGGAGGAGAAGGTCCAGGTGGGACGGCCGCATGTCTGCGTTTGAGGCGTAGACTCCATCGGCCACGGATTGTGCTGGTATTTGCGGTGAAGGTGTCCGAGACGGGTTCATGGAGGGATGATTGGGAGCAAACACCCTCAAAGACGGCGCCGCGGGGGGAGGGCCGAAATACGACGAGAGCTTCTGCTTCACCAAGTCTTGCAAAGACGCCATGTATGTCTTCAATATCCCCGACTTTTCGTAGACACTCAGCAGCGGGATCCCAGCAGCTGCGGACCAAGCACAGAGCTCGGCGACCTCATCCATCAGTGCTTCTAGTCCGCCATCTTCCTCTGACTTGAACTTCAAGATCACACTGAGGTGCTCAGGTATGCGGTCGAGGTTCTTGACATCTTTCTGAATGTACTCTGGGGTGCGGTGGTGGTGGTGCCTGACGCCCAGCAGGCGGTAGACTGTGGCGTGGTAGATCTGGCGCAGGCGAATGTATATGCCAAAGACGAGTTGAATGAGGAAGAAGACGAGGAAATGCAGCTTCGACTTGAGGAAAGGCCGCACTCTTCGCCTGTGGCCCTTGGATTTTGGGCGTTGGGAGGGGTTGGGCGGTTGTGAATCTTCCTGCGTAGGCTCTGAGGGCGGTGTAGGGAGATATCGTTGCAGGAGTCTCTCGCGCTCTGCGGCAGAGAGGATTCGGCCGCCTGAAGCGACATCCTTGCGGTAGACAGTTGTGTCGGCCTTGCTGAACGGTGGCATGGTGAGTTGTTTAGGAACGGAGGTTCGAAGTGACCAGAGTTTCAATGAAAGATCATTTGTCCCCAGTGCTCCGCGACAAGCTCACTTCACCAGAACATTTGAGGAGTAGATTCCACTAGTTGGGCTTGAGAATCAGGTTGTATATCATACGTTAGAATTCACACGAGCAATGCGAGGTGAGTTAGCAGATTCCGCAAAATAGTTGCCTGCTGTCTTTATGGAGGCTCAACAAGCAAGAATTCATGTCTCCGCCAATAATAGTGTTCAACTGCAGTTTTCGTGGCTAGCCTCCGCGAGTCCTCCTCACGCAGCCTATTCCAGTAAAGCGCCTTGGGTTCCTCTTGGTTCCCAGGTACTCGTAGCCTCCACCTGTATAATCTCAGATGCGTAAATAATCTTTCGCGCGCAGATCGATTTATGTGTAATTGTGCCTGTTAAGGGGTCGACGCGTGAAAATGGATGTTGAGAGCCAAAAGATACAAGAGGCGTAAGATAATGAATGCATCGGTCGCGACCTAATCGGCAATTGGTTTCCCAACTGCAAGATGACGACGCTGAGTTTGAAGCACCAGAAGCGCCCTCCTCTCCCCAAGCCTCTGGACTTGGCTCTGACATCTACCGAGTACAGAGTGTTTTATCCCGCTGTCTACCTTTTCGGGATTCGGGCATATCCATCTTGATTTCGATGAAGGGCATGGAGAAAACCCAACCATCGATCACAGTCCTGGAAACCCTCCAGTCAGCTTGGCACGCTAAACGACGACAAGGCTCGGATCAGAGGCTACGCGCAACGGAGTTTCCAAGGTTTCAGGCGACGACATTCGAGGTTCCATGTCAAGGATCATTTGCTTTGATCCATTGAAGAGAGTCGAAATGGGCTTGTCCCTCTACACCTCTGCCTGCAATCGACCGTTTGAGCACCAGCTGAACTGGGGGAAAAACAAACCCGAAGACCCCCAGACAACAAAAGTACCTTCTTTCTTGCTTGCTCTTGGTATCGAAATCTTCCTCATGTGACTCGGGTGCTTTGGGCGAGGAGAAAGGATAGAGGGATGAAGGAGGACGTCCGTTTGAAACTCACAAAAAGGATCTGAGGCAGCAGGCCGCCTTCTTCACTTCCCATGCTCCTGTGGCAATCATGCAAAGACAGTTGTGACAGCAACTCAACGCGGGAGGAGAGTGAATTCTGTGAATTCTGAGCTATGTCGCTTTTGTTCCGTCCACCAGGCTGACCGAGGGTGGTTTTCTCGCCTTCTGTTCATTCTCATTCTTACCTTTAGTGAGAACATAGTCCTCTTACCTGATCATGATTGCTCTGGACATGAACTCACCAACCTGATCTGTCTCGACTTGCCATGGCGTTTTCAAGGACATTGTGGAATATGTAGAGCTGACTGCTGCCGTCGACCTCGACCTTGACCTCGACCTCCGTCACCTTGATCCGAGTCTCGATTCTACCGGACCACCATGTGGCAGGCACCATACGGCTCTTATTACTGTATGCCTGGCAATTCACGCACCTACTACCCTTCCTACGACGCTTACTTTGGGTTCGTTGACCAAACCAACGCTCCTCCAAGGTTAGTGAGTACCTGCCCCATGAGCTCACAGTCACATCCTCTCGCCAACACGACCACAGCATTTCATCGCTAACTCCCCTCACGATGAGGGCCCGTTCAACCTGGATTGAGCGCGGCGCAGACGGTCGTGCTTACTTCGTCAGAGAAAAGTCAAATATACCCTCTGCGAAGGAGCTTCTTTCCCAGGCATTGCTCCGCCGAAGCACTCGCTCACTCTTCTCATCTAGGGACTCGCGTCAGAATCACCACGTTCAGTGCGTCACTGCGACTGACGGTCCGCTTGCTCTGCCTGCGCCCACCTCGCCCGATCCTCCCGCGGCTTCAGGCTCTCATCCCGCTCCCCCAATGGCTCCTACCTCTCACGCTCAACCGCAACCGGTCAACATGTACCTACTTCCTCCCCATCATGGTCAAAATCAATCAGACTCCCGAGACAATGCCCACGGCCACGAGTGTGCAGTGAATCCCCAGACCCAATTCATCCCTGCTCCTATTCCACCAGGAATTTTTCCAATCGGGCCATTCCCGCCTCACCCAATGGGACCTCAGCCCCCGACACTTTTCCCACCACCCCCAGTGCCATTTGCATCTCAATCTCAGTCATTCATGGCTATCCCATCAAATCTACCACCGGGCATACCCGAAAACACAGCGTCGGCACAGACTCAACCTTACAGACCTCAGGTCACGCCCCAGGGCCCGATAGTCACTCCGGCGGATTCGAGGTACAAGTGTGAAATATGCGGGCGTTATCGATCTGCGCGCTATCACTACAAGCATCCCATCCAACCAGGACAACTTCCAGGTAAAACAATCTGTCGAAAATGTAGAGAGGAGGCCACCGACAGTGAAGATGATGATAGTTCAGACAGCGTCCAATCGCCCAGGCCACGGCGTCACCATTCGCGTGCCCTCCCGCGGCGAAGCTCCTCAACATACAAGTCACAAAGACACCGATCACGAAGTCGAGCTCGATCAAGAGGCCGTCCCAAGCTAATTGACTACGACAATGAACCCTATACCGACTCGAACTCGTCGAGCCTCGAAGAAGAGCCATACACCAGCGGAAGGCGAATGTATCGGCGTCGTGAAACTGCAGACAAAAGCTTGATCAGGCACACCCGGCGACTCCACCTGTCCCCTGTCGGGGAGCGCATCTTCTTCGACGGAGAACGTGGAGGACGGAGGCAGCACTTTGAAGACGGTTTCAAAGACAGGAAATATGAAGATGAGACTGCTAAGAGACTACGATCACGCTCGAGACAGCCGACACCAGGTCCAAGAATTCTCAGAAGACAGTACTCGGATCCCTTTGTTGGGACACCACCAATCGAAGATCACAGAGCAAGACAACCACACTACTTTTGGGGAACACCGCATGATCGCCCACGAGTGGGATATTCGCCTCAACGTGGACCGACATCCTTGCGGAGCAGATACGCGTCTGTGCCTGTTCACCATGTCACACAGCGCTCGCGGAGCGTTGATGATTCGGAGAATGATCATGAAACTGACCGCCACAGACACCTACGTTTGCGATCCAGATCTGCGCAGCGCGGTTTGCGCCATGGGAGGCATATGATACACGAGCATGAGGGTAAGCGTATACACTTACAAGTCGCTCTCGTGTAGCCATCTGGTTGCTAACTGGTCAATCACAGACGAAAGCCAGGAAGAGGATGGTCATCAAGAGGTTCATGCGCCTAGCCCACCACCTCTTCGTTCGTCGTCCTTGGGATACATGGGGCAACCTGAACTTGGCGAGGAGGAGTGTCGGCAAGGTCGTCCCCGTAGAGGCCGACGCCGAAAGTCGCGGTCCCGATCCCGGGAAGACGAGCTGTCGGGGTCTGGAATCTTGAGGCCCGGGGATGAAGTGACAGTGATTGAGAGGCACGAGCCAAGAGCTAGGGAAGACTACGACTGGTATGATGGTGGTGGGATGAGGGTCAGAGTGCGCGAAATTTCCCGATAAGGGAAAACAGTCAGCTATCAAGGATACAAGCAGTTGGCGACTCGAGGATGAAACAGGCATCATGTTGCGCAGCGGTTCTTATGGCTGCAAAAAAACAAACCCACGGTGCGCAATGAGAGGAGTAGTTGTGGTCGCCACCAGAACCGGCTCCGGCTTCGACCAGATAGGCGTATGTCGGGGAAGAAGCCTGGACATAATCTGGACCCGGTTGAGTCTGGATTACTAGGGTAGGCCTGCAAAACACAGCAAGAGCACAGCTCGAACGGGAAGCTGCATGAGACAGATTACGCAGAGCGAAACGCCATGAGGCTCAAATTGGGGAAGGCAAGGAAGCTGTTGATCCAAAGCAGCCATGCAAGCCGAACTGGATTGGAGCACGACAGGAGGTGATGAGAACAAGTCTCCCTGGCTTATTCTCTTGGCGAGGTGAAGACATTGACGTAAAAACTTTGGGCTGTGGATGAACAGCGAATAATATGATGCACCCCGGTCAGAATCCAGCTGCTTTTTAGTGCAATCCCACGATGGGGTTTTGAAGGCGCGAAGCGAGCGTTGTCCAGGAGGAGGATAGACATGTTGGATCCATTCTTGGGTGGCTGGCTGGAGGAGCAGGGCCGCCTAGGCTCTGGGGGAGGGCGAAAGAGGCTTCCAACTAGACAAGGGCAACCACGTGGGCATCGAGGAGAGATCTTTGACTAAGCTCCATTAGCAAACTTGTGACGAGGAACAAGAATAGTGATGGGCTTGAGCTTGGGAAATAGCAAGCGAAAGGTTGGGCGACGCCACGGGTTGCGGAAGCGTCGAGTTCTCGGCCACGCCAACGCCAAATACTCGCTCCATCTTCATCCCGCCATGCCCGGAAGAGCTGAGGACCAGGGTGCGGATAACTAGGAACATGGGAATTGGAATTCCAGGCTAACAGTGTCCGGGCATTGATAGTCGCAGCCAGGTCAGAGTAGGGGGATCACACCACCCTTTTCCTCATTTCTTTGTTGTTTGCACCGAGAGACGGAGACGCCACCACAATAATGCACAGTGTCTTGCATGGTAGCTGGTCAATCAGAGAGCGAAAGAGAGAGCAGCGACGGCGGATGGCTGGTCCGAGGTCTGAAAGAGAGGCGCCTGGAGAGCAGCCGACTAGTTCGAGCAATGGAGACAAGGCCAGACGATTGGAGTCGCTACCAATTGCTGTAGGCGAGCGTGAAGGCGAGACGCTAGTCCTGCAGCATCCGAGCAATCGAGGGTGGAGGAGGGCATTCTTGAAGTGGACGCCAGGAATTGTCACTGTCGGTTTGATGAGACCATGAGGACGAGCAAAACAACATGAGACAACCCACCATGGCTGGAGCGCAGCACGAGGAGAAGATCAGCGAGTAGTGAGAAAGGTTCAATGCTAGGGTTGGGGGGGGGGGGGGGTTGGGGGGCGAGATTGGCTCGAAAGTGGCTGGCGCGAGCAGAGAATACGGGAGAGAAACTCGTACAGATTTCGTGCTTTGCGTTGTCGATCATGGGCGACAAGAGTCCAAGAGTGTTTTAGTTGCATCCCATGCAGTGCAGCTCCAAGGCCACCAGACCAAAGACTTTTAGCCTCTCAACTAGTTGTTTGAGTTGGCTTGCTGGGCGGCAGATCCGGGGCGTTGATGTTGCGAAAACTGCCCAGACAGGCAAAATCAATTGTAAGGGAGGGGAGCAGTGTGCACTGTGCCCTATCCCTATCCCTATCCCTATCCACCCACCCCGACCCGGCCACTTCTAGGCTTCTAGGTGGATGCCAGACCCAGAAGAAAAGCAAAGGGGAAGGCAGGAAGGGACGCCATGATCCGGACCGAGACCCACGGGGCATTGGTCCACTGACTTTCATGCCTGTTTGCTTTGGTTTTGGCGGCCACGCGAAGTAACGGAGCAGTACTTGTCCAACGGGCAACTCAAGGACACAATCAAAGGGCCTCCTCTCCGGGGTCTTCGGTGTGTGGTTGGAGGACTTTGGACGTCATGGGGGCTCCCTTAACCAGTTAGCTAGGCAGCGGTACCTAAGTGAAGGGAGCTAATAGGGATCTGGACCGCAAACAGCAGAGGGAAGGGAGGGGGTGTGAGGTGGCTCCATCTTGGTCTTGGGCGGGTGCCTCTGGTTGCTCTCTCCGCTGCTGCCGTTGCCTCTGTCTTTGTGATGCTGGTTCGGTGCATCTGGGGACCACATCGAGCCATCCATCTAGGCGTCCCGATAGTGCAGCTCCGAGCACAGTCCTCTCGTCCTCTCGTCCTCCGTACCCAGCACTCGTTCATGCCTATCTGGACAACCACCAGGGCAAGGACCAGGATTGAACTACTACTACTACAAGGGCCCCGCAGGCGAGTGGTCGACTCTCTCCAGACCCACTGGCCTACACCCAAACCCAACAATTCAGTCGCTTGCCTGCACTTTTGTCCTTGCACATTTTCCTCCTTCTCTTTTGATATTTGCCACCCTCCTAATCCGTCGGCTGTCATACGACTCGGCCACTTTGAGCTTTCGCTTTCGTGCATGGCGCACTCCTTCGGCGTGCTGGCAAATTCCGTCTCGGACAAGGCACACATCCTCTCGTCAGATGCTTCGAATTCACATCGAACCGGCAAGATCGGTCCTGCGTCCTGGCTCTTGCGCCGCCCGTCCTGAATGGCGATCCGCCCCCAATCCTTCAAGGCCCTTAGTCACGAAGCTACGTGTCTAGCTCCTCGAGATGCCTTCATCGTTACCCTCCTCAACCTATGGACACTGAACACTCAACCCCTGCATATCCCAACACTTTGACTCGCTGGCAAGGACAATGCGCATCACAGGCCCTCTTGTTTGCTCCGTCTCTCTCTGACGCGCTTTTTAGGTCTCTGTGGACCCTCCCTTGATCCATGTTCGAAATCCGCTCTGTCGCCTTTTCTCGCCTTTACCATCGCAAGTTAGGTCTAGTTTCACTCGCTTGCCTGCCCGTCCTTCATCATCGAGCTGGGGAGCGGGCGGTGACACGTCGCCCGCAGTTCCTTCTACACTGATAGTACACTTTCAGTTTCTGGCAGGGAAAGGGGGAATCAACCAGTGAGAAGTCTCTCCGAAATCAAATAACCACAAAACCACCTTCACACGGATTGTCCAATTGTCAAGGCCGTTGCGCCATATCTCGTGTCCGTCAAGACATGGTGGTATTCTTAGCCATGCACCCCTGCATCTCTGGGCACCTTTTGGGTTTGGGCGTTTCTCTGGAGCTTCGAGCCCGTGGCTGGCCGCTTCAAGTTTCCCTCCAACCTTGTTGGTCCCCGGCTTGCCGTTTCGTCCACCCCGATGCCCCCATCGTGCCGACCCTGCGAGGTGGTTGACCCTCCTCCCCGGGTTCCCTCCCTCCTGTCTGAGCCAAAGAACTTCTGTCGTCTGCTGGATACGAGCGGAGCCACACCCCGACATCCTTCCTTCGGCCATACCCTCGTCTAAGTCCCAGCGACCTCCTCAGAATCCAGATCTGTCGCTTAACCATGATGTGTCTGGTCCCCTCCCAATCGAGGTGCTGTCCCCCCTGCTCTCGCGCACTGAATGAGAAAGCGATTACCCGAATAGGGACGAGCTTTGTAAAATTTTCGCTCAAGGGTGTTCAGCTGTGGCCTAACCGAGCTCCTCCCCCAAAGCCCAGAGGCAATTCTACAACACGATGAGTCTGCCCAACCAAACGGTGAGAAAGCCCTGGATGGTGTTTCGCCTGTGGTTCGTGAGGTTTGTGGCCGTGACGGGGCCATGCAGGGGGGGCCAAAGACTCCCACTCCACCAAGAGTGAAAGCGGCCACAAAGGACCGCAGGCGCCTCGCCGCCAGAAAATGGTGGTGGCAGTGGCCGCTGAGTTGCACAGATTCGGTCTTCTCTCTTTGGGATTTGGGCAGCAGGGCAGCGTATGCGAGGCGTCTAAGAAGGCAGCCTTTGGCGGTGGGTACCGAGACAGACCGGTTGGGCCCAACCAGCCAATGGCGCGGGCGCCGTCCAGTCCGTCTTGGTCCTCTGGCCATTGACATGGTGACACTCTAGGCCAGTAGGCCTCGAGCACGCCTCTCTGATCGCCCTGGCTAAGTCACTTGGGAGTCGACTCCATCGGGAAGAGGGCTAACATGCGGCTCTGCGAGTCCTAGCAGGGAGCCTGCCCTGGCTCTGACTGGCCAGCCGCCGAAGGTTCCTCCCTGCCCTCCACCCTCCAGACCATGTCGATGGCGCACGCTCGTGTCAAATGCAATCCTCTCCCATTCCGTGATGCTCTTGCTGGCCCCCCCTTTCTGCTCGCTTGATAACTTTTGGTTTATCAGGTCGAAAGACTGCGAGGGTGGCCCACCCACATGTGGTCTTATTCATATACTCCAGAAGCTCGTCCCTGATACCGATGCTTCATGAACTCTCTTCCTCCCCCATCCTCTCTTCTTCTGCCTGTCAGTGCCACCGTTACTGTCAGTGGAACATCACGCAAGCACTTCCCCGTACACTGGACCTTGCAGTCTGCAGCAGACCTACCACTAGTCTTCTGGCTGGGCGCATGATGCACCGTTACTCACTCTATCAGGATTTGCTCGGGAGCGAGGGCCCAGAGTATATGTATGAAGATCCCGACGACCACGGCACTCCCATTCAATACTGGTACCACCACGGAGACTTTCACTCCATCAATCCGTTACTTGGGTCCTTGTCGCCGCATGACCTAAGTGCCCAGTACCAGAGACCGGGGGGATTGCAACATTCCTGTGCCTCCTACGACCCGGCCGCCCAGGGCTTCAGCCACCCGCCTTTGTGGGAAACTGGTGACAGAGCCCTCCCTCAACTGGATGGCTTCGACCCCGACCGTCGCGACATTGATCATTACCGCCATCTGCGTCATCCCTCCCCAACCGACCCTTGGGGGTTCGCTCTCTCCAGCAACAGCGACTCGTCAATGAGCGAGTATGCTTGCAGTCCAGAAGCAGTTCGGAGCTCGCTCAACGTACCCTTTTCTCACTCACCCCTGGAAATCTACGTCGCCCCTACAGTGCAAGCATCGGTCGCGGGCCACGGTTGGACTTCGCAACCGCTTTTCATGTCCCCTCATCCTTCCACACCTATCCCGGCCAGCCACACTGTCCCCAGCATGAGAGATCTCCAGGTCACGCCGGATCCAGAACCAGAACACGATGACGAGCATCTCGACGCAAAGGAGGCTTTTCACTCCAAGATCAACTTTCCCGTAGAGATCGAGCTCTCGGAGCAACTCGTTAGCCCACCCGACTCAGGGCTTGATCAATCCGTCCACGACGACGATATAATTAAAGGTGAAGAGGAGGATTCCGACATGCCCGAGACCGACAACGATCCCGACTTCCTCCCCAGAAGGAATACCATCCACCGGCAGTCCGGCACCACCAGACGCCACTCTCTGCGTGAACCACGACGTCCAAGATCTGTCATTGACCCAAGAGCCCGCGTACAGAAACAGACCCATACCCGCGACACGCTCGACAGTGGTAGCTCGCGGTCCAAGAACAAGAAAAAGCCCCCGGCGGTCAAGAAGGATGAATCGGACTCGAAGCACTTTCCGTGCGCTTTCCACCACTTCGGCTGCTATGCCTCGTTCGGCAACAAGAACGAATGGAAACGACACGTCAACTCTCAGCATCTCCAACTTGGCTACTACCGGTGCGACATGGGCACTTGCTCGCCGGAAACAGCGCGAACTCAGCATCGGGGATTCAATGACTTCAATCGCAAGGATCTTTTCACCCAGCACTGTCGCCGCATGCATGCCCCCTGGGCCGGAAGTAAAACAGGCGAGCAGGGTGTGTCGAAGAAAGAGCGAGACAACTTCGAGAAGGAGCTTGATGTCATCCGCGCACGCTGTTGGGTTGACCGCCGAAAAGGTCCTCAAAAGACCAACTGCGGATTTTGTGGGAAGAAGTTTGTCGAGGGCAAAGAGTCTCGCGGCTGGGATGAAAGGATGGAACATGTTGGTAGACACTTTGAGAGGGACCATCTGAAGACCAAAGACGAAAAGGTCGATGACGATCTGAAGGAATGGGCTATCAACGAGGGTGTTGTGAGAGAAGGGAGGAGGAAAGGGGAGTTCTGGCTCGTGGGCTTTGAGCCTGCCCAGCCCAGTCGCCGTTCCCGAGGGCAGAGAAGGAGCAGAAGATTTATCAGGGACGATCAAGAAGAGGTTGCCATGTCGGACGTTGATGCCGAGGCCGAAGACGATGATGAGTAGGCCTGTCGATAAAAGGTGTTTGCTGCTTGACACAGTGGGGTTATGGTCAACCAAGGTGACGGCGTTATCGGTTGCTACTCATGGTTGAAGGGACGTTCTTGAGGTCAGGACAAATGTGATGGACATAATGATACCCCTCTAGGTCTTGGGAAAAGGAGAAAAGCAATGGAATTTCCTTTCTTTCACACTTGTATTGAGTGTTGTACAGCCTCGGCCGAGGGGTGACATGTAATTGGTTCCGAGATGAAACACTCGATGTCAGCCTTGTTTGAAACCCGACGTCGCCTCTCACGCCTCTCAACCACTTCTCGGCGGCAGTGGGCGTCCATCTCGTGCACATGGAGGGCGGCACCAGGAATCTCTTTGTCTTCTCGTCGTGCCCATACAGCCACTCAACACGGCTCAAGTGCAGGCCCTTTGAGCCTCGTGAGTCGTACGCGAGATGCTGTGTCCGCTTTGTTCGTTCGTATGATGGTAAGCGCCCTGTATCCATTGTCCTTGTCACGACGGCCACGTTTCTTTGACGTCGTTCTTTCACTCTTGGTTTATTTTTGTCGGCTTTGTTCTCCTGTGCTTGCTCTCCTGCCAGCAAATATTTTGTATCTGAAAGCTATCCTGCCAGACAACGTCCTTGGTCGCCTTGTCAATTCAACACACTCTCATATTCTTGCACCGCTACCAGTACCAACAGGAGAAGCTCTGCAACCTCAACTTCAGTCAAGATGATATCCTTGATCCGACTCCTCTCGCTTGCCGCAACAGCATCCATTGCCCTGGCGACTTCGCCCCCTCTCCCCCATCCTCTGAGCCACCGCGACACTTCCAACACCGCGGCCGCTCCCGACCCTGTTCGCCAACTCCTGTACATCGCTCCCAGCTCAAACACATGCGCCGGCGCCACCTACCCCAGCGAATGCGCCGTGTCTTCCCTCTCCGTCGTCCAAGCTATCGTCGACGGCTTTGCCAAGTACAACGTCAACACCGCCGAGGAACAAGCCGCGCTGCTCTCCTGGATGGCGTACGAGAGCGGAGAGTTCAAATTCAACCGCAATCACTTCCCGGCTCCCGGCCAGCCGGGCCAGGGGACGAGAACCATGATGTCGCCGACCTTTGTGCAGCAGTACGCCAACTCGATCCCCGAGCTCAAGCCCAAGGTCGTCGCCATCGGGACGGGGTCCAGCTTGAGCGGCGCCCAGGCCGACCAGGTCCTCGCCCTCGTGCAGCCGGACCAGTACTCCTTCGCGGCCGCGGCGTGGTACTACGGCACGCACTGCACGGATGCGCAGAAGCAGCAGGTCAGGCAGGGCGGCCAGCAGAACTGGCAGGCGGCGTTCATCACCGGCTGCGTGCAGACGACCGTGGACGACGGCCGAATCGCGTATTGGAAGAAGGCTTGTGAGGCGCTCGGGGTGAAGGTGGCGCCATAGACGGAGGGTGGCTTTCCGGGCGGTTTCCGGGCGACGCGGCAGGGGCTGGCCTTCCTCTGCTCTCCTCTGTGAGATGTTACGAGCCACTACTTCAAAATGAGGATTTACTTCTTTGTCCCTTCTTTTCCTTCTTTCACCTCGATCCTTGTTGTGTCGTAGCAATGAGGCTGCAAATCTTGATTCGATAGTGTATACTATTGACCCAAGCTGGAAATTTACCATGGCCGTCAAACTACGAGGTCTTCCTTCCAGCGCCATATCATTTCTGCTTTGCTAACTCGCTGGCTGTTCATGCCATTTGGATCTCGACTACAACAAGCCTTAACGCCTAGTCCCGGGGACTTGGCGACTTGCTTGAACTTCAGGCATAATGACACAGCCACCCCCCACTAACACAGGCGAGGATTTTGGGATGGTACTTGGCTTCCAAGCCTCGAACAACCTGCGCGGGCTGTGCGTGGCTTGGTTGTAATTCCAGCTTTCTTTCCTCCTCTTTTGTACGTCTTCTCGACCTTCTTTCGGATTTTGCGAACGGCGTCGAGGACGTACAATCCCAACCAGCAGAGTTGGATGGCCGCAAGGGGGTATCCATAAGGCTAGGTTGAGGGATATCAGAACAAAATGGTCTTCAGCCTCGTCTCTTCAGCAGTTACCAGTTTCCGCCATGTTGCTTTGCACATCTGCACTTGCCCTTTTGCTTCAATCACGCTTCGGGCTGGCTGCATCTTCCAGCAACCAGACAAAATCTGACACTCGCTATGCTTCACACTGGGTGGACGAACCTGACACCCGAGGGACTTGGAGCATCATATATAGCTCCTTGTTTACACTGTCTCTGTGTGTGTATTCTGCAATCCACTTGAATATACCTCCCCATGGCGAGCACCCCAGAAGACAATTCTGGAGAAAGGCGAAGTGGGTGTTCATAGCCATCGTCGCTCCCGAATTTGTGCTCTTCTGTGCTTGGCTGCAGCTGCACCAGGCCCGCTTCGTCTGCGCTGAATTGGAAAAATTAAGAAGCGGTGGTCTGACCCCAGAGTCGGCAACCAGAAGACGCTTCCGGCGGTGGTTCAAAATCTGGCGATCCTCAGCTCAATTCTTCCTGCCAGCCTCCGAGGAAAGGCGGCGCATCGATCCGGAGCAACCTCCCAAGTTGGACCCAGGGCCTTCTCCATTTTCACTGACATTTGGCTTCTATGCCGTGATGGGTGGCATCACGTTGGACGTCTCGGATATCTATGACAATGTCCGATTCGTTACCTTGATGCCAGAAGGAATCCTTCTGTTGGCTCGCGCGACGTCCTGGACTCACTTCACCGTCTCAGAGACTACGATCCGAGACAAGAGCAAAGCTGACACCCTAGCCAAAGCCTTGGTGCTCACCCAAGTCTTGTGGACCATTTTTCAGTCGGTCACGAGAGCTGTGTTGCAGTATCCGGTCACTGCCCTCGAGATTCACGTTCTCGTCCACGCAGCCTGCGCATTATTGATGTACGGGGTCTGGTTTTACAAACCTTTGGATATTCGCGACGCGACGGTGTTGAATTCCGAGCCGTTCAGAGACCAGCTTGCCTTGATGCTCACCCACTTTCTGCGCCGCGAGTTCACGGAACTCGGCGGGTGCGTAGTTTCTGGTCCCCATGCTTCGATGGCCACCCAAAAGACGAGTCAGACAAGAGTCGGATCAGATGGGGATCACCGAATTTCTCGCCACGCCATCTTCTCGATGGCGCATGAATCTGCTTTTTTGGTATTTGACCGCACGAAGCTCAAGACAGGACAAGAGAACATCACCCAAGCCGACAACATTGCAAACAGTGCAGATCCTGAGGCGACGGTACTCTCCAACGGCATCAGGGATTCTGACGGCTCTGCACGACCTAGTTGTTGTGATCGATCACCGTTGAATCAACATCAAGATACCCAATTGCCGGGGCTTCAGGATCATGGAAAAGAGGAGACATGTCGCAGCGTATTCTCGATACGGCCTCCCGAAAACGTTGAAGCCGTCCTGACACTTCACAGTGGACAGAGTCTCGGCACCGGTGTTGGTCCTGCTGCCATCGACTCCGGCTACCTCGATCTCACCTGTTTTGAAGACCAGCGAAACCCTAGTCTCCATTGCATACTACCACCAGAAATGAGAGAGCAGTTTACCACACGAGCCTGGCTTCAGCTCTACCGAATAAAATTCGAACTCTCCCAAAAGGATCATACCCGATGGGACCGTGCTGGCCGAGCCATTGCGCAGCGGTCGAAGGCCTCTCAGGGAAACCCCAAGTCGGAAGCGGCGCCTGAACCTCAATTCGTCTCGTTGAAAGAGCTCCAACATCCGATGCATGACGTGTACTTGGGCTACGTGGTTGGGCAACGGTGCAAGAACTTCGGCCAGGCCGGAATCGACCTCGACTATTCCGACAGTCGGGCCGGCAGAGTCATGTTCTGCATCGCCGGCATCAGCTGTGTCTACGGTTCGGTACACCTGGCCCTGTGGGACCAGGAGTTTCCCACCCCGGCGGAGAGGATGCTGTGGAGGATATCCGCGGCCGTGGTGGCGGTGCCAATCGCAATCCCCGTCTTGCGATGGTGTTGGCGTTTACCAGGCGACAGAACTCCGCCGCTGACTTTCTGGTGGGAATGCCCTGCTTTCATCCCCAAACGCGTCTGGCAATTCCTCGCACGCGTGGACGACGGCATTATGATTCTACTCATGTCGGCCTTTGCATTGTTCTATCTCTTCAGCCGGTGCTACCTTGTCGTTGAGTCATTCCTTAGCCTCCGAAGGGTTCCGGTCGGCGTCTACAAGACCGTGGACTGGTCAAGGTATATCCCTCATTTCTAAGTAGAGGGTTTGAAGAATGAGATAGAAAGTGGCAGGACGCTTTTCAAAGCCTTTTTCTCCTCAATCTCGCAGAAATTGTCATTCTTGCCCGACGTCGAATGGGGGGCGGATCCTCCTTTACAAACCCTCCACTTGCTCTTGCTCGGTTCGCAGAGGCCTTTGTGTGACTGTAAAGTATCTTGGAGTGTCTCGTTGCTCGATTCAACGACATGCGCGCCCACCAATCGAACACTCCCGCGGATGCCCGATTTCCCTCTCCCAGAGAAGGCGTGCCACACCCATGCCTTGCAATCCTCAAGGAGTACAGACCGGAAACCTCGCCAAGGTATTTATTTACATCCCATCTCGGGCCTCCCTTGGGGGCTCGGGCTAGGTCCTCCGGATGCTGTACCTGCCCAGACTCACAGCGGAGGAGGGTATGGAGAGAATCCCTCGCCGCCCGTGGGCACGCGCACCCCCAGCCAGACTCGAATAAATGTCGTCGATGATGGACCCCCGGCTCCGTCTCAGATTCCATCAAGTGGCACCGAGCAATGGATCCCCTTGCTCCTGCCGACGAGGTCGCATGTGTTATACAGAACACATACGACGAGCAGCAGGGTGACAATGAGAAGGAAAACACAGCAGTGGCCGCGGCCGCCGCCGGACACTCGTGCCCGCGTTGTAGAAGGCGGCATCCCTGTTGTCATCCGTGTTGCTGTGGGTAGCAAGGGCGCCCTCTCATACGCGTGGCGGGGTCTTGGTGCGAAGAACCTGGGGCGATCTTCCTCGGCATCGGTCAGGTCAGGGTACGAGTCCGGTAAGCGAGGGGTGGGAGGATATGTCAAACGGCCTGGAGGCCATAGCGGGGTGGGATTCGCGCGAGGGGGGCGGGGGAGACCACGGGGAGGAGACGGCGGTGTATACGGATCTGGACGCCGAACATTGACTGTCGAGCGGCATGCCACGTCGACGTACGTAGGCAGACCTCCTTGGTACGGCACGGGCGAGGACGGAGGCGTGGGGAGGAGGAGCAGCTTCTGCGGTCCAGCCGACATGGCCGGAGGCATTGCCACTGTCTGTGATCTGGAGCCAAAGTTTCGAGCGGCCATGTACTGGAGCAAGGCCCTGCGGGATGCTTTCTTGAGACAGACGGGCCCCTTCCCGTTGAGTTTGAAGGGCCTGAGGATGCGCCAGTCGGCCGTGAGCTCGTTGGCGGCGTTGACCCACGACATCTTCTCCAGCTGCTCGGAACCGGAGAGGTAGAGGGTGATGAAGTCGGCCTCTTGGTGGGGTGGGCTGGGGTGGATGGGGAGGTAGTTCCGGCGCAGGACGGGATCTTTGATGCGTTCGTCGAGGCCCTTTTCGCGAAACGACGTGATCTTGGGCCGCAATGATTTGGCAGTTAGCTTCCCTCTGAGAAACACATATCCTCTCGATGTAGACCTGCAGGGTGGCAGTCTCTCGGGGAATCGGGGGAAAGGGAGAAGGGATGAGAAGAAGAGAGGGAGGAAGTACGATCAGGAATTTGACCTCGTCGGTATGCTCGACGGTGAGCATCAGGACCGGGTGCCCGAAGCATTTGGGGGCGATCAAGCAACTCTGCAGCGACGAGTGACTGATCTCCTTCTTTTCGGGGAGGTAGAATATGTGGCCGGCAACGATCTCGCGCTTGAGCAGTTTGCTCTGGTCCCTGTCTCCGTGGTTGCGTCGATCATGAGACGGTCTGTCGTTGCGGACATGCATGGTTTTCCGACCTTTCTAAGATGAGACGAGATATGATTAATTCTACCAGGCAAAAAAAATTCAAGGCGGGCAAGGAGATATAGCAAGAGCCCGACGCAGGGAGAATGCAGGACCTTCAACTCTACTTGAGGGAGAAGGGACATGAAGTCGGTCAGTCTCTCGAGGTCGTTGACAAGGCTGTTGAGCATGGACGGAGGAGGGGAGTGGGGGGAGCATTATGCGCTGGCACTATTCCTAAACAAACCTAGTTCTCGACCCCGCCCCCGACACAAAGCCGGCGAGGGCGGAGCTTTAAGTTTTGCTGCTGTCGGAGCGTGCCGGAGGTAGAACAGTCCTGGCTTAGCAGCCGACTTAGCCCACTCAGCCTTGCCTGGTGCCATCATCCCCCCCCACACTCTGTCCCCTCTCGCACCGCAGCTCTCTCTGCCTCAATGGCCTCATGCAGGCCTGTTCCAGTCCGACCTCAGGATAATTGCAGGTCAGAACCAATCGATTAGCCCATGACTTGCGTGGCGAAGGCTTCCTTATCTCCGACTCTCCACTGCCGCGTCTGGTCCTTCCCCCCACTTCAATGTCATGAGACGAGAAAAGTCCCTTGAGACTGGATTCGCAGGGATTCTAGGCTGACATGCTCCAGCAGCTCTATCGGCCCCCTTTTACTCGCCCATTCGTATGTCCCTGGATATGCAAGTCCCGCAGCCGTAGGGTGGGATCGCTCGCTGGATGCGCTGCGCCACACCGGCCGGCAAACCGGTTGATGGAAGGACAGCCCCTTGCTCGTATACAGCCATATCAGATCTCTCAGCAATGATCCGGTGATGAAGGACAAGGAGCTGGTCCTTTGGTTGACATTTACCGTGACGCCTCCGGTTTCGTGGAATCGTGTGAGCTGTATATGAGCAAGCACAACGAGCAGTACACCGTAAACGCCAATGATAGTATCCAGTCATCGAGATGAGGAAACGAATGCTTTAGAAGGGTGATGTCGAACAGCAAGGCGAATAAGGGCGAACAGATGTGGTCGAGCTACCGGCTAGTTACTGGGATGGAATTGGGGCATCAGTCTGATCGTGAGATTGTTGAATATCAGAACCCTAACGAAAGATTCAACCACCAATTGCGCCCAGGAAGCCGAATCTCAACTGCGAGGACCACGAAGAGAAGTCTCCGTATGCTTGCATATCTCTATCTAGAGAGCACCAGGCTCTTGCCTATCTGAAGGGCACAGGGTACTAAGGCGATAGCTACTGACCCACCTCAAACCTACTGCCTTCAACCGCGACAGCCCCCCACCCCACCGCCGGATTCGACTTCACCTTCCTGGCAGATGGCCGAGGCGCAGTCGACGATGGCACACGAGTGCTGGTGGAACCGTGATGAGGGCCTGATTGAAAAAGTACCAGGAAGCATCAAAACATATCAAAATGACCCACTCCCACCTGCACATTCGCCATGTTCCAAATCCTGTCAGGCAACTTATTGGCCGGGACCACGCCGCCGTCATTATGGTCATTGCAGCAGGCGATTGTTCCGGGATGACTGATGTGGCTGGAGCATTGTAATCGCGTCCACCAACGGGGGGGGGGGGGGGGGGGGGAGCTCTTCGTTCTGAAGGAATAGAACGCTGTTCAAACAACCAAAGCAGGATGTCTGTGACATGGAGAACTGCCGTTACTAATGAGAAGCACTTCATATTGTATGCAATAGCCGCCTCCACCTCGTCGACGAGCACGTCTTAATTCGAGCTTGGGAGAACGCCTTGTCAGAATTTCGATGCCGTGGCGGAGGCACTCGTCGAAGAGGCGTTGAAGGACTGGAAGAGCCAAGGCAAGATGACCTGAAGTCTGCCATTGCAGTGTGGCTTCAATGAAGAGCTTAGAAGCAGGAGACAAGTGCTCATTTTGTCACTTGCGAGTGCACAGAATCTGAGAGGCACCCTGGAGGCGGGGACATAGATTCATCGCTGCAAGGAGGATTCGCAGCTGGGTGAGGGGAGCTGAAGATGACTAGGGTGGCAAAGACGATAACGGCAGTGATCGATTCCCATATCGAACGATTCCGATTCAAACAAAGGAAATCGGAATGGGTAGTGAAAAGAGTGGTCGCCACGCCGTCTTCGCGGATATCAGACAGGCAACACAACGGATATTCAAGAGTGGCTCCAAGGGTGCAAGGTCAGAATCGTTATGCTCGAGGGCCTGTTGATGAAGATGCAATCATTGCCTGAAGGAGGCCTTCAGTGGCAATGAAGTGAGAGAAGGAGGATGAAGGACACCAAAGACAAAAGACGCCACGCCGCCTCCTTGGCTGTCGCCCTGGCTGTTAACACCAGAACTAGGCACATTGGCTCGGTGTCGGGCCATTGAAATTAACGGACCGATACAGCTGGAGAGAAGGCGCTGGTCCTTCATGATGTCAAGTCGTATGTTCTGGGGTTCTCCCGGTGACAAAAGACACCTGCTCTGCGACGGATGGACCGTGAACCTGGTACTTCGGAAGACAGGCCGAGTTGTGTTCAAACTGAAACGCGTGCCTCTGTGCTGTCGAGAATGGTGGCGCAGGCGTGGGGCCTGTGCCAGCGCAATTGATGAAATGCACATGGTTGGTTTTCTGTTGCCGCATCAGGATTGTCAATATCACCGAAAAGGGACGACTATCGACAATCCGACCGCCCCAGGTCTCGAGCTGCCAGACGCTGTGGCAGCGTAGGCGGTTCCGCGACGTTCCTCGCTCATTGGGCAGACATCTGACCAAAGCGTACACAAGGGAAAAATATATATTGGCTTGGTTCAAAGTGACACTTAGAACCCAGAAGGCAAGCAATGAAATATTTACATTGTTCCAAGGCGGCCGCCAATTCTTGGCAGGCGTCATGGGTTACTGCATTTGGAAAAGCTCCACATTTATTTCAGCCTCGTAGCCTCGTAGCCTCATCCACCACAAGTCCACTTCCCTCTCACTTTAGCCCCTTCCAGCTCATTCATAAAGGATCGTTCTCTCAAATCAATTGCCTTGGAGGCATTGTCTCTTCTCCAATAACTCCGCGCACAACACTTCCCCTTTTCTCTTCGTAGTTTCGCAAAGTGCCCGTCCCCTCCACTGTTTCATGAACCACGGACTCCTCAAAGACATCGATGTGCGTACTCGCGAACTTTCGTGCACTCACTCCCCTCTCAAACAGGAGATCCAGTTCTGCGAAACTGCGTCCGGCTGGCTCTGGGACACGGAAGTATGTGTAGATGATGCAACAGAAGCAGATTCCTGCCCAGAAGAAACCGGCGTAGTTGCTCCAGTTCCACTCACCAGGGTTGAGCATGTACGGTGTCAAAACGGAGCAGATGATACCGACGACGTTGTATAAGTTGCGGCCCAACACGACAGTCTTGATCTGTAGACGGCGGGTGGAGAGCTCCGCAACCAGGGAATAGCAAACCGTGCCCACGGTCAGTTGATAGCAGAGTGCCCAGACCAGCATGATTGACCCTGTAGCTAGGGCGGCTTCGTCCCTGTGAGCGCGCGGAACTAGGCCTAAAAACCCCATGATCAGCAGCATGGAGAATAGGCCACAGAGTCCGTAGAGGTAGAGTGATCGTCGTCCGACGCCCCAAGTCATCAGGAACCAGGCGCCGAACACCCCAGCCATGTTGATCCCGTACTGACCGAGAGCAAAGTCATATGATTTACTGGGCGCCAGGCCTGCTTGTTCGAGGAAATACGTCGAATACCCCGAGAAAGAGTTGCCGGACAGGTTCTGGATCGCCCACACCATGCACACAATCTCAGTCCGTCGTAGGTCTGTGCCTTTGAAGCAATCCCAGTAAGTGGCGCCTCGTGTGATTTTCTCTTCTAGGGCAGTTGTGTGGACCATCATTGCAACGGTCTCGTCGGCATCAAAGTCAGTCTCTCGATTGAGAGAGGTCAGTCGGAGAAGGGACCTTTTGGCGTCGTCAATCCGGCCTTTTCGCACAAGCCACCATGGCGACTCTGGTGCAAGGAATATTCCAACAATTAGAGGCGCCGGCCATAGCCACTGCAAAGAGTACGGTATTCGGTAGGACCACTGATCGTCTCGAGGAAGCATTGCTTTGATGACACCAATGCCCTGTGAAGTTTATTAGCAAAACAGGTTTTCTTCCCAATTTTCTCAACATCAACGCACAAGCACCTGCCCAGCCCCCCAGCAGAAGTTCACATAGGTTGTAAGATATCCTCTGAGTGCCACGGGGCAGACCTCTGAGGCATAGGTTATCGCTATATCACGCGAAAAGTTAGTATGGTGTTTTCGAAAATTTGACCCTCCGAGAAGTTCAGAATGAGGACAGAGGGCAGGAATAACGAACTTGCGACTTGGAACATTCCCCAAGGTATGCCACAGAGGATCTCAGCGACCTGGATGGCCACCACGGTCTGCGCGGTGAAGAAGATAGCCGTATAGATGGCGACAAGAGCAAGGCAGGTGATGAGAGTGTAGCGATAGCCGAAACGCTCACAGACCCAGCCATTGATGAAAAGACCAAGGATTTCACCGACATTGGCACCATTGCTTAGCCCTGACTGCCAGCTGGCCGGAATTTGCCAACTTCCATCGGGGAGCTGCTTGCCGTATTTTTTCTGGAACTGAGGGAACGCGTCTGGCAACCGGGCGATCAGCAAGAACTGGACAAGGGCAAGCAGGATTTGAGCCCTAGAAAGCGACACGACTCACAGAAGTTGCTCAACAAGCACACATCGTACCCTTCCATGCAGATGCAGGTCGAGATCAAGATGCTCCATCCGACGGCTTTGGGGTAGAGCTTGATGCCCTGCCACAAGGTCATCTTGTGCTCCTTCTCGGTGGCCCGTTGAGCATTGTGGATGACATCGTCAAAGGTCTTCTGGTGCTCGATCTCATCTCGTGCGACCTGCTCCGGCGCGCCGTGGGAGGGTCGCGAGGAGATGACGTTCTCCTCGATCGCCTTTTCCGACATGATTGAATCCGTCTCAGCTTTGCGTGTGCTTTCTTCCTTCCACCTCGTTAGGGTAAACTGAATCAAAATAAATGAGTTGTAGAGTGTCGAGGGTGGTTGGATGTTGAAGTGAAGGGTGACAACGTGCGGCCACCTCCTAGTCGCACAACCCTGCTGGCGAGAAATGTCGCACAAGAAACAGGGCAGGACAGATTCACAGACGAGTTGGAACCAAACACTCCCAACCTCCCCGCTGATCGCCCGACCAGCTTCTCTTTATATCCTTGTGCAGGCTTTAGTTGCGGGGGAGGGACGAAGATCCCACGTTACACTGCGTTTCCGGGGTAAAGGGCGATTTTCGCGGTGGTCTGGGGATCTTGCCCGCGAGGAAGGATCAAGTCTGCGTGACCCCCCGAGAGCAAACTTGCCAGATTTGTGAGGAGAGAGCAAGTGGGAATTTTTTCGCAGATCTGGACATTGCCGTGAGAAAAAAAGGGTGTGCGATCCATCATCAGTCACGCGGGTCCCGGGTCCTGTGTCTGGGGTCCCTCCACTGAGGATACATATCCACCGCAGAATAGTATTCGCAACATGGGCTTCTCCATCCAATGGGACATGGGACAATCGCCAATGTGCCCATTCTTCCAGAGGTTCTCCTCAGTGCTCTGGCCACTGTCAGACGCGGAAGAGAGTGCCCATGGAGCGACGACGGTTTTTCGCCTCTGGCCCTGCTCCACCACGATTTTCGCAAGGTAGTATCGCACAGCATGAGGAATCCGGATCTAAGACCAACTGGGACGGCCAGACCATGCAAGTGAGCAGAGAAAACCGACCCCGAAGATCCCAACGTCACCGATCATATGCCGGGCTGGACGGGTTGGATTGCTCTGTCGCCAATCAGGATGGTGGGTGGCTTTTCGAGGTTCGTTGGCTTCCATCGCGTCTTGGGCAGCGAAAGAGAATCCAAGGTCGGACGGACATGGACCGAGCGATACCCAGGACCAAAGCTAATAAGTGGCGGCAGATGCGCATTTTCCCCTTTCGCCCTGTTGCCCTTTTGTCCCTTGGTACAGTATTATCTGCAACCCGGTCAATTGCCGACAACAACGCGACGGGCCGCAACGACACAAGACTTTCCCTCTGGTTGAAGCCAGAACTTGTTACCTCGTTGCCAGTGGCAAAGAGAACAAGGATCTCACCGCCGCTATCACCGTTGCCGCCGCCGACAGTTGCCGTTTCCACTCCCACAGCTAGTAAGTCTGACACGGATATGGCTATTCCCTCGGCTATACAGGCCAAACAAGGCGGTTTCCTCATATGGAGCTGGGTCTATGTCGTCGCAGGGCCAGATCGAGTAGTTCCCCCGTCCAGAACAACGGCACCCACGGTTATTGCCAGGCAAAAGGCACGGAGAAGTGGATCTAAGAATCTCTCGTCGGATCAAGCATCTGCGCGGGCTCGGCCTTTGCTTGATTCTTCTGGTATGTTTGTGGTCCCAACCCCAGGTCAGCAGGATCTATACTCCATACTCGGCAGAGAACCGTGGACTGGGGTCGGTTTATACCACCGAGGTGACACAAGCCTTGCGTGATGGGCACTATCCATTTGGCACGGATCAATATTCAAACATACGGTAGACAATGCGTCTCGGGCACCACGCAGATAATCGAGCAGATGGTTCATCAAACAATAGTCATTCCCTGGATAAAGCCAGGCTCAAGAAACTCAACGACCGAGCCAGTTTTGCGTCGCTCAGTTTCAGATTCATATGCTTGCCCAATCTCGTGCATGTGTTTGGCCCCTGGGAATCCATCCAGTTCAAATGTGGCATGTTTGCCCCCAAAGCGCCAATCTTGCCTACCACCCCGACCATGTCGAAAACCGTACACATGCCCCCAAACACGGTATCCCTTTGGCCGTTCCCAAAATCTTTCCGGCTTGGAGCCGCCGTGGGCAGCCGTTCAAGATTGACCCAACACTTCAATGCCCGCGCCGACCTGGACAACAGGCCTGCTGGGCAAGGTGCTGCTGGCCTTTCGTTTCTCCGCGCCCCTTGATTTCCGGTCCCCATTTTCCGGCATTCGCAGCTCGAGCGGACCCAGAGGATAGTCAAAAAGGACGGCCTCGTATCGGTTGTGCCGACACAGATTCTCGGCCTCGTGTTGCAGCATCTCAGCGTCCACTTTCAAACTGAAATCAATCAGGTAGCAAAACGTGATTTCCAGCCGGCCCAGTTCGCCCTCGGACACGCCACCCACTTTGCTAAAGCGGGCGTGGGGCCACGACAGGTCCTCGAGCGCCTTCATGGCGACTCGCAGTGTGGCCAAGAGCAAGCGGTGCACGTTCCGTGGGGTCACCGGCAAGATCTTCTCCAGGACGGCCAGTCGCGTGATATAGAGAGAAGCCGCCAGGTAGACCGCCGTGGACATGGGACAGTATTTGTGCATGCGCATCAGATAGTCCTCAGTAGAAATGGGAGGCGGCCGCTTCGAGTAAAACTTTCGCGCGAGTGCTCCGTGCTGGATATACAGAGGCTGAGCGTTGGCCCCGATAATACGGGCCGCCGCCGTGGGTTCATGCTCGTGCGCTTCAGGCGAGCCTATGGGTGTCTTCACAAACAGCACTCCATCGATGTGTTCCTGCTGCGAAGCAGACCCTGGTGGCCGCAGCTTGGTGTTTTCCTTCTTGGGTGTTTGCGTGGCGGTATCAGGTGTCATTGACTCACGCAACCTCGAGAGACTTCGAGCGGGCGACCCTCCTCGACTCCGCGCCAGTGGCGTGGGAGGCACGTCGCCGGTCAATTGGACGAGGTCGTCGATACTGCGACATAGCAATTTCAGCGCCGCGACCGGCTCCAGCTTGAAAATGTCCACATTCTCCGGAGTGAGGTCGTCCAGTCCTTCCAACGACGGGCTCTTGATCGAGGGAATAATCCCCTTGTCGTTCTCAGGCTCCGGGGGCGCAGGTAGTTGGGGCAGCGACGACGACGCTGCGCCCGCAGCCTCCTCTTTCTGCTCTCCTTGGTACTCTGAACCACCCATATTATGCGTCACGCAGATGATATGTTTTTCTTTTCCTTCCTTTGATCAGCCCACCTCGATCATGGGCGGAGAGACGCGTGCCGCTGCTGGTATCTGAAATGGGCGGCGAGTATTCCGCCACATGGTCAAGCTCGTGTCAAGGTGATGATTGCGCTCCCCCAGGAGCTGCTGGATGCCTCGCGCAGGGTGATGGAATGGTGCTGGGCAGAAGCTGCTTGCGAGCTCAGTAACGAGGTCGTCGGCAAGTTGCAACTGCAGTAAGGGAAAAAATTCAAACGGGCGAAAGGCGGGACAGGCGCAGCTTGGGCTTTGACTTTGATGACCCTTGAACGTGCTGAGCACGGCTGGGACCAGGATGAATAAGGCGCGGAGCTCGGGAACAAGGAAGCGTCGCCATTCACAGACCCTCGGAGTGAGGACTAGGTAGAAACAATCAGGCTTGCGCCGGCAGGAGGACAGCGCGCATCAGGAGTCCAAGGGTGTGTGAATGGTGGAGGGACGAATGAGGGTGTTGGAATGAGGTCGGTTGTCTGTGCCTGGTGGTACGGAGACCGAATGCAAGAGCACCAGATACAATGTCGAGACGAGGAACACCTCCTAAAGAGCTGGCAGGACAGCTTTGGCGTTCGCAATGTGTGTGGCCAAGTGTATACATATAGCATACATTGGTTGTCCGACTTCCCCCAGAAAAGGTCAACGTGTCACGCGCCCTCGAGACGAAAAAAGATCCAGGCTTTTTTCGCCGCAGCCTGGGGATCCGGTTTGGCGTTGATTTATTTCTGCCTCCAGCACTGGCTCCATCAATTTCTTGCTCCTGTATCTATTCACCCGCGTAGCCTCTCTGTGTCAGCAACCACCGGCTCCGTGCTGCCCTGCTGCTCCAATGGCAAGAAGCGGTATCTTGGGTGATCAGCGCCTGGTTCTAGACTGCTGCGTTGCAGCCCGCACACCCGACTGGTTCAATCCTGGGCTGCATCTCCAGACGTCGACTGACCTGCTCCACCAGGTGTCCTGACCTGCCTGTCCCGGTGGAGACTGCACGACATTCTTCAGCAATACCGAGGGGCTACTGAGGAGGAGAGATCTTCCTAAGAAAGAGAGCCTCGACCACTACCCAGATACTCCATCTTACCACAATGGCCAAGCACACGCGTGTGTCTATGTATATAACACTATTCGATGAAATGCGCCTCCTTCATCCATAGTCACGATTCTTCCTCGAAGCTACAATAATCGCTAGCCCTGTGCCGTGGGCTGTCGAACGAATGACAAGATTTGGAATCTCTTCATGGCACAAATGTGTTGCTGGCGGAGACCGTCCCTTCAGCCACGAATGATATATGTATCCTCTGAGAACCTCCACAAACGCCGTTCCTCCTTTCCCTGCTTTGCAGCAATGTTCCCCATATTTATATGTCCTGCCCGTGAGTCCCCCCCAACCACTATACACTCCCACTTAAGACCTACTGCCGTCGTTGTCGTCGATCTCGGTCTCGGTCATGCTCGTCGTCGACGACAATGATACTCTGTCGCCGCGAACGTCTATCTCCCGTCCCAGGTCGTCTCTCCTCTCGAGCTTGCTGGCTGCGGAGGTGGTCGTAGTCGTCTCGAGCTCGGTCCAGAGCCGACCGATTGGCCTCGCGGATTGGCAACACTGCTGGCGGGTTGTGGACGACAACTCCCTGACGTTCTCGTGGTCGTCGGGTCTCGACAAAATGCTCCCGCTCCTGGTTGAGCCGAGTTTCACGCTCGGCAAGCTCTCGCTCACGTTTCTCCAGAGACCTTTGGCGTTTCTCGAAGTCAAGGTCGGCCTTGAGGCGGTCGGCAGTGTGCTCGGCCTGTCGTCGCTTGCGCTCTTCTCTCTCTAAATCTTCGCGTAACTTCTGGACTTCCGGATCTGGGCGCACACGTTCATATTCCCATCGTGCGCCGTCGTGATCATCGCCCATGCGTGCTCCGGTCATGTAGTACTTGCCGCTGTCGTGCTTGCGTGGTGGAGAGGGGCTTTCCACCTTTGGGTGAGCGTCCTCGTCGTCGACAGGCTCATGGATGACCTTGACCTTAGGGTGGCGTGGAGACCGATTCTCCACAACGTACTCAATTGGTTCATCCTCGTGGTGGTGCTTGGTCTTTGGTGGTAGCTTGGGAGGGAGAGGGGTGTAAATGTTTTCCTCTAGATTGGACGACATGGTGTGGTATGGGCCTCGAGGAGGCGATGGAGGTGGCCGGGGAGGCGGACTCCAGCTACGGCGCTCCGGCCGTCGACTTCGAACGGGGACTTCTTCAATGATATGGACTTTCTTCTTGCGAGTCCGGAAGAGGTTGTAGAGCTTGGATCCCAATGTCAGCCGCTCTCTCTCCGGTGAGGTCGTTCGCACGATGCGGTAAGTACGCACCTGAGGGCTTCTTTCAATGAATATTGGTTCACGTGTGTACTCGTCGTGGCTTCTGCGGCGCCTATCAGACATTCAAGGGCCGGTGGGAAGATTAGGTTGGGGACTTGAGGTGAAGAGGTCGACCACCACAGAGACAGACCAAGGCCAAGGGATGGACTCGTATCCGTAGGTAGTTTGATAGGTTTGGGTTGAATGTGAAGGGAGATGTCAAGGTTCAGATCGTCAATGATGCTGATTGAATGATGTGATCGACGGTGAGGGTCTTTATCAAGAGCAGACTTTGATGGATGCCTGGATTCATATACAACTGCTGGTCTGGGACATTGTGAGGGATGGTCAGGTTATATCCCTGGTCACCCACAATGCTCACAAAGAAGCAGCTCGAATACCGGTCAGCAACATAGTAGTCCGCTGTAGACGAGATCGTTTGCCACAAGTATATTCCTCGTCCGGGTCCAAGGCTGTGACCTGAACCAGGTGATCCGTAGCGGACGGTGTGATTTTGCACTAGGTTCACAGAAACAATGAGATGGATGGTGGGCAGCTCACAGGCCGCAAGGGAAAATGGATACTGTTGATTGGAGCCTTCGGGGTCCAAAGCAAGGGGTGAGATCCTTCGGGCCCAATGCACGGCTGGGAGGTCATGGTGCAATGTTAACTGCTCAAGAGCGTGATGGCATGTTGGGCAGGAAAATCCTTTTCACACGGTGGTTCGCATGACGAGACAAGGCAGCCGAAGGGGATTTTGGTCATGGTGCTTTTGGTCGAGGACTGGGATGGCCAGCCTGGTCCGAAGTGTATTCGTATGGCGGGTATGGACAAACCTGTACACCCGGCTTGGCCGTCACAGATGCCATTTTCCCACCTGATCTTGTCCCATGGGGCTATCTTTTTCTTTTTCCCATCCTCGCTGGCCCCCTATGGTGTTTGTTTCGTCCGTCGGAGGGATTTTCAGGACGCGGCCATCACCACGGTGGCGGCGAATTATGTCAGCTATCCGGGGAATTCGGCCAGAAAAGCGCGCGACGCCAGATCCTTGCACGACATTCCGGACTTGTGGCTTTTTCTGCACAATGATAGCAAGGGGCCAGCGGTGATACAGCCAGAATAGGGGAAGGGGAAGAGCTGCCCCTTCCAGAGGGGGATGTGGATTCGACACTTGCGGCTCTGTGGCTGTGCGGCCCCCAATTGGCATTCAGGCTGCCCGTAGCAAAGAAGCAGACGGAGACAGACCGCCAAATGGCCTTCGTCGCCTTGCTCTGCACTGCCACCACCGCCTGACCTGACTTTGGCGTCATCGAGGGAAATGCACCGGGAGTGCTTTATCATTCGGCTAGATCCGGAGAATGGCAGGGGAAACAAATCCCCCAGTTCGGTTGCTCTGAAACATCACAACGCAGCCGCGCTTCGGGTGTGTGCCAATTACTTCAGCTCTTCCCCTTGAAGTCCCGGTCAAGCTTCCATGACTCACGATCGGCCCTGGTGATCTCGAGGCTTGAGGGAGCGATTCGGCCTCGGATTGGCTCAATCGCCGTGCCCTTGGTATTGGCCTTAGCCGCTGTGGCCGACCGAGGAGGTGATTTTGTTAGTTTCCTGGCAAAACTCCCGTGCAGAACAGATGTTTGAGGGTGGAACGGTCAACTGGCCACTAGGAGGCAAAATATCTTCCCGGGGAGACGGTTGGGAAAGGTTGGCAGGGGTGTACAGGTCCCTGTCGTGCTGAAAGGCCAGGGCTGATTGCAGCGGCTACCAGTGGCTGAAAGTTTAGTGAGGCTGACAGGACACCAAAGGGCCATTCGTAGACAGAATTCTGTTTTCGTCTGACAGGATTTTCTGCTCCTTGTGGTCGCTACTTCGGCGCAATGCTGCTGTCAGACGATATAAATTGAGCTTCTGCTTGCCTTCTCGGACGGCCAAGTACTCGTACAAAGCCTGCTTGAGAAGAACCTCATCACACAATCAATCTGAATACCCACTTCTTGGCTAGCACCCTTGCATCTTCGTGAATCTGCAAGGCTGACCTTCACATTGCCCCGACTGTGCCCAAGAATCCAGTCAGTCACTGAGCTATCCCTACAAGAGAACGCACAGTGGTGAGATTATCTACCGAGGTAGGCATGTGTAAATGCTACTCTGGCTGGCCAGGTCAGCGACCAGAACAGTGTTCAAGTGGCCTCTTGGGAGCCCGTCTCGGCATAGAATTCAATGGAATGTTTCCCTGCCCCGGGAGCAAAATGGAGGCGGGGGACCTTCACCGCTGTCACTCCTCAGCCTCGCAGCCTCGTTGGCGACTCGGCGTCGATGCCCGCTCAAGCAGAGCCTTGCATCGGACGTATTGGAGTTCTAGATCACTTTTCATCTCGTTAAATCATTATTTTGATGTCCTGTGGGTAATCCCTATACAGATGCCTGCTTATCTTCCCGTAACGATGCAAGACAGCCTCAAAACGATAGGCTCCCATAGAAATGAAACCAAACGGAAAGACGTGCTCGTCTTTCCCACGCTCAATACCAAAGAAAAAAAAGTCCGACTGTCTATCCTCTAAGGAGTCGACAAGAAGGAAAAGGATCCAAAACCACAGCGAGGTCCGGGCGTGACAACGACAAGATCTTCGCAAGAGCCTCCAAGGCAAAAGAGAAGCCGGAACCCGTAATCACGAGAAGACAAGACCTAATGAGCCCAGCTCCCCTTTCTTACCCTTGCGCCCCAGTCCTCGTCCGCACCCAAACATGCGCGCTTTCTATCATCTGCGAAATTCGGACTCTGCCGGCCCCATTCTCTCACATATAACCTCAACGCCTCCCAACGTTTGCATTTGCCGATGACTTCGGCTTCATCCCAGCCATCGCCCTCCGGTGCACCCACGTACCCTTTGGCATCGACATTGTTATCATCCTTGCGCAGCTCTTCGATAGGAATGCGAGAAATCTTGCTGAGTTCTTCATCAAACATATGTGCGAGGCTGGGGTACCCCAGGCTCAGGTAGTTGTATATCTGGGTAATCACCCGGTTGGGGAATTCGTCCTCGATTTGTTTCTCGATTCGCAGCTTTTTGTCGATGGTGCTAGTAAATGAATCATCGCCGTCTTGACTGCGCGGAGGGGTTAATGGGAGAAAGCCTAGTCCCGAGAGGTGTTGCCGGCGCCGTCCAGGAGTCTGGTATCCTCGCCCTGGCGTGCTGGCTTCGAATGGGTTGTTTCTTTCCCCTGCTGGAGTTACAGGGGAGGGTGTCTGGATGCCGCTGCGCAAGCCGTTCTGTGGACTTCGAGGTTGCCACAATCCCGCTTGACACATCCCCATCCACAGCCCTTCGCCAGCGTTGTTCTCTCGCTTTTTGTGTGGTCTCCAAAGGTCAGGACTACTAGGTTCCACCGACTCATCGTCACTTTCTGCACTTCTAGGTCTTGGGGGCTGATCGGGGTCGCAGCGTGTCATCTTTGGAGAGATGGTGAACGGGAAGACGAGGTCGCCGCCCAGCATTGGAGGTGACGCAGCAGCCCTCATACGGGCCAGTTCTGAGTCTTCCTCCTCTGCTCTCGGCTTCTTCGTCTTCTTCAAGCCTTTTGCCTCCAATGCATGCCGGGTCGCCAACGCTGCAGCACTGAACCGACTCTGCCCCGCGGTGTCGGCTTTCAGCTCTCGTTTCGCCGCTTCGAGCTGCTCGTGATGTTTTCGCATATTTTCCATCTCTAAATTCAGCTCTGCCGCCGACGACCGTCGGAAGGTGTGGGCATCGGCCCCCTTCTCGCCCTGAAACATTGGCACCGGTAAAGGACCATCTTCATCATCTTCGCGCGAGATGGCAAAGTGATCCACAGGCTCATGCGGCCGTTCATTGATGTAGGCGGCCATTGCCTGCTCTTCTAATTCCTTCTCGCTCACCGTCTCGGCAGCCAAGCGTAGGACATATTCAGTATAACTGTCCTTCGCACTAGGTGGTGCTCTCCTGGTGACTGAATCCACGGATGAAGGAGAGTCGCTCAGTGAGGGTGCGGAGCCTTCATCTTCCGAGGTCGACTCGATTATGGGCAGATCAGGAACAGCGAACGAATGCTGTCGTAAGGCCTCAGGCTGCTTTCGGGCCAGAGCCGCTGCCGAGAAGCGCGACTCCTCAATTCCAGAGACGTCTTCTGGTTGCTCTCTCTCTTCTGGTGGAGGAGAGGATGCTCGTCGACTCGGTGAGGGCGATGGTCTGGCTTCAGGAGTAGGGAGGTGGACGCGTCGATAGGAGCCTTTGGCAGTCTCTAATAGTTCTGGAGAGAACTTGCGGGGTCCAGATGAAGCTCTACTAGAAGCAGAGGAATCACCGGTTTTTTGTGGTTCGTCGTCCAAGTCCTCTGGTTCCGGGTCGCGTCTTCTTCTCGTAGTTGTACTGGTCTCTATGGGCTCCGGGACGAACTTCCGACGAGGACGACTCGAGGTCGTCTCTTCTGCGTCCTGAGATTTCTTTTCCCTGGAGCTCCTTGTTGTCGTCTCCACCGGTTCCGGGGCAAACCTCCTCCGTGTTTTAGGCGTTTCGTCTTCTTGGGGTTTGTCTCTGTCCCTATTGCTCCTCGTACTTGTTTCTAAAGGCTCCGGGTTGAATTTCCGTCTCGAGGACCGAGCACTGGTGTCAACAGGTTCCGGTGCAAACCGCCTGGGTCCTGCAGAAGCACCACTGCTTTGTACGCCAGGGAGGGAGCCAGGATCGTTCGGCGTCGAGACGGCGTGTATACTTGATTCGTTTGTAGGACCACCAACAACTCCATCGGCCGCCGTCGTCGAGTCTTGTATACCGTCCACAATGTTCTTCTTCCTAGAACTCCTGAATGTCTCCTCCACCGGCTGAGGCAAGAACTTGCGAGGTTTGGTCTGAGGAGACATGGAGTCGGCGGGATTTAAAGTCTTGTTCGTAGGAAGTGTGGACGAGGGGTGGTCTGACCGGCTGCGAGCTGATCTTGAACTCCTGACGGAGGTCTCGACGGGTTCGGGGTCGAATCGCCTGAGTGGAGAGGGGGAGGTCGAAGCCATGATCTAGGCCGTGAGGGTGGTGGATGCTTGTCTCATTTGACAGCCCATGCTTCGCTCAGGTTCCTTTCTCGGAAACAGGCGGTTTGCCTTGACTAGGAGCACGCGAGCATGGGACGTTGCAAGAGTCAAGGATACGAGAGGGCCAGGAAATGCGGGGGCGATGTACTCGAAGAGGAGTAATCGGGTGTATACGGAGGAGGATGTAGTGGTTGTATGAGAATGGCGCAAAGGTTGGGATGTGATAAGGCGGAGAAGGAGAGGAGGAAAGATGGATGGAATGAAACGAACGAACGAAAGCGGACAACCAAAAGTTGCTCTGACGACTTCTGATCTGGCGGACGCACGGGGACTTTGACCTGAGACGCAACAAGTCTGAACTCAAACATGCAGGACGTGCGTGGGATGGTGTTGTTCTTTCTGGTTGAGAAAAGCAATGATGGGCGGACGAACAGGAGGAGCTGGATTGGAGAACGGATCGAGGAGATGGAGATGGAGATGGAACGATACAAGGTACGAAAGATACAGTACCACGAGTGGTCTACGCGGTGATTTTCTGGTGGGATGAGCATGAGCATGTGTACACAGTGGTGCAGCGCTGTACCAAGCGAAATGACCGATGACGACGTGTTGGGCTACATGAACGCAGCTGCAATGGCCCAATTACACGAACCAACCAGCCACCGGCACCCACGGGCACCCACTGGGTCGCCTCTGGAGGGGCGTGGCCTTTAACTGGATCTGCACTGGTTAACCTGTTGGAAGCCCGGAGGAGACCCGAGCCATCGCCCAATTTCCCCAATTTAGGGGCCAACGGAAGGCCCTGCTAGCCTAGACTGTGCGGTGCCTGGGCCCTCCTTAGCCCTGAGACCTGGGCTGGACTCCACCAGCACCAGTTACGGTCGCCGGTCGGAGGGTAAATCAACCTCAGCACTCGTCATCGATGCATTTTGTCTGTTCCTTTGGAATCAGCACTGTTGCGCAGTACGAGGTCCTCTGTACTGTGTCACTGCTCCGTTCTTCTGCTCCTACCAAGATGGCGGTCTGATCCCCCAGACTCCAGATCGACAGCACTTATAGACCAGTTGTGGGAGGCGGCGCCACCTGAGACTCGCCCGACTCTGCGCAGAACAGCGATATCGAATCACCGCGCGCGATTTGGCGTCGGGTCGGTCAAGACATGCATTTCAACACTTCTTGTTTTGCCATATGATTATCCAACAAACCAGCTGATGGCCCTAGGAAGCCAGAACGCTGGGCCTGACTCAGCTTTCTCGGGCTGAATAACCCGAGTCGACTTTTCCTCTTTGCATCCCTCCTCCAACTCGTCGACTCCATTGCCCACTTCCGCTGCGAACGCCAGGACAAAAGAACCCCGACCTACAGACTCTTCCCCGGATTTCGTCCTGAATGCTCGCAACACGCTTCATTGGCCGGCGGCGTCCACCGCTCTCTCGATTCAAGATCCGTCTGCATACCTGCTCACCCGACTTCTCCCGAACCTTTCAAGGGTCGAGCATGAGATCCATGCGCCCTTCCGCAGCTACCCATGCAGACTCCTGCGAGGAGATCTACATTCAAGTCATGCTTCCTCCCGCGCGGGCATCAATAGTTTCAGGCAGACCGCAAAGGACAGCTGCAGACATAGTACTATGCAGTCAGGGGCATGTTACCCCATATTTCAGGGTTCACCACAAAGGTGTGGGAGTATCGGGGACGTTCTAGTCCAGTCATTTCTAAAGGCGGTCAGTCTACGAAAGCGACCTTCCATCGCCTGCTAAATGCCAAAAGCCAGAAATTGACGAGAGACATTGCGCCTGCCCAAAATCAGCCATCATCCTGCTCCAGCTCTCGCATCTCCTTGTCCTCCCTCAGGGTAATCTTAGCGAGCCCGGGCTCCAATTGCAAGCTGCTAGCCATGTCCGACGAGTGCTGGCCCGTGCCCTCCGAATTCCCTGAACCAACGCGTAAACTGCGTCTCCTCTCTCGTTGGTGCACAATTCCGGGAAACGCGCGTGGTTCTTGGCCCGAGATATGTGCGTCCACTGGGTGCGAAGTAGTGGGATATAGGACGCTCGAGGTCCTTCGTAGCCGGGTGGGTGAAGTATTACCCGGGGGCACATTCGTGTTTGATTTGGACAAGGCTGCTTCTCTCTCCCTTTCTCTGGCTTGTTGAGCGGGGGCAATTGAATCAGCCACCGCAAATGTCGCATAGTATTGTTTTGGACTCTCCAGACCTCGGAATATCTCGTCCGCCGGTGTGGCTGGATCAGATGGATCGGGCAAATTGGGGGTGCATCGATCAAAGTGACTGTAATCTTGAGTGTATTTCGCAATAAACGCATGCTCGGCCTTCAGCGTTTCGTGCCTGAACGCTTCTCGGACATCAGGCACATTGCACTTTGCGACATCATTACCGAGAACACCCGGCAGATAGCAATACTTGCCCAGCCAGCGCTGCTTGAGCGAGAGTTCAAAGCCACATTGATCGACTGAGTGTTTGGCCAATTCGCACATATCGACCGCGGAGAGCTTGTAGATCTGTGCAGCAACAGAGTATTCCTCGATCAGGGGCTCCTTGGTGAATGCGAATTGTAAGGGGTCATCCGTCGAAAGGGAGACGTTGAGACCCTTTTTGAAGTAGCTGATGAATGGGTTGCGATCATAGGTCAAGAAGAGTGCGTTGTTGCTCAGTGGCGACATAGCAACGCCAATCTGCTCGAGGTAAAAACAGTACTGCAGCAGGGGAACTTTGCGCAAAGTGATTCCGTGGCTAATGCTGTGACAACATAGCAGCGCGGCGGCAAGGTGATCTGTGTCTCCCGCTTCGCCGCAGTGAGGGCGTAGGAGGAAGGTGTTGAAGTTTCTCCTTTTGCGCCAGGCGTTTAGAGACGTCAGATTTGCAAAAAGGTAATAGATCCAGTATCCATAGGGCGGGTTCTGCTTGGTATTCCATTCCTTTGCCGCCGGGTACTTGCGATACAGTCGTCGTTCCACCTTACTCTCGTCGTCGACACTATCGAAGCCGATCACCCGTTGGAGAAAGACGTGTAGTTTCGGATGCGTGGAAGGGTCATGTGTCACCTCGAACAGAGGCTGGAAGATGTTGCGGAGGAGTTCTTCAAAGTCCTCCATGGTCTTCAACGATTTGTATAGAGCAAACAGTCGTGGAATCTGTATGAGCCATCGGACGTTGTGGGAGAAGAGTTTGTTATCGACCACCCATGCTGCTAGCGTGTCCCATTCATTGATACTGCGCCCGTAGATGCTGATTCGCCACTCAACCTGTTCACACATGGTTAGCCAACGAAGCAACAGCGACTCCAGGAGCCTTTCTCACCATTTGATACTTGCTTGACTCCAGATCCGTGATGACCTCGCGGGTAATCTCAGCGAGATACCTCCCCTTGATGAAGTTGTCCGTCTTAAGAAAGATATCCCTAAGCCGCGACTGTCCGATTGGATTATATTTCAAGTTGAACTTGTCGAAGCGATGGAACGAGTCCGTATGCGCGTGCATATCAAGAGTGTCGATGCTCAGATCGTACGCCGTGAGATTGATGCTGTCAAAGACCTCCTTCAAAGTCAATTCTTTGCCATCACGCTCTATGACTACCTCGTCAGGGCATTTCTTCATCTTGCTCTTGATGAAACGTAACAGATGCTTCTGGTTCATACAGGCAGAATGATGCACGTGGGTGTCCACCTTTCTTACGTTGTAAAAGTCTCGGTGAGGCACCTTCTTTGTGTCTGCCACTTCCTCATACTCGTTCAAGAGAGTGTACAGGTTGTATCGCCCTTCCAAGTACTGGAGGCGGCGGTAGGCAAAGCTCTTGGCTGGCCCGTCTGAAGCGATGTCGAGGATCGTATCCAATGCCATATAATAGTCTCGCAGAGTCGGCACCTCGACGATAGGCCGGTCATCGTCGTCGTAGACTTGGTAGACACTTCCAGCGTCCATTTCGAAGCGAAAGCCCTTGGCTTGCTTCCCCGGAATAACGCATTCGCTCAGGTCGAAATCTTCACCAATAGCGTGGCCGGGTTTTCTCGCCTTTTTGGCGCTCGTCGGCGATGCTGGACCTCCTCGGTCAGAGCCGGCTTGACTGGCATTAGTCGGCCACAGGTTCAACTCACCTCCACTCGCATTTCGAGCCCTCATGTCGATCATGTACAGACTGCTCGACGTGCTGTTGGGAGGGATATAGTCCTGAGGGGGTTCCCGGGCCTTTTGCTCGTTCCAGACAGGGTTCGGCGGAGGCGGATAGATTTCCCAGGTTTCCTCGTCCTTTGGATTCATGCCCGGACACTGTAACGAGACCTTGAGGTACTTCTGTCTCAAGTCCAGTACTGTCTTGATCTTGTCACAAATCGACTGCACTTCGCTAATTATCGATTCGTCATTCGTAGCGAGCCCACCAGGGCCAGATCCCAAGCCCATACCGGCGCCAGCACCATGCATACCTTCGTGAGCCAGCAGAGGATCCTTGAACTCGTGCGGGAGGCCCGGATGACGTTTGTGATCCCGCGCAGCGGCATCAGCAAGCAATGTCGGATCCGGGCGGATCTCTTGAAGGTTGCCTACGTGGGTTTGCAATGAAGGAAATGATTCCTTGCTGTGGTTGAGTTGGAAGCCACTGGGGCCAATGCCACGTTGGGAGACACGAGAATGTCTCGACGTCATGCTGGGCGTCCGCTGTAGAGCTCCCACTTCTCCATCCATCGCAGATGTGGGCATTGTGTAGGACTTGCCCAACATCAAAGGACTGCCTAGATCCTTCTCGGATTTAGTGTCCAATCGATGCCGCTGATAGATGAGCTTGGCATCGGCGTAGGTGTCGCGCTTCTCGGTGGCATAATGATAAAAGGGGTGAGGCAAGTGTTCATCTTCCGGAGCTCCTTCTGAAGAATCTGTATAGTCTGACTCAGGCGCTTGCAATGGCCCGGTCCCATTCTCGTGCTCCTCTTCTTGCAGTTGTTTGGATCTTCTTCGGGTTGAGTTCTTTCGGGAGCGCGGGGCATCTTTACTCCCGGGCACACGCGAGGATTTCCAGTCATAAACATCGGCTTCTTCGTCCGAGTCAGTTGTGCCACCGTGTTGCGCATGGTGTAGTGCAGCGCTGCGGGTATCCATGGGCATTATGTTCTAGTCTCTGTAGTTGGACGTAGCCACCCTTGTCAGTCGTGAATGTGGCCAACAGAATTCTTTATCTTCTTGCCTAGACCATCAGAAACAGAGCAAAGAGTAGACACGGCCTATGGTCAACCGGTAAGGAGCATAGTCGCAGAACGGGACCCTGTTATCCAGCAGTGATGGCATAGGATCGTAGCACGGAGTCGAGGAAAGGTGTTGTAATGCTAGTGGAAAGCTTGAAATCCTTAGGCGTGGAATCTCTTGGCGGCGCTTTTGGTACTAGCGGCGGCCGGAACTTACTAAGCTAAGTTTGTTCTTGCTCGACTCTAATTGGACCCATTTCAACGCCTCGCCTCGTTCTTACAACTACGAGGTCATTGCCCATTGAGGCCTTGTCGGCCAACCCAGAGGAGCTTGGTCGGATACTTCGCGGCAGGCGGGCGGAATTGAATGCAATTACGAAAAGTGGCATTCCGCAGAATAGATATCAATTCTCTCTCGTGGGTATCGATCTTTGAAGTGAAAAGCATCCTTCCCAAAAGATACAAGAAGAACACAGATAGTCCAAACGCCACCCAATGCGCGCTGGCTAACAGTATCAAAAATCACGCGTCACCATAAATCCCCAAAGGTTCATTTCGACCCGTTCAAGGCCCCACAAATTGCCTTTACCAGCCACGCATCCCCGGTGTAGGTGGAACATGCTTGCTTAATCGAGGTCAACTCAGCACTGTCGACATTGATGCCGTTGACATCGGTGCCATCAATATCAATGCTGTCAGCCACGGCGTCAGTCCCAAAGACCATGCCCGACCCACTACCTGGTGTCGAAGTTGGCTTTGCCCCTATTGTTGAGCTTGCAGGTGAGGCGGTCCCTGTCTGCTTCGAGTTCGTCGTCGAATGTCCTGGTGAGACTGCTTGCAGAGGTTTGCCTTGCAGTTTCCAGCCGTTGATCGTCGCTCTTGCATTTTCCGGCGGATTTTGCGGTCCCAGCCACGGAGCCTTCCACCCTCCGGAGATACTGGTCGGATCTCCTGTGCTGTTTGTGACACAGTATTTCGAGTTAAACTGTGTCCCTTTTCGCTCTTGAAAAGCTATGGTCGCCACTCGCGACCAAAGGAACGTCGGATCGTACAACATTTCTCTCGTCCACCAGACGCGACAGTCGGCGGCTTCATAGACAAATTGAAGTGGAGTGTTCGTCTGATCCCCTATCCGGAAGTGGTTGCGTCCATTTACTCCTCCACCGCTGTATCCCATTTCGCGCAACACCGGCTCGTAGGTGAAGTTCTCCCAGATTGTGCCATTCGCCAGGCCCAAGAATGTGTTGTTAGGGCTGTTGAAGAGATCGACCCAATTTGGGACCATTGCGTCAAATTCAAAGACCTGACTGCCTTTCACACCACCAACTGCCTGCATAGGGCCCGTTTGTGGTCGTCCACCCACTGCAATAAACTGCACATTTGCGAAACTTTTCAGATACTCGGAAAATACTGTACACGTACTTGCGCAATAGCCGTCAGTAAGCACGACGATATCCTGCGCCGCAAAAGGTTGTCGATGTCCAGTGCGATTATTCGTCCCTGTAATAATTATACCCTGGCCCTCGAAATCTGACGAACTTGGATCTGTGTAATTGTTCTGGAAGAACGCGGACCAGTTCCCACTATACGCCGGGTATGGACCGTAGTATGTCTCAAAGTCAGGGAAATCGTAAAACTGGTAACTCACGACCGACTGATATGACATCGGGCTATAGACATATTCATCGAGTTGCTCGTCGGAGACATCGGAGGTTTTCTTGGCAGCTGTGACGGCTTCCGAGGCAGCGTTGCCAAGGATCCAAAAACCAAGATGGTCTCGCAAGTTGGACTTCGAGTTGGGTGCAATGGATGGAAATAGTTGCGCAAAGGTATCCGTGCCAAGGTCGATGTAGCCACCTGGACATCGTTAATATCTCTGGTGTAATGAGCCATAATGAAGCACTCACCTCCGTTGCCCTGAAGGTCAATTACCAACTTCCTCTTTCCGGTCTGGACCGATGCATCAAGAAACTTCTCCACCACTGACTGAAACTCCCTCTCATATTCTTGAGAATTGTCAGTCTGCGACTGGAACTCTAGGATTTGAAGGACAGCCACGTCGGTAAGACCTGTATCATTCAGGTAATACCCGGCAACCGAACCAGCACTGTGCTTGATCACTGGATACGGAAACCCAGGGATGGTTGGTGAGGCTGGTGGGGCATCCGTTGTTGCAGGTGCCTGTGAGCTGGAGGTGGAAGTTGCGCTGCTGGCAGCGGTTGTATCAGATACTGTCTGTGTTTCGAAGGCGCCAGGACAGAATGAGGAGTAGGCGTCGTCTCCCGTCTGGATCCCATCCAGAGGCACATTGACTATAGCAACGTTCGGATATTGGAAGGTAGTTCCATTTGCAAAGGTGATATTAGTTGAAGGCCCTGGGTAATAAGTTGGCACCTGGAACAGCGGGCTCCACTTGTTGGCCAACGTGGGAAACAATAGGTTCCATAGAGCATCCGGGTCTTGAAATCTCGTGACCATAGATTGGGTCAACAGGAACGTCACGACATCAACGCCGTCAATACTGGTGACTGGCGAAGGAGCATATCCCGTCGCTGGGCCTAGTTTGCCTGTATCACCATCTGCCGCCAGAAGATCGTCTGTCTGCTGTTAATGGTAATCCCCCCAACTGTAGTATTCTGTGTTCCACTTGCCTTGAGAATACACTTGCGGAATCTCCTCCCCATCTGAAGAGACTGCAGCCAAACCAGTCGTACGAGAAAAGGTAAAGGAATTCATTAGATCACCATTCCACGAAAGGTGTCCGTCACGTGCCGACGTCAACAATGCCGTAATGTCCACCTGCATGTCATACTCGCTCTCATATGCCCCTGCCTCCACCTTTTTCTGTATAGTGTCAAACTCTCCATCGAAATCCAGGCTCGGAAAGAGGTAGCCCGACGGGGGATTGAGCAGATATTCTTTGTTGCTCTGAAACTCGAGAAACGTCCGCAAAGAGTTCAGGAGGCGGATTGCAGGCTCTTGGTAGTTCGGGACTGATCTCATGCATTCATAGGCGAGCTCGGCAGCTATAACTACCTGCGTGGCTCCAGGTTGCTCGGCTAGAAATTGTTTCGAAGCACTGGATGCAGCGGCACATGCTGATGCTTTTGGCGACGTTCCGGTGGCTCGCGGCAGGATAGCCTTAGGGGGAGAGGTGATAGTGATGGCGGCGGCGGTGCCCTGGACCAGAGCAATCGCAAGAGCGCATATTTTCCAGACGCTCTTTGCCATGGATGCTGCTGTTGGTATAGACGGTCGTGGAATTAGCTCGTCGTCAAGGCGAGCTCAGGATGGACACTGTTCAAGACAGCGTTACCCGTACAAAAGAGAGGAATAGGACGAGGGTCTCCAAAGGCAAGGCAACCTGCATTGTCGAAGTGAGAATTACTTTGAATCTAATAGCAAAAGTATCTTCCAACCAGAGTTACAGAGTCAGGGAGGACTGTCCGTCAGACTATCGGCCCTTTTGCCTGCGCAGCGGAAGCCCGCTCCACTTGGTAGACTCGGGAGGATCAGAGGATCGAAATCATGTGTGTCCAGAAGCGAGACACGATTCTCCCTCTCGGATGCATTCTCAGCCCTGGAAGGATTCACGTACGAGGTCGTCAATGCGGAATTTCGCAAACAAAGGGCTCAAGTTGGGCTGCGTGGCTGCGCATATACTGCGGCTGAGCCTTGGCCCCCAAATTTGGAGACTTTCGGCCCGGTTTCGCTTGGGCCACCAGCAAATCAGGAGGATATTGGCCTGGGACTACGACGATAGGCGCGTGGTCCCAGCTCTCTGGGGGCTGAGCCGACGATCAGGGCCGTGGGTGGCCACTCACACTATCTGCAAAGTAGGTAGTAGTGATTACTATGTACGGAGTACTGATGAGTTGGGTTGAGTGACAGGAACCACCGCAGTAAACTCCTCTTATAGAGAACGGAGGCCAAGGAATAGATTCGAGTACAAAATTGGATCACGTACTCGTACTATACGGTATCTCAAAAACAGAGACTCAAGATCAAAAGATTTCTACTGAGGGAGTGATTATACGAGGAGATCTGGTCGCCCGGGCTAGATGCTTCAATCACGGCCAGGTAAGTAAGCAAGGACAGCCGGCATTTTCCATGTCTACTTGTAGTCAATGGATACCTTCTTAATAATGTGGCGAGGGTTTCAGATTCCTCCAGTGTGGCAATAGCGCTGCTCCTACCGAGTACTCGGTCCTGTTGATTGAGGCTGAAAATAAGGGGACGAATCCGCCGGGGCGATATGGTACTAGGTAATTTCCTTGGTGGCCATGGCACTATGTATCACCGAACATATACAGAGACGGAAGGTTAACATTGCCATTAGAGGCTTTATTGAGGCCTCCGGTGTCGACTTTTGAATCATATATGAAGTGGGTTGAAACATGTTCGTAGTCTTTCAAGTGTTTTTGTACGAATAGGAGTACTTTTTCCCCATCCCTTTCAAAGGGGCCATGATACAGTGGTCACACCTCCGTGGTATGATCCGCCAAACCTGCGCGAAATGAACTGGTTGTGCTCGAGCAAGATGAACAACGCTCCTCCATTCCAACGTAAAATCATTCCATGGAAAACTGCTTCAGCAAGGTTGAAATTCCTCCAGCCACCGTCCGAGCTCTGACCGGTCCTCATACAATCCCCAGGTGTATCCTGTACAGTACAAAGGCCCAAGCTATAGAAATGATTTCATCGATTTTCTTTTGCACTCAACTTCACCCAGCGCCTCTCCTAAGTCGCCGGTGAGACCGCTGCCTGGCTTTGATCGCTTCGTCCGTAAGAATATCGTCTGGAAGCTCAAATTCTTCCTCCGAAAAGTCGGGGATGGGATGTCCAAAGGCAAGAATGGTACGTCCCCTCTGACGACCTGCAACCGCAGCATCTCGCAGATGTCGTTTGTCAAAAAAAGAAGTGAATGGCTTGGGCGCCGGAGGCTCGACCCATTGTGAAGGGGTCGGCTTTCTGCGTTTGTGGGCAATCTTCGCTTCCTCGATCAGCTGTTGCGACGCAAGTGCGTCGAGCTCACTAGAATTCGGGGCATGGGTCGATGCACTGTCGAGACTTTCTTCCTCGACACCCGAGGCGCCGTTTGAGGCCTCGTTATCCGCGTCTTCGCCTTCGTCCTGTTCTTCTTGTCCATCTTCGTCCTCTAGGACGGCCGCCTCCAGCAACTCCTGTTCTCGCTCCAGCTTTCTGCGTTTCTCTTCCTCTTTCCATCTTTTGAACTTGTCAATCAAGGCTTGAGTTTCTCGAATGAATAATAGTCGTTTGGGCTCGTATCGCCTCTTCTCTGTCTCAGTAATGCCGCTTATCCCCAAAGTCTTCAACCAGTCCGGTCCTCGCAGGTCGTCGAGGAGCTTTTCCAATTGGTATTTCTCATGCTGGGCTCGTTCCCTGTCGCTATTCTTCATCTGTTTCTCATGCCTTTCAGCCTTTGCATGGATCTTGACGTACACATCCTCGCCCAGAGGATCGGCTGAGCCATGATGGGCAGTGCTATCAGGCTGGCCTAGGAGGATGATTTGGGTGTTATGCAGCGGCTTGTGCGCTCCAAAGGGGTCAGACTTGGAGGGAGGCGGCTCGAAGTCAGGTGTATCGTCGACTAGGACGACTTTCGTCCTGATAGTCAATGCATCTACTTAAAGTCAGTAAAAGGTCTCGACGAGAATCTGCAGCATGCCGTACCTGGATCGGGCGGCTTCAAACTCAGCATCTCCTCAAAATCAGGGAAATACTGCGCAAGCTCCGTTTTAGCCCGAGACCCTCCATCCTCTGAGCGTAATTTTCGCCGCTCCTCGTGGTTTGTGGACAGACCGCCTGCTCGGATTGCGGCTCTGGCCTTCTCTTCAATAATTTTGATCTGGTCATATTGTGATTTTTCGCCTGGGGATATAGGGGAGTCGATGGGTAGGTTGTTGATATGTGCGGTATTTGCATTGGCAGCAGGCTTGGGAGGCACCACCGTTGGGGCGGTGGCGGGAGGTGGTGAGAGGGCTTTAGGTAAACCCCCTCGACTGCGTAGCGGGATACGTAATTGAGGTTTCTCGCTCTTGTTCGTCGACAACCGGCGTCTCTTCAGGTCATGCTCAGGCGTGGCAATGGTAGTAGCTCGATGCCGTTTGGATCTGAGTGCGATGCCTTCATTGCCGGATGTTGGGAGGAGAGGAGGGGGCGGTTCGTTGTTGATAGGACTGTTCGACCTGGATGATTTCTGGCCTCGTAGGGTAGGACGCCTCAATGACGACCTGGAGCCGGCCACCATGGTATGCACTGTGTTCGGAAGCTCATGATGCTGCGATGGAGACCGCGTGGAATCTGCTCATTCGCGGTGAGAAGAAAGAGATTCTCTGCTGGAGTGGTGGTCGAACCTGCTGCAGGGTGAAGTCAAACTGCGCTCAGTTTCAGGGCTCAAATGGGCGCCTGCCGCGTAAATTTCATGTCTCGCGGCGCCCGCTGATTCTAGGTAATGGCTGAACTAGGCACTCGAGCACCCAAGCAGGGTCCCTCAGCCTCTCGCCCACCTACGCGGATGTTGTCGTTGTCATCGAGCACGCTTCAGCTACTTGGGTACAGCTGCATCCTGTGTCAGAACTGTGCCACTTCTAGTATTTTACGACCCGGCTAGCAAGATTTATGCTGATGGATGAATGCACCCGTCATAAGGATAGATTTCTGTACAGGTAAAAAGGCTGGCGGTCTGACGGATGCCCAGAATGCCTCGTGCGTCCGCAGCCCATCGCGTGCCATGATCCTGGAACGCCCCCTTCCCTTGCACTTTGTTTTATTTCTCCCTTTCCTTGCCTTCAGAGCTCCCAGACCTCGATCCCGTTCCCGTGTCGTTACTTGGGGTGTCTTGATATGTTTCTTCATCACTGTAGAGATCGTCATCGCTCTCGCCCGCAAATGCATCATACAGCTCGCCGCCTCGTCGAGCTCTTCCCTTCCCTCGACCTCCACGTGTGGTCAAGCCTTGTTGCTCATCCTCATCGGCATCACCAACCATCTCAAACTCGTATGCATCGCGAGGATTATTTCGGAGTCTTTTCCTCCGCTGGACCAAGAAATATACCCCCAGGCCCACGCAGAAGAGAATGATCAACACGATTGACCCGTAAATCCAAATTTGGGTCCGCTTCGATACACCAAATGTAGGGAAAAAGGAGGGAAGAAAGCCATCTGAATATGCCTCGGTGGGCTCACCGGTCACAGTCGCTGTTGCAGCAGGTACAGAGACCGTGTTAGTCGCTGTGACAATGACCACAGAATCTGTTGCGCCGGAAGGCTTAGGCTTAGTAGGCCGGTCAATATGGTCGGTAGGTGTAGTCGGAAGCCCAGTAGCTGGAGTGCCAGGTTCCACACTGGTTGTGCTAACAATGGCGGTGGCTGTCTCATGGTCGTCGTCATGCTCATCGGGAAGTGGGTGCAGCGTTTGAATTTGGGGATTGATACACTCGCCCCATAAATTGAGACGCCAGTCGATGAACGTTCCGTTGAATTCATTCTGCTGAGAGTCTTTGACAATGACGGTCCAATTGCCAATCCCAGACTCGCCCCTGTTGTGTCATTCGTCAATATCGGAGCAGAAAAACATACAGCTGGAGACCGCGCTTACCAATGAACAACTGACATGAATGTCCAGTCATCATACCCTTCCGCAGCTCCGTCTGGACCACGGGTGGTCGCGAGTTGACTGACCAAACCGCTAGGACTGATGAGGTCTGCACTCAGATCGCCTCTCCTGGTGTGATCAACATTCATAGTCACAGTGACATGTTCGAGCCTTTCTAGGTTGGCCTTCTTCAGCATCTCCTCTGTGACTTCGAAACTTGCAGCCAGTCCCTGCTCGCCCTCTGGGATCTTATGCTGAACGGAGAGCCAGGGAGAGTGAAACCAAGCTTGTGGCTTCACGGTTTCCCACGTCTTAGCAGCCTCAACGAATCTATATGCGTCGACCTTGCCATATCCGTAGACATGGCTGAATCTCTTTCCGATCGTCGTATTCTGCCAGCTCCCGTCGTCTTCGTGTATAGGGATGGCGGTCTCAACACAAAGGTACTGCAGATCTCGCCAGGAAAGGTCTGGTCTAGCGCTGAGTGCAAGGGCTACCGTACCAACGACAAGCGGCCCTGCAGCGGATGTCCCGCCATGGCCATTGTAGCACTTGTCGGCCCCAACATCGGTGGTGTGAATTGCATCCTGGTGACCAGAGCTGTAAGTCACAACTAACTGTGCTGAGCAAGCTTCGGAGTAGTAGGGATGGTTTCCAGCACGGTCGATACCTCCGACAGTGATGCTGTAAATACTGTTTGTGTAACCATCAAAATTGCAGTTGTCCTGACTCGCTGCTCCGTTGCCGGCCGCAAAGACGAAAACAGACCCGAGGCCGTTTCGGCCGTTCTGAATCCCGTTGACCATGGCTCGTTGAATGAGAAGACCTGGGGCTTCCATGGTTGCACCATCGTCCGGTGGACCCCAAGAACAGGAATAGATCTGATTGTCCTGGTAGTGGTAGTTTATGGCTATCGCCTCGTCTTCATCGGTGATGGGTTTTGATAAAATCCGAATGCCAGCGACTTTGCTGTCATATGCCATCCCGACCCCACAGACGTTATTTCTGACAGCGGCAATCTCTCCCGCACAGCGTGTACCATGTTTGTCGTCGAAAAGTCGCGGTTTCGGTTCGGGAGAGTTATCATTAAAGTCCCACGAACCCTCGGCATAATAGTTATCCTTAAGGTCATTGCTGTACAAGTCCAGCCCGTCATCGATAACTGCAGAAATGGTACCATTGCCGGTGATGCCCTCCAGCCAAAGACCAGTGACGTTCAAGTCGTGGCCCAGCTGTAGAGGATTAAACAAATGCCATTGCTCCTTGAAGATAGGGTCTTTGATATCCAGTGTCTCCACGATGGTGTTCAAGCGCTGAATAGCCTCTTGTTGCGCTTGGTCCGCCGATTCACCCGAGTTTGAGTCCGCGGCGTCTTGAGGTACACGAACGGCAGGAAGTGGTGGCGGGGGGATCCGCTTGACATGGCGATGCCTCAACTCTTGCTTCTCTGACCAGAGAACACCGGTCAAATCATGGTATATTTGTCCGTCCGAAGCTAGTGCCGCTCTATTATCCAAAGAACGTCGCCTTCGCTTCTTCCGCCTCCGTAATTCTTGCAATGAATGCTCCAATTCTTGACACGAGTCCTTCAAGCATGAAAAAGCATAGTGATGCGCTAATTCCCCGATCTGGCCTTCAAATTGTATCCCTAATCGACGGGCAACCTCCTGAGGGACTGTGGACGGGTGGAGGTGGAGGGCAAAATAGTCATTCCGTTCATGGTCGCGCGGTTTTGCTTGAGCCAACCCAGCCAGGAGGAAGAGCGGAAGCCATGCTGGCAACCGCATGATCATATGAGTAAAGCGCAGTCACCCTATAGCGCCAGGCATGCCTCACAGGAATAGGGACTGCCGGCGTCCAATGTATGAAAGATGTTGCAGGCCTCGGAGCGGGCAAATCGACTCGACTCGTTCAAGAAAGCGCAGTCTTCGAAGATTCAAAATTTCGCTCGGCGGCAAAGGGGATAGAAGAGAATACGGTCGATCCGGTGGACGTAAAGTACGTAGGCAATGGTCGCAGGTGAAAGATTCGTGAAACGTAGGACAGACTGACGGTCCGACACTGCTGATGTTACGTCGACGTTGTGATGGTCGCAGTCAAATTGATGACTGGCGGGAGATCAAAGAATGGCGCAAAGACAAAGCGAAGGAGTGTAGTTATGCCTTCATTAGGGGTTCATGGCAGCCATCGAATATTTGAACAGGGTTAACAGTCCTTTCAGGGTCGTAGAAAGTATGAAAGGCAAAATAATCCTCAGCCACAGGTGGCTCTCGGCATGTCAGATCTGAAAATATTAAGCCGCGGGCTGTTCCAGACACCGGCCTCCTACAGCGTCTTGCAGTAGTAACACACTGTGCAGGGACAATGGCAAAGGAGAAAGGCTGCCGGTGCCTATCTGGCAACTTTGCCGCGCCCCAGCCTAAGTTGCAGCCTCCAAACTCCGATGGCGTCCCTGCGATTTACCTACTCGTAGGCGCCGTCCAATGCCTGTGGAGTGAGGCCATTGGCTGCGACCAAGCCCGGGAGCCAAAGCTGCCCCAATTGGCGGTGCTTAACCAAGCGGCCCGCGCCCCGGGGTCTGTTCTCTAACCAGCACAGAGGTTGGACTGCTGTGAGCCTGTGACGAATCCGAAGCTCCACGCGGACCCGGTGTCGCAAGATCTTGGAGTTGAGTTTCTCGTCTCGTCGATTGACGTGGTCGACCAAAATACCACATTTTACCAGCCACACAGACCATGGCTCCTGGGTACGGGGTTCTTATCCTTCCTTCACTTTCCTGCGACCGTCATTCTGCGGTGTTTGCTTGAGTGCTCTCTTTTTTCTTGTACATAATGACACTGTTCAACTGAGGCTTCAGGCTCATTTTTGGGTATCCGATTATTTGTTGTGCCACAGTCTCTATTCTCCAACCCCATGTGAACGTGTCAGGAGCAGACATTTTGTATCCTCTTGATCTGGACATCTTGGCCATCGCATTCGACGAAGAAAACTGATCATATTCACAAAGTGCTCAGACTTCATTGTCCATGGCTGCCTCCGTTACCTACGTACATCTCTAGGTCACTTCCTGCTGCAAGCTTGTCCCTTTTCGCAGCCTGATCCTCGATCGCGACCCTGTCATCATGGCTACCTCCATGAACCCTCTCGATCTTTACCATGATCCGGCTCTCGATTCCCTAATCGCTCAAAATACCGCGCGCAGCAGACAAAATGGCTCAAGTCGACGGTATAGCGGGGGGCAGGGCAGGCGCCCGCTTTCTCAGAACTTGGAAGATACTGTACAACTACCTCCTGCTGCGCCCGAAGTGCCTCAGGGGCCACCCATCTCCTATCGAGGTTTTGGTCAGGGTGCGGACCCAGGCCCACAGCGATCCTTCTCCCAGAGAGCCAAGGGCAGACCATTCCACAGAGAAGCGTTTGCAGACTTGGAGGATGAATACCCTGAGGAGACAGCCAAACCCAAACAGCGCATAGTATCTGAGCCAGTACGCCGGGAAGCCATGCCCATTGTCTCTCGAAAGCCAGCCCCGCCCGATGGTCTGCGACTAAACACTGCAGATCTCAATGGCTCGAGCGCTGCGAAAATGCCAGGAAGGGAGATGCAATCAGCCCGTGAACCATCTCACAATGAGCCAAGGTCTAATCAACAGCCTCGTCGGGCGTCTGACACTCCACGTCGTGTTGAAGAGCCTGTATCGGCTGTGAGCAGATCGAGTGCTTTCCGAGACGAAGCTCATAGAAGGGATTGGGCCCCAGATCGTTCCCCTCTACAAAAGCTGGAAGTCACTCTGAATGACATTAGTAAGGAAGAAAAGCGAGCAAGAGTGCAGGAGGCTGAAATGCTATTGCGAGATCGCGACTCAAAATCGGCTCGAAAGGTTGCCGAATCTCCTCGAGAAACTGGTCAGGCGTCCATACCTGCTGCTCCTGCTAGCCGGTCTGCGCCGAAACGGGAGCGAGCAATTGACCAGGAAGTACCAACTTTAGAAAATGCGGTTCTGGTTCGAAATCTCAGCACCACTCAGCGACAACGTTTGCAACATAGCACAACTGTGGACAGTCATCGACCTGACGTACGAAGCCTCTCGGGGGAAGGCCACCCGGGTTTTGAGTACACTATCTCCAGCCCACTGCAACCGGCTCATGCTGGTCAACGGCGCCAGTCAGGCAGCAAGAATCGGCGAGTCAGTGAGTCTAGTCAAGATGTTCCGCTCGACTCACCTCGCGCCGTGACTGAGGAAGTCGCTGTCAAGCCGGAGACGGTTCGAGCTGGGAAACAGCGCGAAATCCCGCCAATGGGCGCAAAAGTTGAGGCTTTGGATGGGCAAGCGCGAACTCGCACCAGCGAAGCCCAAGCTCCTTCCGTTCCCAGTCGAGACGACTTTTCAGAGCGACAGAGGAACGCGTCTCACAAAGCAGCATTGGAGAAACTCACTGGAGTGTCGGACCCCGTCAGGCTAGGGCGAGACGGCTCACGTAGACTCCAGAAAGCTCCACAAAGGGATGTGGATGAAAGGAATGCTTCGGCTGGCAGAGTGCCAAGCAGAATACCCGTGCCGACCTCAGCAACGACCAGCCAAGTTCGCAGACAAGAACAATACAACCAAGTTGCCGCCGATGTGAAAAATGAGGTGACGCACATACAGCAGCGGCCACAGACACCACCGATTAGCCTTGGACTCCAATCGTCACCCCACCCAAGCAGCCCCCAGTCTCCCCCAGCGAAGCCGGTAGATGTGATACGTCAACGACAAAGAAAGTCTAGTGTGTCATTCAAAGAGCCGCTCAACAATCGACCTGTCGATGAATGGAAAGAAGCCGGGACAGCAAGGCTCACAGCCATCGATTTCTCTACTGAACCCATCAACCCAGCGGACAAGGGCAAGGCTTGGTGGGAACAGGCAGCGACTTCATCTGGCCGCAGACGCAGCAGATCGGCGAAGGTGGCGGATAACCCGGGCGCTGGAGGCCATATTGACGATAGAACGGCTGAATTCAATCCAAATCTATATCTGCGGTGCGGGCCTTTACTTCGCTACAAAGGCATGAGAAGACAGAAAAACGAAAGGGGAGAAGAACGTGAATTCTGGCGAGGAAGTGTCCTTATTGTGACTCAAAATTCCCATTCTTCCTACGATCCGACGCCGATTTTACGTCTGTTTTGTCAGCCACAAAAGTTGTTACCACCTCCACCTCATCACGTCACTACAGATGAGCTTCAACCTGAATATGTCGATCCGATTGCTGGCTTGACTAAGCTCTCGAGGACCGGGAGGGCGTTGTACGTTCGACCTGTGGACCACTTGGAAGAGGGAAGGGATCTGTCACAGATCGAAAACGATGACGGACTCTTCGAAAGCTCTCCCAGCCCGCTCGAGCATAGTGGACCCCAAGGTCTAGTCCCGTTCTCCAACAATCGCATCCTTGATACAGACGGAGAAAGATTCGGAAGATATCAAGAAGTAGCGGGGGCGCGACTTTATGCCGATCCGGACCGTGATGTGACCTTCTGGCGATTTAATCTCGAAATAGAACTCGCTGGTGAGCAACAGCATATCGCTTACCGCATCAATCGTGGTCCGTCGGTCGGTTTTTGGGTGCCTGCTCGAGGCCAGACCATGAACATAATGTTTCATTCTTGCAATGGGTTCAGCCTCTCCGTCAATCCCGATAGCTTCAGCGGACCTGATCCGATGTGGAGAGACGTTCTCAATACCCATCAATCACGCCCATTCCACGTTATGATAGGTGGTGGCGATCAGATATACAATGACCGCGTCATGCTCGAGACCGAACATTTTGGCGAATGGACTAGGATGAGAAACCCAACTCATAAGCACCACGCACCATTTACGCATGAAATGAAGGAAGAACTTGAGAGCTTCTATCTGAACAGATATGCTATGTGGTTCTCTCAGGGCCTCTTCAGCATGGCTGCTAGCCAGATCCCGATGGTGAACATATGGGACGATCACGATATCATCGATGGCTTTGGTTCCTATCCGAACCATTTCATGGAGACACCCGTCTTCTCCGGAATTGGCAATGTCGCATATAAATATTACATGCTCTTTCAGCACCAGAGCGTCCCTGAAGAAACCACCGCACATGAACCTAGCTGGGTCTTGGGCCGACAGCCGGGGTCGTACATCAAGCAGCTTAGCAGAAGTGTGTTTATGCATATGGGAAAACATGTGGCATTTCTGGGCCTTGATTGCCGCACGGAAAGAAAGCGCAATGAGGTGTTGAGTTTGTCCACTCTGGATTTCGTTTTGGACCGATGCCGCAAAGAACTCATCGAAGGGGAGACGAAGCACCTCATCGTATTGCTCGGTGTTCCCCTTGCCTACCCTCGCCTGGTTTGGCTGGAAAATGTTCTCACCAGCCGACTCATGGATCCTGTCAAAGCTCTGGGAAGAGCCGGAATCCTGAAGGGCAGCTTTCTCAACAAGTTCGACGGTGGAGTTGAGATCCTCGATGACCTCGACGATCACTGGACCGCAACTAACCACAAACATGAGCGTAATGACTTGGTACGAGACCTACAGGATCTGGCAGCAGAGAAGTCATGTCGCATCACTGTTTTGAGCGGAGACGTCCACCTCGCTGCAATCGGCCAGTTTCACTCAAATCCAAAGCTGAAGATCCCCAAGGACAAAGATCACCGATACATGCCAAACGTGATATCTTCGGCGATCGTGAATACACCACCATCGGACATGCTGGCCGATATCCTGAACAGACGGAACAAGGTACATCACTTGGACCACTACACTGATGAAGACATGATACCCATGTTCACCCATGATGTGAATGACAAGAAACGGAATAACAAACGTTTACTGCCTCGACGCAATTGGTGTTCGATCCGGGAGTACATCCCAGGCTCAACCCCTCCACCTTCACCGTCAGAAAGTTCGGCAGTCTTCGAAGATGAAGATTTGGAGGAAAAGCCAGAACCTCGGCCTCGACGATTCTCCTTGACCAAGGCAGATGTAAATCCACGAACTCTGTTTCGCCGACTAAGCTCGCGGAACGCGCCTCCCACATCGTATCGCGACATGATATATGACCAGGGTCGCTCAGCGTCTCACGATGGAACGACACAATCCGAAGGCGCCACATTGGTCCAGGACCGCAATGCGAGCAGCTCTCGTCAAGCCTCGAGTGAGTTCCAGGCTCTCCCGAACAGACGTGCTTCTTCGTTCGACCATACTTCTTCCGGCGTCCCAGTGCGGCCTGGCACGTTCAAACGCCGTCCGACCAATTTCTCTGAAAAAGCTGCTAGGAAAGGGGATGTACCGGCTATTGATGCCGAAGGTAATGAAATTGATGTTAATGATCACATTAATCTTGAGGGTGGTCTCGATGTTGTATTGAACGTTGAAGTCAACCAAAAGGACCCATCTGGAATTACGACGCCCTACAGGCTGCTTATCCCGGCTCTTTGGTATGACGGTAGCTCTGACCGCGAGAAGCTCGATGACGCCAGTGCGGTCCCACGAAAACCGACAATCTTAAACAGATTCGGTATCGGTGCGAGAAGGCCGAAGGTCGCGGGGAACCAAGAGGAAGATTGGGATCAGGAAGAGAGCGAAGAAGACTACCCAGAGAACTCATATGCCCCAAGAGCAGGAGCAGCACCTCGGCGAAGATTTAGTCTTTTCGGAAGCCGCCGACAAAAGAGGGAAGATTACCAAAGTGATGATGAAGACGAGGACGAAGACCAGTCTCAAGTCCAAGCCGCTGGAATGGGACAGTCTCAACAATACCAGCCCCCGAACAACACTTCGGGTCGTAACCCAGGGCCACACCCCAGAAACGCCGATTACCAGCTGTCGCACAATATGACTAGCCCACCTAACCACGACATGCTGTATGACACCGAAAATCGGCCACCAGCAAGTCACAGTCTCGAGCCCGCGGTCCACCCAAGCGTCCGACGTTCCTTGACGATATCTGGTCGCGGTATGCAGCCTAGTGGAGCAGGAAGAGCGGAGGGAAATGTCGGCAGCAATTACTCTGATCAACAGCTGTCTTCCGTCCAAGCAATGGGAAGAAGTCAGCCTCGTGTCTCTCCCTCGCCAGCACTGCCCATGACAAACGCCAATGGAGGCGGGGATATACCTCAGCGTCGTCTAAGCAAGCAGGAACGCGTTCTAGGGATTTCGGCGTCTGAACCACAACCCTATGGCCCTCCACAGCAATTGAGAGGCAACGGCATCATTGGGCGAGATTTCAGACAAGCGTACGAGCAGCCGGATTTTTACGAGGCTCCTCCAGCAAGGGGATATTCTGGCATAGAGGCATACAAAGAGCCGAAGCCACGACGGACATTCAGTCTCAAAAGAGCGCGAAATTGGTTCGATGGGAGGCCTCGAGAGGAGCAATACGATTGAATTTTCACATATTTGGAAACGCCCTACCAAGGAGTCCTGAGGGCTTTGGCGGCCTTTTTGGTAATCCCCGAACTGGGATCTCTTCGAATCCAAGTAAGCGAGTGCTTAGGTACGTTCAAGCGCTGATCTAATATCTGCACACGGGAAACTATTGGGAGATTTTTCTTTGGTTCCATGGCCTGAGCGTTCACGAAATTTGCGCAAACAGCGTTCGAGCATTGCATCAGCTTGGTTGGGATTCACTACGAGCTTTAATTCATGAGGACATGTATCACCTTCCTGAGGAGCTTACTGCAGCTCTACTCGTACTTTACCCGGCGGTCGTCTAGTCTAGCTTTTATTTAAGGACGTTCCCACAATGCCGACCGTTGAAAGAGCACCCGCTTCCTCCTTACCAAGCTTCATTGGCCTAGCCAGAGCTACGAGTCTTCTCGCATCAAGCGGGGCGGAAAGTCTCACCCATGCCTTATGCGAGGCGATCGCGTCTTTGGCTGGAACCAAGTCTCAGCTTGCCTTTAACTCTGGTCTTTTTGCCAATCATTCATCATGATGAATTCGCACGGTCTCCTCGTGTTGGTGTCCTTGGTGCGTGCGAACACGATCAATCACGCGGCAGGGTCTCGACCTCAATCCTTCGTGGACAGCTGAGCCTACCCCTCGTTCCGTCACACGTCCAGGTGTCAGACACCACCAATGGTAGGCGGCTCTTTCAGCCAGCCTAGAGACACACTTCTTGGTAAGGCAGCCATCTTGCTGAAGCTGAACAGTAGCCAGGATGGTGGCAGGTTCCGTGTGATGGTGATGGAGTGCCAGTCGCATAGGCCGCCCTTTTTTCTTTGTTTAAGGCGTCGGGCCACGCTGCAGCATGCTTTGATGTATAAGAGGCCTCCTTCCTCACCTTTGCTGGGTGTGGAATACTATTGATATTGATGCTCGTTTGAGCTTGTGGCCACTTCGAGCCTTGCCTGCAGCCTAGCCGTACATTCCACAGACAGATTCAACATGGGCCGCCCACCAGCAAATTACAAACGTCTCATTGTGGTGAGTTACTGCCCCGGTAGCAGTTGTCTATGGCTAGATGCGCCAAAATACATGCTAGGCTCTGGCATTCTAGTCTAGGCTAACCATGGCTTGCAGCTTTGCGACGGTACTGCCTCCTCTCTAAACATTATTATTGCCTATCAACAGCCGACACTTCGCTACCTTTACGATGTACTTCCTTCAGGATATCGTCGTCTAGTGTACAGTACAACTGGAGAACTTAAAGGCTAACTTTCATTTCCTGTAGGAACGTGGCAGAGTATTCTGAACGTCAACAGCCCTAGCCATCCAACCAACATTGCCCGCTTTGCTAGAGCCATCAGCCCTGTAGCGGTAGTCAAAGACAAGGACAATGTAGAACGGGAGGTCGAGCAAATCGTCTACTATCAACCTGGCGTTGGGTCAGGAATTGGCGACAAGATCCGCGGCGGTGAGATATTGCACCATTTCCTTTGCGGCATCTCAATCAAGGCATCATGACTTGTTGTTTTGTTTCTGGTGCACCAAGGAGAGCAGTTTCTGACCGTCCAGATAGGCGTCTATGGCGCTGGGCTCTCTGCCAACATCCGGGCGGCCTATGCTTTCCTGGCTCACAATTACGACCCGAATCCCGGAGATGAGATCTTCTTCTTTGGCTTCTCCCGCGGTGCCTATACTGCCCGCTCGATCGCTGGTTTAGTGACCAAGCTTGGACTGCTTACCAAACGCGGCATGGACTGGTTCCCTCAAGTCTACGATGAATACTACAAGGACCCCACCAGCAAACCTGATTTCGACTTCTCTCCCACCCTCAAAAAGCTGATCGGCAATGACTTGAGCGTAAAGGCAAAAGAAGCAATCAAGATTGTAGGGGTTTGGGACACGGTCGAGTTTCATTCCGAGGGATGGGGTGGTGAAAAGATCGAATTCCACAACGCCGAGTTGTCGACCAAGGTCCAATACGCATATCACGCGCTTTCGCTAGACGAGCGTCGAGTCCCGTTCATCCCAACACTGTGGCAGTGGCCGAAGGACCCGAACAACGAGTCGCAATTGTACCAGCCGACATATGGTGCGGGGCTTCAAGTGATGAAGCAGGTTTGGTTTTCTGGGGCCCATAGTGATATCGGTGGCGGCAGGTATGATCCCGGAGGCGCCGATATAACGTTGGCGTGGATGCTTGCCCAGTGCTCCAAGGACAAGAAACTGGCATTCATCGATGAGGATCCCGAGCACCCGGACGACCCCGCCGACTATTACCTGCTCCCAGACCGACTCAAGCCGAACCCAAACAAGACGTGGAGTCAGTTGGGACACAAGCTTGCTCCCGATCCCAGCGAGGGCATCATCGACACCCTCACGGGGGCGGTCGAGAACATTGCCGTCGAGGACCGAAAGGCGTGGCCGATGGCGAACACGTTCGAACGGATCCACCGCTCGATCCACGACCGAAATCTCCACAACTGGCCCTGTGGCATGCTCAACGGCAAGAACCAGGACGGCCTCTGGGCACTGGACAGCCCTGGCAAGTATGGCAAAGCTCTGCCGGAATTGGAACGCGATGAGGCGGCTGATGCCATCGAAGACAAGTATCGTGGGAGAGTCCGTGCGGTGCCGGGTTCGAAGGGCGGTCCTGCTATACCGAAACTATAAGAGGAAGTTGGAACCAGTTATGTCCGTGGTCATCGGGTTGGACGGTCAAATCTGTTCTGGTGCTCCCCTTGCTGAGAAGGAATACTGTTCTTTCTTCTTGTGCTTGTTCCGCAAAGAATACAGCATTCCAATGGACTAGTCTTTCACACTTCACATCTTTAACGAGTACTCTTTGGTATGATCCATTTTCGGATTAACAGGCCTGGCAATGAAAGGACCAACAACCAATACATAGCAGGTCGTTCAAAGATTCAATGCGGGAAGCCGCCGTTAAATGCTGTAGCCCCAGCGATGTGCAGGACCAAACTCCGCCCCCGCGGTTGCGAGAATCCACATCTCTACACAGGATTAAGATGATTGACAGATCGCACGGACCGGGCCTAAGTTGGCATGTATTCCTAGATTTGCCCATAGATTCCGTGCAGCGACTCACGCAAAAGCAACGCACCCGAGACAGGTCTTGACAGGCTCTAATATATTTTTATTATGTGATGGCTGCCCGTGGTAGTCAGACCTCCCACAAGGTGCCTAGGCGAAAAACGAAGTGCGAGGCGCAAAAACACGTCTGTATCTACGTCTGTGTCTCAGGGGGGCGCCAAAGCATGGGGATCCAGGCGTGTCAAGCCTTGATTGAGGGATCACAACCATGCAACGCTCCCTAACTGTCTGGTCCCATTTCCCCATGCAGGGGCGTGGCGTCGTGGGTTTCATTTTCCGCCCCCTTGGGGACAACAGGTGCCAGGCTAGCGAGGCCAATCACCAGCGTCTGGATGATTGGGTCAACAGGCGGCTCGAATGGGGGGTGTGAGCATGAGGCTTTGTCGGTCGCTTGCCAACGCCAGGCGCCTGACCAGGTCTCCAGGTTCCTCCTGATCTCGTCTTTCTTCCTCTTCACACTTCAACAATTTCTTTCTAGAAGCTACAGGCCTTACGCTCGTCCTCTACGCCCTTCCCCGACAAACAGGCTGCCATGGCACAGCCCCAGCCCGCACAGAACCACGGGGTATACGATCTGGACGATGATTCGGCCTTCAACGAGTGCGAGGCAAGGCTGCAGGAGGCTCCAACGGAGAACTTCATTGTCAGCTTCGACAGCACCGAGGCCAAATGTGCCGTCGACATCGGGCGCGACGGCGTCCTGGAGTGGCTGCAGCCCGACCGTCGCAATGCGAGTCAAGCCTTGTGGTTGAACTTCTGGGCCTCCGAATCACAAAAACCCATCATCGAGGAAGTGGCCAGGAAGTACGACCTTTCTCCCAGGCTTGCAGGCCTGCTATGCCAGGCTATTACTCCCCCCGGGGAAGAGAAGAGCGTTGCGTCCACGGGCAGCGATACATCACGTTCTTCCACCTCCGCACCGCAGAAGACCCCCCGGGCACAGGCCACCGACATTGAGAAAGGCCTGCCCCTCCAATCGGCAAACCTACAACCGGCAACGGACCTGGGCGATCTGGATGGCTTGACGTTTCATAGGGTGGTGAGGAACCTGTGGCATTTCTGCTCCGTCGACTTTGGCCGCCGATATATCTACATCGGCTTCAACGCGTTGTACTCTCTCCCCAAGGCCAAGGAGGCGACAACTCCGGATGCCGGTGCACCTGCTGATGACACTGCCAACATGTCACGGGGCAAGGAGAAGGATGGCAGTAAGCCACCGGGCCAGCGGATATGGTCCTCTCTACTTGTATGTGACGATGGGACCGTCATTTCAGTGTTTGAACGCCCCCAGCGCGGTGAACCTCACCTCGTTTCGAGGCGGAACGTCCTTAATGTGTTCCATCACCTCTCCAAGCAACATAACAAGGACAGCTCGCGAGACGCCCTGATGAAGGTGCGCGTGCGGTGGAACGAGTACTCCAACAACAACACAGCCGGCTACGATCCAAAGGAGGCGGCGAGCCTTTTGTTCTACTACCTCTTCGACGACTGGGTCTCGACGTACAGGTTGATCGCCCGGCTTGACCATCCCTATCGCAGGGAGCTGGAAGAGATGCAACAGCTCATGTTCAAAGCGGCCGACGTGTCTCACGTCAAGAAGGTGCATGAGATTGGGACCCAGCTGACAGTCCTCAAGCTCATGTACGAGAGTTACGAGTGGATCGTATCGCGCCTCCTCCACAGTCAAAGATTGGCAATAGACGCCAACAGTCTACTCCTGTCGCCCCGGGGCACGTTCCACGATCAAGACCTCAAGGCGGGTCATCAGACTCCCGCATCGCATTTCGCCCCGTACGAGGAGGGCTTCCTGGCCGATGATTCGAGGTCAAATGTCAAGTTGAGCTTTTCGGCCGTTGCCCGCTTCGAGAGACTGCTGGGAAGGATTCGACTGTATGCGCTGACGGAAATCGACGAATGCATCAAGCAGAAGGAGTCGCTTGTGCTCATGGTAGGTATCCCCGCTGGCGGTCATTTGAGTCTCCCGCTGATGCGATGCAGAACTTCAACTTGGTCGCCTTGAAAGAGTCCCAGGCCGTGGAGAGGCTCACCCGAACCACGATCTTGCTGGCCAAAGCGACCATCCTGTTCCTCCCGGTCAGTCTGATGACCGGCTACTTTTCCATCCAGCTTCCCGAGATCGCCGAGCAGTACACCCTCAAGACGTACTGGCTCAGTTTCCTCGTCGTCAGCATCCTTTCCATCCTGTTCCTGGTGGTCTTCGGCATCACCACCCACACGTTGGAAGGCCAGACCGTCTATCGATCCATCACAGGCACAATCGGAAGCGCGATTTTCGACGCCGGCAAGAGGAAAAAGAAATCGGAATAAAGTCTGCCGTCACCGGGTGCCGTCCATCCTCGATGGCCAAGGCACCATCTCTCTTTTGGAGCTATCCCACTGATAACATCCGCCCTCCCCGACATTGTATCGATAGTAGTTTTCCGTGCCGGCCGGAATCAAGGCGCGGCGCAAAGTGATGTTGATGCGACCTCTGTCGGCCTCGGCGCCCTTTCGTTTCGGAATGCTATGCAGCCAGTTGGGCTGGGTCGGGCCTCGCATCAGAATCATGTCGCCACTCGCCAGGGGCAGCTTGATGTCCCTGGTCTCCAGCTCTGGCTCGCCATCCCTGGGAGGTTTGTGCTTCATCAGGAAATCCCTCTTGGCCCCCAGCGTGAACGACGCGATGGCTGGCTCGGGGCCCAGGAATCGCTCATCGTCGCTGTGAAACGAGATGCTGTCGTTGCCGGATGCATAATAGTTCACCAGGCAGAAGTTGTACTTGGTGTCGGTGTTTGCTTCAGTCACTCTGCGCAGGAGATCCAGGCACTCCGGGATGGGGCGTGGGTTGCACTTATACTTGTCCTTTCGAACCGTCTTGGACGGGTCCGACGCCTCGACGATGCGCAACCCGTCATCCGCAAAGCGACTCGTCTCGTCGAGACCGAACACGGTGGTGAACCGCGGCGTGTTGACGAGGGTCTCCTTGCCGAAGCGTTTGATGGTGTATTTGACGCGGTAGAAGAATAGCTCGGAGCGGAGGAAAGTGAAGAGCTCCCGTTCGATCGATTTCGGGATAAATGGTTGGAAATACAGCAAGTCCAGGTCTTGTTGGTCCCTGATCTCTTTGCCTTGGGCGGTGACCAGCAATTCGATCTCCGACGCGACATGACTAGGCAGGTGAGGGATCGGCCAGGGGTATGTTGAATGATTTGTCGTCCTGGTCACGGATCTCGGACCAGGGAGGGTGTCTGCCGTTGCTTCTGCGGGCTCGTCGGCGCGTGCCTTCTTGCTTGGCGTGGAGAAGTATGTATCCAGAGTGCGCTTGGCCATCATCTAGGATCTTCGCTTTTGCAGCTTTCCAGGGATTCAAGACCTCGAATGGCTACGGACTTGGTGGGCCACCAGATGGGTTGGGAACCTGGACGAGGCGGGAGGATGACGGGCGGTGGCGGAGTAGCATATACATACCTAGCTTTGATATCGACGACGTCATGATGCCTCAACGCGGACGCGTCGTCCAGGCGCGTGAAGTATACGACCAGGAAGGACGATAGACATGGGAAATGACAAAAGCCACAAGGCTAAGGCGTTTTCAATGCACGAATTCATGCAAAATGCTTCTGGTGCGCCAAACAAATGTATAGGATGTCTGATAATGCTGGAGAGACGGACCTGCTGGGCCAACGAGCGGGGTTCCGTTACTCAGAACAGCAAACTCATCCAGACCCCCAAAGTCTCTCCGCGGCAACACAAGATTGTATAAGATCACCTCCTTTCTTGATGCTACAGACCGACAGCCCTTTTCATACCACTTCGCCGCATACAGCCACCTTCATTCCCTCGACAGCTGCAGAGATATACAAGCACGTTGCACCGCCAACATGGGATTCGAGCCCGAGACATACTTCCTCGGACCGAACAAGCACTGCCCGAACAACGACATGCCGGTCCTGATCTATCGCGACTGTCTCCCTCTGCCCCTCTCCGAAGCCAAAACAACCGAGTTCCTCGAAGCGCACGCCTGGGAGAAGAAGGGGACCTGGGGCCACATCGCATATCGGCATTTCCACCCCAACACGCACGAGTGCTATGGTAAATAATGCATTGGGCCCCGGGGGCCATCACCGAAACAGAATGCTTCATTCACGGCTAATGCTTGGACAACTCGCACAGGCGTTTTCCAGGGCGAATCGAGGATCTTGGTCGGCTGCGGCACCAACGACACGGCCGGGGGCGAGGAGATCGAGGTGCACGCCGGAGACGTCATTGTCCTCCCGGCGGGGACGGGCCATTGCTCACTTCAAAGCAGCAAGGATTACAGGTACATTGGCGTCTACCCAGAGGTGAAGCGGAACCCCTCCCTCCCATATCCCCATCTTGGGAATCGATGTAATATTTCTTTTTCCGCTCGTCCTACTCACATGAGGCTGTTCAGGGAGCCCCGAAATGGCGCAGCGAGCTGGGGAAAGACGAGGTTGGCGATTCCTTTAGACAGGAGATCCAGGGGGTGGCATTGCCGGTCCAGGACCCGGTCAACGGGTCAGAGGGGCCGTTGTTGAAGTTGTGGACGAAGACGTGATTGATGATTCCTTGCTTGGATCGAATCTGCGGCTTCGCGATCAGATTGCACGATTACGTATCTGCGTCTCCGTATGCGTCTCCGTAATGCTAATCGCGCCTTGTGCTTTATCGTAGTCCCTATTCAGGATTAGTGCCTTGGCATCAAGACTGGGAGGAAGCGAGCCTGACTCTTTTGCTATTGCTTCCAGATTCTGGACGTGGAACAACGCAATTGACAAGGCTTCCTGTGCAAATATCGCATGGCAAGCCTCCTCCGTCGACTCCTCTCCATCACCCAGCCCGATGTGTCCAACGCCACAACCAGAAGGATGAACCTCAACTCCGCAGACCTGCCCAAAATTTTCCGTCCGCCCGTCAACCGGGCCATGCAAACGCTGGACAAATCGTTCTTTCGCAAAGTCGTGCCTCTGGCTGCTGCCACCATCTCCGATGTCAGGCAGATCACCGCGATCAGGAAGGAACTCGACAAATCTCAAGACCTGCTCCGGATAAGCCCGATCAAGCCGTTACGGGAAGATGACTCGGTCCCAGGGGCAAAGTGCCTTCTGCTCAGGCCAGAGATCGACGCGAAAGGTGCGCTATGCTGGTTCAAGTAGCGGAGAGGAGTTGCTGACAGGATTGGCAGAGCCGAAAACGTGGTCGCCGACCATCTCGAGATTAGTGGAAGACAAACTGGCCAGCTTACGGCCATACGATCTGACTCTCACATACGACGACTGGACTATGCGTACGTGAGTGGTCAGGAATGACCTCTGGAGTCTCATATTCGGAATCTAACATGTTTCGCCAGATAATATTCTTGAGGCTATTCTGCCCGAGATCCCCGAGGACGAAAAGGAAACTCCTGCAGGCTTTGCCCAGGTAGGCCATGTCGGTACGTCTCCCTGCCCACGCCTTCATACCGCGCACTGACCATCCACAAGCTCATGTAAACCTGCGCGAAGCATATCTCCCCTACAAGTACATAATTGGGCAAATCTTGGTCGACAAGAACCCCAACATAACCACCGTCATCAACAAGACGTTCGACGTTGGGACCGAATCCGTCTTTCGAACATTTCCGTATGAAGTCATCGCTGGCCCAGACGACCTCGATGTCACGGTCCACGAATCTGGCTGCGAGTTCAAATTCAACTTCGGCAAGGTTTACTGGAATTCTCGATTAGGTACCGAACATGCCCGGCTTTTTGAACTGTTCAAGGAGGGCGAGGCTGTCTGTGACGTTATGGCCGGCGTAGGGCCTTTTGCTGTGCCGGCCGGCAAACGAAAGGTTTTTGTCAGAGCCAACGACCTCAACCCTGACTCGTACCGAAGTCTTCAGGACGCCATCAAGTCTAACAAGGTCAGCGACTTCGTCTCGGCGTCCTGCGAGGATGGTAGGGAGTTCATTCGCTCCGCAACGAGAGAGTTGCTCCACGCTCCACGAGAAGCTCGACTGCCTTCGAAATTAAAGATATCGCGGAAATTGACCAAAGAGGAGATGCAGGCGCTACGCAAAGAGGCTGATGCTGCAGCACAAGTCTTGAAAGAACCACATGTGTTTTCTCACTATGTCATGAATCTGCCGGCCAGCGCCATTGAATTTCTCGATGCCTTCCGGGGCCTCTATCACGGCCACGAAGCCGAATTCAAACCCTACACCTCAAAAGCTTTGCCATTGATTCACCTGTACTTATTTCAGGCCAAACTAGTCGCTGAAGAAGAGGAAATCCAAGAGATCTGTGAAAGAATATCGACGCATATCGGTGCTGCGGTCGCGCTTGACGATACGGAGCTAGAGATGCAGGTTCGGTTTGTGCGGCTTGTCGCGCCGAAGAAGAAGATGTTCTGCGCCAGCTTTCGGATACCGGCGAGCGTTGCATTTGCGCAGCCTTGACGCATTCTGCCGGCTTTTGCTACAGATTCCACTCTGGTGAGACACTTCGACCTGTTTGTCATGTCTCTCTACTGGCCGCTTTTCCCGTCTATTCCTCACCAGGCTTTTCTCAGTCTTGTGCTGTCTTACTTCTTGTATGCACAATCGGCATACGGCCTGGGCAATTGGTGCAGGTCTCTGACAACGGGGTAAGTGCGCCGCCTTGAGCAGGAGATTCAGGCAAGCTGTGGGCTGAAGAATGAAGCTCAATCTGAGGAGATTTGTCGAGGTGTTCAGATGGTGAAGCTGGAGGGAAGAATGTATGAGCTGCAGGCCCTGATGAGAAAGAAACATCATCTGAGAACCTCGGCGACAAGGGGATATAATCAGGCTAAGTGGCGAGAAGGTCGCGCCAGCTGGAAGGGCCGGCGACGTCGTGATTCGCCTTGGTGCAGACCGCGCAGAGGATCCATATCTGGCACACCCGGCACCGACACAGCCCAGGCATCTTGGCCTTGGATGCTGGGAGTTTCTTGGATGGGCGACGAAACTAGGCTTTGGGTAATGGTACTTGTGGGTGTTGAGATTGAGATTGTGATGGTGAGGGTGATTGAGCACGGCTCGGAGACCTCGATCTTGTGCAAGCAGTGATGATGTCGGTCTGGAGTCTGGCCCTCTCCTTCGTAGGTGGATGCGGACATTTTGGTCCTCTTGAGCAAGGCTTGAAGAAGTGTTCCGATGTCTCCCAATGGTGCTGGCGGAAGGACACGCGAGAGACGGCTTTGTCTCTCTTGGAGCAACCGAAATCAGTGTCGAGTATTCCGAAGAAGTCTCCTTCCCCGCGACTCTCGGAGGACGAGAACAAGCGAAGTCAGGACCGAATTTCCAGCTCGTGGATGGTTAGAGGTATATATCTTAGGAGCGACAATTTATACTCGCTCCCCCATCACGTCACGTCCCGTCGGTACATGACTAGTAGTAGTAGGTAGGTTGGAGCGTGATAGTCTATACAGGGGGAGACAAACGAAGAGGCGGAATTGTGAATCGGCGCTTTGCTCATGGCACCATGGATGTGACCAAACGTGAGCACGGCTGGCTGGCTGATGCAGTCTAGAGGAATGAGAACCAGCACCAGCACCAAACGGAACGCATTCAGCCCAAGACTGGGGTACTCAACGGGTCGCCCAGCAAGGGAGGCATAAAGGATGTGTCGAGGCAACTTGGTCAGATAGGTTGCATGCTATACCAGTACATACCTATCTAGGTAGCTATGCAGTATGCAGACCGAATCTCTCAAACCCCCCCCCCCCCCTTTTCCATCCACACCCTCTTGGGACAAGAACCCTAGAAGCCCATCGACTGTGTAGAGCAAGCAGAGATCATTGACCAGGGCCCAGGCCAATGCATCAGGGCCCACTAATAGCCCAGAGCCCCTCTCATCATGAACTGCTCTTCCACCCTGCCGTCGTCGTCGTCGTCGCTGCTGCTACTTCTGCTCCTGCTCCTGCGCCTGCTGCGCCCCCACCGTCTCCCTCCACGCCCGCCCAGCCTCTCGCGGTCTCTTGCCCGAGCCTGGGCTTCATCCAGATTCCTCCTCGCCTCGCGGATCGCGAGCGCGGTGCCTGCGGCTGCTGCGACAAGCGCACCGTGCATGAATCCCACGCTGGCATCCCTCGACTTTGAGCTTGAGCGGGCCCGACGACCATGGCCGCGGCCACGGCCAAGGCTTCGACTGTGATCGATACGACTTCGGCTTCGGCTTCTACCTCTGCTGCTAGCCACGCCGGGTAATCGCACAGGCGGTGGCGAGTACCCACGACGGAACCCGGGCGTCTCGCCGAACAGGCCTCGACGCGGTGGTGGTGACGGTGAAAAGGACCGAACTCGGCCACGCGCAACCGCCTCGTCTGGCATGAAGCGGACCGTCGACCGCGGCCGTGGCCGCGACCGCAGACGTCCTATCGCGGAACGACGCCGTTCATAACTCCTCCGCCGGCGAGGGTGTTCCTCGTAGAATGGATGCGGGAATCTCGTCCCCTTCAGAATCGGCCGGGGAGACGGGCTCCGATGCAGGAGCCGCGGCGCGAGGGACGGCGGTGGTGAAGGTGAAGGTGAAGGTGATCGCGGACGAAGTCCTCGTCCTCGCCCTCGCCCTCGCGTGCGCACCACGGTTTCTTCCTCCTCGCGGATGTGCCGCCGACCGTCCGGGCGACGCACTGTGGTTCTCGTGTAGGTGGTTTGCTTTCCGGTCATGAAATGGTTAGTTTGGCAACGAAAGATGGTGGTAGAACATGAGACTCACGCGTGAGCTGATTGGGTTGCGCATCGTGAAAACTCGTCAACAGGTTCAATACAGCGACTACCTAGACCTTGCTTGTCAGTAGTTTGGATATTATCTTCCCCTTGGTTGGCGCTCGACTTCAAATGGCTTGATCCTCTGGTTTCGAGTATGCTTCGTCCAGTTCTCTCGGTTGGTAAGTCGAGGAATCATCCTGGACGCAGTCAGAAGCAGTTTAAGCAACTGCACAGCCATATCACCGGATGCTCTGCCGTGACGGCAAATCGAAAATGTCGACTCATGGGGTGAGAGATCGTAGTGACATAGTCCGAAAACGAGAGGTCGCACCTGGAAGTGACCTTCGAAAAGAGCACGCTGTGACAAAAGCGCCAAACGAAGAGGAAACACGCAAACAAACGACAGCCAGCAAAAAGCAGGACGGAAACAATCGTATTGGAATAAAATGGTGTCTCGGTCATCGTAAGTCTCGGGTCCAGTGACGGAGAAACTCAGGACGGCCTTGAAAATTCTCATTTCTTCTCATCTCGTGAATCAAAATGCAAAGACAGATGAGCCTGTCCTCTTGACCTAAAGAAAACAGGACACGAGTCGATCCATTTGGGGGCAAAGATAGCCAGATGTTCACGCATTGAGCCATGGTCCCAGCATAGCCAAGAGTCATCGCATGTCAACTGCGTCACCGGTCTTGGAGGAATCAGTGGCTTCCATTCCAGCACCGGTTGCGTCGCCTGCCTTGTACATGCCGAGCGATACTCCTGGCCAGGAACCGCAAGGATATGAGGCGGTCTGTAGGGCTCATCCCAGGATGGGCGCATGCTCGACAACGACTGCCACGAGGCGGAAGAGACTGAACCACTCAAGCACCGCCCGGTCCTTTCTATATCGAGTGATTGAGGATGCGAAGGTGGATCAAGGCCTGCCAGTCTGGTGGGTGAAGAGTCACTCAAGCAGAACGGCCTGGGAGGTTCATTCCAGCCGGGGTGGATCGTCGAGAGCGACTTCCAGGAAGTGCCAGAACTGCAGGTAGAAATCGAGGACTGCGATCTCTTCGTCTTCAGTGACCATGGCGGCGTCGATGGTGTCTCGATTGCTTCGGTCATTGCAGAGGACAGGAAGCTGCTTGCAGACGCAGAAATAGGCTCTGTTTCTGATCGCCAATCTTCGGATGATCGATAGGAACTCCCCAGAACCCGAGGTTTGATGGGGCCTTGGGGATCCATGATGCAGCTCGACGTAATATGTCCGAAGGAGACCAAGTTCGCAGCTACTTATGTCGTGGCGGGATAAATATTTCTTATGGACAAAATCCGACGACAACGCTGAGAGACAATTGGGGTTGCTGGGTGGAGGGAAGGAGAAGTTGGTGGCTTATGTAGAACGACACATCCAGGAAGCTGGAGAGAATGGTTTGTAGAAATATTGGGATACTGGTTTGTAAATGCTTCCTTGTCATTGAAGGTGCCTCATTCATCATGGCTGCACTCGAAAGAGCGTTCATCCGTTTCCTGTCCAAACGCATCATCTAAGCTTGGTAACCCGGAGCGTTTGGGCACGTTGAACGCCTCCACAGATTGTCCGACTGTGATATTTGCGGTGCTGGGAATAGCTCAGAGACAATCTCTGTGTCGAGAATAGCACATCCTTCCAAAATCCCCATGCACTCTGTGGAGGTGGTGAAACAAGTCACCGTTCGGGGCAACCTTGTTAGAGCGACCGGCGACATATCGCATGACCTGGTGCGTAATCATGGCATAACCCTGCCAACATTTTCTTCATGCTTCCGTCAGCATCTCTTAGAGAATTTGGATTTGCGTGAAGTATTGAGAATTCGGCATTGTCGTTTGCACCTTGGCTGTGCTTTCGTCGTCATTCGTACAACTCTGTAACAGGCGACTGCGGCGATGCAGGAATCATGTGAGGTGGCCCTTGCAAATTGGGTTAAGCTGCCGCGTACCACCCAGAAGATCGTGCAATCCCATGGACGTTTGGTAGAATCAAAGCTGAGCCTGCCTCTTCAACCGCTGCAACTCCCGACAGATGCCCTCCAACTCCTCCTCGGTGACGACGCCATCCTCAACCTTCTTCTCCAAGCTTGGAATCAGTGCCTTTGCTTCATCCGAGCAAGTGGGCACTAGGCTGCCCAGCTGAGACTTTTCAAACCGCTCCAAGTTTTCACCGTATGAGTTGATAATCCCTTCCACCTGCTGTGCCTCGGCCAGGTCTTTAAAGACTGCGAAAATCTCCAAGTAGTCGCGTGTCTTTGCGGTGACTTCTGTCTCCTCGTAGCCTCCTCCTCGGGCCGCTCGGGTGGCGAGAGTCTTTTGCAGGATAATGCGCGCTTCAGAGAGGTTGAGCGTGACTTCGTTCTGGAATTCGCCTAGTTTGAGGACGGCACCGGCTTCAAGGTCAGAGGTTGCGGTGGGTGCGACACGCGAGGGGGCAGCGTGAGGCATTTTGCTTATCGCGACTGAAAGGGTCTGCAAAGTTAAGAGAAGTCAAGCTGAAAAGCGAAGGACAACCATGTCAGTGATAGAGGTGGGAAAATCAATGTATCGGCGAGCGACGCAGCGCAGATAGCGCCGCCTCGTCGGAAAATAGATAGTCCGATGTCTACTTTAGTGCGAGGCTGCGAAGAGAAGGACCTTGAATTTGTCCAGACACATTCCAAGTATTTTTCACAGCACGGAGACATTTGACGGCAGCCAGATTGTATTCCATTATTCTCAGAAATGGATTTAATCTACTAGTCCGGCATCCTGGAGAAACACAACTGATTCATTCAATCACAAACTTCCCAAGGCCGTTGATTTGTATCCATAATTTCTTCTCCACCCAAGAGGTCATTCACTGTTCTACAGCACCAATGCACCAACACCAGCTGCGATCAGCAAGCCCTTGGCAGCCACGAGGGCGCTAGCATCGCTTGAGTCAGAGAGCTGACTGACACCGGTTTGTACAGACGAAGAGTCAGTGCTAGTCGTGGTCGCAAAAGAGCTTGGAGTGCTGTAGACCAAGCCGTCGGTAGGCGTCGCGTAGGTATAGTCGGATGTCGTGGTGTCATAAGAGGAGCCGCCTGAGGAGCCGCCACTGCCGTAACTGCATTTTCCAACGGTACTGGAGCAAGTATATCCTGCTTCACAGTAGTCTGATAGGCCCCAATCGTTAGCTGGTGCCATAAAAGCCAGACAATCATAAGGGCTGCAACTTACATCCTCCGGCGCAGCAAGATTCGCCAGCGTCCGGGTTATAGCATGAATCCGACCCGCAAGGAATATTTCCATCACCATAGAGATCAGCGCAGCTGGATGTGGTGGTGGTGCCGTTGTCGCTGCCGCCGGAACTTGAGCCATCGTCGGGGCAGGTATCATACAACGGATCCGATGGGTTGTAGCAGTGGTATCCGTCTGGGCAGTCGAGGTAGCCGGCACCAAAGCACGACACACAAGTCGCCCCCGCCTGGTAACAGATGTCGTCGATGCCGCTGGTACTGGTTGAAGTCGATGCCGGCGCAGAAGCAGTAGAAGTCGTGAGCAGCCCGCTATCAGAGCCGTCGGAGCCATCGGAGGAGCAAGAATCCAGCCCATAGTACTCGTCTCCAGGCAAGTAGCAGTAAATGTCGCTTCCCGGGCAGAGTGTATAGCCAGCTCCGAAGCATTCCTCACATGTCCCTACGCAGCGCTTGTCGAGATCTCGCCGCGACATGAGCCTGCTGGTGGATGTCGGCGTCCTGGTCCGACCTTGACCAGGTAGACCTTTGAAGATAGCATCCCCTTGGGCAGTGGCCAGGAGTACGAGCGAAGAGAAGAAGAGAGTTCGAGTGAAAAGCATATTGGCGGTTTCGCAGCAAAAGACCAAAAAAAGAGTGACGTGAATGAGCGACTAGAATGTAACGAGCGACGAGAAAGCACTCAAAGCTTTCGTTGAAAGAGAAAAAGCACTGAATCAGAAATATTCATTAGGGCAGGGAGGGCGGTCGCCGCTTAATGAAATATAGCTGGTGAGTCTGGATGCAGTGCCATTTCTCAACTAGGAAGCTCGAATACGGATACGTCCCTTTCGCATGAAGGGGACCACCCTGGTCCATGTCCCTACCGCTGAAGCTGCTCAAAGTTCAGCCCGATGGCTCTGCTTGGCACGCAGCAGAGCATTCCACGTGCAAGGCGATTCGCTATTGGAAGAATGGCAGTGCTTTCTTTACATCCAGAACAAGTAATTCAGATGAAGCGGCTCGTCTGGCTGGGCAAAGGAAACCCAAATCCGAAGCACATTCAGCGCTGCAGGGTCCCGTAGGGCAGACTCCGAGTATCGTACCCGTACCCTGTCACGGGCCAACGAAAATCCGGCATTAAGATTTGAAGGGACGATCACTGCCGGTCTCTTGTATAGGCGCAGAGGCCGGTGTCACAATCCATAGCACCAAGTAAGGGCAAGAAGGGGAAATGAAGACGGTCTGGGAGAATTGCAAGGGGGAAGGTTTCTTGGCGCAGGGCTTGGCAGATGGGGGCGGAATTTGTCTACTTAGACGACTGGCCTGAATAATAATAATAATGATACAGAGTCGAGTCATACTGACCCAGACGATTCTCGCCATCGGAGGCAAGGGAGACTGGATAGAAGAGGGCGAACCTGAACGCGCCCTAAGCCTCAGGTTGGGGAGAAAGATCTGTATCTCGAATCAGACATGGAATCACACGAGAAGCGGATTCCGCTCTCACCATCTCTGCCAGGGCTATCGGGTACAAGTGCGAGGTACTGTACTTGTAGACGCCTTGTCCAATTTGCCGAATAATATACTGCCTGCCATGGGCCATGTTCGCTTGTTGGAGTGGGTATGTACTTGTACCAATTGAGCTGGTCTGAAAACCCGACTGCTTTGCTAGCTTCAGGGGGGCTCGAGGCTATTATATAATTGAAATTGTGCATACAGAGATATCACAATATGGTCCCAAAGCTGCCTGCCGCATCTGGACTATAACTCTCAAGAGAAGCCTCTTTCAGTAACTAATGGCAAACTTGACAGTGCGCATTGGTGTTGGGTAAGAGGAAAGGGGTATGCTTGCCCCTTCTTCTCCTCCTCAAGCCCCAGCCCTGTAAGGCTTAGCGCAAGGCTGACTGGAGCCATAACTCACCGCTGCACCTTTCCAAAAGGCACAGGACTCAGGTCGTTGAGAAGCTTGAGTGACAGCAACTGGGTTCCGGGACTCTACTGCATGGGAGAGGAAACCCTTTGCCTCACAACTGGATTTCTTGCGAGTTTTGGCAACGACAGCATCCAGTGGATTACAGCATTTGCCTGTGTGTTGACGGGGCAAAAGTATCTCAGAGCAATTGCCGAAATTCAGTGTACTTGAAGTGTACAATGGTAAAGGATGGTTACCGTGAATCAGAAGGAACCATGTGACGGCTAGACAATGTGGCGACATCAGGCCAGGTACTGAACGAGGTGCACGCCCCCTTTCGTATCACTGGCTGATCTGCAAACCCTTGAATTCCTTGGTAGTGTTCGTAATGGCGACTTCCACGGGTAGTCTCTCCATGCTACTTGCACCATAGAAGCCGTGAATACCCTTGACACGACTGAGCACATAATCTGCATCCTTGGGCTCAGCTATGGGTCCGCCATGACAGAGGATGATGATGTCGTGGTTGATCTTGGTCGCGGCGTCTCTCATCTCCTGGATCAACTTGACACATTCGTCCAAGGTCTTTCCAGTCTTTGCCCCTATACTTCCAGAAGTGGTCAAACCCATGTGGCACACCAACACGTCTGCGCCGGCCTTGGTCATCCGTTCAGCTTCATCGACATTGAAGGCATATGGCGTGGTCAGGAGATCAAGTTTGTGGGCTTCCGCGATCATGGCGACTTCCTTGTCAAACCCCATGCCGGTTTCCTCGAGATTTGCTCGAAAGGTGCCATCGATGAGACCGACAGTGGGGAAGTTCTGGACACCGCAGAATCCCATGCTTTTCAGTTCTTGCAGGAATGAGGGGATGATGCGGAATGGATCCGAGGCACAGACACCAGCGAGGACTCCAGTCTTGTTGACCACGGGAAGGACCTCCCTTGCCATGTCGACGACGACGGCATTGGCGTCTCCGTAGGGCATGAGGCCTGCGAGCGAGCCTCTCCCAGCCATTCGAAAGCGACCCGAGTTGTATATGATGATCAGATCGCCGCCGCCAGCCTCGATGAACTTGGCCGATAACCCGATACCTGCCCCTGCTCCAACTATCGGCTTGCCATTCTTGATCTGGTTTCTGAGGTGGGAGAGCACTTCGGCTCGTGAGGACGGGGGCGCCATCGTTAAGGGTTATGGATGATCTAGACAGAATCAGTCAACTTGCGCTCTTGATTTGCGTGAAAAGTGCCTTCTTCGTTCCAGCATACCTCTGAGCGATTTCGTCCTCGTACACGTACACGTCATCGTCATAGCCGTGGTTAGTGTCCATCCATCTCAATCATGCGGAGGTGGTGGAGAGGGGCGCAGGGCGGGGGATTTTAAGCGAATGATGTCGGAGGTGGTGATGGTATCCGAAGCCCACGAGGAGGGGAAAACGCAGGACGACCAAGTATTGGATGAGCGACAGAATGTCATGGTTCTACAAGCGACAGCCTCTGTGTCAAAAACAACCTCGCAGCTTTCGCGGAAGCTTCTTCGGTCCAAGGCTCTTATCATGTCCCTTGGTGGATAACTGCTCCTCCGCTCAACCTCTCCTGCGCCTGCGAAACACGATACCCTGAGCTGCTTCACTATACTTCATCATGGTCAAACCTACGGTGCTCATCGTCGGCACGCCTGATACCAAACTCGATGAAATCCTCTACCTTAGAGAGCAAATCCTGGGCGAGGGGACGTGCAACACCAAGATCCTCGATGTAAGTCACAGCATACCAGCCAAGGTGAGAGCGCCGCTGGACAGCCTCCCGTCGGGCGAAGTCATTTCTCCTCTCGAAGAACACAGCTCGACCTTGAAAGAGCTCTCTCGCGGCGAGTACATCGACAAGGCCATCGAAATATGCACACCCATCGTCAAAGACCTGATCTCCAAGTCAGTCGTCCAAGGCATTGTCTCTGCAGGCGGCAGCAGTGGCTCCTCGCTTGCAACGGCCTTCATGCGCCATGCCTGCCCTGTCGGGTTCCCCAAGCTGATGGTGTCGACCATGGCCAGCGGCGACATCAAGCACTACGTCGAGGAGACAGACATTACCATGATGTACAGCGTTGTTGATATTGCAGGGGTTAACTCGATCCTGAAACGTATCTTGTCCAATGCGGCGGCCGCCATATCGGCCATGACGGTCTCGTACGCCAAATCCCTCGTCGACGCCTCTGCCGTTTCCGCCAAAGGCAAGCGTATCGCCATCACAATGTTTGGCAACACCACGCCGTGCGTCGATGCGGTGCGCCGCATCCTCACCTCGGCACCCCATGACGCCTCGGACTACGAGATCTACGTCTTCCACGCCACCGGCTCGGGTGGGCGCGCCATGGAACGCCTCATTGCGGAAGGCCAGATCGACGCCGTGATCGATCTGACGACTACAGAAATCCCCGACGAACTCTTCGGCGGCGTCCTGACCGCCGGGCCCGACCGCCTCGAGATTGCCGCGAAGAAGGGCGTCCCCATGATCGTGTCGGTCGGGGCGTGCGACATGGTGAACTTCGGCCCCAAGGACACCGTGCCGGAGAAATACAAGGACCGCAAGCTGTTCGTGCACAACCCGGCCGTCACGCTGATGAGGACGACTGCCGAAGAGAACCAGAAGATCGGCGAGTTCATCGCCAACAAACTGTCCACCCACGCCACCAGCCCGGGCTCCATCCGCGTCCTGATCCCGGAGAAGGGAATCAGCATGCTGGACGCGGCCGACAAGCCCTTCTTCGACGAGGAAGCCGACAAGGCCCTCTTCGACGCGATCCAGGAGGGCCTCGAGGCCACCCAGATCGAGGTGGAGAAACACGACCTGCACATCAACGACGAGGTGTTTGCGGGCCACGTGGCGAGCGCGATCCTCGAAGTCATGGGCGTCACGCAGCGCAATTACCGGCTTGCCAACGCCAGGCGGCGGAAATGGAGCTTCGACCACGGCGCCTCCGTCATGCTGGCCCGGCGGAGCAGCCAGATCGAGATCCCCGACGCTTGAGTTGCTTTGCCGCAGCACATCCTTCGTCCTTTCTGGAAACTCTTTTGTGGATAGTCCACATCACGGCTTGATGTGGATTGAAAGAGGGAAGTTTTGAAGAGAGGGGACTTCGAGGCTGGTGGATTGCAGTGTGCACGGTACTCCCCGCAAGCGACGCTTCGGTGTCCGCTGCAAACATTGTACCGCCCCGGGTGATTCATGTCCTGTCATGTTGTATTGCGGTTAGACCATGTCATCTCGTGAATGTCGTGGTGAAGCTATTGTTTGGGTGACTGATTGAATGATTTGCTGAGTTCCTCATTTATGAAAATACCCCTATATCAATGTCAAGTACCATTCTATTGTCCGTTCGTACCTGTCAATGATCACACACACCCGCTCCAAAGTCCAATGCCGAGTCCTTCGTGCCGCACAGCCTGTCGCGGAGAAGTGTATGGTTTATGGATCCACCACGTATGCATCGGTACAGTCGTACATATAGGTAGTTGCCAGCATCATATGATTATATTATTCTCCCATCACCAATTGACGAGGACGGCAGGCATCGTGGTCCACATCATCGTCGGGGTCGTCCGCTTCTCCTTCAAGTTTCTAGGTCTATCTACCTCTTCACAGCACGACCAGGGCAGGACGAACACAGCGAGAAATGAAAGAGAAGGTGCAAAGCAAGGATGGAGCTTTTGAGAACCATAAAGACTATTTAGTCCAAAGTTGCGCTGACTTCAAGAAGGCCGCCCAAAGAAAGGTATAACCAGTGGAATTACACGAGTTCCTCAAACCCGTGTTGGGCCATGGACATAGCGGCCGAATATCCAACGCTGCCTCTTTTGTTGCCCTCGCTCCCCGTGCTCCTTCTTCTGCATTATCATTCAATCCAAAACTACTACCATGCCGTGCCCTCCAAATTCGCCTGCCTCAACTTCTCATAAAACGCCCCAGGCCAGCCCACCATCTCCTGGTCACTCGGCAGACAACTGACCTCCTCACCCTCTTTACACACAATTTCCCCCTTCGCTTTCAACGCCTCCTCCCTTCGTCGACAATATCCCACCACATTTCCGATGACTCGGCCCAGCATCTCCGGCGAAATAGCGACAGGGTTCAGGAAAGGATCCGTTTCGGACAAGAGCTCTTTGATCGTGGGTCTCAGGGATTGTTCTCGTGTGAGGCAACGTTTCAAGGTCTTGATGAGCCCGAAGGGAACCACGGACCCGCCGATGCCTGTGGTCGGGAAAGAAATCTCGACCTTCGGGTTGGGGATGGACATGATGCGCTCGAATTGCTTCTGGATGTGGGCGAACGGGGGCTGTCCATAGGTCATTTGATAAAGGATACATCCCAGGCTCCAAACGTCACTGGGCTTGCCGAGTTTGAGCAGTTTCGTACCAGGAGGTTGCTGCGATCCTGTAGCTGGTGTGTGACAGACCAAAGATTCCGGAGACATGTAATTGGGCGTGCCGATTTGGTTTTCCCGATGCACATTGACTGTGTTTTCTTGAATGGCGTTGGCAATGCCAAAATCGATGAGTTTGAGTTGACCCTTGACGAGGAGGAAATTGGCGGGCTTGAGGTCTGAATGAACAATGTCGTGATCATGCACTGCCTGGACGCATTCCAGCATTTCTTTCCAATAGTGCCTGGTGAAAGTGATGTCCAGTTTGGCATTCTCTACCTTGAGCTGCTCGTTCAGCATTTTGTTGAAGTCGGTCTCTCCTAGCTCCATCATGACACTGAGCACTCCTTTTTCCTCGTTAATCTCGTAGTCGTATAATCTGATAACGCGATCCACGTTTTCGAGCTTCTTCAATAGGTCAATCTCTCCCTTGTAGCCTACAATTGCCGCCATGTCGGCTTCCTCGAGATTGACTCGTTTGAGGGCGAAGATCTTGTAATTCTCCGCCATGATTCGGAAAACCCTTGATGATCCGCCCCGACCTATGCAATCCAGCCGCCGATAGGTTTTTCCATTCAAGACGTAGTGAACGGATCTCTTGTTGCGAGAGCCCGCGTTTGACGTCGCCGCATCAAGAATCGACATTTTCGGCGGTGGGGCGGGAGCCGGTCGATGAGGCGTGTTATTAGACCGTGGAGCCAGTGGCTGACGAGACGGCGAAGCGTGTCCTGAGGAAGGCTCAACCGGCTTCTGGTCCAATGGAGCACCGTCTTCTTGAATGTCCAAGATTGCAGCCGATGGTTTACTCCTTCGAAAAGTTGGCGGGGGCTCATTTTCCTGGTTTTCTGATGAGGAAAGGGCTGGCAAAGGTGGAATCTTGAAGACGGGTCTTCTTTGAGAGCTTGACGATTTGGATGAAGGCTGAGAATCCCGCACAGCGGGCGTAGGGTCGGCCTGGAGAGCAGATCCTGGTCGTGGCGGCGAAGGAATTCGCGACAGGACCCCATCCATTTGTTTGGGAGATGTATTCAGAGGCGAATGCTTAGCTGGTCTGATCTGTTCAGGGCTGCCTCTTAGTGCAAGCAGGTCGTCTGGCAAATCTTGTAGTTCGGGCTCTTTGGCCCGCCGACCCATTTCCATCTCAGGAGTATCGGGGCGCGGCAGGTCTTGATGCTCCATGTGAACATCTTCGTCTTCGCTGGGGCGACGCATCATGCCTCTCCTTACGGGTTTGTTGAGCAACGCACCTCCAATTCGTCGGACTCGCATGGTACTCTGAGCACCATTTTCATCGGCTTTTCGAGATCGACTGATTGTCGATGGTGCAGCCGCATTCTGCTCGTCGAGGCTGCTTCGTATTATACTGGATTTTGGGCTGGTTGACCTTTTTGAAGTCTCAGGCGGTTGTTCGGCTGGTTCCTCCCTTCCCTCTTCACCTGAAGGTGGAGATCTCGACAGCCGCCTAGCATCGCTGATGCGGATACGCCGAACTCTGGGTGCCGGCGTCTGTGAGTCTTGACGTGCAGTTTGAGCGCCTGCTGTCGACTTGTCGTGGATTTTGTACATAAATGATCCGTCTCTCCCTAAGATACCGGGCTGCATGGGGCGAGGGACCGAGGTGACTCGAACGACCCGCGGGGCAGGACTACCGTCTCTTTGTTGAGGTGGACTTGAAGATCTGAGTATTTCCAGTGGTGTTCCTCTGCTTCTTCTCCGCGAGTACCCCGTGCTGGTCGGCTTCGCGCTGTGTGGTCCTGGTTCCACGTTTTCCTTCTCATGTCCCAACTGTTCATTGTCTTCGCCCAATATAGCTTGCGCTTCGGCACTTAATTTGATCGGCGCAAGATCTTCATCGTCTGAGCTATCTCCAGTCATGCTTTGATCGAACTGTTGGTTACTACCGGGCGCTGTAGTCGGTATTGGGTGAGCACGGGTTGTTAAGGGTCGCGCTGCGGTTCGGTGCGGTCGACGAGAATTGTTGAGAGACGAGGCTAGGATCGCCGGAGAGGGCGAGGTATAGGCAGCCATAGAGAGCACTATCGTTAGATATTGATATTGTTGGGTGTGCTCATGGTCGATGACACTATTGTTCGAAGGACTTTATTTCGCCGTGAAGACGCGCCGCAGTTGTGGATTGAAGCTCCAAAGAGGACATCGGGGGTGGCGGCAAAACTTCGGGTATTTGCGTGGTTGACCGGGCAACACTGGACACAATCTAGATCATACAGAGGATGGGACGCAGTCTTCAATCATGATTAATATTATGCTGTTCGAGGTACGCCAACGCTGTCCTCGCTTTTCCTCGCTTTTCCTAAATTGTTCTGCTTCCCCAGGATGGTGGCACTAAATGCCGTCAGTGCCATCCAAGAGCATCCATGCCAGCGCCTCTGCCAAAAATGCTTCAACAACTAACTTTTCGACCAAAACTCCAACTGAATCGGCCTGGGTCCGAGTATCCAAGCAGATCGGTTCCCAACCTTCACTAGCGTAAAGCCTCTTTCCTTGAAAGATGCTTCAGAGCATGCAGCTGAATCCGACGAAGATGCCCGCTGCGACGACACCAAGGCCATAGATCTGTCCAATGTCGATCACCAGTCTTGATGCAGCAGAGCTTCCAGAGCCACTGCTTCCGCCCGAAGCAGCAGTTGTCGTAGCAGCTGAACCACCGCCAAAACCAGTGTAGATGACGCCGTCAGAGGCTGTGGAAGCGGCCGACCCCACGACTGTTGAGGTAGCCGGCATTGTGGTAATTGTGCTTGTGTTTACCCTTGTTGGGTTGAGTGCACCACATGGGTGATCTTGTACACAGGCAGCTGCACAGCTATTGTCAGTGCCGCAAGCCTGCTGACATTGGGTGTTGTACTCCGTGCAGATATAGTAGGGGAGGGTTTGAGAGTATTCGGAGGCGTTGGGGGAGAGCCCATTAGAGCATATGCACGAATAGGTGAGGCCAACAGGGTCACAGGTGTTGGCGTCGGTGGCAGCAGAATTGCCAGCCGTTTGCAGACAGATGAGAGGACATTCAGCAATCTGCGAGTCACACCACGACTCTGTTCACGGATCGTTAGCGACAATTGGGTTGGTGACGGGAACACAACTCACGTCTCGTTGACAGAGGCACTGAATTGGGGTCAATGGTCTGCGTAATGGCCAGCCGGGCCAGGAGTGCTAGCGAAGCGGTGATGAGAAGGTGTTGCATGATGAACAGAGCTGTTTTTTGGGTCTGTGGCGAGGATTCTGTGTCAATGCGGGATTGCTCGTTATTAGTTGCTGAACGATGTGGAAAAGACCGAATGGACAAACGAATGTAACGGAAAGATATTGCTGTTTTCTTCGAAGAACGAGAGGAATAGAAGTTTGTTGCTGAAGGAGAAGTGAAGAGAGCAAGCAGCAGCAGAAGACAAGGGCATAAAAAGGGCGGAGGAGGCAAGGGTTCTGGCGAGAGTGGTATGCCGCTATCCAACCATCACCATGACCAGTTTGGGATGGTGTTGAAGCCACCTGCTCGGGTTGGGGGGGCAGGATCTCTCTTCGCTGTTCCCGCCACTGAGCCAGTCTCCAGCTTCTCCAGAGCTAAGAGATTCTAGCCCATCCTCATTGCCCTTCTCTTTGACATGTGCCCCAGCAACAAAAAAGTCTCGCGTGCATGACTGTGGCACAGATGGGTGCAACTGGGTGCAGAAGGAGGTTGACTTGTCTCAGGCGTCGCCAGAAGTCCGTGGTGTTGTGCGGAGCTGATGAACCCTTGTTGAGGTCAAAGGTGCATGATGCCCAATAGTAGATGGATCCCGAATTCCCGGGGGCTCCACGGCGCGCAGTTCCAGGGCCAATGGCGCCCCAAGGACCCTACAAGCAGCGACACCAGGACGCCCAGAGTGCCCAGGCACGGAAGCAGCCACTGTGACTTGTACTGTGTAGGTAAGATATCTCCACACCCTTATTTATTGCCCTTGGTGTCCTTTGCCTGCGGTTCCAGAGGCGTTTACGGGTGCGCCCCCTCCCCCCCCGGCGGTGGCTAGATTCAGTCAGGTGTTCATCCATCTGCTGCTTGTTCCCTCGAGTTACCAGTGTTTATTATATCAATCAATTTCGACCAAAATGAAGAGATCGACAGTGAGCTGCGTGTTGATCTGGTCATTCCACTCTCCCACCCCGTTCCTCTCTGCCTAAACATGGCTAGCCGTCAACATCAAAGAATGGCGCTACACAGGCCACTTTGCTCAATCCAGACACCTGCATTGGTGCCATCGTGCTAGCTGCGGGTTTTTCGGGGCTTTTGCAACCTTTTTTTAATCCTCTTTTTTTTCTCCCTTCTGAAACATCTGCTGAGCTCGTCACCTTACTTGCATCTCACAATCCTCTCTGGAGGCGGGGCTATCTCTATCTGGGTTGCACCCGCTGCTTCAAACATCCCAGCTTCACCTCAATGCTCCGTCGACCGCACCTCGCGACGCTAACATTTACCCTTCCGGTGTCCAAGTGCGCACATGCATGGAGACCTCGCGTTCCGTCCCAATCACTGCATTGGGTTCCGATCAACCGAAACGAGACTCCGTAGCTGCACCCGTGGTGGACGGCGCTGAACGGTCTGGCGATCGGCCTCGACCCTCGCCTACCCCGCCGCCGTACTGGCAACCAAGCAGAGAGCCGTCGTTTGATGAACTGTCCGCCACCCGACCGCCTCCCATCGCTCTTGAGGACCATACCTTGTCCCGAGAACCTAGCAGAGCGGCGCTCTGGGCTAAATCAATCTCCATCGACGAATATGTCATCGTCCAAGGGAACCCGATAGGAGTAGGCGCCTATGTGGTGTATAATATCAATGTCCAGACCCTCGATGGAGGCCCTATGACAATCCGAAAGCGATATTCCGAGTTCGATGAGCTGCGAGCCAAGTTGGTCAAAGCCTACCCTCAGTCAACCAGGTCGTCGCTGCCGCCTCTTCCCCCGAAGAGTGCCATATACAAGTTCCGGCCCAAATTCCTGGAGAAACGGCGAGAAGGGCTGGCCTATTTCCTTAATTGCGTCATGCTGAATCCGGAATACGCCGGTTCTACGTTTGTTAAAGATTTCATCTTCCCACCAGAGACATGAAATGGGTCGACCGTGAGTCAAGTAAATTCTCCGCCGCTTCCACAAACCAACATCAATGAAGAAGCAGCCTCTCACCTGCAAGCCATCCGGACAACAAGACTTCTTGCTGGGAAACGAAACGGAAAAGCTACAACCAGTTCACCGTGACCCTCACCCCTTTGTCACCTTCACCCTCATCTAGACTCCCTCCTGCTCATTCTCCTACTACACCCCCTACAGCTTCCGGCGGCTATGCGCTCGGTGGGCCTATAGAACACTCATCCTAACTTAGGATCGCAATATACCCATACCCGATAGCACGACCGCTACGATCTCGGTGGTCATCGTCTACCGCCCACTCGTTAGCCTATAAAAATGCCCTTCCGACTCTCCTCACCCAATTCTACTCCTCTTCCATTATACGCGTTTCCCTCGACGACGTCGCTAGTCTTCTACTCCGACTCTCTGGGCTGAGGTGATGCCATAAAGGTCGTCAAGAAGCTTTCCGGGGCATGACGGCGGAAAGGGTAGTCTGTGTACGGAGTACATTCTAGCGCTTTTCTCCCTCAGTCTGGTCCATGCTTCTGGAACAGGGCGGATCTTGTTCCAGAGCAGCCTTTCGGCATCGAGCGCAGGACAAAACTGACCTCCAGGGCACGGTTTAGTTCGAGATGGACAAAGGATCGTGAAGCGGGACTTGACGACGTTGTCGGACTTACCCCTTACCTCCTCGGTGCGCATATCAAGCTCAGGTCCGGGGCCCGTGGACTCGGGGCCGCGATACAACGCGGGGAATTCGGGCGATCTTCCCTCGCATCCGATAGCAGCTTCCCACCGGCTGTGTCCTGCTAAAGGGGCAGGCTTTCTTCGAGGTTTAAAGCTACGTTATAAGACCATGGCCGCGGAAACAGAGCATATGTGCTTATCTGAGCACGCTGACCCTTGTTACTGTCAGGCTTGTCTAGGACTGAGGAAATGACGGAGTCGTGCGGGAAGGGGTGCAATCAGCCCTGCAGGGAACAAAATGATACTCCGGATATTGAAGATTTCCGGACAGAAATCAAATCACTGAAACAACGAAACGAAGAATTGGCACGGAAACTCTCGGATCTTGCGTATGCTGGGAGTACTTCCTCCTCTCGAACATTGCGGTCCGAAAACTGGTTCTCCAACGATAGAGAGCCAGCCCTTAGCACTCTTTATGCAGACCGGTATTTGAATTTCGGGTTGACTACCGAGGAGCTGATGTCCAAGAAACCTGTTATTGGAATCGCGCAATCGGGATCTGACTTGTCGCCTTGCAATCGATATCATGTCCAGACCGCTAAAAGGATGCGTGAAGGGATCATCGCGGCTGGAGCGATTCCACTCGAGTTTTCGACCCACCCTATCCAAGAAAGCTCGAGAAGACCTACAGCAACGCTAGACAGGAATCTAGCGTATCTTGTGCTCGTGGAAATCCTCCATTCCTACCCGTTGGACGGTGTTGTCTTGTTGACTGGTTGTGACAAAACCACGCCTGCCTGTTTAATGGCTGCTGCAACCGTTGTGGGTTCCTCAAGCCTTTAGCAAAACATCCAACTCTAACCTATGCCTTTGCTAGAATATTCCTGCCATCTGCCTGAATGTCGGGCCAATGCTTAACGGGAGGAGGAATAGGGATCTCATCGGAACTGGAACGATTCTATGGCGGGCGAGAGAGCTGAAAGCCGAAGGCACAATCGATGATACGGAATTCTTCGACATGGTGACTTCAGGGTGCGCCTATCATCTCAATAGGCGAGAATCCTCGCTGATGAACTCGCCAGGACTCCATCTGCTGGACATTGCAACACAATGGGCACGGCTTCTTCTATGAACGCGCTGGCCGAAGCATTAGGAATGGCGTTGCCAGGGTCAGCGGCCATCCCAGCGGTCTACCGGGAGAGACTCCAATGTGCGTACAAGACGGGCCAGCAAATTGTCGAAATGGTCCATTCAAACCGCAGACCCAGTGATATCATGACGCGCGAGGCATTTGAAAACGCAATCGTTGTCAATAGCGCAATAGGCGGGAGTTCCAATTGCCCTATCCATCTGATCGCTATTGCCCGCCATATGGGTATAACTCTCGATCTGGATGACTGGGACCGCTTGGGCTACCGTATTCCTCTTCTCGTCAATGTTCAACCAGCGGGCGAGATGCTGTGTGAGGAATATCACCACGCTGGGGGACTCCCTGCCGTTATGGCCGAACTATTGGCCGCGGGAAAACTCCACGCAAAAGCACTGAGTTGTACTGGTCGGACCATTGGAGATATTGTGAAAGGCAAATTCTCCTGGGACCGGAAGACCATTCGACCGTACGGCGAGCCGTTGAAGAAGAATGCCGGCTTTCTCCACCTGAAAGGAACGCTGTTCGACTCGGCAATTATGAAGACTTCGGTCATCTCGGAGGAATTCGAGGCCAAATTTCTCTGGAATGCCTCACAGCCTGGAAAGTTTGCTGCGTTCGAATGTAAAGCACGGGTATTCGATGGGCCCGAGGATTACAACGAGCACTTAGACGATAATGTCCCCATGGACGATCGGACAGTGCTGGTCATGCGCGGAGCCGGCCCGATTGGCTATCCTGGTGCGCCGGAGGTGGTAAATATGCATGCTCCAGGACGGCTATTGAAAGCCGGGGTGCGGTCCCTACCGTGCATTGGCGATGGGAGGCAATCAGGGACTTCGGGTTCTCCGTCAATCTTGCACGCCTCCCCGGAGGCAGCTGCAGGAGGGAATCTCGCCATCCTTCGCACCGGTGACACAATCCGCATCGACCTTGAGTCCCGGCGGGTTGACCTGCTGCTGTCTGATGAAGAGATTCGGAGCAGAAGAGCCACAGTCGCAGGCAAGATGGAGGAATTGACAGCACCAAGCCAGACTCCTTGGCAAGACATCTTTCGGCGTGAGGTAGGCCAGTTGAGTGATGGCATGGCCCTAAAGAATGCCGTCAATTATCAGAGGATAGCGGATCACTTTGCTGTGCCTCGACATAACCATTAGGCACGGCAGTGGCGACCAGGTTTGTCACAGTTGCCCAGGAGAATTAAGATGTGCGAGATTTGGAGCCCTCAATCACTATCATAAGGGAACGTTTTGCACCTCTGAAAGCACCAACATATCCCCTGAAGGACTGCTCACTCCGCTTCTATTTGAGGCCACCAGTGAGCAGAATGTTTTGTCCCGTCAGGTAGCCAGTTGTACAAATCATCTCGATCACGTTGGCACATTCCTGCGGTGTGCCCAACCTCCCCACGGGAATATTCACGACGTCGCCAGGTGTGCCTTTCAATATGCTTTCATCTGGGATGAGCCCGGTCGCTCCGATCATGGCGGGAGCAAGGCTGTTGACAGTGATACCGTGTCTGCCAAGCTTGGTCGCGAGATTCCTCATCATCCCATTCATGCCGGCCTTGGACGCGGCGTAGTGACAGCCGTTGATCCCGCCTCCTTCGGCGGCGATGCTCGAGACAAAAACGATCCGACCCCAACCTTGCTCCACCATCGCCGGCAGAGCCAATTTGACGAGGAGGAATGTCGCTCGCAAGTTGACGGCCATGGCCCTGTCGAATTCCTCGAGCGGGATGTCGGCAATGTTGGGTATCACTTTTGCGTATCCTGCATTGGCGACGAGGACGTCTGGCCGCTTGCCGTGGGCCTGCCGGATCTCCGAAAAGAGCCGGTCGATGTCGTCCACAGCCTCCAGGTTGGCTTGGTGCGCAGAGATCAGCCTTGCTCCTCCTCCTCGAAGGTGCTGCAACTGCAACTCCCGAATCAAATCATCCAGTTGCGCTTTCCCCGTCGAGAATGTCAGAGCGAGGGCCATTCCGCGGGCCCAGAGAGCACGCGCGCAGCTCGAACCGATCCTGTGAACATTATAATCTTCAGTCAACTGTTTTGGATGAGAAACAGGGATGAGGCCTGGCTAACCCCCCAGAAGCGCCGGTGATCAGCGCAAGCCGGTGCTCGAGGCGATTGTCGACTGTCATGTCGACTGTCTATCTTTGAGATTTGGTTCCTCCGTGCAAGTGGTCACCTGTCCTTGTATGACTTGGGTTTTGTTCCTCCAGCTGCGGGTTAAAGTCACGGTTTTTGCGGACATGGGCCTTACAAGCAACTTGATATCGAAGGCCACAAGCTTGATTAGGTTGCCATAATCGGTGATCTCATGGGAGGAAGCGCCATCGCGACGCACAGAGACGGAAAGCAACGGCTCATGGGGGTTTTCAGTCTTGCTCCGTAAGCCATCTGAAGGTGAACCAACTTTGATAGACTGTAAATTACATGGCAGACGAGGAAACAGCTCCGGAATCAAAGCAAGTTCCTTCATCGCCAGAGCGCCAAACTATCCACTGATCACCCTAAGCCCAAGGAAGATGGGCTCTCATTAGCCTGACTTGATGAGAACTTCGCGGAGACGGACCTTGGGGTAGCTGGGGATTCCCAATGAATTCGTTGCGCTTGCCTCCGAGGAGCTCCGCGGACGCAGAGAGCTCGCTAAGCAGAGAATAGCTCGAAGTCTGGGTTTGGGTTGACTGCTCCGGGATCGCTCCAAGGCTCCGTTATTGCTATGCGTCTTCCTTGGACGCGATGCAAGAAGACGGCTAGTCTGGTGCAAAGAAATGTGGTATGTGCCACCAACGCAGCTGACTGATCATATTTGTACCTGCTTTATGTCGGGCTTAGCAAGATCCAGCGTCCTCAATATCTTGCTGGGCGGATGAGATGGCGTCGACAATTGTAGCCTGGATTGGCTTGGGAAACATGGGCTCGGTGAGCAGAATGCTCCTGTGTGACACGATGGACCGGCACTGATAACACTTCATCATGGTTTCAGGGGATGTGCAAGAACGTCGCGGAAAAAGCCAATCTATCACACCCGCTCGTGATATACGACATTCTGGAGGAGACGACACGAGAGATTCATGAAAGATTAGGGTCGCAGCGCACAATCGTGGCACGATCAATTGGCGAAGCGACCTCCAAGGCGGACATCATCTTCTTCTCAGTCCCCAACGACGAGGCTGTGCGTGCGGTGATGGACCAGATCTTGAAGGCCGGGGTCGAGGGCAAAGTGGTGGTCAATTGTAGCACCGTGCACCCGGACACAAGTACGCAAGAGGCCGAGGCCGTTGCCGCTGCTGGGGGAAGCTTTGTCGCGTGCCCAGTGTTTGGCAGTGCCAAAATGGCCGACGCCGGCCAGATCATCGCCGTCCTCGCGAGCGACGACATAGAAGCCGTGGACAAGATCACGCCCCTATGCAAAGGGGTGATTGCCCGAGACGTGATCGACGTGTCCGGTCGAGGCGGCGCCGCACAGGGCCCCTTGCTCAAGATCATCGGCAACATGTTCGCCCTCAACATCGTGACGGCGTTGGCGGAAGGGTACGTGCTGGCCGAAAGGGCCGGCCTTGGACCCGAGCAGTTCCACCAATTCGTCCAAACGCTGTTTCCGGGGCCTTGCGCGTCGTACTCACAGCTCATGCTCAGTGGCAGCTACCACCGGAGCGAAAAGCCTCAGGGCCCAGCCCTCCTGGCCAGAAAGGACGCCGGGTACGCCCAGCGCCTCGCCCACGAGGCTGGTGTGCGGCTTCGCACGGTGGAGGTGGCCCAGCATTACGTCGAGGCTGTCCTACAACATCAAGGCGACGGCGCAGAGCTGGCCGGCGTGTACGGCGCCGCACGTCTAGAGGCTGGCTTGCCATATGAGAATTGACATTTTGATGTAGATCAGCAGAGGTGGTCGGTTTTGAATGCCAGAGTCTCTAAGAGTGTCGTCTTGTTGTCGCCGCACCTCGATCGAAGGTGGCTGGTTACATATATCTAAGCATCATAGGAGAAGCCGGTAATACAAAGGTGACAACAACGTTGATTCGCATCCAGCAAGGACTAATGCCGACGTATTTAACTAAGCTAGACCATTGGTACGACGGGGGGGCGAGACTATGGCGAGAGCTGTCTACAACATTGTCAAGTCCCAGAGTACGGTCAACATCGTCGGCGGAAAGCATTCCTCTGCCTCCGTAAAGCAGATGTTCCACAGGTACGTGTGATGGCACTGGGAATTTGGTATTTTTATGTATTCTAACAACCGTCAACCCTGCCACTTTTAACAAAGCCGCAAGTCCCGTGTACCCCAAGTTCTTCAGACTGAAATCTCCCGAGCGGCCGTGGCCGTGTTGGTTCGACGCTGGGCCCTCAGGCCGACACGTATTCTCCCACGGTATGATCAGCCAGAACGTCTTTGTAGATGGGCAACGGCGTCCCAAGGATGGAAGCTTTGACCTGAAGAGCAACGAATCGCGAATAGTGTCTGGAGTGTCCACACCCGCCGCCGATATACCATAGTCGAGGGTCTAAAAGCGTTGGAGTGTCAGAAGAAAACTTGGCACTTTCCTGAAACAAACGACCGAAGAAAGTAACTCACGGCCAGAGGGCTTAAAGGCGCCCAGAAGCTCGCCTTCGTTGTTCAAGCCCCAGAAGTCCTCGACTTGGTCGGCGATCTCGTCGCCCAGCGTCTCGTACACGGTCTGGCGGATGTTGCCGACGAAGCCGGTCGCGTAGACGATCAGGTCGGCTTGGATCTCGGTCCCGTCGCTGAACCGGAGACCGTCCTCCGTGTAACAGGTCGGCAGCGCGTCGGACTTGACCTTGATCTGTGTTGTTTTTGTGAACATGAGTGAATGGCACAGAATCACGGCACATGAGAGTGACAGAGAGAGAGACTTACTAGGCCACTGGCGATTTTGGCAGAGGCTCCCACGTCCACGTAGTGACCTCCCTGCCTCTCGTTCAGGTGGTGGTGCATGTCGCCAAAGCGCTCGACTTTGAACCCGGCCCGTTCCAGCGCGTCGAAGCGTTCGGGCTCCGCCGCGGCCAGCGGGTGCAGCGTCCTCTGGGCCATCTGACGAGCGACCGCCAGTGGATTGGAGAATTGCATCCGGTCCGCCAGGTCGATATCAAAGGTCTCGTTGTAGAGTCCTTGGGACAATCCGGTTAGCTTCCGTCCTTGAGATATATATCCGGCAGTGCGGCTTCCCTCCAACCCGGGATACTTACGGTCTTGGATGAATTTGAAATATTCCGCAGGGAAGACAACTTTGGATGGTACTTGCGTCAGTGATAGTTTGTGGGAAAGGAGATTGAGGGCGAAGGCCTTTTGGAGATGCAGTTGGACTTACAAGTTCGACTTCGTTGGATCATAGTGACGGAGAGGCCATGGGCAAGCATGTCTTCGGCCATATCATGGGCTTGTTGCCATGGTTAGCTCCGTATATCTGCGTGACAAGTGCGACTGGGATACTCTCACCTGTGTTGGCCGTCCCCACGACTATTCCTCGCTTGCCTGTCCAAGCAGCAGCCGACGTGTAGTCCGACGAATGGATAACGTGTCCCCTGTAATTTTCCTGCAATGGAAGAGTCATTTCGATGCCTCAAAGGATACCACATATTACACCACTAGAGAGCGACAACGAGATCACGTACCAGTCCGGGGTAGCGTGGCATGGACGGCACCTGACCTCCTGCGCCAACCGCGAAGATGATGTGGCTCGCTGTTATCTCGACTTCTTCCGTGCCATTTCTGACCAGTTTAATTTTCCATCTGTTCTGTGCGGCGTCCCACGAGCCAGAACCCATCTTTGTAGAGAGCCAAATGTTCTGCACGCAATTTCGTTTAGCAATATCAGTGGGTGTCGAATTTGCCGGAATAGGGAATGTATTGTAGGCCACTCACAATGCCGTATTTCGAAGCCCACTGCCGGTACCCTCTCGCAAGATCGAATTTGGTGAGGTATAATGGGTAAGTCTCATCGAATGTCCGCTCGAACGGAAGGTGGACTGTAGTGAGGAGTGAGTAAATATCTTCGAATAGGGCTGGAAGAATCCCATACGGTAGTGTTTCGTGTTATGGACTAAAATACCATATATGTCAGATTTTGTCTTGTAGAAGAAGCCCCAGCAATCCTTCCAAGACTTACGCTTCACCGCGTCGTATCGAGTCATCCAGCTATCCCCCACGCTCTGGTGCTTTTCAACAACCAGATACTTTACCCCGAGAGCCTGGAGGCGGCCAGCGGTGGAAAGTCCGGACTGGCCCCCACCTACAATGAGGCAGTCGAAGTCGTTGCGTTCCGTTGAGAGTTGATGGCCGTTGCTGACACAGTTGATACCGTCGACACCACCAACCCCATTCTGAGGCGCCTTGTCGACGTTTCCATGACCGGTAAGTTGCTCGAGGATTGTTCGCAAGACCCAGATTCTCCAGCCACACCGCTTATCGTGCACCAGAGAGATGAAGCCTGAGCATGATGTCGCCGGTTTGCCGTCAGTGTCAAAGGTGAAACGTGCCTCGACCCAGGACGTCTCCGAACCCAGCTGGACAACACGGGCAGAGTCTTCGACAAGAGCAAAATGGCGCGGTTTCATGTAGGTGGCTGTGGTTTCCCAAGCTGCCTCGATGGCCTGGGCAGAGAAGATGGTTCTCAAACTGCCTGTCAGGGCAAGCATATCGCGCCACAGAGCATCTGGTGTCAAGTGCTCGGCCCTGAGCCCGCCCAAGTACTGTAAACACGCCGCCGCCACGGCCGGAGCATTGACATCTCCTGGAACATTTCCTGACGGAAGGGACCCAGGGAGTTGGCCCAGGACATTCGTGACGACATTGGGATACTTGATGGCCATGGTTCCAAGGTGGTCTCTGGTCGATATCCTCTTCTCCTCAGCTGAATTTGGATTCCCTTGCATCCATTCTCGACTTTTCTGTCTCGTCTTGTAACTCTGAGAATCGAGATGGGGATGATTGTCTATCGCGAAGACGTGTCATCGTTCTGAAGGGCAACCGGAGGAAGAATGCTGGAACGAGGAGCCCAATGCTCCGAAGGCCCGCGGAGGTCAGGGGTCTGCAACAAATATCGACTTCGTCTGAGGCCGGTTATCGAGGGCAAAATATGGTCATCGCTCCTCCAGTTCTGCTTTGACATCCAGCTTCCGCGGATGGTCTAACGTGCGAGTCGACGGCGGCCGAGAAGCTATATTCTGCTCTCACTGAAATTTAGACGGCTAATGTCGGCCACTCTCAAATCTGGGTATCAACGGCTAACTTGGAAAGTCTAGGCCGGTTTGTTAGTCTGGCGTGTGAAGCCCTCTAGCTCGTTCCGGGGCCCCGCGAGGCTCAAACATCCCCCACGAACATTCGGACTAGCAAGTTGGCGTTTTAGAATGAGCGAGCTGCTGGTGAATGGTTTTGCTGATTTGATTTCGTATATGTTGAGAGTGGTCTGCCATCGTTTGCCATAGATCTATCCTGGTTTTCCTGCTGCAACATTCCAACAAATTCATTTTCCCATTTTCATCCGTTCCCCTCAAGCGGGCTCACGATGGCTCTTTCAACCGACGATGCACAGCGCATCAGCACCGAGTTCAAGGTTGACCCCGAGGTAGTCCACAAGGCTCCGAAAACAGTGGTCCACGAGGAGTATCTTATCGAACGACATGGGACATGCGAGCTAGATCCGCTCCCCTCGGCGGACCCCAACGACCCTTTGAATCTTCCCTCCTGGAGGGTATGTCATTCCCATCAGAGAAGCTTTCAACCTGTTGACCGAGTGGATAGAAACACGTCCATCTCATCCTCATGGCTTTCCATGGCCTGTTTTGTACCTCCAATGCCGGTTCGGTTGTGACTGCCTGCGTTGAATGGGCCGAACTATACAACGTCAGCGTTTCTACCTCCACCTACATTGCCACTAGCCAGGTAAGCATCTTTGTTGTCCTCTTGTACTGTGGAAGCGTTGATATTGTTTCTTATGAGTGCCGAGACGCCCTGTTTCTGACAAATTGACTGGCTAGTTGATCGCTCTCGCCATTGCCCCCTTGTTCTGGATACCAATTGTCAACCGATGGGGCCGTCTACCAATCTTCATGGTGTCCGCCCTTGGTTCGTCCATGTTCAACATAGCCTGTGCCCAGAGCGGCAGCTATGCGTCTCATTTGGTCTACCGCGTTCTGGTTGGCTTCTTCATTTCACCCGGCATCACAGTGCCTCAGGGTGTCGTGGTGGAGATGTTCTTCGCAAAACAACGAGCTCAAAAAATGGTAGGTCAATCAGAAGCTCGTTGATCTCCCTAGTTGACTTTGCGCCGTTACTGAAATCTGTGTTGCTCACAGGGAATTTGGGTGCTCTTTGCAAATTCAGGGTAAGTGAAGCGCCAATTATGGTACCGGGATGATTTTTCTGTTGCTGACTGTTCTTGTAGCGCCTCAGTAGGTCCGGCGCTGATGGGATTTCTCATCAAATCCCAGGGCTGGAGATGGGTTTACCGAGTATTCGCGATTGTAAGTCTGACATATCCCGAGCCTTGTTCGTCATAAAGGGAGTCCACAACTGACCTGCTGCCGCGACAACAGCTGGAGTTTGTGCTTTTTGTCCTCTATTACCTCTTAAGCCCAGAGACGCTATACCGCCCTGACATCAACGGCCGAGAACATAATGAAGATGAAAACCGGTCCTCAGCCCCGCGGCGGAATTGGTGGTTGAGATTCGCAAGACGAATCGACCCAGCTCCTCTTCGAATGTTTGATTTCATCGAGCCGCTCTGGCTTTTGAGGCATTGGAATATCCTGGTGGTCAACATCGCATATTCTGTGGCTCACAACTTCGTCCTGACCTTGCTTCTCGTGGAGATGTCCACCTTGTATGAGCCACTGTTCAATCTA